ACACAACGGCACAAAGACGCCCAGAGAAGCAGCCATGTGCCAAAAAGGTACTCTTTTTCGTTGTCAGATCATCAAAGCCGCGGATTTTTGCGTTTTTGGGGAGAGTAGGTTGTAGATGGTAGATAGAGAGTCAGAGAGCCAAAGAGGCGGAGAGGCTAGGAGGCAGAACGGCATAGGGAAGCACAAAGATAGAAGTCTTTCACTCTCTTTTTTGGGAGAGTGGGTGACAGAGAGGTAGTTTACATAGAGAGGCAGAGGGAGGCAGACATAGAACGTTATGTCTGTGATTTTTCTGTTCTCGAATCCGCAGATCTCCAGGGCAGTTCATGTACGCGTGTAGTGTTCGATTTAGCACACACTTTAAATCTCTTTCGCAGCACGCAAAGACGCAGAGGGACCCAGCCATAGGGTGCTACATGTCCTGATCTAGTTCCTTGACCCTCCGGCTTCAGGGAGGGTAGATAGCAGATAGTAGATAGTAAGGGACAGAAGTAGTGTACTTAGGCGGAAGGAGAGGCAGAGGGACGCATCCATAAGCTCTTGATATTGTTTTAGGTCTCAGACCCTCAGGGTTCAAGGAGAGAGTAGATGGTGGATGATGGATAGTACGGGACAGATATAGTGTACTTGGATACACAAAGAGGCAGCGAGCAGCAGGCATCGAACATGATCAAAGCCATTTCTGCGGGAGTGCGTGCATAAATAGATGCGTGTACATTCCACTACAGCACAATGCAATACAATCGCAAGGTCTTATTCAAGATCCAGAAGGCAGAGGGACGCAGACATAATATGTAAAGCACACCGTTTTAGTTTTCAGGTCTTGGATCTTTAACAGACACTTAGATAGAGTGGTACCTAAGACAGAGAGGTAGAGGGAGGCAGACTTGCGCTCTTCTCCATTCATATTTCGTTCTTAGATCCCATGTTTCCAGGCAGAAGATACACTGTACAGCACAGTGCCCAGGAATGGTACAGATCAGATGTAGTACAGCCAGAGAGCCCCAGAAGCGCAGTCATGCTTTTGCTATCCTAGTCTTTCAGCTCCTTAACCCTCAGATCCTTAGATCCTCGTAGGTTCCAACGTTTTCAGCAGTGTGAGTAGTAGACTGGTAGTAGAAACGTAGCCAAAGGTAGAGGCGCAGAGCGAGGAGGACATGCGTTCGATAAGCGAGTGTTTCTGGTTCTCGGATCTTGAGACCTGATGATTGGAGAGGCAGAGAAGCAGAGACGCAGACATTCGCTCAAGAGAGCCACCTTTTGACATTGCCCTCGAATTCCTGGATTTTTGGGTAGAAGGTGTAAGGTTAGCAGTATAGTACCTAGTTATGGTACAGGTGTATCAAAGACCGATAAAGCGGAAGGCAGAGAGAGCAGACAGACATGTGATTTGTAATGAGGCGTTTTTAGTTTTTGAGTTCTTAGGGGAAATAGAGAGGCGCACAGAGAAGCCGAGAACCAGACATTGAGAGCGGAGTAGAGGATTTTGGTTGTTCAGATCCTAAATATTCGGAGGCGGTGTTGGTAGGGAGATAGAGAGGGATAAAAAAGCAGATATTGCCTAATGAAGTACCTTATTTCGATTTCGATCTCAGATTCTGGATTTTCAAGCGAGCGATGAGTCGGTGGAGATGTACAGGAGCAGAGAGAGAAAGACATATAGTTTCCAAAGGTTTTATTTCAGGTCTGAGATGTTTAGGGAGGCACAGAGACGCAGACATCTTCTGGTGCTCTGTCCTATTTAGCCCTTCGAGCCCAGACCTTTAAAGATGGAGTAGAAGCTGAGCAGCAGCAAAGTAGGGAGGCAAAGAGAGCAAGCAGACATACGACCTGTCCCAGGATTCTTGAATCTCTGGACGCGCGATAGTCATCAGCGCGCGGACGCAGACATCGTTTGATGGAGTATTCAGTTTCGACTTTTCATATCTTAGTTTCTCACCGTGATGGAGGAGGTTAGGAAGTGAAGTAGCAGTGATAGCTTAACACGGAAAGCAGAGCACATGAAAGCTTTAATCTCTTTCTTCGGTTCTTAAATCCCTAGGCGCAACAATCATCAGCACAGGGACGCAGGCATCTTCCGCTGGGGTATTCCTTTCGATCGCCCAGATCTCGCCTTCTCAACATGGCGAAATAGGTTCACCATTATTGAAATAGAGAAACAGAGAGAGGCACCCAGACATGAGTTGGAGGGTGAAGCTTTTCGGGTGCTGGGTCTTTAGGCGCGATGATCACCAGCACGGGGACGCAGACATGACTTGACAAAACAAACAATTTTCATGTTTTCAGATCTCGGCTTCTCGACTTAGTGGTAGAAGATAGGAAGCGGAGAAGCCAGGAAGCAGAGAAGCAGAGGCACAGAGGCACAAGGCCGCAGCCATCGCCCACTGGAGCACTTAATTTCAATCGTTCAGACTCGGCTCCTTATCGTGATGGTAGAAGTCGGGCAGCAGCGAAGTAGAGATGCAGAGCAACACAGAAGGCGGAGCACATCACCGGTTGCCAAGTGTTTTTCAGAATTCTTGGATCCCTGATATTGGATGCTCGATCTTGGATCTTCGATCTTGGATCGATGATCGATGAGCAAGTAGTAGACAGGCAAAGAAATAGAGAAGTGGAGACACACAAGCCAGAACATATCGCCACATCATCATCCTCATTTTAATCTTTCGAATCTCAGGTGTTGGATTTTCAGGGAGGTGGAAAAGGGCGCAAAGAGACACATTTCGACTTGTAGAGTTCGTGATTTCGATTATTTAGACCTCGAATCTTGGATCTTCGAGCGAGCAGCGCGTAGGCAATGAGGTACAGTGGTTAAAAAGCAGGAGGCAGTGCGAATTGGTCTAGTATCTTCCAAACTTTCGATTCTTGAGTCCTTGGGAGAGGTGGAGAAGAGCACGGAGAGGCAGACATAGCCCGGAGAAGTGTTTGTTTTGGTTCCTGAATCCTCGATTCCCGACCTTCAAGCAAGCAGTAGGTAAGCGGAAAGGTAGAGGGGCTAAGAAGCAGGAGAAGAGGCAGGGGACATGTATCATGATGAAGTATCTTTCAATTTCCCAGTCTTTAAATTTTCAGGCGCGCCGCCGAGAGGCGCAGAGAAGCAGCCATTGATTGTCACATTCTCCATTTCCATTCATTCATGCCCAACCTTGGAACTTTGAGCAAGCAGCGCGTAGCCAGGGAACATATAGAGACAGAAGCACAGAACCCAGCGCACATGAGATCTCGTGCAGAAGGTTTTAGTTTTCCAAGCCGTAAGTCTTAGATTTTTGAGGAAGTAGAGAGGCGCGCGGAGGAGCAGACATGCTGTGGGAATTTCCATATTTCAGTCCCTGGATCCTGGATCCCGGATTGTTAAGCAAGCGGTAGGTCGATAGAGAGATAGGAGATGCAGGACAACACAGAAACCGGCCCACATGAGCGGCTCATAAGATGCTTTTAATTTTTAAACTTTAGGTGTTCGATTTTCGAGGAAGCGGAGAGGGGTGCGGAGGAGCAGACATCAGCAAAAGAACTTCCAGATTTGGGTTCCGCATCATAAGCTTGGTTTCCAATTGCAGGAGTCTTGTTAGCAGGTAGTAGACAGAGAAGGATACCAAAGTAGGAAAGGAGACATAGAGGCACAGAAGCCAGCGCACATAGATAGACCCTGTCACGCATTTTGATTCGGTCTCAGGTCTTAAATTCCAGGAAAAGGGAGAGAGGCGCAGAGGCGCAGAAATGGCCTAGAGCACACTATTTCTGAATCCCAGATCGAGATCTCGGGTTCGCAGAGCTTTGTTACTCAACAGTAGACAGAGAAGAATACCGAAGCAGGCAACAATTCACAGAGGCTTAAAAGCACAGAAGCTAGAGCACATGTATGCGCTAAGAAACCTTTAGATTCTCCAGCCCCTAAGTTTTCAGGCAGCGCGGAGAAGCAGACATCGTCCATCACTACTTCCCTTTCGGTTCCAGATCTCAGGCAATCCTAGACTTTCGAGGGAGTAGAAGAGAGGTAGCTAGGCGGAATAGACGGACAGACGCAGGCACACGCAGCCATGTGTTGATCTTATCTTTGATTTTAGGTTTTAGACCCTAAGGCGGAGTATGTAGAGAGGTAGGCAGACGCAGAGAGAGCAAAACATGCACAAGGCGACGCGGCCTTTCCATTCTCGGATTCCCGGGAGAGAAGAGGCAGAGAGGGAAGCACACATCAAGCGATACCGCACTTTTCTTAATCGCCTAGCTGTTGGATTTCTGGGGTCCCGCATACAGAGCTGTTGTTTCAATTTCAGGGGCGTTGCGGGTATGGGTAAGCAGGTAGATTATAGAGAGGAAGAAGGGCGCAGACGCACACACGCACATGTGATCGCTTTGCGTATGGTTTCAGGTTTTAGATCCTTAGCTGCAATAACCGGGATGGTAGGTAGACATAGACAGTGCACGATACGCAAAGCTAGGTGTGTGCAGCCTTGTATCGTTCCATCTCTATTTCCGTTCCCAGCGTCCAACATCACAACATGTAAGTTTAAATTTTCGGGCAAGCATAGCAGCCAACGTATTTCTTGACGCACGCAGCAGGACGCAGACATCGCACCGTATTGGGATGCTTTTTGGTTCCTTGCCGACGTTGGACCTTGGGACTTGAATCTTGGGCTTTTGGGGGAGTAGGTGCGTGTAAAGAGAGGATAGGGGGGAAGCAGACATTTTCTGGCACTTAGTTCGTTTTGAGTTTTTGATGCATGTTTGCAGGCGCGTTGGTGGGTGGTAGGAGAGAAGGAGAGCAGAAGAGAGAGAGATAGGCGGGGCAGAGGTGCGTGTTTGTATATACTGAGGCAGGCAAAAAAGGCGCGGAGGGAGCCAGCAAGCCTTTTCGAGTGTGTGGTTTTGATTTCCCAGTTCCTTAGGTACCTAGTTTCTGCAATTGCGGTAGAGTAGAGTAGAGTTGACTAGCATTGACGGGAGATAGAGAGAAGGACGGCCAGAGAGAGAAGCACACATGAAGCGAGAAGCCACTCCTTCTAATCCCCTAGCTCTTGGATTCCGGGCGCGTTGGTGATGTGGGAGGGAGAAGGAGAGGAGAGGAACGCTGTGAGATAGGTGGGGTGCATGTCTACACACACAGACATCTCTATTTCCGCAAACTGTTTCGGTTTCGCAGTTTTTAGGTTCTTTGGTTCTTTTATGTCAATCGCCAGATCGCAGATCTCGGATCTCGGATCCTGCATCTCCACAGAAGCAGTAGACGTTGTATACGGGTAGACAGAGACATACGCAGATATAGAGAGGCAGAAGCACAGAAAAGCAGACATGGGTTGGGCAGATAATGATTTCCAATCCCCAGTTCTTACATCTTGGCTTTGCGGCCGCGGAGGGGTTGCGTAAGAGTTGAGTTGGGTCGAGTCGAGTCGAGTCGAGTCGATTCGAGTCGGCAGAGGCAGAGGTTGATGCAGAAGTACAGAGGGACAGAGGTACAGAGGTAGACGCACACAGCCATACATACTATTGTAGATGTCTTCAACTCCGCGGTTTTTCGAATGTCCAGTTCTCAATCCTCATAACCGCTGATTCCATGGTTATTTCATTTCCAAATTTGCATTCTGTTTCGATCGAGTTCTTAATTCTCCGATTTCTAGGAGCGTTGGCGCTGTAGGGGGAGAGGAGAAGAGGGCGCGAGAGGAGGAGACATATATGGACGGGTGTAGGTATTTACGTATATAGGGGCAGAGAGGCGGAGAGGCACAGAACAGACATAAGCCAAAAACAAAGCGACTTTCAGGTCCCGCATCGAGGATCTTGGATTCTAGTTGTAGGGGTGTTGTTGGTGGTAGGTAGATATAGACGGAAAGAAGCAGAAAGAAGCAGAGAGAAGCAGAAGCAGAAGCAGAAGCAGAAGCAGAAGCAGAAGCAGAAGCAGGAGCAGGAGCAGGGACACACGAACATGCTTGGTGAAGGATCTGGTTTTGATTTCTTGTGTCTGTGAATTGGGATCAACAGAGAGGAGGCAGAAAAGCGAGAGGCAGGTTCACGGAGGGAGGCAGACGCAGACATTCCAGTTTGAATGCTTGGTTTCAACTCCTCAATTCCTCAATTTCTCGATTCTCCAGTCTCCGCATTCCCGGCAGAGGGGAGTGGAACAGAATCAACAGAGTAGAATCAACGCTGATCGACAGGGAGACAGCGAGATAGAGAGAGGCAGAGAGACAGAGGGAGGCAGACGCAGACATACCTAGGTAATTCCGTTGTTTCGATTCCTCATTTCCTAGATACTCACATTTCCAGAGTACCGAGGTAGAGTAGGGTAGGATTAACGTTGATCGATGGGGAGACAGGGAGACAGCAAGATGCAGAGAGGCAGAGAAAAAGCAGACATGAAACGGCATGGTGCCTGTTTCGATTGCCCAACCGCCAGTGCCCCGACTTTTACATTTGCGGCTGGATAGAGTAGAGTAGAATCAGTAGAGAGTAGGACCAACAGGCAGACAGGTAGGCGTCGAGAGCCACCAAGCAAACAGACGCAGAAAGCATACATCAACTGAGGCCTCAGCTATTTTGATCGCCCAGTCCTTGCTTCTCCAGACCCGCTGGTAGGGAGCATGAGAAGAGAGAAAAAGGATTATTGGTAATTGACGGGGAGGCGGGGTGATGTAGAGAGACAGAGATCCAGAGATGCAGAGAGGTAGAGATGCAGAGATGCAGCGAGGCAGATAGCAGGGACAGAGGGACAGGGGGGAGCGGACATGCGCTGACACTCAGGTAGTTTCGATTCCTGACTCCTAACTTAGATGCCCGGATTTCCAGCAGAGGAAAGTAGAATCAATAATAATCAACAGGGAGATAGGGTAATAGAGAGGAGTAGAGACATATAGGAAAGCAGGCGCGGAGAGGAAGCAGACATGAGATAGCTGGTGGTTTGTTCTAATCCCCTAGTCCTGGGGTTTCTTGGCGTGCTGGTAGGGAGCATCAGAAGAGAGAAAAGGGATCATTGGTGATCGACGGGGAGACGGGGAGATGCAGCCTGGCAGAGATGCAGAGACGCGAACGGAAACCAAGCAAGCAGCCATGCTCCGCCACCAAGCGAGTTTCGATCCTTTGCTCCCAAATCCTCACATCCCCACAATTCCGGCACAGTGGGGTAGAAACATCAGTAATTGACAGGGAGAAGTAGAGACACAGAGAAGTAGACATGCAAAGAGACGCAGAGACGCAGACGCACGCAGCCATAAGGTATCTGGCTTATTGTTTTGAATTCTCCATTCTTCGATTTCCAGGAGCTTTATGAGTAGTCCGTAGAGTAGAGTAGAGCCGGGGAGGTGGGAAGGAGAGGGCGCGAGAGAAGAAGAGACAAATAGGCAGGGGGTGCGTGTTCACACACACTGACGCAGACAAACAAAGGCACAAAAGGAGGTAGACATATTTGGTCGAGTGCATGGTTTCAATTCCTCGATTTCTCGATTTCTCAACCCCCGCATTTCCGGCAGAGTAAAGTAGACTTGACAATAATTAGTGGGGAGATGCAGAGAGACACAGAGACGCAGACAGAAACCAAGCAAGCAGCCATGCCCTCCCATCAAGCTAGTTTCGATCCCTCACTCCCAGATCCCCACATATTCAGCAGAGTATAGCAGAATCAACAGAGAGTAGAATGGTCAGAGAGGAGAGAAGTAGGGAGGCAGAGAGAACGAGAGAGAGGGAGGCAAGGCAGACATGCCAGGTTAGGTCCATGGTTTCGATTTCGAGAGTTGGAGCGATGCAGACGGGCACAGAGGCACACAGAGGGAGCAGCCATAAGACCTCACACACGCCCTTTCGATTCCCCAGCCCTTGAAATGCCCGAGTGCGTTGGCGTTGGCGCCGTGCGAGGAAAGGAGGAGAGGAGAGGAGCGACAGAGACGCAGAGGAGCGTGTTTATATACCGTATCAGATACCAGCTTTTAGACACTGGATGCTAGATGCTAGACGCTACATAGATGCTGGATGCCGGATGCTGGAACAACGACACGACGCATAGAACTATGTGCACAGTTTTTCGATTTTCGATTTTCGATGATTGACGATTGATGGCTGGGCTTGGAATAGACGCGTGAACAGATTTTTGGAATATACTATCGTATCCTACATCTCCCCCTTTTCCTTCATTTTCCCATCTCCACCCTTCCCACCCAACCTCACCACCGTCGCCCTTTCGACCGGTCCAGAGAAGTCTAGCAGCTCAACCGCTGCCCTCCTTCCACCGTCCATCATTCCCACCACCACCACCTCCATTTCTTCCCCCTCCGTATCCACCCCCGTTGCCTCCGCCTCCACCCCTCCCACCCCGTCCACCACCGCCGCCGCTGCGGTCACTGCGCTGACGATCTGAATACGGATTACCCCCGTACCCAGCACCACCGCCCCCATTCCGTCCACCGCCGTTGTAGTCTCTCCCTCCTCCCTGGTAAGCATCGCGCCCCCCATCTCTCGCGAAATTCTCCCTCCCACCATCCCTACCATCCCTTCCATCCCTCCCACCATACCCCCCCCGCACCGCCCAACCCCGGCGGCGGACCTCTTGGCTGCTGCTGCTGGCCATACTGCCCCTGCCCCGGCGCACCGAACCCAGGCGGCGGCACCCAGCCCGGCGGCGGGGGTGGCACGCCGTTGTGCAGCGGCGGGGGCGCGGGCCAGGAGTGTGCGCCGGGGGTGAAGGGCTGGGGGAAGCCTGGTGGGCCTTGTGCGTAACCTCCTCCATTCCCAGCACTTCCGTTGCGGTCGTTGTAGTTGCCGTTGTAGCCGTTGTTGTTGTTGTTGTTGTTGTAGTTACCGCCGCCGTTGTTGTAGTTACCACCGTTGTTGTTGCGGTCATACCCTCCTCCTCCTCCGTTGTTATAACCTCCGCCACCATACCCACCGCGGCCGCGCCCGCGATCACCGAATCCGCCGCCGCCGCGGCCACGGTACCCGCCGCGCCCGCCGCGGTCCTGGTTGCGCCTGACAGCCGCCTTGTCGCCCTCTGACAGCGCGGGGAAGGGCAGCTTGACGCCGGCCAGCAGCACGGATTTATGTGCGGTGGCGGCGGTCAGGGACGGCATCTCGTAGAAGACGCGCATGGAGCCGTCCTGGACGGGCTCGAAGTCGGTGCCGTCGGCGTCGAAGGGCGGGGTGAGGGTTGCGTCGGGGACGAAGGCGTCGTGTTTCTCGATGGCGCCGTGCAGGGCGGCCGAGGTGGCGGGGTCGATGGTGTGGGAGCCGACGTTGGTGCGGTACAGCGCGGTGTTGGCGGCGGGGAACAGCTCACCTTGGGCGGAGAACATGAGGGTTTCCTTGCCGAACTCGTTGCGCGCTTTCTCGTCGGGCGAGAGCTCGGGGTATTTCGTCGCCATGGCGGCCAGCAACCGCTTCTCGTCGATGAAGGGCAGCACGGCGACGCCCTGCCAGGCGAACTTCTTGCCGTTGAGGTCGATGGGGAAGTCCTCGGGGTAGAAGTCGACGATAGGGCTGTCGGGATCCTCCATGAGCACGCGGAAGGGCTCCGGGATGGCGTGGTTCGACGCCGCCGGGAGCACGCCCATGAGCTGCTCATACGGGTGGAAGGGCGTGCCCTTCTCGAAGAGCGCCTTCGGGTCCATGTCCTCGAGGCCGACAAAGTCAGCCGCGAAGGGCGCGTAGTGGTGCGGGAAGTACCAGGTCCACGACGGGCAGCCCTGCATGTAGTAGGCGAGCACCCAGCACAGGCCCTCGGCGTACTGGCGGGCGACCTTGTTGCGGAAGGCGATGTCGTCGGGGGCGACGTGGAACTTTTGCTGGTAGTAGCGCTCCTCGTAGCCGGGCTCCCACAGCATGATGGTGTCGGGGAGCGGCTCGTCGGCGGCGGGCTTGGGGGCTTCAGTCACTACAGGCTCGTCCTCGGCCTTGCGCTTGCCGAGCTGGACCGGCTCGGTGTCGGTGGTGTCAGAAACAGTCTCAGACGAGGCCTCCCCGTCCTTGCCCTTCATCAGCTCCTTGAGCCGCGCCGCGGCGCTCTTGTTCGTCTGCAGGTCGCGGCTGTGCAGCACGTCCTTGTGGGCGCTGCGGACCTCGCTGGACTGGGCGTCCTGCGGGGCGAAGAACAGCACGCCCGAGTTCATGTACGTGCTGGTGTCCTCCTTGACGCGCTTGAAGGGCGGCTCGCCGTTGCGATCGCCGCCGCCGCCGCGTCCGCCACGTCCGCGCCCGCGATTACCCCCCTCCCGCTGCGCGCGTCTGGCGGCCTGGCGGTCCGACACCTCCTTGCGCTTCTTGAAGATGTCGGCCTCCTTGCCGGCGAGCGCGGTGAGGATCTGCTGCACGCGGCGCATGTCCGGGAAGCCGTCTTTGGTCACGTAGTCGTCCATCTCGGCGGCCAGGTCGCGCCAGATGCTGATCAGCAGGTCGATGCCCTGGTCGCGGATCTCCAGACTGGGCAAGTGCGGCAGGAAATCGTTTCCAACAAAGAAGCACATGAACACCCAGTCATCGAGGGACCGCTCGAGGTCGTAGGCGAAAGTCCTCTTCGGCGTGTCCATCTCGACGGCGAGATACTCTCGCAGAATACCCGTGTGCAGCCAGATGTACGGCTTCTTCGCGTGCTCGGCCGAGGCCCACTCCTCATCGGCCTCCTCCTCGGTCAGCTTCTTGCCGTCGTCGGGGAACTCGCAGTTGCTGCGGATGTGCCCCTTGCGGCCGCAGCGCGTGCACACCTTGTCCTTGCCCGAGTCGAAGAAGACGTCCTCGCGCAGCACGCGGAAGCGCGGCTCGTGGGTGGCCAGACTCAGCATGATCAGGTCGGCGTCGAGGCCGTAGATGACGTGCGAGGTGTTGGGGTCGTGGGTGGGCATGGCGCGCTGCGAGCGCACAAAGTTCATGATCTTGTGCTCGCCCTCGCCGGGGACGGAGGCGTCAGAAATAATAACCTTCATGTCCTTCCACGACGGGTCGGTGGTGAACTTGTAGGCGCACCAGTACTGCAGCGACTCGGCGAGCATGTGCATGAAGGGCGTGCCCGGCGTGATGGCGTTGGAGTCCCACGTCTTCTCGACGACCTCGTCCAGGCTGTGGATGTCCTCGCCGCGGCTCGCCTTCTGCGCCGTCAGCATCTTGACGAACTCGGCGCGCTCGGCGTCCTTCTCGGCGGCCTCCTTGGCCGAGCGGAAGCGGCGCGAGCGCTGCTGGTTCATCTTCGCGCGCGGGGCGACGCCATCCACGGCCATGTACAGCAGCTTGCGCGGGCGCACCATGCCGACGACGCGGTCGGTGTACTCGAAGATGGCGACCATCATGTCGGCCTCGGTGCGCGGGGCGGGGCCGTCGTCGGGGTGCGAGCACGGGTGCACGATGCCGTTCATGTCGAGGTAGAGGTTGTCGAACTCCTCGCCGTTGGGGTTGGGCGTGGTGCGGTCGACGGGGATGGTGGTGCCGTCGACCTTCTTGGGCTGGTCCTCGACGACGCTGGACACGATCTTGGGGTACTTCTGGCTGAGCCAGCGGAACATGGCGGGGACACCCATGGCGGCGGTGTAGCAATGCTTCACGAATGAATGCGCGACAGTCGGAGAAGTCGATATAAGTCGACGACGTAGTCGATGTATGCGACGACGTAAAGTCGATGTCAGTCGACGGAGAAGTCAATGTCAGTCGACGTCGACGTGTATTAGATGATGGCAATTAAGCGACGGGAATGGGATAGCACACTGATGCACGCGACAGTCGCTGATGTCGGTGGCCCTGTCTGGGCGGTGATGAGACTCGGCAGGACGCGACAGTGAGAATGTGAGATTAATCGCCGCTATCGATAAGTCACGTGATGGCCGGCTGCCTGCAGATGGACTGGAGACGGAGACTTCAAGCGCGAGTAGACGCGAGAGATGATTCGGGCGCTATCGATAAATCACGTGATGAAGTGCTGCCTGGGCGAGACGGCAGCACGAGACGGAGACGGAGACCCGATACCTACTTAGTAACAGCTTAGGTAAGCATACCCGGCGCAATCGATAACACGGTCACGTGGCCGACCCCAGAAATTATACGGACACGGTGACGCGACTCCAGCAGCCTGGCCGGCGTGTGTCTGTCTGTGCATGTTTCTTTGGCAGCCCTTCGGTGCACTTTCTTTTGCAGCCTTTCGTACAGTGCCTGTCTTTCCGTGCAGTCCCCCTTCCTGCGTAGTCTAATTTCCTTCCTCAATCCCCGTGATGCTCCGCGTGCTCGAGGCCAACGCGCCGCCCAAGCAGACGGCCACCGACACCATCAGCACGCTCAGCAGCCGCCTGTCGTCGGCCACGCTGCTCGAAGACCGCCGCGCCGCCATCCTCGGGCTGCGCAGCTTCGCCAAAGAATACCCCGCGTCGGTCGCATCGGGCGCCCTGCGCGGGCTCATCGCGTCGCTCTCCAAGGATGCCGACGACGTCGACACGCTCAAGGTGGTGCTGGAGACGCTGCTGGCGCTGTTCCGCCCCAACGACAGCAGCCCCGAGGCGTCGGACGAGATTGCGCTGTGGGTCGCCGACGAGTTCACCATGGTGCGCCGAATGCCCCCCGCGGAAGACACGCGCTGAGAACCACAGCGCCAGGATAACATGACGGTGCTGCTCGACCTGCTCGACGCCCCGGACCTGTACGCCCGCCTGTACCCGCTGCAGCTGCTGCGCGCCTGCGTCGCCGCCCGCCCCGACCGCGCCCGCGAGTGCATCCAGACCGCGCCCATGGGCACCAGCCGGCTGGCCGCCATGCTCGACGATCCGCGGGATATGGTGCGCAGCGAGGCGCTGGTGGTGCTGTCGGACCTCACCCGCGACTCGCCCGAGCTGCAGACCGTGTTCGTGTTCGAGGACGTGCTCGCGAAGGTGTTCCGCATGGTGCACGGCGACGGCGGGCTGGCCCAGGGCGGCATCGTCGTGCAGGACTGCCTCTCACTGCTGGCGAACCTGGTGCGCCACAGCCCGTCCAACCAGTCGTACTTCACCAAGATGGCCTACCCGGCCGAGTTCGCGCGTCTGCTGCCTGCTGCCACACCCGCCTCGCCCGCCACCGACGACTGGGTCAGCCCGCAGCGCGACAAGAACGTCTGGGGGCTGCTGATCGTCATGCGCATGTTCCTCGCCCCGGGCAGCGCCGCCACCCCGCAGAACCAGGCCGCCTTTGTGCAGTACGGGCTGGTGCGCCAGCTGCTGGCCATTGCCTTTGACCCCGCCACCGCCATGCTGATCAAAGTCGAGGCCCTGAGCACCTGCGCCGACCTGATACGGGGAAACCCGCGCATGCAGGAGGGCTTCGCGCAGGAGCAGGTGCTGCCGTTCGGCGGGAGTGTAGAGACATCCCGCGTCTACGTGATCGAGGCCCTGCTGAACCTCGTCCTCACCCCCGCCGGCACCGACCTCTTCGACCTGCGCAGCGCCGGCGCCGACGTCATCAAGGCCTACTTCCACCTCCACCCGCAGATCCGCGGCCACTTCCTACACCGCGCCATTGGCGGCCACGAGGCGGGCGACGAGACGCAGAACGCGCTGACCATTCTGATGGAGGGCTCGCGCGCCTCGCCCGACCCGTACCGCATCTGGTTCGCCGCGACGCTGATGTTCGACCTGATCTTCGACAATCTGCCCGCCAAGCACACGCTGATGGCCGTGAAGGAGGGCGACGCCGAGAGCGGCGAGGAGGTCGTGACGTGCATCCAGACCCTCACCGCGAACCTGATCGCCAGTCTGCAGCTGGAGGAGGATGAGCGGATTGCCGTAGCCTATCTTCTGCTCCTCCTCGGCTGGCTGTTCGACGACGCCGCCGCCATCGACGACTTCCTCGGCGAGGCCAGCAGCCTGCAGAGCCTCGTGCAGGCCGTGCTGCGCCCGTCCTCGCACCCGCTGACCCGCGGCCTCGCCGCCGCGCTGCTCGGCACCATCTACGAATTCTCCACCCGCGACTCGCCCGTCCCCCGCCGCGAGCTGCAGAACACCCTCACCGCCAAGCTCGGCCGCGAGAAGTACCTCGCCGCCATCACCGAGCTGCGCAACCACCCGCTGATCCGCGACTTCGAGGTGCTCCCGCAGCGCGCCGGCGACGCCGCCCTGCCCGACGTCTTCTTCGTGCCCACGGCGGTGGATTTCTTGAAGGACAACTTCTCCCGCCTCACGCGCGCCGTCGACCGCGACCCGACGCTCGAGATCCTCGCGCCCGCCGCCGGCGTCGACCGCAACATCGTGGATGCGCTGCGCGCCGACATCGACGCCAAGACAGACAGCATCGCGGCGCTGGAAACCGAGCTCGCCGGCTTGCGCCAGGCGCTCGAGCACGCGCAGCTCGAGCAGCGCCGCGTGCAGCACGCCGCCGACGAGCAGCGCGCCACGCTGACCCGCGTGAATGACAAGCTGCACGCGGATCTCGAGCGCGAGGGCGCAGCAAAGGACCGCGAGCACGCCCGGGTGCTGAAGGACGCCGAGGCCAAGCACGCCGCACAGCTCACCGCGCTGAATAGTAAGTTACAGCAGTCCGCCAAAGACTCCGCGCTCGCCGCGGCCCGCGCCAAACAAGACTCCGACGCCAAACTCACCGACGCCCTCCGCACCGCCGACGAAGCACGCCGCCGCCTCGAGGGCGCGGAGCGCGGCCGCGCCGACGCCGTAACCAAGATCCAGCAGCTCGAGCTCGCGCTGCAGCAGGCGCGCGTCGAGACCGCGGCCGCGGCTGCTGGGGCCGCGAAGCGCGAGAAAGAGGTCCGGCGGCTGGAACAGCAGTCCGAGGCGCTGATGGCGGCGAATGAGGAGTTGGAGGCCGAGGCTGAACAGGCGCTGGAGCGGCTGAGGGGTGAGCACGACAAGGCGCTGGAGAGGCTGAGGGGCGAGCACGAGAGCGCGCTGGAGAAGCTGCGCGCGGAGCAGGCGGCGCGCGGGCTGGAGGTTGATGCTGCGCATGAGGCGGCGGTTGCGGAGGCGGCTGCGGGGCATAAGGCGGAGCTCGAGAAGGCCAAATCTGCGGCGGCGGCGCGGGATGCTGAGCTCGAGAAACTCAAAAGTGCGGCTGCGAACCACGAGGCCGAGCTCGAGGAAGCCAATACCGTGGCGGCGGCGCGGGACGTCGAGTTGAAGAAGAAAGAGGGGCAGCACGCCGCGGTCGTTGCGCGCCTTGAGAAGAGCATCGCAGATCTCAAAACGGCGCTTGAGGAGCACAAGAAGAGCCTCGAGGCCGCAGAGACGCGTGCTGCGGAGTCTGAGAAGCAGGCCGCGGAGTCCAAGACACAAGCCGCCGCATCCCAAAAAGCGCTCGACACCCACGCCACAGCCGCCAAGACCCACGACACCACCCTCGCGTCCCTGAGGTCCGAGATCGAGAGCCTCAAGGCCGCGGTCGCAGACGAGACGTCCACGGCCGCCGAGGCCGCGGCGAAGATCGCGGCGCTGGAGAAGGCGGCGAAGGAGGCGAAGGAGGCGAAGGAGAAGGCGGTTAAGGAGCTCAAGGAGGCGAAGGAGAGGGAGGCCAAGGCCGTCAAGGAGGCGAAGGAGGCGAAGGAGGCGAAGGACAAGCAGGTCAAGGAGCTCAAAGACGCAAAGGAGACGGCGGCGAAGGCTGTCAAAGAGGCCAAGGACGCCGCCGCAAAAGCAGTCAAAGAGGCGAAAGACGCCGCTGCGAAGAACTCCGCCCCCGCCCCGACGAAGAAGGACGCCGCAAAGGCCGGCAAAGACGCCGAGAAGGCGAACAAGGCCGCCGAGGCCAAAGAGAAAGCCGACAGAGAAGAGCGCGAGGCGTTGGCCAAGGAGGTCGAGCGGGAGAGGGCGGCGCGGGAGGAGGCTGAGAGGGAGCGGGAGAGGGCGGATAAGGAGCGAGAAGCGAAAGAGAAGGAGTGGGCGGAGAAGGAGAGGGCTCGGGAGGAGAAGGAGAAAGCCCGCGAAGAAAAGGAGGCCAAGGACAAGGCCGACCGAGAAAAGGCGGACAAGGAGCGAGAAGAGAAAGAGAAAGCCCGCGAGAACGCCGATAAAGCCCGCGAAGAGAAGGAGAAAGCCAGACAGCAGACCGCAGACAAGGAGAAAGCGGAGCGTGAGAAACTGCAACAAGCGATGGAGAAACAGGCCGCGCAGGATAAAGCACAGCGCGAGGAACTCGCCGCCGAGATGCAGAAACAAAAGCAGGAGAGGGAGAAAATGGCCGCCGAGATGCAGAGGCAGAAGGAGGAGAGGGAGAAATTGGCACAGCAGATGCAAAAAGAGAAAGAGGAGCGCGAGGCCCTCGCCGCCGAAATCCAGAAAGAGCGCGAGCAACGGCAGAAAGAGAAGGAAGAGAGGGAGAAGACAGCCAAGCAGCTGCAAGACCTGCAAACCAAGCTCGCGAAGGCAGAGCAGTCGGAGCAGGAGAAAACCGCGGAAGTCGAGGATCTGCTGGTTATGTTGGGGGAGCTTGAGGAGAGGAGGGGGGGGGATAAGGTACGTCCATATCCATGTCCTGGTGCGCGGGGGTTGGCTGGTCAGAGTGCTAATTGGCGTAGAAACGGCTTAAGGAGTTGGGGGAGGAGGTCAGCGACGACGACGACGAGGACGACGACGACGACGACGATGAAGACGATGATGAAGACGATGTCGAGTAAGCAGTGCCCGATCAGCAAGAGTGCGAAGGCGAAAAGGAAGGGCAGTGGGCGGGCGACGAATAGTACCCGGAGGAAGAAAACAAGGGCGAGGAAAAGAAAGAGACGAGCACGGCGGGTATGCACACCGCCCGACCGAGTGGGGGAGGAGTACAAGGCATTACATCACAGCATTTAAGCGTGGGAATGGGAATGGGGATAGAGGAGTATCGACAGAGTAGCATCAAAGCATATGTATACCACTGTTTTAAGCACTGGAGTGGAGAAGCAGCAAAGGACGGGAGTGGAGAAGTAGCAAGGCATGCAAATACTGCAGTATTGCATCCTCGGCGCAAATAAGCATGGAGGCACTGGATTTCGAGACTGCAAAGCACTGAACTTCGAGTCTTGAAAGCACTGAACTGTGGGTCTTCAAAGCATCACGCTATTCAAACACTGCAGTATCAAATCGTGCAGTATCAAATCATGAAAGCACTGCAGTATCGAATCGTGAAAGCACTGCAGTATCGAATCGTGAAAGCACTGCAGTATCGAATCGTGAAAGCACTGCAGTATCGAATCGTGAAAGCACAGAAGTGGCGAAGTAGCATGGTGGCACAGTCGAAAAGACTGGGACTGGGGTACTGAGACCGTAGGCACCGCGGTATCGAACGCTTGGCGTGCATGAGCATGGAAGAAGGCATGTGTCGGATTGTTGAAGTGTTGGAGTGTTGGAGTGTCGGAGTATCAAAACATCCAACCATCAAAGCATTAAACCACACCGCCACCGAAGCACCACGTATCACCGCACCACCACACCGACATATCTCGCAACCACCAACGCACCGCAGTATCAGCGAGCCAAAGCACTGCAGCACCGGTACCGCAGCATCATCGCACCAAGACACCAAGACACCACACTACCGCACCGTGCCCAAACTCATAGTCTCCGCGTGCAGCGTGGAATATGGACGCTGGACATGCAGCGCCGCGATGCAGTGCCGCAGCATAGGCGTCATGTGGTGCGTAGCACCGGCTCTAAACGGCGCGTCGGTGCGCGGGCGTGTGGCGTGAGGCGGGTGCGGTGTATAAACACTCTGCTCTCGTCGCGCCTGCGCAGCTGTTTTTTTCTTCCTCCACGCTTCCTCACGCTTCCTACGCTTCCTCCTCGCCCCTGAACACATGTCTTCGTAGTTGGTTCCGCGCATCTTGTCTCCAACTCCTTCCTTGAACACACTTACTGCGCACTGCGCACTAGAAAACTGGAAAGCCGTTCCACAATCATCGATGCTGGCTCTGCGGGCTCTGCGCTTCTACACGGCTCTTTGAACGGCTCTTGGGACGGCTCTGCGCGGATCTTCATTGCCTCCGAAATCCTAACACTCTTGCTGCACACTTGAAAACACTTGAAACCTAAAAACCCGTCTCTGAGTATTCATGTCTCGTCGTGCCTGCTGCTGCGGCGGCGGCCACACGTACCTAATCTCTTTGCACGCGTCTTTACACACATTTCTTCTTCAACGTTAACACGCTGGTATGTGGTTCTCGATATACGCTTGAGAACACTCGGGGACTGGGGATTTGGACTAGAGCAGTGCGTGGCTCGTCTGTGGGTTCTGTGGGTTATGTACACGGCTGTGTACGCATGTCTGTGTGTCGGCTGTATCTCTGCCTGTGTGTCTCTGCCTACTCATCTTGCTACACACTCGAAAACATTTGGAAACTAGAATTCCGGTTCTTCAAGTCTGATGCTGCTTCTGCTGCTTCTACTGCTTCTACGCTTCTACACACGTCTCTTCCTTCTACATGTCTCTGTGCATGCGAGGGCTTACATGACTCTGCGTACAAATCTCAACGCGATGCATGTCTCGCCTCTGACACCTTAACACACTTCTTGCTACACACTTAAACCCTAGAATCTAGAAAAGCACTGTCTAAAGGCTCATGCTGTTTTTTCTGCTCCTGCGGCTTCTGCACATCTCTGTCTTTTACAGATCTCTACGCATGTCTGCACCTGTACCTTTTCTAAGATGCTCTCACACATCTCGTTTTCAACACCCTGCCACACCCTGGTTAAACACTTGAAATCTTGAAAACTTGAAACTGAGTTTCCGAAGGTGAATGTTGCTTTCCCTGCTCCTGCGGCTTCTGCACATATCTTCCTCCTATGTATCTCTGTGTATGTGTTAGGCTGGATGTCTCCACCAACATCATAATACTTCTTGAAAATTCGAAGCATTACCACCCATGATTCTCCTCCTCTATTTGAAAACATTCAGGAACTGAAAGTCTCCTCCAAGAAATTTTATGTCTCTTCTGCGCCTGCTGCGGCTTCTACACACCTTCTCCTCCTATGCATCTCTGTGCATGTGTTAGCCTGCAAGGCTCTGTCTGTAGATATTGGCGTGATAGATGTCTTGCCTCCAACACCTTGACACACTTCTTGTCGCACACTTCAATGCACTCGGAAACTAGAACGCTTTTTACGAGTTTGTATGTCTCTTCTGTGCCTGCTGCAGCTTCTGTATATCTCTGTCTCTTACATATCTCTACGTATTCTCTACGTATGTGTCGGCCCAGGTCTTTGCTTCAGTATCTTCTCACACATCTCGCCTCTATCATCCCGACACTCTTGCTGCACGCTTGGAAACTGGAAACTGAAAATTGCCGACTCAAGATACATGCTGCTTCTGCGGCTTCAGCGACTTCTGCACGTCCTGCAACTTGTGTGTACTTTAATCTGCCCTGTGTTCATATACCTTATGTCGTGCATGTCTCCTTGCGCACATCCCCTTACGCGTCTCTCCTTGAACACTAGGCCCTGCCGCACACTGAAAAACGAAAGGCTGGAAACATACGCAAGTGACATGCATGCTGCTTCTGCGGCTTCTGTGGCTCCTGTGGCTTCTGCGGTTTCTGCACGCCTCTTCAGCCTCTGTAATCCTTTGCTCGCATGTCTCTCGCATACCTCTTCTCCTGTACAGGTCCTCTTGCTGCACACATGAAAAAGAGGAAGTCTGCACCATATGCTTCTTCTGCGCCCTCTGCGCCTCCGACTGCTTTAAAGAAAGGACGACACTGTGTATGTCTCCGCCTCCATATTTCTGCTTACATATCTTCTCGCATATCTCGCCTCCAGTACCTTGAACACTCTTGATGCACACACTACCTGAAAACGACGAAATCAACTGTCCAATCTGCCTATGCTCCTTCTGCAATCCCTCCTATACCTGCGCCTCTTCCTGCTTTGAAAGCGAAAGATAGGAAGTGGATGTGCGTTGCGCACCTCTTCCTCCTTAAAATGCAAACAGAGGCGGTCTATGTGCGTTCTGCGCCTCCAGGAATTGACCTACTGTACGACACATGGTCTCCGCCTGCGTCGGCTTCTACATCTGCTACGTCTGCTGCGCGTTGCGCTTTCTGAGGCGTGGGAAACGATTGGAAAGCTGGAAACTCGAAACTGAAAACTCGACATGAGAAACTCGAAAATCGAAACTCGAAACATGGATCTCTGAAGATGTTTGGATATTGGAATTATGTGCTTCCCGCGGCGAAGCGCTGCGGCTTCTATTCCTGCACCTCGTCCTTTAGAAAGTATACTTGCTGATGAGATATGCGTTCTGCGCCTTCGAAAACTTTAGAAATCTGTATGCCTTGTGGTCTACAACTTCGACGACGTAGACATATAGGGGGCTGTCGGTGGTTTCTGCACCTACTGCGCGGATGACCGAAAAGTCGAAAACTTGAAACTTCGAAAACGTATGGGCAACTGTCATGTCCTCTCTGCGACGGAGTGCTGTGGCTTCTACGCTTCTGCAGTTCTCTGTGCTCCTCTAATTACATACCCTTTTCAAAATCAACAAACGCGGCAACATATGTGTTCTGCTGCTGAACAGCCAGACCTATAGTTAAGCACATTTGATAAGTTCTACTCCTTGAAATCAAGACAGGGCTAGCTATATGCTCTGCGCCTTGCAGCAAAGGGAAAGATAAAGCCGATATGGGGTCTGCGCTCTCTGCCTTCTGCGCCTTCTGAAGTATTAGGTACACGATTTCCACGCCTTTTGAAGCATGATGCATACGCTGTGATGCGTTTCCTGCTGGCGGCCAAAACTCGATCAGAGGAAATGAATGTGCTTCTGCCCTTGATCCCTATTTTTACCTTGGTGTCGAAATGTACAGAGTTGGTTCCGGATGCGGGCTGCTTCTTCCGCTCCTTCGCAGAGCTGCGTGTCTACCTTGAGTGTTCCGTCTACTCCTCCAAGATTGTGCCTTACTACAGCACGCGCTGTGTTCTGCTCTCCCCGTTCTTGAAAGGCAAAATAGTTATGAGACATGTGTTCTGCCCGTCCGCTCCTTAACATCCCGGAAAACTGACACAGTCTGCGCCTTCTACTACTCCTTAAAACCCAACAAAGTCCGATACATGGTTTGTGTAAAACACAACAAGAGATGCGCCACGTGTCCTGCGCCTTTGCGAGGCGAGAGCACTTGAAATGTACTCTGCATCTACTCCTTCGGCTCTGTGAAAGTTAAACCAAGAAGCTCGATGGAGGCTGCACCTTCTGCGCCTCAAAAGCTATTGACGCTGAGAACATGGGTCGTTTGGGAAGGCGAGGGCACATAATAGAATCTGTTCTGAGGTCTGCACTCCTTCTGCTTCTTCTGCTTCTTCAAACTCAATGAGGTGGTATTCATGGGCGGTGTGAAAAAGGACATTAAATGGGGCATATGTCCTCCGCCTTTCGAGAGCGCCGGTGAATTATTAGGATGGTCGTGCTCTGTCTGTCCACGACTTCCGCACCTCCAATCAACCAGAAATGCATGCTACGGATGCAGTATGTCCAGCGTTCCTGCACTGCGAAAAAGAGAATAACGACAATAGCATGCGGATTGCTCCTGCTGCTTCAAAATGAAAAAACCATCAAGTAATGCGGTCCGCTTGTTAAGACTCTACAATTGGACGACATAGGGTTTGCTCTGCCTGCTCCTCTCAAGTCTACCTCTACCATAATCCAGACACTACGGGAACAAAAATATGGTGGACGCAAAAAAGAAAGTTTGAATTGCATCAGCCGTGAATCGAACACGGGGCTAGCCGAAACTGGATGGCAACGGCTAATTTTACCACTAAACCACTGAAGCGAGCTTTGATGAGAGATACGGGAGTATGTGTGTCTATAATCTAAAAGCTGCATACTCTGCCTCAGTCCCTGCCGTGTGCTTTTAGAGCGGGATTACCTAAGCTTCAAGTGCTTTGTAATGGTTTTGTTTTGAGGTAACTCGGCTATTATTCGATTCCATAATTGGTAAGTCATGGCCCCCTACCAGTTTAGCCCTGTGGAGATTCAAAACTAGTCGCAGCGTTCCGCCTCCTCTAAACCGAATACTGGGCACGTCACGTGTTCTGCCGCTTAAAACGGCTGCACGGCAACGCAACGTGCTGCCGCTTCCGCTGCTTCTGCGCCCTCCAATGTCTAAGTAACGGGGTAACTGTGTATGTAGCTGCTCTAGAACTCAATCAGCTCTTGTGCATGGGTTGTGCGAAAGGATGCGATCGAAGATTGCATGTTCTGCTCCTTCGCTCCCTTGAGGTCTGAATACGAGCAACGATGCGTTCAGCTCCGTTTAAATCAAGAAAGCGCTAAGATATGGGCTGTGTAAAATGGGTGTGAAGAAGAACTGTGTGTTCTACTCCTTTTGAAATCGTTCCTGGTCCAGCTTATACCTGAGACCGAAAATCTGCATGTGTTCTGCTCCGAATACACTGGAACGGATCAATGGACTCTGTGCCTCCTGGGCCTTGGAATATCTTCAAACAAGCTGTAATGTGTTCCGCCTCCGCTCTTTGAAAATCCTCGACTACAAAAGCTATTACCCGACTATTACATGTCTTCTGCTTTTCTTGGGCAGGACACGAAACTTCATATGCTCTACTTGTTCTCCCCTGCGTCCTACGCGCCTCGAAAATCGACCCAAGGTCAACTCTATGGGCTGCTCCTTTGCTCTGCTGGAAAACTCTGATCTGCAAGATATATGTTCGTCCAGGCTCCTGGAAAAGGCTTGAGAACGAGCGCATGTGTTCTGCATTCAAAACACTCAATCGAAAGGTCCAATGTGCGCTGCCCCTTTTAAAGCATCAGAAGAATCGTTGGATGTGCTCTGCGCTCTCGGCTTCTGCTGTATGCTCCAAAGTCTCGATGAACTTTCGCGCCGTGACATGTTGTGCGCCGCCAAAAGCAGCGAGAACATCGCTATGTGTTCTGCAATCAAAATCTTGGATCAGAATGATGAATGTGCGCTGCCCCGTTCCAAATCATAAGAAAACAATGACATGTGGCGGGCATGTGCTCTCTGCTTCTCCTGCCTGCTCCAGAATCTCAATGGATATGGTACCGTGTTGTGCGCCTCTAAAAGTACTGCTGGCGATGTACAGCGTCAACGCTTCTGCGTGCATCTCTCTCTACATCCTCTTCCACCGCTTCACGCTCAACAACACTCGAAATCAGTCGAAGGCGACAAGGTGTAAAAGACCACAGCATGGGCCTTCTGCGCCTTCTGTGCCTTCAAAAGAGGCAATAAATACAAGGCATGTGTCCTGCTTCTTCTGCTGCGGCGCCTTTAAAACTTAATGGAATACAAGAAGCATGGTTTGCTCTCCTCGCTCTCTCTGTCCCTCCAGAGGCTTTGTCTCCGCCTCCATATCTTTGCCCATGCGTCTTCTCGCTCTCTCTTTGCACGTCTCTCACCCAACACATATCCTCTTGTTGCGGACTTGAAAGGAAAAGCTTAACACTGGATGCTTTCTCTGTTGGTTCTGCACTTCTTCCTCTTTCTGCACATCTTCGTCCTCAAAAAGGGTAACAGATGAGGAATATGTGCGTTCTGTGCCTTTGGGAATTTTGGAAATTTGCATGCCTTGTGGTCTAGAGCTTCAACGATGTGGCGACAAAAGTGATGGGCTGTTTGCGGGTTCTGCTTCTTCATCTGCGCGTATGTCGATCGAAAAGCCAATAGTCCAAAACTTCGAAGATGTGGAGTCATGTGGCTCTGCGGCAGAGTGCTACCCTACGCTTCTACACATGTTTGCACTTCTCTGATCAGATACATGTCTCTTCTTGCATGTCTCCGCGCATGTCTCTGCTTATGAGCTCTTGCTGCACGAGCCAAAACAGGCAAATTCCGAACCGATGCTGCTTCTGCTTCCTTTGCGCCTTCAGCTCCTTCTTTGCACATTTCCATAAACACCCCTCCTTGAACGGGCTTGCTACACGCTCAAAAGTGAGAGCCTAAACAACATGTGTTCGTCATGCGCTCTCGTCTGGTGCACTCTTGATGCAAGGGTCAAAATTGGAAACTTCAGGACCGATGCTGCTTCTGCCTCCGCGGCTTCTACCCCTAAATCTTCTAACACGGCTTTTCTTGTGTCTCTTACTAAACACTCTTACTGCACTATTGCTGCACAAGCGGAAATAGGGAGAGGTCTACATTATGCTGCATCTGCGCCTTGTGCGCTGCCTTCTGTTCAAGTGTTTGCCAACACATCTCTACACATGTCTCTACGCATGTCTGCTTGTATGTATCTTCCCTAACACACTCTTGTTACACAAATTAAAATGCGCGAAATTCTTCCCCATGCTGTTTTGGCGCTCTTCTGCTTGCATGCCCCTGCCTACACGTCTCTATAAATATCTGATCACATGTCTCCACGCATGCATGATTCTTCTTATCTGTTGCACGCCCGAAAGTTCAAGGTGAGAATTCAGGAGCCAGAAAGGGTGACCGGGATGTGCTTCTGCCTCTGCTTCTCCGGCTTCTACGCTTATCTTCTCTGACAATGTCTCATTCCGCATTTGAAGACCGAAGGCGATATCTTGGAAGCAAAACCATGCTGCCGTATTGCACACCCGAAGATTAAAGGCGAAAATTTGCAAGTCAATGAGGGCAACGAGATGCCATTGCACTGCCTGCGGCTTCTGCAAACATCCCCCTTGCATCTTCTCGCATACCTCTTCTCTACCACACTTTTTGCACAAGTTAAAAACGGGGAAGCTATCTTGATGTTGCTGCTTCTGCTTCTGCGCCTCATATACAGCTGCTGCCACGTATGTTCTTACCCCACCCTCGAACGCTAGAGGCAAGAACTTACGTGCTTAAACAAATGGTCTTTATGTACTCTCATGTTCTCTCTGCGCCCTTTTGCACCTACTCCTTGCCCGCTTTTCACACGCATCTCTCCCTAGGTACACATGTTTCCGTAATGCACACTGAAGGTTGAACACAAAACTAGAACTTGGTAGAGGAGGCATGCATGCGGCTTCTGCGCCTTCCTTTGCACGCATCCCCTGTTGTTCCCGTCTCCACCCTCGGAACCCGGCGCTGAAAACTTCAAACCACGAGAGCATGGCGGCATGCTTGTTCTGCTGCGCTCGCTCCTCGTGAGTCTCTCTTCACACGTGTCTCCTGCACGTCTACTTGTATTATGCATCTTCTCATCACACCCTCAGTCGACGCTTAAAGTTAGGAAGTTCGAAAGTTCAACGAGCAGTAGGATGTGTGGCTTCTACACCTTCTCCTGCGCGCATCTCTTCTATCTTACGTACCTTTTTGTTGATTCTGAACACTGACGCCGAAAGTCTAAATGTTTCAACGTTCGGACAAACGGCAGTCATGCTGCTCCTGCCTGCGCTTTCTGCACACATGCCTTGATCACACATATGCTCTTCTTCTTCCCTTGAAAACTGGTCTTTAAAGCTTCAATACGCAAACGAATTGTCAAATGTTCGATGTGCTGCCTCTGCTGCCTCTGCGACTCCTTCTCGCCATACACCTCTACACACATATTTCTGCCCCGAAAAAGCAAAGGAGTTTGGCATGGTCCAAGACCAGTGGCGGTGGCGGCTCCTAAATCCAGATTATGATCAACCCATGAACCAAAAACCGGAATAAAATCTCAAAATGTCTGCTGCGTTGTGCTGATGGTCAGACCTATGTGTGCTCTTCCTCCCCCCTCGAAAAACCGGCGCTGAAAACCTGAAAGTTTGCTGTAAGGGAGACATGCTCTCTCTATGGCTTCTGCCTCTCTTTCAAATTTCGGGGACACAAATACTGTGTCTCGTGCGCCACAGGCAGACAGGTATATGAACCTCTCTTCTCGAATCTATCTTTTTTCCGACATATCCTTTCTCATATTCACTTCCCACAATTCCACACCTAAATACCAAGAACGCAAAAACTCGAAGTTTCGGCGTGAAATATTCATTCCCTCTCGGTGGCCTCCGTCTCTGCGCCTCCTGCTCCTCCTGCACATTCTAATGAGCCTGATAAAATTGAAGCGCCCAGAACTTCAGAATTCAGATACGTGGGTAGTATGCTCGTTCTGCGCCTCCTACACCTTGTGTGCATTCCAGATGGTTGGATGGTGTTCACAATACCCTGCCACAATCTTTCTCTCGACGGCAAGGTTGGAAATTTGGAATCCAAAAGCCCAAAGATGAAATCTCATCCATGTATGCTTGTTCTACTGCGTCTGTACCGCCTAAGCGTTCCAGGAGGATGGACAGCATGTTATGCGGAAGTCTACGCACTTGAATGATCTCTACCTACATCCTCTTCCACCCTCTCACGCTCAAAAAGACTTGAAACCAGCTAAAGGCGAAAGGAAGCCCTGCTTAAGAACATGCTTCTTCTGCGTCGACTACTAAGCCTACGCCTTCTGTGCTTTTGAGAGGGATAACAAATACCAAGAATGTGCTTCGCTCTTCCTGCTGCGCCTTCAAATGTTCGGTTACGTGCAAGATTTGTGATTTGCTCTCTTCGCTCTTTCTGCTCCTCCTGACGTCCTGCGCCTACTACGCCTACTGCAAGTTCTAGGCGGTGTATGGCATGGAAGTCTTCGCACTTGATTGCTTAGGTATATATATAAACATTAACGCTTCCGCAGGTATCTCTCCACATATTCTAATTCACCACCCCACGCCCAGAATCTAGAACCAAAAACTTCAAGACATGAAAAAATCACGGCCATACTTGTTCTGCGTCTCCTGAGGTCCTACAGGTTTTCCTTAAATACGAAAGAGACCACAACCATGTGCGTTCTGTGCCTTTGAGATCGAGTGTAGCTGCACGTTAAGGGTTTCACTTTGTCTGCTTATTATGCACCTTCCGAGCCTGCCTTCTGCATATATGGGTAGTTGGATGGTGCGTCACGTAGGATTTTGAGAAGCCCTTGGGTCCTTGAATGCTTAGGTACTTAGGTATATAAGCCTCCACGGTTTTGCACGTATCCTGTCTCCATCACCTCCCATGGCCACTATTGCACACCAGAAAATTAGAAGGGCGAAAACTTAAAAGTTCGAAAATGAAGAGGCCTCAGACTATGTTTGTTCTGCGCCTCTTCCATTGCATCTCCAGGAAATGCCGACGACGAGTATATGCGTTCTGGGTCTTTGGAATAGATCATGACTGCAAGCGATACCTGGTCTACGCTCTCTGCGCCTGCCGCGCATTTCGTAAGTGATGAGAGCCAGGAAGCATGTGTTTGAATTCCTCATAAAGTCCGTTGAACGAATTCTGCTCTCTTAGCTCACTCTGCGCCCGTTGCTCCTCAGTGATGATCATGACCTATACCCTGGAAGCTCACGCTTCCAGGGTACTTGAGTATATAACCTCTACTCGCGCACACACACAACTCCTCTCACACGACTCCTCTCTCACACACTCGTCTACAATTCCACCCTTGAAAACACTCGAAACCCGAAACCACATTTCATATGCGGTAATGCTGCTTCTGCTCTTCCTGCTCCTTCTCCCCTTTCAAAAGCTTTTAGAATTGCACGGCATGTGTTCTTTGGTCTTGAAACTGTGATGCGATGGTGAACGCAATCCAAGGGCACTACTATGAGCTTTCCTCTCTTTCCTCTCTCTACTGCTCCCAAGGTCTTGCTCCTTTTGAAAATCAAAATGGCAAGCCTCCATGCTCATGTTCGACCTAAACACAAATAACAAATGTTTTCTGCTCCTCCTGCTCTCCTTGCTCCTCCTGCGCCTTCCAAAAACAGCAGAAACAAGAGAGTGTGTGCTCTGCACCTCTGAAATACCGAGTAAATACAAGAACTGTGTTCCGCTCTTTCTGCGTCTTCTGCTCCCTCTTCTTCTTATAAGGTCCCGATCCTTATAAAATGCTGGAATGCCCGTTTCCAGCGCCGCCTTTGAAAGAACGCATCGCCATACGGAAGTGGCTGGCTCTCTCTACTTGTTCCAAGACACCGAACTATCTGAAATCCTCAATAAGTATCACTCATGCCTTTGTTTGGCATCCGTGGAAATGGAAAACGCTCCACTATATGTGGTCTGCACTTTGTGCTTTCTTGCCACTCCTCCTAGCACTCTGCGCTATTCAAAAGCTACAAAAGGTAGAGTGCATTTCCGTGTTCGGAACTTCTTAAATAACGCAAATATACAAGTTCTATGTTTTGCTCCCCCTGCTCCTCCTGACCTCCTGCTACTTCAAAGTCTACGAGGACAGACCGCATACCCATGGTCTGCTCCCTTGCAGATGCACGTGTTCGAGAACATGTGTGGCTGCTCCTTCTGCTCTTCCTGAGACTCTACATCATTTTAAAGTCATGAGAGCGAGCTTGTATGCCTGAGGTCTGATCCTTTGATCATCTGTCCGTTGAATGACGATGTGTGATTAGCCTTTCCGCTCTTTCTGCCCCTCCTCCGCCTTTCAAAAACGAATTAAGGGAATGGCCAAAACGAATTTGTGGCGACGCCGCGGAATCCGCTGCTTCTCTGCTGTTTCGGCCATGCTTCAAATCCACTGATGAAGTTAGGAACAACGTGGTCGCTTCTTTGTCCCTTCTAAAACCAAGTCCGATTCTACCGACGAGTTCTGCCCCTCTCAAAATAAACTCCGGGCTACTTCGTTTACTGTAGTCTGGCCCCTCCGCTTTTCAAGACTCGAGATGCGGCATCCATGTATTGTTCTGCTGCTTCGTTTGCGCCATTGGAAAATGAAATACCGGAAATATTTGATATTCTCTGTCCTCCGGTTCATTTCAGAAATGGACTGATGTACCAATCATGTATTCTACATCGTTTGAAGACCGCGAAGATCAGGGTGACGTCGGCTGCGTTCATCAGTCTGTGGCTATACGAGTATTTTCTGCTCTAGAGTCGGGCGTCATTTCCCGTCACATGTTTTCCGCCTTCCAAGTCCGGACATACATACAATGTGTTCTGCGCCTCCCCCTCTTTCTGCTAGAATCAGCATCGAAGAATGGTCTATGTTACGAGTTCTGCTCCTTCTACCCCTTTAGACAGGAGGTAGGTTCATTCCGTGTGTCCTGCAAACCATGATGCATGGCCTGCCTCTTCGGCTCCTTCTATAATTACAAGAGGCTGAATATGGCTCATACTACTTCTAAGGCGTAGCAGACAAATACATAACTTCTGCTCTTTCTGCTCTCTCTGCTCCTTTCGTAGTCAACATTTGAGTCTGCACATGTGTCCTGCTCCCGTCCTTTGAATGTCACGGGAAGCCAGTTCATCATTTTGCCCCTTCCAAACCCAGCGTATCTTCACATCGTTGCGTAAGAAGATTACGGTCAGGCGCGGTACGTCAGATGTGGTGTAGGCGGCCGGGGGTGTGAGCCGCGACGTGAATCTTGAATGATGGATATGAAACCAGCACAGGGCTTCGAACGTCGAGCGCTGTGCGCCGAGCGTGGGACAATGCGCAAGGCGTGCAGTATTCGGCGTGCAGCATGAGGCATTGAGTGTTAGGTGCGGCAGGAGGCAGTGCTTGTGGTGGTTTTCGCAGCGCTTTTTGTGGCTTTCGATGTACCTGCGGTGCCTGAGGTGTTGTAGAGGATATGCAGGTTCGTGCGGAATGCCGCATGTGATGTGTGTGGTGCGTGGTATCCATTCCGCACGCAGCGGTCTCCTTAGCGCGCAGCCGTATACGGCATCAAGCCCCCAGCGTGCAGCCTGACGGGACATTGGATAGCATGCTCGTGTCACGTGGAAGTATAGGAACCCAAGTATATAAACTTCATTTCCGCGCACGTATGCCACCTTGTACACCTTCTTAATGTACTGCTCTTCACCCAAAGAAACCAGAATCGAAAGAGCATGAGTTCATGTCTCGTGCTCCCTCTAAGACAGCACACTCGAAAACCAAAGTGTGGATGATGGAAAACAATTTGACTTTGGCTCCTTCTGATATTCTACCGATAGACTTGAACCTGACGGCTTCTGCTCATCTCTCGGCCTGCTTCTCCTAAAGCCTGCCGTCTCACTGTTCCAAGGCTTTTGATCCTTCTTGAAATTTTTGCGTTCTTCACAAATTTCACAGCTTCTGCTCTTTCGAAAATCATCAATCTACGATCTAGATGTTCTGCGCCTCTGAAATGCACTCGGGTTCGCCCGATGTCTTCTGTCACACTTTCCCTCCATGTCTATGTCCTCCTGTTTTGCTGAAGAACACATACCCAGGGAAGTATGTTTGGCTTCTTCTACTCTTTCTGAAATCCCCAATTGGGTACACTGTGCGTACTCTGCATCTCCCAAATTATCTCGGTGACATCTGTATATCTTCTGTCAGAACTTATTCTGCGATGCGACATTGGAGCAAAGGAGATTTGTACTCTACCAGATACGTCTTGTTCTGTGTTTTTGAAAAAACCGATGGGTTCTAGACATGTATTCTGCTCGTTGAAAGTAAATTCACTGCTCGCAATGGCTTTTTCGGGCTCCACTGTCTCAATCCGAAACTCTACCCAGAGCAACGGTCGGGGAAAAAAGAATAAGCTAGACAACTACAAGTATTTCCTGCCCTTTTTAGATCTCACTACATAGTCGTTGATATTTCTCACCCCTTTGAACAGTATCCGTGTGCGCCCGATGTCTCTTGCTGGCTCTTACTGTTTTCAGTGCTGTCTTTCCTGAGTCGCGGCTTTGGAGAAACAAAAACATCAATGACAAGTCTGCATGCTTCTCCTGCTTATTCCGTGACTGATCATCTATTGATCAGATATCTTCTGTTCCTCTCAAAGCGTTTGTTGACCAGTCCGATGTGTTCTGCCATGCCATCTCTCTATGTCTAGACGTTGCCCGGAACGATGGAAGAGGAGACAGGAAATGCATCTTCTTCTGTGATACGCACCTCTCTCAACACGATGTTCTATCTTAAACTTTGGAATCAGAGCCCATAGGGTCAGATACTCCTCCTACTCTTCTAAAATCTCAACACTTACTTCCATGTCTCCTGCTTCTTCAAAAGCGTTGACACTGTTGGGGCATGTTGCTTTCTGTCGCATCTTCCCGCTGAATTCACATACTCTGTCGCGGTGCAAAAGTTCTGTTCGCTGAGGAACCTGCCCTCCTTCTGCTGCTTTGGTCACAATATTCAGATATCTAGTGCGTTCTGCTACATCTTCTCTAATGTTTAGACCCTCCTTTGCGTAAAAATGATGTTCCACACAGTCTCCTATTTTACACTTCGCAGCTGAATTTCTTGCAGCGCATAAGTTTTGAAAGCTCTTCTGATTCTTTCAAAAACATCATAGCTACGCCGAGTGTCGTCCACTGCCACAGTTTCCTGCCCGATACTGCTCGCGTAGTTCCCAGAGCGTGGGATGAAGGGAGGAGCCAAGTGTCTCGGGAGCATAAGTTCCAACACAATGAAGCCTGGCTCAAAATGGCATTGTCCACTTCTATGCTTTCTCTTGCTTCCATGACCTATACACCTTGAAGCAGCCGCTAAATTCCAAACTCAGTAATGTATCACACCACGCGATATATTGAGCTAACAATTTATACTGCTTCTTTGCCGCTCCCAGGTAAACTTTCGATGTGACAGTAATTGATGTACATCTTGTCTTTCCAGAACCGTCAAAGATACCGTGCTATGGTCACGAGTGCTCTTGGTTTCGCAGCATTCTCTGCCATCTGTCAGCCAATCATTACTTGTTGCCTCATTTGCATCGGTTGCAGGCGAAGGACAGCGACCGCGACCGGCGATGGCGCTAGGCTGTGTTGGGGTTGGGTCCATGTGATCCCAACCCCGACCCTCGAGGAAACCTCGATCACAAGTTTGCAGGGACTTCCGATTCAGCCCCGACTCAGTACTGAGCACCCTGAGCCTATCTGCTAATCCATAGCTGCGTCTGCAACACTCTAGTCCTTCAAGGTGTGGCTGCTCGATTCTGCTCATCGACATGGCGATGACGTTGCTCGAGAACACAGCCATGTCCTCACGAAATCATTGTTTAGCTTCAGGCAACGGACGAGGTTAGCGTATTGTAAGGTGACAGTCAATGTAATAGGATATGCACTGCTTGTACTTGAGAGGTTAGAGGAGGGTGACGTCCTTGTGCGATGTGAGCACGAACTCGTCATCTGCAACGACGGCAGACACCATAGCACAAGTAAAGAGACGAAAAGAATTCCAAAGACCAGAAGGTTGCTCTGCATAGCTGAAGAACATAGTCCCTCCCGGATATGGATTTGATCTCTCACAACAACTTGGAAATCATGACGCACTGGACACCAGCATGCCTCTCTCATACAACGACCATTAGTATTATGATTACTGCTTTATCTCAGCTCATTCGTTGCCACGTATTGACACCGAATCGAAATAGTTTTCAGCATATACACTCCGTCTCTCGCACCCCTCTACGCCCTGATTGTATAGTAGACCACACCTACTCATCACAATCTGGCTCACTTACTCCATCCATCACCGACTGTTTCTTCCGCGTGATCCCAGCCTCCGTTTTCAAGCGCGTCGGCAAAAGCGCTGGCGTCGCCATTGTCATCCCACGGCTTTGGGCTCTCGGAGTCATAGTGATCGTCGCTGTCTTCATAGTCGTCTGGCTTGCTGTCTTCATAGTAATCTGGCTTGCTGTCCTCATAGTAATCTGGCTTGCTGTCCTCATAGTAATCTGGCTTGCTGTCCTCATAGTAATCGTCGGTGGGCTCCGCCTCTCCGTAATCAGAGGGGATGGCATTCCATTCAGCATCGTCGAGACCGACCTTCTCTAACGCATCGTCGTAGCCACCCTGCTCGATTGCATCAGCGAGTTCGCTGGTTTGCTCGTTGTCATCCCAGGGCTTCGGGCCGTCGGGGCCGGAGTAGTTGTTGTCAAAGGTGTTACCAGCTGGCTTCTCCTCGTAGTCCTCCTCAGGGTAGCTCTCCTCTGGGTATTCGGGCTCGTACTCAGGAGTCTCGGGAGGGTATTCAGGGTACTCGGGCTCAGGCTCGGGCTTGTAGGGCTCTGGCTCGTATGGCTCATATTCCTCCTCGACGGGGTAGGGGTCAGGCTTCTTGCAGTCGGTGGGATAGCTGGTGATAGTCACGGTGTAGCCAGGGACATTGACGGTCTTGGTTTGGGGTTCCAGGGGGAGATACTTCTTGCAGGCCTCGACGATGGTATCGTCATCGTACTGCACAAGGCGGCAGGGCCTATCAACACACCAGGAAGCGCGAACTTGGCGGCGGTAAGGAGCTGGTGTAGCAGCTGGGTAGTCATCATAGATGGTCGAGGTACTGAGAGATGTCAATAAACGGTGAGGATACTGGTAGCGCAATGACTTACGTCCAGTATGTGGTATAGATGGTGCTTGTCACAGTGACATCAGCATCACCTTCGCCCTCGGGTGTCTACAGAGCTTAGTCATGGTTCAAATCAGATCGTGCAAATCACGTACCTCTGTGGGTTCCGGCGCGTCGGTGGTCTCAGACGATCCCGTGATCTCAGACGAGCTTGTAGTAGTCTCATCAGGCACGCTGGTCGTTTCAGAAGGCACTTCCGTGGTTCCGTTCGTGCCAGAAGTTGGCGCAGTTGCCCAGTAGTTCTTGGAAGGCTCAGGCGTAGTCGTATACTCGGGGTACTTAGTGGTCGTTGAGTAACCCTCACCCTCACAGGTCTTCGAGTCGGGGTACTCGGTGACAGTGACTGGGTAATCGGTGATGGTCACATACTCATCCTCTGGTTCGTAACCGTAGGTCCAGTCATAGCAGAAGTCGGTCGTGAGATCTGCGGGGAGATCATCAAGCACAAGCTTGCAGTTGTCGACATCTTCCCAGAAGTCAGCTTTCACGGGCCGTGCATTGTAAGCGAGAGCAAGGAGCAGTGCTCCGGAAGAGATGCGAGAGAAAGAAGGCGCCATGGTTTCAGTGAGCAATGCGTGAGTTGAGACTGTCTTGCCATGGTGAGCAGCACTTTATCTAAATTTCAAGTCAATGAAAACTCAGTAAGTTGGATAGGTATGCTGCTTTCAGCACAGTGTTGATACTACGGCTGCTCTTTGCCTAGGTTTGAGTTTAAGCCGCCGCCGTTGACGCTTACCCAACTTGGAACCATGTGTAACGTTCCATATTATGATCGAGGCTCGTGCGGCCGCATGTAGAGAACCGGGTTTGTGTAGCGCGAACACGTGATTAACCTTTGCAGCATCTTAGAGCTTAGGAATGTAAACATCATTCGTTTGCAGGAAGTGTCTTTACAACGCCTTCAGAAGCCCCTCGTGTTTCACATCCCAGGTGCCGTCTTTAGGAAAGCCTGGCGCGTCGCCCTCAGAGCCCTGCCATCCAGCTGCGCAATACGCAACGGCTAGTAAGAAACCAGCGTTGCCAGGCATAAACGGCGGTGGTGTCCCTCCGTCGCCACCTCTGATGGCGAAGCCAGCGTCATCAAACTTCCAGTAGTCATAGGCAGTAAGATGATAAATCGCGCGTTCAGGGTTGCCGATCCTTGCACTGTTGATTGCGAGCACGGGGCGTCCCCATCCACGGATGCGTGCATCACCCCAGATGTCCCAGACCTTATCTGCGGTGCGCAAAGCAACAGCGGGGTCGACTGCCGGTGTGTCGGGGAGTATACCCTGAAGCATGATGAGGCTGCGCGGGTCACCAGTGAGCTTAGGGTCACTCCACCAGGAACTGTTCAGCCCGTCGTACACAGCATACAGACCATCGACGATTGGTGGCGGCGCAAGATTTGCGGCTACATGGGTCCACTTTTCGGGAACGGCTTGATTCAGTTTCCGCTTCCAGTCAATGGCGGCGTCTAACCCATAGCGCCAGTATGCGATTTCGTACGCCAAATTCCGCGTCGAGTTCGGGGGCGTGTTCTCAGTAACGCCATATGCTGGTGGTCCTAAGTCAAATTTCCCTGTTCTATTGTTGAAGCCAGGATATGACGCCATGTAGTCGGCAGTTGCAGTGAGCACTTTGTCCCAGCGTTGCAATGTCTCTCTTGTAGGATTGGCCTGATATGCCAAATTCGCAAGGTAGAAGGGGTGCGGTTGCTGCCACATGAGTACCGCATTGATGTCTCCTGGAGAGCTGACACCGGTCTCTAACTCTGTCATCTTTGGCCATCGGGCTCCTTCCCAGCCCATCGACTGCGCACGGGCGATCGAGGAAGGAAGCAATGTCTCGTATAGTTCTGGAAATACGCCGTCAAAGTATTTTTGCCTTCCCCAGGTCGACCAATGAGCAAGATGCCAGATGACCATCTCCATGTGGAATTTGCCTTCACATCGTTAGTGGCATATCGTAACATTCGCACCCAACCGTGACGTACCATACCAGCCGTTGTTCATCAGACCGCTCTCTTGAGGTGGCTGACCACTTCCTGCACTATTAACACGCACATGGTACTGAGACTTGATGATTCGCCGCTGGAGTTCAGTCGCATTGGGGTTTGCTGATGCCGTCAGATCAACGAAACCACCATTCTTCCAATATGCGTTCCACTCTCGAACGCTCTTCTCTTGGATCTTGACAGGAAAGCTGGGGACGCGGGAGTCAGGCGAGAAATGAGTGGTGAAAGCTATAGATGAGGTATTCGATACTGAACTCAGAGTGTATCGGTGTGCTGTGACGGCAGTCGAATTCGGAGGATCATTTCTGCTAAGCTTCAGGGGTGTCTGTTTCGGCCAGCGTAGGTTGATAAAGTAGCTTGTCGCTTGTAGCACATGTTGGATGTGGGCTGATGTGCGATCGCTTCCATCTCCTTCCAGTGTCGTGGTGTGATTGAGTGGGAAGTCATAGACGCCAGCAAATACCTCATACTTATACTGTGTTGAGTGGATCGGCGGGTATGGAAAGTCCAGCTCGATTTGCAGATCGCCAGAAAGGATGAGTTCAGACTCAATGCTGATTGCCACAGCATCAGAGTCAAAATCTCCCTGAGTAACAACTTTGACTGATTTACCAGCAACTTCGAAATTTGATGTCACCACTCCGCTCCACAGATCAAGCTCTTGATTTGGGCTCTTAATGTCGGCTTTTTGTAGCGTGTCCCCTTTATACCGTAAGCCAACGCGCCCAAGATTAATTCGATTTGGGTTGCCGATCAACCATTGAGTAGCTTGTCGCAATTTCGGATCTGGGATATCGTAGAAGACCTCCCGGCCGTATGTGTCCCTTGGCAAGCCCTTGTAATCGGAGGGTAACTCGCTAAGAGACCGATCAGTATGTTTAAGTTTACAATGTCTTGAAACAGCCTACCCATTGGCCGGGAGCGAATCGTTGTGCCATGCCCAAGAGGACAGGGTGTTGAAGGGCAGGAACGTCTTTCGTACATTTATCAGTCTCGGAGATCACTAATGGCGTCTTGACATACCTGAAGACCGGTATTATCTACGTTGAACGCGAAGTTTCCATTGCCAACTTGGAGAGGGGTTGTCTCGTTATTGATCAAGCTATTGCGTTTGATGTTGAATTGCGAAACGACCTTTTCCCTAAATGTAGCATCAGCGCACCGTCAATGCATCTTTGATGAGAAGAAGCCTACCTATCAATCTTGCCAATCACCAACGACGGTACCAGCAAGATGTACAGAAGTCGCGGCAAGTTGAGCCACATTGTGTGTTTGTTGCTGGTGCTAAGCTATTCTCTCATGGGGCCAGACTGGCTTTGAAGTACCGATTCAATTCATAATCTGACATTGCATCCTTTGACAATCGTCGAATGACCCCGTGGGGAGGCCTGGCTCCGGGGTAAATGTAGACCGAATGACATATGGGCTGCTGATCTTGATGAGAATCGGGCTAGCGTGCGACTTAAATTGGGGTTCCCCTCTGTGCACCCTGATTGATTTTTCCGGTTGGCATATCCCGCTACAACAACTAAGCATGACAAAGTCCAATCTATGTGTATTAATGTCTGATATGTTCGTACAAATATTGTGACAAGTGAATCGGCACTCCTTACTGCCATCTATAAGCGTCCCCCGGCAAGAAAAAGTTTGCCTCCTCGAAAGTAATAACGCGATCCATATCAAGGAACTGGGAATCCATAAACGTGTCGGAAAGGCTTAATAGAGACTGATCCTGCATAGCCTGTTGGTTTCCGGGTGCACCGGGGATGCCATTGAAGTGAGCACCTGGGGCAACACCGTGCCCTAAGTGGAAAACATGTCGTCCTTGTTTGGAATGGGCGGCGTTTGGATGCAGTGCCCCATTCGCGGCTGTGACTCCTCTCGGCGACATCGCGTCGAGATTCGGACCATGTACAGATGGCTGTGCGGCGTACTCGATCGGAGAGGCCCCAGCGGCCCCAGAAAGTGATGCTCTTTGTCGTGGGCTGAGCGTTGTGTGTACGCTATTTAGACTATGATGTCTTGCATGGGTCAAGTTCGGCCGCTCTTGCGCAAAGCTACCCGTCCGCTGCAATGGAGTCATGACGTTCATAGGGCTAACATACTGCTGTGGCTCTAGCGACGTACAAGTATGATCGTAGAAGTCAAACCGATAGTTTGGATCTTGCGAACATGCTTCCTGAAGCCGTTCCAGGTGTTGCGCATATATGCCTGCCTGGTTTGCTGGTCGTGATTCCGCGTCACTGGCCGCATTATGTTCCCATCTCTTTGACATCTCCCATAGGTCTCGGACAATCCGGCCAAACTCAGGTCGAAGCGGACTTTGGTGACGCTCGAATAAAAGAGCCTTGGCAGCGACAAACGCGCAGAAAGCAAACTGGACGTTGACGAACGGGATAGGAGTGTAGATCAGGAACTTGCTGACAATATTCGAGGTCTCAATCGCAGCAAGCTCACACGTTTGAGCGCTGCACTCCTTTGGCAAAGCCACGTAGTCATTCCAGCTCCTTGCAGGAAACGCAATAGGGTGATGGAGCAGAATCATAGAAGTGTTGTGGGTGATGTGTGCGAGAGTCAGGTTCGGGTCCATATTAATCACGGTCCTGTCCTCGGAGATGTTTGAATCCTTCCAACGGGCCGGCAAGAACAACTTCCACTGTACCAATCTCAAGTCAAGTTCCTTGAACCGAGTGAGCCAACTGACCGCATGTTCTTTGTCCTGAGCATTGATCCTCTGCTGCAGGAAGAATGTCGTCACTTGACTGAGCGACTCTGTAGCTTCCACACAATATGCAAAGGCACCTAGTTTCGATGCATCGATGTAACCATTGGCAGAGTTTGGGCTGGCTCCTTGAGGTTGCTCTGCAACGGGGTCTTCTTCACTGTACGGAGCAGGTACATTCGCCAGGGACCGACCGATTCGTGCGGCCGCTTTGTTCCATATTCCAAAGTAGGGCGTAACGACGGGCTCTTCACGAGTAAAGTACCCACCATCCGCGGGTAGACGTCGATGCACATCGTCGGAGGTCAAGCTTGTGTCCCAGCCTGTCGTCACGGAACAGAAACGGTCGAGCATGAATATAATCCAGAACAATCGTCTACGCTCCTCAAGCTCAGTCCAGTCGTTAGACGGTTGGGCCAGCCGCACAGGTCGCATGAGTAAGCTAGATTGCGATGCAGCGGATGGCTCGGTAGAGAGCTGAAGGTAACCGATGGTCCTTGTCAGGCTGCCGATCAGTGGCCACGCGCGGTGGTTCTTGCCGTCATTGAGCTGTGGTGTGTGAGCGACTGACTTGAAGGTCGTGAAAAGTACCCACGTAGTCAAAAACGATGAAGATTAGCGCCTGCAGACTTTCGACAGACACCGACCGAATCGCGTGCGTTTCAACGATGATTCGAGAAAAACTTGATTGTCGCTGGATCTCATCCTCGTCCATGAATAGGACATTTGGGTCCATGTGGCGCAACGCCACAGCAACCAGGGCGTGCAGAACAAGTAGCAATCCATTACTGCAGATACCTTCGCTGACCCTACTCTGAAGCCTTTTCTTATGTAGATACGGGATCCAGTGATGGAAGGACGTTGTGAAGAAGTCAACGACTTTCAGAAGCACAGCTTGAGAAGGCAGGTGCTGTGCAAGGTCGAGCTCCTCAGTAGCAAACAGCCAGCGCTCGGCTTCGGGCTCAACATATTTGCGCTTCAGAGGGTTCGACGCTGTATCACCCTCATGTGTTGATACACTGTTTGGCGGTAGTTCCTTGGGTGGAGGCGCCGTCACATCATTATCGCTCTGGGCTGGATCTTCTACATTGGCACGTGACTCGTAGCGAGGGATGTCAACATCGGCCTGATGTTCTGGCTCTCCATTGTACTGCGGTCGGATGTTTCCAGACTCATCTAGCAAGATTTTTTCCAGGAAAGCTATTGATGTTAGAGATGTTGTGACATTCAGAAACGCACTGCCGCGTACCCACGCGACGCGTCAAAGCCTCCACTGCTCCGGGCTTCAACCCTGGCTTCTGCTTTGGATTATACACGCACTCAGTTGCTGAGGTCGAGGTCAGCATCGCACGACCGGCACAAGACGATACGCGCTTACATAACCTTAGACAGTGCGAGCAGACTGGAGTGTCCCTTGAGCACCGCAGCTTTCGCTTCTTGCACGACGCGCAAGCCGGCTGATCTTCGCCGACAACCGATGGGCCGTCGTCGTCGCCGTTGTGGCTTCCATTGCCCACGGAGAAATTGGTCCAGCCCGCCGACATCTGTACGACATCCTCAATCGTTAGTGAGAAAGGGATTGTGGAGAGGATGGGCGCGGCGGGCGTCGGATTAAATCAGATTGACCCTCCACCCCGCTTGTGGAGCTAGCCTCGTGTCCGGCTGATCACCCCACCTGGAGAGCCACCCGACCCCAGTTTTCAAACCGCCCACCTGCAGGCCAATCTTGATGGTGTACGACGGTTGGAGACCGGGCGGATGTATTGCCAGGACAGGTCGAGGCTAGATGTGGCGCGATGAGATCCGATAGTACGCCGACATGAACGCGCCAGGTACGCCGATGCCAAACGTCGTAAATTGTCCACCAAGAACGCTCAGCAGCAGCACCAAGGTCTTCCAGGCTGTGTTTACGACCCCGCAGTGAGATGCCACCCCTCGCTGGTTTCTCCGATAATGCTTTCAGCACGTATGCCGACTTTAAAGTAGGTGCCATATCACTGCTCCGTGCGCTAAAGCCTTACCAATCTGCCGGTGGTGCACGCATCAGACTGCCATTGGCAACTGGTACTCATTTCGATGATGTCGCGGCGCAGCTTGAAGGGTTTGCGCGCGCGTTGTGGGCCGTTGGCACGCTTTTACACTCCAATTCTACCACAGAGGACGAGCACAATGAGCTGATCCGCCCATACATCGATGGACTGGCAAATGGCACCAATCCTGTGCACCATGAGTATTGGGGCCCTGTGGTGCTTCGGGATCAGCGTATGGTTGAGATGGAGATCATTTCCTATGCCTTGCTCGTAGCACCGGATGCCATGTTCCACTCACAGACTACTGAAGCAAAACACAACATCACAGAATGGCTCAAGACGATCAATGGCAAGGATTTCCCAACGACCAACTGGCTTTGGTTCCGCGTCATGACGAATCTCGCGTTGATCAAAGTCTGTGGAATCCCTAGTGATGAGGTTGTCAACGCGATGAAAGAAGACTTGGATCTGATGGAACGGTTTTATCTTGGTCAAGGTTGGGCGGCAGATGGCATGTGGAGCGAAGATGGCGGCCGCCAGGCTGACTACTACTCTGGAAGCTTTGCTATACAGTTCTCGCAGCTCATATATGCAAAAATGGCGCAAGACTTCGATCCTGAGCGGTGTGACAGATTCCGAAGTCGCGCGAAAGAGTTTGCTGCGACGTTCTGGAGATACTTCGATGCCAATGGTAAGATCTTGGGTACATTCATAAAGTTTCTAAGCTAACTCCGATAGGCGCTGCCATCCCGTTTGGTCGGAGCTTGACTTATAGATTTGCGTTCGCTGGCTTTTGGTCAGCTGCAGCATTTGCTGAGGTTGACCTCCCTGCGCCTGTAAACGACTGGGGAGTAGTCAAAGGCATTTTGCTCCGTCATTTTCGTTGGTGGAGCAACAAGCCCGATATCTTCAACATTGATGGTTGTTTGAATATCGGCTTTGCATATCAGAACTATTACATGTGCGAAGACTACAACTCGCCGCAATCTGTTTACTGGGCTCTGAAGTCGTTCCTTGCTCTTGGTCTACCAGATGACCACCCCTTCTGGACTGCAGAGGAGAAGCCTCTCCCCAACGACTCTGCATTGGCTACTGCTGTGGATCCACCAATGCATGTCGTGTGCAATACAGGCAATCACCATTACCTCTTGTCATCTGGCCAGTTCTGCCCCTGGCCTCTCAAAGCTACAGAAGCCAAGTACGGGAAATCTGCATATTCTTCGCATTTCGGATTCAGCGTGCCCACTGGACCTCTGCTTCAACAAATGGCGCCAGACAGCACGATAGCAATAAGCAAAGATGGTGGCGATACATGGCGCGTACCTTGGAAAGTCCGCACAAACGAACAATGTGTCAAAGCATCATTGAAAAGTGGAGACGAGATCGTGGAGAAGATACCGATCTTTCAGAGTCTCTGGAAACCGTGGAGAGACGCCGATGTCAACGTTAGAACAATCTTGGTTGCACCTTGCTCGAGATGGCCGGACTGGTATGTGCGGCTCACTAGCATCGCCAACCTAGGTGCAATCGCCGTCACCATCAATGTATCTGAAGGTGGCTTCTCAATTCAAGGGCGAGGTTCCGAGAAAGGAGAAGTTCTACCAGTCTTGGAAGGGAATGCGGATATCAAAGCCAGCAAGGATACTTCATTTCCACAAGCCACTTTGGAGTCTCAAACCGGTGCGTTGATATGTTCGGACGCCGGAGCGAGTGGCATCAAGGCCATTACTTTGCGCAGAGATGGTGGAGATGAACTCACTCCTGGAGATTTAGTCTCTTCTGGTCAAGTTCTCAAGCCGGATGCGAATACGAATCTCGTGTGGCAAAGGACCCTGATCCCGACAATCAGGTCTGAGACCCGCATGATCAAGCAAGGGGATAGCGTACAATTCGTTTCCGCGGTCTTTTCGCTTGCGAGAACGTCTGACAGGGTTGCGCGGTACGACGCACTGGACCTTTCCAAGCTGTGGAATGACATTCCAGTTGTCCGTACTACCAGTAAAGAAGGGAAGACGGATGAAACTTATATCGACATACAAATGAGCCAGTAAACAAGTCAAAATTGTCGCTCATGCCAAAAAATATTATTCTATTCAACTGAAATCGAGCGCCGTGCTGATCAGTCCAAAGTTCTATCCATGATGACGACACAGAAAGCTTCATGTTCTTAAACACAAAAATCATCAATCGGTACTGAATGCTGTCTAAAGAAGCCCCGCTCGCAACAGCTTGTTCCCAAACTCCAACAGGTAGTAATCTGCGTAGACCAACCCGTGATCCTTGTACTTCTGATGGGCATCTGGATTCCAGTTTGTTGTGCTATTCCTCAGAATCGCATCAAACCCACTCTCCTTGACCTTGATCTCCGCCGCCCCAGCACCATTGGTCAAAGCCTTTCCTGGTGTCTCGAAAGATGCATGATCATGGTCATACGACATCTCAAGCGTCTGGCTGACAATCTGCAGTGCAATATCGAGGAAGTCTGTGGATGCGTCGACCAACTGTGATGCTTCTGAAGCTGGTAATGATTGGAGAGACTGGTGAATGCTAAGGAGGCCGTTTGCGGTCGCCATAGCAGCGGAGACGTCGCGTAGTGGCTCATTTGGATCGTCAATTGGCGCGTCAAAATCCCACAACGGTACAAGCGGGTGGTGCCATTTGCCCTCGCCTTCCTTACAGCGTCGCAGAAAATACTCTGCGCATTTGATCGCTGTTGAAAGGTACTTCGTATCCTTAGTCCAAGTATAGACTTGTGCAAAACCCATGATGGCCCATGCTTGCCCACGGCTCCATGTTGAGTCGTCCTTGTGGCCTTGGTTGGTCATTTTCGCTTGTGGAAGACCAGTAGCTGGGTCGAAATTGACGAGATGGTAGGAGGAAAAGTCCGGGCGCAGAATTTCGTGGATGATGGAGTCGGCGTGCTGGGTTGCAATATCTATGAGCTTCTGATCGTGTTGATTATGACCGACATAGTAAAGCAGATCAAGGTCTGCAGGCGTCAGTGCAAGCAATCAAAGTATTTGTCGAGAACTTACTGCACATGCTATCTATGATGACGAGGAAGTTCTTGTTCATGTCGGTGATAGAGTAGCGATCATTGATGGCGACATCCCAGCTTCTGATAGCTTTGACCTTCTCGTCGTACCGCGAAGCAAGAGCATACGCGGCGTTGATAACGGACTGTAAACTCTCTTTATTTCCTGTCAGTTCCCAGTCTTTTTGCAATGCAGGTTGAACGATGAAGCCCATATCATGTGTGTCGGTCCGTGAGCTCATTTGGTTGATTGCAACATTCCAGTGTCGGCCAACTTTCAGCAATTGATCCTGGAATTGAGATCGAATGTGCTCAGGGACGTCCAAGGCTTGTGGGTAGCGTACAGCCCGCTCAATTATTGTGTAAATGCAACCTGGGAAGAAGCCGCATGTCCAGAAGTCTGCTTCGCGCTCTTCATACCGTCCTGCATTGGAGCCAACTTGGGGCACAGTGTGCGGGTAGGTAGGGAGTGGTGCCTAAGGATTGTTGGTTCATGAGTGATCACAAGTCCACTGGGATCGAAGTACTGACCTCTTGCTTGAAACCTCGTTGCGCAACTTGGAACACTTTCGCAGCTACGTTCTCCGAATATATCTTGCTCAAGTCGATACCTCGGATGCTATCGGTAGAACCTTTATCAGCTGCTCACGTCCATTGTACGGTGGTATTGCTCACCTCGACGTTGGCACTTTTGTCTCGATAGTACCAACCATCTTGGTGCCCGAGAAGAAATTATTCAGATTTCGTATTCCGTAGATATAGCGGGTCTCCAATTCTTGGAGAATCAATTTTCGCTTGGCTGACGCTGCTGCAGATGCTGCAACTGCTGGACTATCGACCGATGAGAAGTTGTCGAAGTCGTGTAACACGAACAGCCAAGATACTTCCTCGCTATTCGTACGTTGTAAATCGATTAACCTATCGATAACGGAGTAACCGATGGCGTTGTGAGAGGTGGGTGCTCGGGATCGGTATTACCCCGAGGTCCGTCGCTCAAAGCAGACTTCTTCCGTCAGCCGGCTCGGCAGAATGCAGGAGGAGCCCCGGCCACGGACTTTTCTTCAGGATTGAACCAATCTACGACATCAAACGATTTGGCCTCTAACTCTGATTTGCGGCAATGCACGCCACGCCGGCACCATACGCTAGACCCTCCCGTACAGGAAGTTGCTTGTGTCTCCCAAGGCTTTCGTTAGTGAGCTACGTCATGTGCACCAGCATTTTTCCAGGAAGGCTTCCCATTTCCGGACATTTGTTAGATTGCGATATACACGTGCTAGACTCGGCCTTCTCACGTCTGCTTGACTGTAATGTGTTCCCCATAATTTCTCCAGAGTGTAGCTTAGGTCCGGGGAAACTGGCAGGAAGCTAACATTAGTGCCCGCATTCTGTACGAATGGCGCATAGCAGAGCTGTGATATGTATATAATAGTGCCGAAGTCTGGGGTCGGAAGATGATCAAGAGAAAAATCGTTGAGTGCACGTTGATTAGTGCAATCATGCGGTTTACCGACTTCACCCCAGTGCTTCTGCTGAGCACCCTCGCGTCTGCTCTTCCAGAGGTCAAGCGTGCTGCTACACTTCCCCTCTCAACCAAGGGTCGCGACATCATCGATGCCAATGGCGAAATCTTCCACTTTGTTTCCACGAACTGGCCAGGCCACCAGGAGGTCATGGTGCCTGAGGGTCTCCAGCATTCCTCCATCAAAGACATTGTTTCCTGGTTCCCAAAATTTGGCCTGAACTCTGTCCGCCTGACGTTTGCGATTGAGATGATCGACGACTACTACAGCAACAGTACGAACCAGACACTGGAGAAGAGCTTCATCAATTCACTTGGTGTAGTAAATGGTACCATTGTACTCAACCAGATCCTAGAGAAGAACCCAGAGTTCACCAAAGATACCACACGGTTTGAGGTTTGGGACGCCGTTGCTAAGGAGCTTTCAAATCAAGGCGTTATCATTCACTTGGACAACCATGTCAGCAAGGCATTCTGGTGTTGTGCAGATAATGACGGTAATGGCTGGTTCGGTGAGAAGTTCTTCGATGTTGAGAAGTGGAAGCGCGGTCTAGCTTTCATGGCAGGACATGTGAGTCTGATCGCAAATTTCTCATGAAAATGAATACTGACACCTTCAGGCAAAGAAGAACTGGCCTACGTATTCCTCCATGGGTCTTCGCAACGAACTTCGCAGCGCCACTGTTGCTGAGCCGGTCGATTGGTACACCTGGTACGTCCGAATGACGGAAGCAGCCAACGCTGTATACGAGGCAGATCCAGATGGCCTCATTTTCTTCTCTGGTCTCTCATACGACACCTACATTGATCCCATACCGCTTGGCAAGACGCTCAGCGGCACGGCTGGCAAACCATCGGCCAACAAGACTGCCGTTTTCAGGCCCGAAGACTTTGCTTTCAAGGACAAGATCGTGCTAGAGATCCACAAGTATGATTTCGAAGCCACTCAAGACAACTGCGAAACTTTCAAGAGCAAGTGGTACAAGAAGGGCTTTCAAAGTGTCAACCCTGATGACCCTGCCACCAAGTATCTTTTCCCCATGGTCATCTCCGAATGGGGTTTCATTCACAATGGAACATACTGGAACCAGACTACTTATGCGAAGTGCCTGATCGAAATGGTTGAACAGTACCAAGTAAGCTGGATGCACTGGGATATATCAGGTTCTTTTTACCTGCAGACTCGCCCAGGCAGGAAGCCACAAGAGTCTATCCAGGGATTGGAAGAGTTTTGGGGGCTGTTGAACTATAACTGGACAGCCATCCGCTCTCCAATTACCCTTGAGAACAGCCTGTACAAAATGATTGGGGCTTTGAAGTGAAGCAATACGCCTACGTAGAATTGAAATGAATTCGTTCCTCACACTCTCGATGATTAGAATGACAGTCAACACGTTGCAAAATAAGACTTGGCCTGTATTGTAGAACAACAAAACAGACATTTAATGATTTACTCCGCATCTCTGGTGAGGATCCCTGTCCTGCGGAAATGAATACTAAGTAGTAAGGTTAGGATGACAACTCCAAAAAATTCCCTATGGCTTGACACTGCCTCATTGATGAAATTTTTGACTGGAATCAGGAGCCCCCTGATGTACTCTAACGCTTGGAAACATCCTACATCAGTGATGATGGAAGACTTCAAACTTTTTGGCACATCGTCTCTCCCAGGAGGCCTGGTCTATGACGTCATCGACCTAATTTTCCGTCACACTCGGTCGCGAATCTCTCACGGATGGCAATTTCCAAGACGATTAGGATTACAACAAATCGTCCCAAGCCAAACCAAGGCGTACGCACCGCTCATTTGCATGGTTAAACCTTCAACGGTCAGACCTCGGTACAACGTTCGCCGACACCGCCTCGCGTAGGCGCATGGCATGTTCTTCACCCTTGCTTGAGGCGTCTGGTGATCGTCCCACGAATATCGCCTTCGGTTTTGCAGATGCTCCAGGAGTTCACAACCGGGCGTGCATCGGGCGAATTCCCTCTTGGGCGCTGCTCGTGGAGAAATACCCCGGTCTTGGTATCCCCCGCAATGCGCCAGACCCGTTATAGAAATAGACCGCTGCCCGTGACACGAACAACGGCGTCGCTTGCCAACCTTCACGTCAAGCGACGCACCATGTACATATTACGGTGCTGGGGATGATCAGAAGTCGTCACAATCCAGGTTGACGGGTATTTCTTCAATAACGGCCGGCTACCACCCCTTACCAGGCACTCGCAATGGCGGCAACAACAACACCCCGAGACGAGACCGCAGGCGTGGAGGGCAGGACTGGCGAGTTCAGCACCAACGTCATTGCTCCCACCGATGCTCCCAAACGGTCGCCATGGAAAGCCTGGATGTACCTGTGGGAATGGTATCCAAAGCACTATCCCGAGGAGGAGAGGAAGCTGTTGAGGAAAATGGACGCCTGTCTATTGACCTTCTGCTCATTCATGTGTAAGCCACACCTGCACTACATGCAGGCAACCAGATACTGATATCGGCAGTCTTCCTCAAATGGCTTGATTCGTCAAACATCAATAATGCATATGTCTCTGGCATGAAGGAGGAGCTGAACCTCTATGGAAACCAGTATTCGCTCTTTGGTACATTCTACAACTGTGGATACCTAGTCTTTCAGATTCCTTCTCTACTGCTGCTTTCCCGTCCAAAGATTGCAAAGTACTATCTTCCCTTGATGGAGGTCCTGTGGTCGATCGTCACCTTCACCCAGTCGCAGATGCGAAACGAACGTGACATCTACGGCACTCGATTCCTGCTTGGTCTTCTTGAGACACCAGTAGCTTCGGGTACTACATACGTACTTGGATCGTGGTACAAGCCTGAGGAGGTCTTCAAACGTACTGGTGTGTGGTATGTTTCGAACAACATCGCCGTCATGTTCGGTGGATACCTGCAAGCGGCTGCGTACAAGAACCTTAATGGTGTTGGCGGAATGGCAGGCTGGCGATGGCTCTTCATCATTGATGGTAAGTCATCAAATATCTGATAGTGATTCGCATGCTGACAACACTAGGTGTTATCTCCCTCCCGATCGCTCTTGCTGGCTTCCTCATCTTCCCCGGCCTCCCTAGCAGCTCGAAGCCATGGTGGCTCACCCCTGCCGAACACACCCTAGCGAGGACCCGCGTAGCAGAGGCCGGTATCGCCCCAAGTTCAAAGCTGAGTTGGTCTATCATCAAGCGCACTCTTCGACGATGGGAGTTCTATATGGGTCTTCTGACCTACACATTCTTCCTGTCCTCCTCATACCCCCACGGCCAGATGGCACTCTGGCTCAAGGACCAAGCCGCGAAGTTCCCCGGCAGCTACACTGTCCCGCAGATCAACACCATCCCGACCGGCGCTCAGGGTGTCTCCGTTGTCGCTGCGCTTCTCGCAACGTCGCTTTGCATGATCTACCCTCTGTGGTCCATCTTCTCCATCGTCCAGACTATCTACATCATCGCCAACATCCTGCTCCTCGTCTGGGTCATCCCCAAGGGTCTCCACTGTAAGCCACACGTCTCTCCCAACTATCGAACACACAAACTAACAACTGCAGTCGCATGCTACTACCTCCTCGGCGTATCCGCAGCCATAACCCCCATCCTGATGCCCTTCATAAACATGGCTCTACGCGACGACGCCGAAGCCCGCGCCATCACTGTTGGCGGCATGCTGACCGCCGGTTGGGCTGTGTTCTCATTCTACCCGATCACGGTGTTCCCTGTAGTCGAAGCACCACGCTGGACGAAGGGGTACTCGGTCAACATATGCTTTATCGTCGGCTGCTGGGTGTGCTTCGTCACCATGCAGTATTTGTACAAGAGGAGCGAGAAAGCCAAGCAGCAGCAATTCTTGGGGGCGGCGAGAGATGAGGAGGACAGCTTGAGTGATAAGAAGATGGATGATATTAAGGAGCATGTAGAGGAGCGAAGGTAGATGAGTGGACAGTGTTGGCTGTGAGAGTGGGGAAAAGTAAGATGTTATACCCAAATGATGATTATTCAATACTTTGACTTCAACGCTGCGTTCATTTGATCAAATTCCGTTTGTGGATGTTGTGCGACGTCGGCCAGTGGCCGCTTTTGTGCATGTGTCACATGCTTCCATGGCTCGTGCTTACTTCAACGGAGCCACTTGGAGAATCCTCCACATTGTAGTAACTTGGCAGGATAATGAAAACATTCATGACATTGACATTTGGTTTCTCCGCGTGTTAGGGATTTCACCATATTAGCACTAAACACATTTTCTCGGGCCACAACATGTTCTTCACACAATGCAAGTATTACAGATCTCCGAATTAGACTAGAAGGATCATACGGTGCATTGGTATCGATGAATCAATTTTGTTGGCTGACCCGCTAAGCTCAGGTTCCAAACATCCACAGCTCCGCGTGTCACATGATCAGCACACCCAGCTACACCAGCTCATCAGACCTTCTTCTCCGGCACCTCATGCAGCTCTATGACCGGGTCATTCACGGCCTTATTCGCCGCTGAAACAATCGCATCGCGCTCATCCTTCTCAGACTCGAACACTGTTCACGTTAGCACTGTACTCGTAACCACTGACACACCGCAGGAATCAAATAGGAATATAAAGATCAGGGGAGACTCACAGAAATGCAGCTCCTCGAGCGTCTTGCCGTATGTCTCAGGGAAGAAGATGTAGATGAACACGATCTCGAATAACAGCCATACGACGTAGACAAGCAGGTATTTCCAGTCGATGTTCTCGAGGCCGATTGGGTTGACGAAGGAGCCTGTGGTGTGAGCGGGATTGGATAGAAGGGAGGGGGGAGTGTCGTACCGAACATCACAGCTGTGCGGCCGAATAGCTGGAACCAGGAGAGTCCCTTGGTGCGCACGTAGTACGGGAAGATTTCGACCATGTAGACGTAGGTCAGGGCATTGTAGCCGATGCAGTATGCTGAGGGAAGTTAGCGAGGTGCTTGTGTTTTGTGCGTTGATAGGCTGGGTCTGAGTGTGGTTGAAGAGGAGAAGTGGAAGGGAAACATACCGGGGCTGTAGAGGAAGATGAATACCAGCACCGCATAACCCGACTCTTTCGATCCCGTGATACGGTTCCGTGCCTGCGCGATCGTCCACGCGGTGTAAACGGCCAGGAGACAAGTGGCACACAGCAAGTACATCTTGCGCCGCGGGTAACGTGGTGTGATACTTGCCATGACCAGAGCGACGAGGAAGCCCCAGCTTTCCTTACCAACGTTGTAGCGGACTTGTTCATAACTGCTCGTGATGCCGATTTTCTCCGCAATTGGCACGAAGTACTGGCTGATGAGATTGTTGCCGGAGAACTGCACGAACAAGCCCAATGCTGCGGCGACGAGCGATCGGTGGCGCATGCCTTTCGTCTGAAACAATTCGCCCCAGCCGCGGGCACGCGATTCATTCTCGATCTTCAGTGCGGCCTGGATCTCTGCAAGTTCGACGTGGGGTAGCTCTGCTGCCGCGTCGCCTTCTGCATGGTATTTGATCAGGATGTTTAGCGCCTCTTCGTGTCTATCCTTGGAGACAAGCCTGCTTTGGTTAGCTTCATCGGGGTCCTCGAGTCGCACAGACATACCAACGTGGAGATTCAGGCACGGCGAATGAGAAGACGATTTGGATAAGGGAGGGAATTGCTTGAAGTATTGAAGGTAGCCGCCAGCTCCAATCGTTATCGATCAGACGTGTTTGCACAACAATACCGGCGCCGAGAATAGCGCCCACGCCGAAAAAGGCGTTGAACATACTGCCCAGGAAGGCACGTTCCTTCGGGTGACCTAGTTCGCCCAGAAGTGCGGCGCCTGCGATGATCGCATACACGATCCCGTGGCCCAGGAAGATGCGTGAAAAGACGAACATGGCCACTGGAGTGAATCAGTCGGATAACAGGCACAGTGATGAAAACACAAACAGTTTTTGGATAGGCCTTGCATGATCTGATGTTCATTAGCAGTTGCTCCGTCAAAGACGACTTATTGTCAACTTACAGCCCCAATACACATGATCACCGAGCCGAATACAATCGACTTCCTGCGCCCGAAGTGATCTGAAACCAAAGAGATAAATGGGATCGAGGTAATGGCCCCAAGGTTGTAGCACGCCACCAGCAAACCCAGCTGTCCGCCTTTCGGATAGTTGAAAAATACCTTCCAGTGCGTCAGGGCTTGCATGCCGTTCATCATGGATGAGTCAAATCCAGACGTCGATTCGATGAACAAGCAGAACGGCACAAGCAAGAGATAGAGACTCCGCAAATTAGGTTTGTTCCACCATCGTACGTGGTCCTGAGCTACGAGATTTTGGATGATGCTCTCATCGATTGGGGCGACTGGCGGCGCCATGGTGGAGTTTTGAGAACAGGCAGGGGAGAGAAAGCTAGGGTGGGGTCCGTGGTGGGCTCAGAGCTACTCTCTAGACTCTATCCCGAGCTTGGTTGATCTGGTCTTATATTCCTGACATGCTCATGCCGGTGACTCGTCGGTCGTTACATCGGCAAAGCAGATGCCGACAAATGCTACGATACCGTCGCCCAGCCTGGGCATTGAGGGGTTGGTGATCATACGGCCAGGGGTTGTTCTGATGGTGTCCCCCAGATGGCCACACTATCAATGGACCTTGGCGTTGAAAGCTTAACTCAATGTCGGGCAGGCCTGCAGCGCAAAAGTCATTGGTTTCCCATCTCGAAAAACGAAAAGATAGAAAGTTGAGGTCATGGCTTCGGTCGCAGTCCTTGTTGTACCACAATGAATGTCGTGGTACAGTGCCCATCTTCCCCGCCGCCCGAAGTTCACAGGGTAAACCAATTTAGCCGCGGACCGCGCCCAATGTGGAAGAGGATCCACGAGTGGACGCTTACCCCAGATCACGAACAGCAGGTGGCCCAATTTAGCTGTTAGCTCTTGCGGGGAAGTTGACAGTCAGCCTTGTTCCTCGACCAGGTTTGCGGGGAGGGTCTATTTATCCGCGATCAGACCACAGATAGTCGGCCGAACCAATACAAATGCAAGATGAAAGACCGAGCGGTCTTTGCAAGCGGTATATGACTGCCAGATTGCTGATATATGTGTCCGGCGGGTTCTCAGTCGGCCTTTGCTACAAGGTGTGCGCTGGCTTTCGGTACGCTTCCCACAGCGCGTCTGGCGTCCTCCGCTGCTCTACCGCGTGTAAGCCTAGCAGAAAGCCGACGATTCGAGCGATAAAAAGAACGATGAACGATACGATGATCTCAGCACCATCAGTTAGCCTGGGCAATACCCCTTGATCATATCCATACGAAAGGTTCCTGAGATCGAAGAAGACCGGCCAATTGTCCAACTCCCAGAAAACTATGAAGAGCTGGAGGTCGATCCAAAACTCTCCTAGAATATCTTTAGCGAGCCGCTCGCGCTTGGAGGACGCCTCACCCGGCGCCGTGATAATGGCATTCAGGTTCCAGAAGAACAACGGCTTCTTGATATCGCTCGGATCCGTCCACTCTTCCACAACTACCTCCTCGGTCCAGTCCTCGGGCGAGTTCCTGTGCTGCTGGACACCTCGCCCGAAAGCTCTTGTAGATTTGCGGTAGTGCTCGAGTCGACCCCAGTTATGGCGAACGAACCGAGGGACCTCAACCACGAGCCCTTCCTGCACTAATTGACCGTTAACCTTGTCGATTTCGCCGCCCGCAAGTGCGCTGATCAGCTTTGTTGTGCCGTTGAGTTTGACGAAGATGGCGCCTTTGACGAGGCGGAGGTACTCGGTGTGGCTAGCATGGAAGTGAAGGCCGGATGTCCACGCTGAATGGCGAGGAAGGGCAATGGTTGTTTTCAGCGGTGACGGATCGTTGGATGGCATGTTAGGAATGTGGTATGCAACTGCGTTGGGACCGGGACGCAGAAGAGGGCTTGTACCAATTGGTAGAGGGTTCAGAGCCCGAGGCTCGGGTTCAATCCTTTTTGTTCGTGCCATAGCGGTAGATGCAGACGAGTCGCGGCCAGAGGAAGAAAGAGAACTATGTATCGCGTGTGCTGAAAGGTCTCACGCGTTAGACTGACGACACAACAGCTCTCACGATTAGTGATGTTGGGCGCCTTGTTTGGCTGAGCAATCCGCGGAAGACGGCCGCGTGCCAGCTGACATCGTCAAACGTACCCGGGTCTTACAGTAGTCCAGGGTCGAGAACAACAGATTTTACTTAGTTCCAAAACGTCAGATAAATAGGTACCCGTCTGCGGTATGTCACGTAGCGCGTTCTGTTCGCGTTCGCGCCTAGCCGTTCGCGCCTAACCGCATTGAGCATGACGTCACAGGTATGCAACGTCCTGGCCATATAAGGGCAAACTATTAAACAACAGCTCAACACTATTCGGCTACCCACGTTGCTGTTGAACCCGGCAAGCACGTTGTTACGTTTTAATCTAGCATGACGCAGAGCAGTCGGTTCTAATGAAGAGCATAATCTGCGCAACTCGCACGAGACACTCTAAGCAACCGACAAGTATTATCCTGAACCCGGAGGTATTCTCGATAATCTTACTCACTAGGTTGTGTACAATTCAGCGGAAGGATTTAGTAGTACTTCTGCAGCTGATTGGCAGCGATAAGCATGGTTTGGATCCTACAAAACTTCCAAATGGCGGTGCCTGCTAACTTCGATCTCAGCTGCCATGACTTAGGCTCTCGATACCCGGGCAGCAGAAACTCTTTCACACGTCCTCGATAAATGCACTGGGCCCACATGAGGGTTTGCAGCACTGATTTGGAGTATCACTAAGCGGGAGTCATGAATGCGGAAGTACACCACGTAGGAGAGCCGATACCAGATCAAAAATGTTTTGCGCAATACGCCTAGGGAAAGTAACGTCTTTGCTTCTGATCTGATGCTGCTCACTGTTTATCAATGATGTAGAATCGAACAACCCCAGCCAGCATTTGAGTCGCTGATATCATGGTCAATGATATGCTGGGAGTGTCTCCAGGTCTTGTCTTATTTGTCTATTTGAGAGCTTGATGTGTTGCACTTCTTGTTCACTAAATGCAAGAGAAAAGCAAGAAATCTGCTATAGCAACAGTCCCGTATCGGAACGTTATATTTCACGAACGTTACTAGGGATAGCAACATGATTTGAGATGATCGGCACATCGGATGGGTTCAAGTCTGTAGTATTATGCTGGGTAATGCAGGCAAGTACATGCCTCTACACGACTTCGGGACTGATGGAGGCACGACGTCGTGATAAGATTATCGATTTGTTGTTGTACGTCAGCACCATTTGCAGGCATCAGCGCTCCTCTTTTTGTGCTGAGTACTGAGTATACCGCGGACGTGGCTAATTGATTGGATCTCAATATTCAATCGAGTGTCAAAAAGCTGTCTATTGATTAGAACAAAACAAACCAGCCACTTGACGGGATGCAGCAGGGATGGATAAGATCCTACAAAAGTGCCAAATGATTGGGACGTGCCTAGAGTATGGAGTGCAGGGCAGGAGAGGGAGTTGCGACCAGGGTCCTAACACCTTACCCGATCAGGAGCTAGCTCAAAACACCTGTCCTCACGACGGGACATGCCGACCCTTCTCGGAGGTCTGTATCAACACCACGTCGTCCACAGACTCTCCGGAGTGCACACCGCCCACCATGGATCGGATAATGCGCCTTCTCACATTGCTGATCGCCGTCATTGCGCCGCTCACAGCCGCCCTGAAATTCGACCTGCACCCCGTGTCGCCGCACGACGCCGCCAAGTACGAGCGATGCGTCCGCAACTTTGTCGCGAAGGAGCAGCTCGTAGTCGTCACAGCTATTTTGGATGGATACAGGGGTGACGGCCAGAAGGTTGACATGCACGTAAGCGCACACATCCCTGCACGAAGCAGGCACACAATTGTTCGCAGCAAGTCCTGATGAACGACAGATCCGTGATGCCATGGGCAACGACTACCACAGGCCGAAGGATGTCGTCGGCGAGAACCGCTACGCCTTCACTTCGCACGCCGACTCCGCCTTTGATGTGTGCTTCGAGAACATCTACTCGGGCGCACAAACCAACACCAACCCCCGCCACGTTGAGCTGGACATTGACATCGGCGCCGACGCCAAGGACTGGAGCGCCATCCAGGCTGACGAGAAGCTGAAGCCCGTCGAGGCCGAGCTGAGGAGGATCGAGGAGGTTGTCGGCGAGATTGTCGTTGAGATGGACTACCTGCGGGCTCGTGAGCAGAAGCTGAGAGACACCAACGAGAGCACCAACGAGCGCGTCAAGTGGTTCGCATTCGGCACAATGGGCATGCTGGTCGGTCTGGGCGCGTGGCAGGTCGTCTACCTGAGGGCGTACTTCAGGAGCAAGCACCTCATCTAGACGCACAGCGCTATGGCGAGAAGACGAAAACGGGGAAGCATGGAAGCTCCGCTGGCATGTGCACAGCGAAGCTGCGAAAGGCTTGATACGACGGGAGAGCATTGTACGAACAGCCTGAGTTTAGCGGTTGGTATTGTGGCGGCCATGAGGTTTGGCTTACAGGCTTGAAGGACGGCGTTGCCGGGGCATATCCAGATGAACTTATTTCAAAAGTCAGATCCTCATTCCAAGCCCAACGTCCATGAAATCACTCAACCCCAGCATGTTAGACCTTGCTGATAGCCTCCAGAACAGCTGACACTTGCGCAGATCCAGACCTTCAATCCTGCTTCCCCAGAACGTGCATTTCAAGCTCTCCAGCGACTGTTGCCAATCTCTCCAACTCATCAACTCCCAGCACGCGAGTCTCGGCGATGTACACATCCACGAACTGCGCGGGGACCAGCTCGAGTTGACTTGCAGTATCCTTGGCCGATTCTTCCACTCTCTTCACTGATATGATGTTGTCGACTGCACCCAAAACGACGACCCTAGCACGGGGAGACAGCGTGTTGGCGCACACAGCAGTACCCAATGCACCCTTTTCACTTTGCACATTTCCTGCTGAGTCAATACACCTTGCGTCCAAGAGAAGGATGTCGACCTCTTGGCTTACCGTGCCGATTGCGCTGCTGGGGTGGGTGGCGATGTGCAGCCGGTCCTGCAACATTGGCGGCAAGTCAGGACTCAACAGCAAAACCCGGTGATTGTCAGCCGATGAGACAACAGAGAGCGTGATCGTAAGATGTGGATCTGAGGCGAGCGCGAGGGTCAGACCAGAGACGACCACAGGAGAGAGCTCGAGCGCGAGCACCCGTAGTCTCGAAGAGTCCTGCACCTCCAATCCACCTACATCCGCCGCAGAACCAGGATCCACGGAGCCAGTGGCAGCAAACACCAAGCGATCTCCCTCTCTTACACCACACCGACCGACCCACCACGCAAACATCGCTGCCACTCCCTCGCCCACCGCCCTCCTCTCCGCTGCGACCTCATCAACCACCTCCCTCACCGCCTGCGCAACATCGACCATTCCTAATTCGGAGCTCTTCACCTCGTTCCACTGCGCCACAATCCGCACCAATCCCTTCAACAACACACTCCGCACCCCGACGTCCCGCGCAACACTAATCAGCAGCGTAGCCGTGTGTACGAGCAGCGCCCAGAACTCAGGCCAGGAGTGTGCAATGCTCGCAGCGAGATCGGACAGACGAGAGAAGTGGACGAGAGCAATGGTGGGCGCGTCTTGGAGTGATGCAGATGCGGAAGAATGGTATGGGGATGTGGGTGTTTGACAGGGAGAGGAGATTGTTGTCGAAGGGGAGGCGCTGAGTGCATCGATGCCGCTCTGCAGCACTTTGTCGAAGGTCTCGAGGTATTGCTGTGGCGGGAGAGGGACGGGCGGTGGGAGTTCTGGCAGGCTTGTGTGTGCGGTGCGTTGCTGGCGGACGACCTCGGTGCTGCGCTCACGACGGTCGGCAGGCGCAGGTGCAGGAGGGCTCGCGCTTCCATGTCTGGTCTCAGTCGTCCTCGTACCTACACTCCGCCTTGCACCAAGCCTCCCAACGCGAGCAAAGAACCGGCGCGAGCGCGACGCCGTTGCCGCCACAGGGAGCTGCGACGCCGCGCTCGCGGGGCGTTGAAGGTGCTCGCGTGGGCGCAGCGAGAGCCGGCGTAGCGAAAGTGTGCGCAAGGAGACTGTCGATGCTGCGAAGGGGTTCATGGCGGACGAGAAGCGGCGGCCGGGGGTACTTGGAGGTGGTGAGGCGCGCGGTTGCTGAGGGTGAGGGGGCGGGCGCAGGTAGGCGTTGGTTGTGGCTGTGGCTGCGGCTGCGGGCGAGATGGGGGTTGAGGGCGAGGTGACGGGAGCAGGGGGGCTGAGGGTAACGCGGGGGAGAGGTGGTGGCGCCATCTTGATGGGCAGGTGTGGGTGTGGGTGTGATGGTGTGGTGGTTGGAGGCAAACGGTTCAGGGCGTTTGACGGGAAGAGGAAGAGGAACCGGGGAAGCGGACAGCAGGGTATTGCCGTATCGAGGTGGTGAAGTGAACGCACGAGACGGTGACGTGTTCGTCATGCCGTTTGACAGGCTGCGAGGGACCTCGAATGGAGATTGTCCATACCGTTTGACTCTTGTTCGTCTTCAGCTCGTTTGCGGAATGATGGCACATCTCAGGCTGCTCATCTCACAGGTACCCCGACTCGCCATCCTGTAGCATCCCTTTCCTTGGACTCGTGCACGGGATACGACTAAGAAGTCCGCTGTTTTATATCACTTTCTCAACAGCGAGACTATATGGAGTGGGCTGTGCCGGCGAACACAATAGTTCAACACTGGCAATACGCAGACTTGCAGTACTTTAGGATGGTTACTCGGATATCTCTGACGTAGATAGCAGGCTTTTGGACTTGATATAACGAGCACTGCGGCTTCTGTCCATCGCAACCGGACTTCTAACACTACCGCGGCGAGACTCGTAGGTAATAGAAGGAGTTACTTTCCGCATTTCTTTCTCTCTACAGGGAAGAGCAGGAGAAAATTTACATCAAATTGTTACGTATATGATATGAATGATTAATATGGCTCTTCGGGCGGGCTCGTTCATTCTGAGGTTCCATGCCTAATATGTGGTTTGTATTATCTGAATCCCACAGGCAAAGGTAAAGAATGTGAATTTCGAGGCACAATTTGGTAACTGTACATATTTCATTACTGAGATCACTGAGGGAGATGTGAATGACTCGGCTTCCGATCAAGAGGAAGATGTTGAAAAATTTCGAGGATGATTGCGACGAAGTGTGAACTTATTTCAACCTTTGACGGACGGACTGGAGTACTTAACATGATGTGTCGTGAAAACATGAACTTGGAGATGGGGGTTGCCTACACATCGGGCTTGGTTACTGATGTGACATACACTTTATGTTGCAAAACATGCACATTCTCCCTTTCACTCCGAAAGAACAAACGGAAGTAGCGACAATGACAGGTTTCAGTACCATATCTTCCATAAACCCATCTCGCTGTCTCGAGCCTTACCTTCTCCCACCTTCCTCAAACTGCCCAACTTCAGCTTCAACTTCAACTTCAACACTCTTCCACAATGCCGTCTCTGTCCGAAGTGCGTCGATCTCCTCCACTCCTCACACTAGAAGATACTAAATCTCTACCCAGCTCCCCACATACCTCCAAGATATCAACCGCGAGATCAAGGAGAAAGAGACCGCCGTCGAAGCCTTGCGCGACCTAGATCGAACAACCTATATGACCTACGTCCTAGCAAGGACCAAGCTCACAGCCAGAAAGCACGATATGCAGGCTGAGGGTGCCAGGACGTGGTTCAACCTGTGGGTCAAGTGCGTGGACGAGTTGCAGGCACTGGCGGTAAGTGGCGTCCACAGTTGCAAAGCTTTGATGGACGCACGCTGATTCTGGATAGCTGCAACTCGCGCGTGAGGAGAGCGAACTGGTGGGTCTCAAGCAGAAGAGAGCGGATCATGTGGCGCGTGATATGGTCGCGTTTGAGATAGAGTTGTTGCGCCGCTGAAAGGTGATGGGGACAGTGACATTGGTGCGTTGTAACACAATGAGGCTGAGAAATTTGTTTACACCCAGGACTAGATTCAACGGCGCGATATGGATATTCGTATGTGTTAGCTACATTGCACACATTGACTATCCTTACACCTGGTTATCGGGCGCGAACATCCTGCCCTCAAGCCGAACTGAACTAGAGCAAACACTGCACCTCACCAAATATACTCATTTGCGGTTGTTTCATTTTCGACCTGAATCCTCTTTTGTACTGTTACATGCGGTTCTGCTTGCTTTTCGTTGCCGCTATTGCGCCTTCTTCTGAAGTGAACATGAAGGTAAGTGTCTCAGTAACGCTACTGGTACCTTCCAAGGCGCAAGGGAGACCCGCAGACTAAAGCAATCTCCTCTGACATGACGAACAAAACAGCACATTCGCTCACATCATTGCAGTGCAGGTGCCTCATGAGTCGGTTGGCAGGTGCCTAATACTGGCGTGTTTATTACTTCCGTGGCATTCATGAGCTCGCCAATCGTCTCGAGTATAGACTTTGATAGCCTCTAAATCTTAGACGACGAATAATGCGATAAATTGCCATAAGAAAGTAATGAGACGGAGGAAGACGGAAGTTTCAAGCACTGAACGACGTACAGTGTGCGTTTACTTGTGGTGCGCTCCTCAACCACCCGTGTCTTTTTTGTTCAGCATGAACTTCGGTAACATCGTCGTCGGTCCATAGAGTCAGCGAGAGTTCAAGGTCTACAAGTGTCTCACAGAGATGGAAGGATTGCAAGTTTAACTCTCCGGATCGTGACTATCTCTCGATCACAATTCTATTGTTCATCTCAGGTTATCTATCTAGAACTATGAATTGATATTGTTCCAATACAGCGCTGGAAATAATGGCCCGACGTTGTTGGTGTTGTTGACGTGTACCTGCTGCAGGTTTTGCATGTGAAGGTGAAAGTGAGTCGTAGTGGAGGGCGCTAGAAGCTTATGAGTAACTTAGCCCGACACTACAGTCTGCTAACAACAAACAAATCCTTTCCACTTTCCTATCTCCTTCAGCTTCCTACGATTTTGCGCGTACAAAACAAATTTACCGAAACCATGGACGAAATTGCAAAGGCTGCAGAAGGCAAGGCATATTCAGCGATCTTGTCGTATCGCACTTCTGATCTTCGATAGCTGTCAAGCTCGCCCGAGAAGTTGCGGTGGACGAAAGCCGCCTCGACCTTCTCGACCAGGCAGTCGAGGAGGAGAAGACGTACCTTACTATGCACCTCAAGCGCTCCAGCCAGCTCAAAGAAGCTATGAAGTACAACAAGATCCACCCGACGGACGTCATCGAAGCCATGGAGAAAGTCGAGGTCAATGAAACTGAAAGCCGGCAGCGACAATGCAGCTAATACACCCAGATGGCAACTCACAGGACGGCTCTACGTCTATCTGCCTTCTCTGTCGAGCGATCCCGCCTAGTGCGTGTTGTCATGAGCAAGAATGCCGCCATTCGCAAGCTCCGAATCGAAGCAGGTTTTTACCAAGAAGAGGACCCCGACATGCCATACGAGCCGAACCATCTGCAGAAGACCTGGGGCAAGATTCATGTCTGCATGGGCAAGAAATGTGTTTTGGAGAAGCATGTCGAGAAGGAGGTAGATCAAGAGGTTGCCTTTGTCTTGAATCCTGGCAGTAAGGCAGAGGTTGATGAAGAGAAGCTCAAATCGTACAGAGCAAGAGTGGACCGGTTACTTTTCACAACATCAAGGCGCGGATGGTGACGCTGGAGCTCGTTACAACACAGGCACGCATTTTGGTTCTCATACCAGGCAGAGGGATTGTGTTGAGGTTCATGGACAGCCATTTGTGCTAGCAAAACCCAACGGTATATTCTAGGAGAGCTGCGTGCAGGCAGTTCAGAGCTTTACCTGCAACGCGATAACAAAATTGAAGCCGATTGTTTCATTCTCTGTTCGCTTTGCATGATGATTGTACAATACTGAAGCATTCTGAACTCGCCAGCCTCTTGACGCTACCTATGTATGTTTGCGCCAGTTCGCAAATTGCCAGATTTCTGTCGACTCGCATTGACACGCGGAATAGATTGGTCGTGTTGAGCTTAGGCACAGGCTGCAGTCATATAGACATCTCTCTCATACATTTAGGTAGCAGAGCCATAATTGTGATGATCAATAGAAATGTGGGTGCCGCAGAGTCACTTTCACTTCTCACATTCATTAGCAAACTCTGATCGCCACAGGGCTAAACAGAAGCTTCCGGATTCTCTACTCATTGTTTCTTCACGACCTTTGCAGTTCCGCCACCTCACTCAACCACACGATGTCGGAATACAAGGCAAGACCGTGCAGGACAATGCAATATCATTACTAACCAAACGCAGAGCACTTTGGGTGACTCTGTTCAGTATCTCGACCATGAGATCGAAGCGATTCGAGAGCATTTAGCCACGCTCAATCGCAAGTACGACCTTCACCTCCGTCGTTACGTAGAGTATTCAGAAAAGCTCTGCGCCGCCAAGAGTCTTCTCGATGGTAATCGGCAGTTCCCGATCGCAGATTCGGAGGTGACGGAAATGTGCTGCAAATTGTTCTTGGAGGCTATACACTCTACAGCGGCGAGTTGCCATGAGTCCGTATCAAGATGGCACATGCTGATATGCTGCAGGAGGACATCAAGACGTACGAGAACAAGCTTGCAGATTGGCGTGTGAAGCGGCTGGACACCCTGAAGTCGATGGCTGCATACGATTATAGGATCGAGGCTTTCAAGGAGAAAAGCTAGGATCTTGCAGAGGAACGCTAGGAGGGCTTGATGACTGTTCGATTTCGTCGCCTCATCCTGACAAAGGAATCTTGGTGCTGCGCAAAGCACACAATGCATACAGTTTTGTGTACTCGTTCCACGGTCGAGATGGCTAGCACGCTGTGAATGAAAAAGAAAAGATACACACCATTTAGCTCACCGTCACACTGTTTATTCACCTATAACCTCTTCTCGAACAGAATCAGCACACGCTCTTAGCTCTTGATCTCGAAGCACACAAGATTATTGATTTGAGCAGCAGAATTCCAGACTCAACCTCGAACACTTTCTCTCCGCCAACCTTACACATCTCCTATCCCACTTCGCAAAGCAGCCTCATATGGAGTCGCAAAACCACAACCGAAACCCCAATCAGCGCTAACTACCGCCCAATACCATCTCAGCACGTCCCCGCTTGCTGTGAGCAAACACGCTACCAAACAATCCAGACCGTGCCGTCCACTGCCCGATCCGGCCCGTTCCCTAACGCCGGTTCTGTAGACACCACGCTACATTCGCTCGCTCCCAGACACCCACACGCACGCCATCCCTTCCCATCTTCCAATCTAGCGTCCGCCCAGATGCCCACGCGCGCTCACCCGCGGCTCATCCAAACCCCGGGACCACGCGCTGGACCAGAAAGACTCTTGATGTTTGACCACAGAACGCAGACGCTGGAGTCATCCAACTAGTCCCGGAGCCGCCAGACCGTCCCTCCAGATACCTGTCTCCTGTGATACGCCGGTTCACCCAAAACAGCCAGCTACGAAGCTGTACGAAGCAGTCCAGCGCCATGACACTATACCAAGTGCAGCACGCGCCCGATGCCCAAGCAGACACTGCGCTATGCCGAACGCATCAAACTGCGCCATACCAGGTGCAGCCCCAACCCAACCCGAATCTAGTCCCAGTCCCAAGCCTCGAGCCATAGCACAAGCCGAACCTGAACCCGAAATTGAGCCCGCACAGCCGCTGACGGCTTCGCTACCGTGTCCCAGTGCGGGACCCTGACGCCGGCGCAGTACTACACCCCTCCCCCTCCACCCCGACCATCGAACGACGTGCGGCTGACCTAATTGCGGCGGACGGGTATGTGGGTGTGTGGGACGACCCTAGACCCTAAACTCTAAACCCTACACGCTAGGCCCTAGGGTGTGAGCTTGGGAAGACGTCGGTCGGTGCGAATGTCGTTCGTGTTCTCCCTCGCGCTCTCGTTTTGCTTTGTTTACGCGTTTGACTCGGCTGGTTGGGTTTGGGGATGTGTGGGTGATGTTCGTGGGCTCGGTTTTGCGGTCCTGGGCGGCGGGGGAGGGGGGTGGAGGGGAGGTGAGGTGAAGTAGGGAGGTGCGTGACCCCCCCCCTCTCTCTCTCCTCCTCCTCCTCCGTTGTCGACTGTAGGGTGAGTATCGGCTGTAAGAGTAGCGTTGCATGATAGGATAGCACAGGACTCACGGCGCAGCACGAAGAAGAACAGTCATTGTGAAAAAAAAAGGTATCGTTCATTTTCCCAATCCATCCACATCCAGCCTTTTTGACCTTCCAGGCGCCATGAAAACGTTAATGAGACAGTATGCTACACTCCAGAACCCCAACACATGCTCTTGGACGCGTCGTCTATTTGTTCTCGGGACGCAGCGACCTGACGGCCTTGCCGGCGCGCCAGATCTCCAGGTCGTCGATCTCCTTGAGCTCGGCGGCGTACTTCTCGCGGTAGTCCTTCTGCAGGTTGTACTCGAGCGAGCGCTTGGTCTCGGTGCCGTCGGCGACGGAGGTGTACAGGTCGTTGAAGACGGGCTTGAGCGCGTCCTTGAAGCGCTTCTGCCAGTCGAGCGCGCCGCGGCGCGCGGTGGTCGAGCACGCGTTGTACATGTAGTCCATGCCGTGGGCGCCGATCAGCGGGTACAGCGACTGCGTGGCCTCCTCGACGGTCTCGTTGAAGGCCTCGGACGGCGAGTGGCCGCGCTCGCGGAGCACTTCGTACTGCGCGAGGAACATGCCGTGGATGCCGCCCATCAGGCAGCCGCGCTCGCCGTACAGGTCGGAGTAGACCTCCTTCTCGAAGGTGGTCTTGTAGAGGTAGCCGGAGCCGACGGCGACGCCGAGCGCGACGGCCTTCTCCTCGGCCTTGCCGGTGACGTCCTGGTAGACGGCGACGGAGGAGTTGATGCCGCGGCCCTCACGGAAGAGAGTGCGGACTGTGCGGCCGGAGCCCTTGGGGGCAACGAGGATGACGTCAATGTCGGTGGGGACCTCGACCTTGGTGAGGTCCTTGAAGACGGGGGAGAAGCCGTGGGAGAAGTAGAGGGTCTGCGGGGTCAGTCTACGTCGATGGAGTGGGAGACGGTAAGGCTTACCTTGCCCTTGAGCTGGGGCTTGATGTGGGGCCAGGTCTCGGACTGGGCGGCGTCGGAGAGCAGGTTCATGACGATGGTGGACTTGCCAATGGCCTCGTCAATGTCGAACAGGTTCTTGCCGGGAACCCAGCCATCCTGCTCAGCATCCTTCCACGAGGCGCCGCCCTTTCGGACACCGACGATGACGTTGAGGCCGTTGTCGCGGAGGTTGAGACCCTGGCCGTGGCCCTGCGAGCCGTAGCCGATGAGAGCGAGGGTGTCGTTCTTGAAGTACTCCTACGTGGGGTCAGCCCGGTCCATTGAGACAGCAATTGATGCTTGGAGCTCGCAATTGATGCATTGGGTGGGTACTTACAAGAAGCTTCTCCTTGGGCCAGTCGGCGCGCTCTATCATTTCCGTCAGCTCTCTCCATCAAATTTGATAATAGTTGCTTACCGTAGACAGTCTCCTTGGTGCCGGCGAAGTCAATCGTCTTGATACCACGGGTCTGCTGGAACTGAGCCGAGACAGCGGCCTTGGGGGCAGCGCGAGACGCCGCGTTGATGGCAGACACAAAGGTGCGCCTCTGGGCAGGGGCAGCAGCCAATTGCCTTGCGGCGTTGCGGAGAGCGCGGGGAGCTTGTCTTGATGCCATTGTGAATGTGTGTGAGGGTATCTTGATGAGAGCAGTACGGGGGAGCGACTCCTCTTTATGCCACCTCTGAACTCTGTGTGGAGTCGATTTTCTGTCCAAGCTCCAGCCGAACTCGGGGCTGGAGCATTTTCGGAGACGCACATGGCTCCCCGAGGCCAATCAGCGCCCCGTTATTGCGGGAAAAGCGGGGCGCACCTCACAGTCACACAGGCGCGCTGCCTGCGAACGAAGTGTGCGAAGGGCGGAATCGCTCGCAGCAGCCCATGCACGCCGCAAGCGGTCCACAGCTCGCCTGCACAGTACGCTGCCATCAATTGTACATTCTTCGCCCCCACGCAGCGCTTCACGATAAAACTTCAATGTCTCAACACCACCGTACTTCGTGGTAGTTCGTCGGCGCGCACCGCGATCGACAGCCCAAATTTTCCCCGGCTGCGTCATTGCGTGCACGGGCGTGACGATATTATGGAGGTGTACCAAGGTTATCGACGGCTGGGAGCTGCACTGTGAGGTATTGCGCGTGAAGTATTACGCGCGCGAAGGCATAGGAAGCTTCTAGTAGCTATAGATGCTCTTACAATACTCTTGCAATGCTCTCTGTTGCTCGCGCAAGCCATTGTTGTGTTCTATGTTGTGTTCAGCTGCGATGAACTTCCAAATTGTAGTTATGTTCACAGGTCCACAACGTAAATGCTACGTGGATATGTGTGTGTGTGTGTGTTCAAGAGTCCATTGCAAAACAGCCTGTATGTAAACGCCGCGCTCGCAGGTACGCCGTTGTTATGCGCGCTCGAACGTGCAGATGTCGTGTCCTCGGGCCTCTCACCCTCTATCACCACCTGTCACCATCCACCACTGCCCTCCGTTACGCTCTCTGCCTCACCACCCACTCATGCTCGCCCATCCGCCCTCCTTCTACGTGCGCAACCCAAGCGTATGTATGCCCAGCCTGTAACCGCACCGCGACTCCTCTCAACATACCCCCATCCTACTTCATCACGCGATCAAACACCTGCCCCCTCACCACTCCGCCCCCAAGACTACTCCTGACATTCCTCTTAAACCCCTCCCTGTTAATCTTCAAATCCTCCGCGGCCTCCTTATTCAACGGATCACTCGCATTGGGCTCCAGAAACAGGAACTGCAGTCCCACGACCACCGCATTCAGGTTCAGCACCGGCTTCCAGTCCTCGCGCAGAATGTTCAGGCACACGTTGCCCTCGAGGTCGATGTTCGGGTGGTAGATCTTCTGCGTGCACTTCACTTTCGGCGGGTCGTGCGGGAAGTTCTGGTTGATCGCGAAGCTGAACACGAAGCGTCCGCCTTTGTACATGCCCTCGTCGGGGTCGATGGAGAGCGTGAAGTTGAGGATGTCGTCGGGGTTCGGGAAGTGGGTTTTCATCGTTGTGCCGAGGGAGAGCTCCTCGAGATCTGGGGGTGGGTGATTAGCGGTGTGTAGGTAGGGGAGGGGAGGGCAGGGGGTACCTTTCTGGGCGCGCAGCTGGGCGGGCGTGACCTTCTTCTTCTTGCTCGTTGCGGCGGCTGCGGCATCATCTTCGGCCTGCTTCTTCTTCTGCGTGGTTGTCAGCGGGCGGCTCAGGGCTGTCGTGCTGCAGGGCCTATGACGTACCATGGACCATATTTTCATCATCTTGGCGGTATTGTGTAGGGAGACGTCGGGGGGTGGGAGAGGTGCGAGGGGTCGCGCGTGCGAGGCGTGTGACTGCGAAAGTCGCGTTGGGCGCAGTGAGTCGGCTGGTGGGGCGCACGGCGGGTAGCAAGCGGCGTGGTGAAGCTCGGTTGGGCGGGGCTCAGCGACGGGAGCACTTGAAGCTGAAGGAGAGCTTGCAGAAGTAGACGTAGGCAAGAAGATGGAGGAACAGGAAGGCAAGAGCAACTTGGACCCGCCACCTGCGGTAGAATGGCCGATGAAGGCGTGCCACCATGCTCGGGTGTGGGGGGCGATTGGCTGCCGGGGTTCTGCCGATTGTTGCCTGTGTTAGGCCTCAGATCACGACTAGGACAGACTCCGTGTGGAGAAGCAACGAAGCCAAGAAGACGAACGGTGCATTTTCTAGAATACCAAATACACCTAATATATAGTACTGACTTCAGGCAGCAACCTTGACCACCCTTGTCCACATTTCTATTACTGTGTCCACACGCATCTGGATATCGACAATAAAATTCATATTCCTCATTTCTAAGAAGAAGAGTCCTCCAAAACCTAACAGCGTCTTCACCATGGCCGTCCCGACGCGAGACACACTCCATTTCTCCCCATCTTCAAGCAACCAAATCGACCCCTACCTCCCCAATACCAAACCCACACCACACGGCAAACCCTATGTTACCCTGACCTTCGCTACATCCCTCGACAGCCAGCTCTCCCTCGCCCCAGGCGTGCAGACCGCTCTCTCGGGCCCCGAATCAAAAGCCATGACCCACTACCTGCGCTCCAAGCACGACGCCATCCTGATCGGCGTCGGCACCGCCGAAGCAGACAATCCGTCTCTGAACTGCCGGATAGCTGGCGTGGGCGGGTACGGCGGAGAGGGGTTGGACGGGCAGCCCAGGCCAGTTGTTATTGATCCGAGGGGGCGGTGGCGGTTTACTGCGGAGAGCAAGGTATTGAGGCTTGCGCGGGAGGGGAAGGGCAGGGCGCCGTGGGTGTTCACGAGGGCGCCGCTTGACGAGGAGAGGACAGCGTTGCTGGAGAGTGTTGGAGGGCGGGTTGTAGTGGCTGATGGGCAGGATGGGGCTGAGTGGCGGATTTCGTGGAAGTATGTACTGGATGTGCTTGGCAGTTGGGATATAGGCAGTGTGATGATTGAGGGCGGTGGGGCGGTTATCAACGACCTCTTGGCGCCTGAGAATATTGATCTCGTTGATGCGGTCATTGTCACGATCGCGCCGACGTGGTTGGGCAAGGGAGGCGTGCAGGTGTGTCCAGACGCACGAGTGGATGGGGGCACAAGACTGCCTGTAGCGAGGTTGACGAACGTAAAGTGGATACCGCTGGGAGATGATGTGGTTTTGTGCGGTAGCCCATCATGATACAAGGTAACGTTGTACCTAGTAGCGAAACGGCGGAGGTCTTGTGGAAGTCTTCACTTCTCGCTTGGGCATGCGTGTCCAAGGCAGCTCCTCTGAAGTCTCACCATCAAGTAACTTGATGACACTCTCTTCCAGTCCCTCCGTGAGCTTCTGAGCGTCTACGTCACTCCATCCTCTTTGCTTCCTCTTCCGGCTCAACAGCTCTCCTGTCCCAAGCGAATCCTCCTGCCAGGGAGCGTACCCAAGCTTTTCTTCGCCTTTCAAGGTGCTTTCTATGTCGGCACTTGACATGACCGGGTCCATACCCTGTACTTGGATGCGATCTTGCGGCCATGAAATTGCGGGTGCATGTAGCTCTAGAAACCGTCTCGATTTGAATGCATGTGTAATGACGCGGATGTTTTTTGGATAACGTCCGATAGTCTGCCGGAATAACAGGATGCTGAACAGTAGGTTCTGAAGAGAGTCTGTGGCATGCTCTTCGAGGAGTATGCGCCCTTGGCTGTATAGCTGGTGGGCACGTCCGCCGCCGATATGCCCTTGAGCAAGCTCATCAGCCAGCGCTGCATGGTAATAAGAGCGTGCTTCACTCAATGGCGTAAGGCTTTGTTTCGTAGCGCCGCCGCTGAAGATCAAGATCGTGCTGTCTTGGTTCCACGCTACATCCTCTTTCCAAGTTGCGTTACTACCAGTTGTCATAGTGTCGAGGCTTGCTTTGATGTGCGCAAGAAATGTCTCATGCTCACCAGGCTTCCCTGTGGCTGCGTCTGACTTCTGAAATGGTGCGAGGTGCCAGTTGCCCTCATCATGGGGGTTGTGTGTAGGGAAATTAGGCGCCTCGACATCGGGATAGAAGATAGCATGACAGCAAACGATTACGAGCTGTTCGATATTCTGGTTGTATTTTGGACCGCATGAGCTTAGCTGATCTGGATGTTCGAAATCCGGATTTTCATATATTGGTGTCTTATTGTGATGTGCGGCCGCACTCTCGTCTGAAGGCTTAGCGGAGGACGCAGAGCCGTTCTTAGTATGTGCTTTCGACTTTGGCAGGGCTGTCAGATTTGCGGCTGAAGCCATAGCACCGGATTTGAGACGGATGACGGGAACGCGAAAGCTTGAATTGGCACTTCAGCTATGCTGGGCGGTGTGGTGAGACTGACGAGCGTGCCTAAAACGTGGTCAGCGGAAGCTAAGCTGTTGAGACACTCAATTCTCAACGGCATCAACGGCATACAGAATATGTCACTCGGAAGTTAGTTGAACCTTAGAGATTAATTGTGAGATGCTCGTAGGTTTGCGCGTGGCTTCCAAGGTCAAGAGCCATTTGTTGAGGCTGATGACGCAGCGACAGTTCAAGCTTCGTCCCCGCCATCAGCGCAGGCGGTGCAACACACAAGACAGCCATTACAACGACGGTTCGCCTACAATGGAAATCCACTTCGATTACAATGCTCGCAGTAAGCTCGCTGACTTGGCCAATGAAGAGCCAAGTGGAGTGAGACGGCCATGTGGCAAGCCTTGCACATCAATGTAATTTCAGATCCGCCAATATTGTTGATCGGCCGTGCTGCGCTGTAGTCCCAAATCATGAATTGTGTAAGGTCTGAATCAGCAGCGTCCAGGAATCATCGTAGGGCAACTCCTAACTTTAACCTGCCAGACGGCGGTCGCGGCAAGGCGGGTGGCCCAACGGTGAGATCAGGGTCGGCGGGACCCACTTCATCGAAAAGGAGAGCTTAATTTCTAGGCGGTCCCTGCAACGGCCTCATGAAAGCATGGACGAGCGCGTGAGATTGGATGCCAGCACAGCAGCGCAGCGGGGCTCAATAGCAGCTAGAGCCTAGGGCTGAGGCTCTCGAGGCTGGCTGGCACGATGCAAAGGTACCTAGGTACAGTAAGACGCGCCCGCAGGCACGACTTGATAGGAAAGAGCAACCGTCTACAGTTGGGGGGATGTGCACGGGGATGCTTGTGTCGGCGTGTTTGCTGACGTTGACAGGGCGACGTCTAGCTTGATGGAGCATTGGGACGCGCAACGGCCAATCCAACAAAGCCGCTCGTCGGTGCATGCAACAAACTGCACAAAGCACCGCGGCGCCGCAGCAACTCGCCGCCAGCGGCGGTGAGCCTGTCGAGAGGCGAATGCAGGAACGCTCTTCGGGCATAGACCCAGCGCCATCGGGCACAGCGAGGAGAGTCGGCTGTCTTGCTGTGCAGTGAGGCTGAGTGGCCAGTCAGCAGCACTCGCGACGGCGTTGGGGTGTGCAGGCGCGTTCCTAAATTTAGAGGCCGCAATGGCGCCCGAGCGCACCTGCCATCGTGGTCGTATGTGCGACTACCGTACAACGAGTGCGAGCAGGTTCCGGCTGCCCTTCTCGCGGGCAGAGACAATCGCAACTCCTTCTAGCAGGTGTCTGCAGGCCTCGGCGTCACTGCAGCGTGCATTCTGATGAAGGACTGGCCACCCGCATTGTAAAACAAGGTCGTTCGCCATTCCTCGTCTCGTTTCACACCCCGGGCGCTGACTAGCGTGTACGCTAGGCCACATTTGCACGAGGCGCTGTCGCTCACATCGAGCTGAGGAGAATTGAAAGCTGTGCCAGACATTCCTGCCCTTTATCACCCCAGCTGTGCGCTGTTTCCCTCGTTTCCCATTTGCACCCATCAGCACATCAGCACCAACTCGCAGTCCCCTGGACCTTTGCGACCCTTGCCATCTGTTGTGCCAGCCCCTCGACCGCTGCACGTCATGGCGTACAACCAGCAGAACTATGGGGAAGCCCATAACAACGAAGTGCGTGGCTGCCTGCATCGCAGGAAGGAGCGACGCGGTTGCTGACATCGACCAGTACACTCCTGGCAGGCACGACGAGGAGGAGGTCGGCCGCTCTCTCCTGCACGAGAACGCGGCAGGCACCCAGCAAGACCCCTTCTACGGCCACCCGGAGAACCGCCCACACTCGACCTACAGTCTGACGGAGACATACGTCACTGACCGCCCGACCCAGTATCCGTCTGAGGCTCACGGCGGCTCTGATGTCTACTCGGCGACTGGCGGCTACGAGCCCGCGGCCGAGTTTGGCGCTCCTCACCGCGTCGCTTCCCCATACGAGCGCAGCGAGACCAGCTCGACTGAGGCCTGGCGACAGCGCCAGCAGCCCGGCGGCGGCGCTGCTGGTGGCCTCAAGCGTGGTATGACACGTAAGGTCAAGCTGGTGCAAGGCTCCGTCCTGTCGGCCGACTACCCTGTGCCCTCAGCCATCCAGAACGCCATTCAGGCGAAGTACCGCAACGACCTCGAGAGCGGCAGCGAGGAGTTCACACACATGCGCTGTAGGTGATGGAATTCGCGTGTTTCGGGATGCAACGCTGACAGCTGCCAGACACGGCCGCGACATGTGACCCCAACGACTTCACCCTGAAGAACGGCTACAATCTGCGTCCGGCCATGTACAACCGCCACACGGAGCTGCTGATTGCCGTGACATATTACAACGAAGACAAGGTCCTCACCGCCCGCACTATGCACGGTGTCATGCAGAACATTCGCGACATCGTCAACCTGAAGAAGTCCGAGTTCTGGAACAAGGGTGGCCCAGCCTGGCAGAAGATCGTTGTCTGCTTGGTTTTCGACGGTATCGACCCCTGCGACAAGGGCACGCTCGATCTCCTCGCCACCATCGGTATCTACCAGGACGGTGTCATGAAGAAGGACATTGACGGCAACGAGACCGTTGCCCACATCGTAAGCCGCCCGCAAATGGCGAAATTGAGACTTTTCTGACAGCCCCTAGTTCGAGTACACCACGCAGCTGTCCGTTACACCCAACCAGCAGCTCATCCGCCCCCACGACGACAGCGCCAGCACGCTTCCCCCCGTCCAGATGATGTTCTGCCTGAAGCAGAAGAACACCAAGAAGATCAACTCCCACAGATGGCTGTTCACCGCCATTGGCCGCATTCTGAACCCCGAAGTCTGCATTCTGCTCGATGCCGGTACTAAGCCTGGTCCCAAGTCGCTGCTCGCTCTTTGGGAGGCCTTCTACAACGACAAGGATCTCGGTGGTGCTTGTGGTGAAATCCACGCCATGTTGGGTGCGTACAATAGTGATTGCAGTTTGAATCTCGCTAATCTCTCGTGCAGGTAAGGGCTGGAAGAACCTGCTCAACCCGCTCGTCGCGTCCCAGAACTTCGAGTACAAGATCAGTAACATTCTCGACAAGCCTCTAGAGTCGTCTTTTGGATACGTCTCTGTGTTACCTGGTGCTTTCTCTGCGTACCGTTACCGCGCCATTATGGGACGCCCGCTCGAGCAATACTTCCACGGTGATCATACCCTGGCTAAGATTCTTGGAAAGAAGGGTATTGAGGGCATGAACATTTTCAAGAAGAACATGTTCTTGGCCGAAGATCGTATTCTCTGTTTCGAGCTGGTCGCCAAGGCCGGGTCCAAGTGGCATCTTACCTACGTCAAGGCCTCCAAGGGTGAGACCGATGTGCCCGAGGGTGTTGCTGAATTCATCGGCCAGCGTCGTCGTTGGTTGAACGGTTCCTTCGCTGCTGGTATCTACTCGCTTCTCCACTTCGGCCGCATGTACAGTTCTGGCCACAACCTCGTCCGCATGTTCTTCCTCCACATCCAGATGCTCTACACCACCGCCAACACGATTCTCGCTTGGTTCTCTATGGCTTCCTTCTACCTGACTACCGTTGTCATCATGTCTCTTGTCGGTACAAAGACAGAAGAACGAGACGCCTGGCCTTTTGGGAACACAGTGACCCCGATCTTCAACGTCATTGTTACCTACCTTTACCTGGCTTGTCTCGGTCTCCAGTTCATTCTGGCGTTCGGTAATCGTCCCAAGGGTTCAGTCGTGTCCTACCTCATCTCGTTTTCGGTTTTCGGCCTGATCCAGTTCTACATCATCATCCTGTCCATCTACCTCGTCGTACAGGCTTTCACGAATCCGACATCGCAGAAGCTCGACACTTCGTCTCCCGAGAATTTTGCCAAATCTTTCTTCTCGTCGAGTGGTGTTGGTATCATCATCATCGCGCTTGCGGCTACGTTCGGTCTCTACTACGTTGCGTCGTTCTTGTACATGGACCCCTGGCACATGTTCACATCGTTCCCTCAGTACCTCCTGATCATGTCGTCTTACGTCAACATCCTCAACGTCTACGCCTTTTCCAACTGGCACGATGTTTCTTGGGGTACCAAGGGATCCGACAAGGCCGAAGCTCTTCCCTCAGCGAAGACCGAAAAGGCTGCAGATGGAAAAACTACGGTTATCGAAGAACCGGACTTGCCACAGGCCGACATTGACTCTCAGTTCGAAGCTACCGTCAAGCGTGCTTTGGCTCCCTACGTTCCTCCTGTTGAGGGCAACGAGAAGACTCTTGAAGATTCGTACAAGGCTTTCCGTACCCATCTGTGTACACTCTGGATTGGTTCCAACGTGCTGCTCGCTGTCGTTGTTACCCAGGATAACTTCGACCGCTTCGGTTTCTCTGTAAGTTTACCTTCCCACCTTGTTGTATGCTGCAGCATAGCTAACGTCATCTAGTCATCCGCTACCACTCGAACGGCCCACTTCTTCCAGGCCCTTCTGTGGGCGACCGCTGGTCTGGCTCTGGTCCGTTTCTTCGGATGTGTGTGGTTCCTCGGACGCACAGGTCTCTTCTTCTGCTTCAGGAAGCGCTAAAATCCGAACGACTCGGCCTCCAAACGACCAACTTACGACCATACTGCGCCACATCACCCGCCACGGCCGCAACTGCTTATTGGAGCTGTCTGTTCGATTCCCCTAATCCGTTTTCAATCCTGCGTTTCGGCGTTTCCGGCTGTCTTACGACTCCAGCGGACTGCTGCGCGGTCGTGGACTTTGATCATACCATCTTGATACACTAAAACCATCTGCCACACCATGTTGGATGGATCACGAGAACTCATTGTATTACCCATGTTACAGCACTGCGCGCTCGGGCTACTCACTTGGGCGGATGAACGGACTTTTACATTGCACTGTATTTTGAGATATTTAGAATGAATACCACACTTTCAAATCAAGACTGCATACGTCCACATGCAATGTTACAAGCTTTTCCTAACCACTCATCAAACACACACATCCCTTACTTTCAACCCCTGTCTCACTTGCACCCAGACATGTGCAACAATGGGCGCCCATCCCTTCCAGCGTCCATGACGTCGTTCAAGCCCCCGCCTTATTTCCCTCCGTCCGCTCGCGTGCGTTGATTGGTACGACGCTGCAGACCCCTATGTTTCAGGTTTAGGTGCTTGCCGTGGTGCTTGCCGTGGAGCTTGCCGTGGAATGCGGAGGGTGCCATCTCGAGGGTTTGATTGGTGGCTGGGTTTAGTCTTAAATTCTTTGGTGTGGTGGCTCGACCAGGGGCTGTGGCGCAGCAGGGTAGCCGGATCCGCTCAACACTAGACTACGCAGGAGTCTCGTGGACAATGCAGTCACGTAGCTTCATAGGAAGCTACAGTACAGTACGTTTCTCAGCTACAATGGTACTGGAAAACCGCGCTGTTGTCCGAAGTAATGGCATGAGCTAATTCAACCCTGCTTCTCCAGAATCCAATTCCAATAATGTCCTACTCCAACACCCACCCCGTCCACAACCTCCGTGCAAACTATCTTGCCCACGGCCGTAGAGCCTTCCGTTCCCTCTCCCGCTCCTGCCTCACCATCAGATCCCGCTCTTGCGCTATTCCTTCCGTCGTGACCCACCGCTCGCGGAACAAGTAGGCCAACGTGTCTTGCTTGAAGCGCAGCTGCGTCTGTGTCACTGTCAACACCACGCCTACCTTTCACTCTCTTCCAAGGTTACTTTGCGCTGGCCTGCAGCACTGCCGTCCATCCGACATTTGTACGCGGCACTTGTCAGCTACACACCTTTGTTTCCTCCAGCCCGCTCCAATGCAACTTCAGATCCCACTGCAGATTCTCACCGTTCTCGATGCGCATTCGGTCGGCTTCGAAAGTGACCCATTGCGCGGCCTGTTTGGCCTCGAGGCGTCCGATGCTCACCTCGAGGGAGAATATGCGCTGTTCCACACTTGCTTGGCGATTGAGGAGCATGTCGATGCGGTAGGGGTTCGATTTGGGGGAAGGGGGGCGGGGTTGGCGTGATGCTGGTGGTTGGTTCCTGAGCTCTGAGTTTTGGGACGAGCGCCTCGCTGCGTTTGACGAGGACGGTGGGGGTCCAGGCAAGAGCGTTGGATATCTCGACGAGGGCGCTGAGGGGGTCGTGGTTGGTGTGGGCGAAGGTAAGCGTGGTGTCAGGAAATGGACCCCGAGCTCTGGGGCCTTCGGAGACGGCACTGGCGGGGTCGCGGTTGGTGTGGGCTCGCCGCGGGGGAGCAGTGAGTTAGGATTTGGCAAAGAGGCTGCTGGGTGATTTGGAAGCGCTGTGGAGTTGGCGTCGGCTTGTGCGAATGACGGGAGTTGGGGATCTGAAGGTGCAACTGGATATGTTGGCTGCGCTACTTGGAAGTTGTACATGGGATCGGTCATAGTAGGGTGGGTTGATATTGGATTCGTCAACTCGGGTGTGAAATTGTAGACTGCGTCGGACATCGTGGCTTGTTGCGGCGCTGGACCTGTCGGCTGCGCCGAGAAATCGTAGAAGTCGAGCGTGGTCGGATTGTCCAGATAGGCATTGGAGTCGGAGACCGTATTGTTCGTTGTAGGTTGATTCTGTGCTTGACTCGCTGGCTGCGCTGAGTTGCCATAGGACGCGTTGTTCATGGTGGATTGATGTGGTGCTACATGACCATGGCTCGGTTGGGAGTCTGGCAGTGCTTGATCCATAGACTGTGCTGAGAAGTCAAAGAATGCGCTGGTCGTGATGTGTTGGTGCGGTACTGAATAGCCGTTGCTTGGTTGGGAGTCTGGAAGTTGATGTGGAGTTTGATCCACCGGCTGTGCTGAGTAGTCATACAATGAATTGGTGATGGCGGGCTGTTGTGTTGCTGAAGGATCATTACTCTGTTGGAAGTCTAAGAGTTGGTCCGTGTCGTGATCAGGAATTAACCAGGCTGACCAGTCGAAGTCACCGTTGTCACCCATTTTGGGTGGGTAGTGATACGTTTGGGTTTAACGTGGGTGTAGCGGCAAGATGTCAAAAGGTTTGAGGTCACGGCAAGTCGATCGACAAGTTGTAAGGCTATAGTGGTTGGCAGTGTAGAGCGCCTTCCTTCCATGCTGGTTTGAACCGGTCGAAGACGCTCTGCGAGGAAAGCATTGGTGGCGCATCCTCGTGGCCTGTGGTATGGAAAATGCAGACGCGCTGAACAGTCGTCACTTCTCTCTTCATAAAGAGAAACCACACAGTGTTGAAAAATAATGGCCATCATCTTAGCGCAGCTCTCGATTGGAATCACACGCTGAGTAAAATTCACAATGCACAGCACGATCAACTCAGACGCGTTACAAGTGCTCTATTGAATAGCAGATACTTGCTAAGTGGTTCAAGTCACTCCTGTGTCACGCATACCTCTAAGCCTCCAAACCTAGCTACGAGCAACCATCGTCGTAACCCCATCCGGAAGCTACTAACCCTTGCTGATGTATCAAGGTTTCCGAGAATGCATAACTACTCTTTGGGAAGACCGCTGAGCAGTGGCTGTCGAGAAGAAACAGTCCAGGTCTTCGCCTCGGTGATTTATCTGAATGCCGCTACACTACTGCGACAAAGACTCAAGGGGCTTGTCTTTTAGCAGCTTTCTCTTCGCCTCCTGGAGCTTACACATATAAATCATGAGCGTATCAAGCTCCGCCTTGCGACGGTCAGCAAACTATCCACCACAACTGGGTCTGCACGTACGTTGAGGTCTGTGGCTTGATCCTCACAGTTGTTGTACGCGTCGACTGCGGTGTCGTAAAGCTCTGGATCGGTAATGATCGCGAACAGGTCTTCGATATCACCCATTTCTGTCTGGAGGACCTCGATGGCCTTCGTGGTGTCCTCGAACTTTTGCTTGTACTGCTGCTCCAGCTCGGTCACGCGCGTGAGTTGGGCTGTGTGAGGTTGGATCAATGGCCTGATGGTATTGCCGGTGCTTGAAGATGATCTCGATTCCATGGTTTACCTGTAGCTGAGAAGGTCGACTTGAGTGGAGTTGTTGTTCTGTCGGGTGAGAAGGTATCTGGTTGTGCGTTCGGGTCTTCCTTGGTGAGCAAACAGTATAGCGATTACATTTCACTTCGTTATTACGTCAAAACATCACTTTCTGGTTCGTGCTGTTTGTTTGGTAGAATAAATATTGGATTATGCACCTCTGGGTGCGCGAACGTGCCGCTGAACTATGAATCCATCAGATCCATCAAGCAGTCACCCGCCACTGGATGTGAGCGACGAAGTACTGACAAACTCAAGTAAACATGGCGACAGTGATAGAGTTCCCAAATCAAAGATCCAGTGCTAATCCTTTACTCGATACCCTGCAACTGCCCGGAAGATAACTGGAGCGCTTTCCTTCACGAAACGCGTTCATGCGGTGTCGTCAGGCAGGTCCATCATCCAGCTGAACTTAGAAGTAAGTTCCTGATTCAACTTGCCGACCGCAGCTCGAAGCGCATCGACATCGCGCTCAATGATGAGTTGCTTGTCCTGGATACTAGTCAGTGAGGTTCTTTCAGTGCCCAGTCACGAATATACGTACCTTGTGTAGCTTCAACTTGCGCTCACCCTCCTCGTAGAACTCCATCGCCGTGTTGTAGAGACCTTCGTTGGTTATGATCGAGAACATGTCCACAATGTGACGTTGCTCTGTCAGTAGTGCGCTGATGATCCGATTAGAATCAATGCTCTCCTTCATCTTGGCCATGTATTTGTCCATGAGATCGTCGGCTCGTTGGAAGAAAGCGATCTGTTCAGCCTCGAGGCTCTCATCATCAGAGAACTTGTCGACAGCGGCGATGTTTGAAGGCGCGGTGGGTTCCATGGTTGATTGTGGAAATTGAAGTAAGGTTGTGAAGAAGTGGTGGGAGTGTAAGGTTAAGTAATTGTGCGGGCGTGAACAAACGGTTTATATGACTAGCCCCCCTCTCACCACGAACAGTGCACGGCCCAGAGGCAGCCTACACTTCACTCTAAGCTTCCATCATGGCCTCATTGTTTACTGCATACAGATATGCAGTCCGAGCATGCAAACGCCGAGATCTAGCTAACTCTCGCTCCACCACTTGCATCACCCCGTGGATTTCCCTCCACAATCTCCTCGCTTCTTGAATCATATCTGAGAGAGCCGCCAGATGCGCATCTTCGTGCAGCTTGCCCCGCGTTATGGCGAGGTAATGGGGAAACGCGCGGAGTACAGTTCGTTCCTGCCTTAGGGCAGCGAGCTCGGTTTCCTTGTCCGAGCATTGACGGCGTAACGTTGCCATCATTTGTTGGAGCTGCAATTGGATGTTGAAAAGATTTTGCCTTGCTTGTTTATCTTGTGGAGTGGGGGTGGGAAAGGAGTAGTGGTTGGCGATTGGGTTCGGGAAATGCATCTTGGATGATGGCTGTTATATTCTAGGGAGGTTTCAGAAATGTAGAGGTATTTTGGATTTGCTTTGAAGAGCGTGTTGTAACTTGAAGAGGATTGAACAGCGGATTAGGCATAATTATATAGCGAGAGAATACAATGCGCTGAACTAGTCGAACCAAATTTGCGATACTCAACACTTGTACAACTGGAACCGGGGAGGTACACCAAGGATCCAACCAAATTTGAAGCTGATGGATAAGTCATTGAGGAGACATATGACAGATCATTGTGCAAATCACAATGGAAGGTGCGTGGTGGTGGAGGAATCTAGTACCTGCTACAGATCAACGTTCACATTTTGGCCCACTCATTATCTGGATCAATCTGTAGTATGCGGCAAATAGCAGTGCATTCAAATTTGTGTGGAACCGAAACCCTGACTCCCTCCTCCGAATACGCTACCCACAATTATACAGTCACTGATGATAATGAATCCACGAAATCGCCGCATCGAGGCAGCCGCCTCACGTCCACAGGGCCCTGACCTCCTCCCGCATGACCCTCCTCCGCTCCTCCGCCTTCTTCTCTTTCTTCGTCGCATCCGAAATCGCTGCCTACAGTTCAAAAAGCTGGGTTCTCGCCTCCTTCACGAATTTTCGGCGGAGCTTGAAGTGCTCCATGTCGGTGAGCGGCATAGTGACGAGGCTGTATGAGAGGATGTCGTAGGCGACTTGCATTTCTTCTCTCTCATTGATGAGATCGGCAACAGAAGGCTTGGTGTTGGCTTCGTTGGCAAGCATTGTGATGGTTGGTGGGGTTTATGGTGGTGTGGTGGTTTTTGCGAAAGTGCCTGAAGTGAAGGTTGTCAGAACGATATTGCCAGTGGGACTTCTATGACTTACGAGAGACTGGAGTGGAGGGTGTTGTATATTTGTAGCAATCGGAGAACTGCTTAGTATGGTTTGTGAGAATGCTCGAAGTGAATTGTGAGAATGTTTGGCTTGTGGGACTTCTGTGGTCTACGGAGGATTGAGGTGAAGGGGCGTTGTGACTTTATAGCGACCGGAGAGCTAATTGATATGGCTCAAAGATCTGGGTACTATTTTTTAAATTCGTGTTGGGAACTGCATTCTACGTGACCCATAGATCCAGATGTGTTCTCACCGCGCGCCTGCAGGAATCAATTGACCCGAACCTAGGAAGCCATTGATCGACAGGTACCCAATAGAGGAGTCTTGTGCAAGATCGCACTGTGACCAGACGATCGTATATATAAACGCCGATTTTCTGAAACCTATGTCAGCGATATTCTAATTACGCGGTTAGACCCTGGCTAAGCTGTTTCCCGGAACCCTCACAATGTTAACCAAGATCAACCACATCACAGCAAAATCACTGATCACTCACAGCACTCGATTTCACACAATAAATATCCAGAACCGACAGAATGCTGCAAACGTGTATACACCTATCAGTCGGGGGCAAGATGAACACGGCCATGGAACCCAACAAGCGTACACATCAGGACCAATACATTTCAATTTCTCGGCTGCCATCCAACGCGTTTACCCGCAATGGTTACCAAGGTTGACCCTATAATCGTTCGACAGGGTCACTATTATTCCCTAGCTGATGCTGAAAATAGCTGGAGTTGAGAGCGAACATATTATGAACACGCTGCTACTGCCTCAGCAAATTGTCCGCTGTCCCTGATAGTACCGGAATCTGGTTTCATTCCCATCACAAATGATATCAAGCCCAGCGTTGGTCCACGTTTTGCATAGGCATTATTGAGGTTGATGATTGAACCTTGGAGAGGCTGCGGCGTCCAAAGGGGGAGCAGTGATACACGAGCGACTAGATCAAGTCAGAGAGGCGTTTATAACACGAAAACCGCGTGTTGCGAAGAACACATGCTACTGCACTCAGGCACGTCCGATCAGCCGCTTGGCATTTTTGTAGGATGCAACGCACCTTCATCGCAGCCAATCGACTACAAAATTACGACTGAATAACTCCGTTCATCCTGAAATGAAAGCGCCTTCTTACGCCTTGCCAAGTGACTGGTTGTATGTGCCTTGGTGCAGTACATCAGTCGTGAATCTGATGTCAACATCAGCATCATCGTAAAAATAGGCAAATCTGAGAATAACCATGCAACGTGCAGCTCGATATGTAAGAGTCATGACATTCAATTTTCTACTTCCACCATACTTGGACTCATGCCAACTCATCTGATCCTCTCCTCACCGCTCCTCGCCCCGATGCATTATGCAGACCAAAACCCAAAACACAAACTCCTTGCCAGGTATTCGTAATTAATGTGAAAGAGAACATATTCCATCAGCAGGCATATTAATACCCGCAACCATCAAAAGGGAAACAAGCTCGAGGCTCAGAGGAAGAAGAGGAAGGGGTCCAGCCGCTAGTGTCCGCTAGCGTCCAAAATCGGCGCTAGCGGCACTAGCGTGCCCGATCGATCGATCGCGCTCAGGCCACCTGTGAGTGTAAGAAACGGGAAAAAGAAGACAACACCACATCACACTGCGAGAACAGTGTAATCTAGTGCTTTGCTGGACAGCAACACACATGGGGACCAGCTTTCTTCACCTCACTAGTCGATTCTGACTCATATTTGGTGAAGTTTTCCATGAAAAGGGTGCCGAGCTTCTCGACCTCGCCCTTGAAGTCGGCAGTGCCGTTCCAGCTCTTCGCCGGGTTGAGCAGCTCGTCGGGAACGTTGGGGCACGTCTTGGGGACGGACAGGTTGAAGGTCTCGTAGGTCTCGTACTCGACCTGGGCCAGCTCGCCGGAGTGGATGGCGTCGAGGATGGCGCGGGTGTACTTGAGCGGGCAACGCTTGCCTGGAGTATATTAGCATTAAGTCAATGAAAGCGAGGAAGATGGAACTTACCGCCTGTGGTGGCACCGGCACCGACCCAGCCGGTGTTGAGCAGCCACGCGTTGGCGCCGTGCTCCTGGATCTTCTCTGCGAGCATCTTGGCGTAGCGCATGGGGTGAAGGGCGAGGAAGGGCTGCGCGAAGCAGGAGGAGAAGGTGGCCTGGGGCTCGGTGATACCTTGCTCTGTGCCGGCCATCTTGGAGGTGTAGCCGGAGATGAAGTGGTACATGGTCTGCTCGGGGTTGAGCTTGGAGATGGGAGGAAGGACACCACGGGCGTCGCAGGTGAGGAGAATGATGTTCTTGGGGTGGCTGTCCGACTTGCAAGGGATCTTGGTGTTCTCGATGTACTCGATGGGGTAGGCGCAGCGAGTGTTCTCAGTCAGGGTGTCGTCATCGTAGTCGACGACACGGGTGACAGGGTCGAAAACGACGTTCTCAAGGATGGAGCCGAACTTGATGGCGTTGAAAATATCGGGCTCCTTCTCGGCGGACAGACCAATGGTCTTTGCGTAGCAACCGCCCTCAATGTTGAAGACACCAGTGTCAGACCAGCAGTGCTCGTCGTCACCGATGAGCGCACGCTTAGGGTCAGCAGACAGAGTGGTCTTGCCTGTACCAGACAGACCGAAGAAGACGGTGACGTCGCCGTTCTTGCCCTCGTTGGCAGAGGAGTGGAGAGTGAGGACGTTGTGCTTGACAGGCATTTCGTAGAAGAGGACTGTGAAGATACCCTGATTGTGCGTTAGCATTTGATGTGGGTTGAAGTGTGATTGTTTCCTACCTTCTTCATTTCACCTGCGTACTCAGTACCAAGGATGACCATCTCCTTGTCGGCGAAGTTGATAGCAACCGATGTGGCAGAGGTCATACCGCTGGTGTACCTGTTGGCGGGGAAGGCACCACCGTTGTAGATAACGTAATCGGGGTGGAAGTGCTCAAGCTCCTCTCTCGACGGGCGGATCAACATGTTGCGCATGAAGAGAGCGTGGTAGGCGCGGGCGCAGACAACGCGGACGCGAATCCTGTAGCGCTCGTCCCATCCTGCGAAGCCGTCGACGACGTAGATACGCTTGCGAGTGTTGAGGTAGTCAATGGCACGCTCGCGGTTGATGCGCCAGACCTGTGGATGTATGTTAGCTACAATACTCGATGCACACGTGATGGGTATCCCGAAGCGTGGGCTGGAGCGTGCTGCCGGCATGCAGAAATGCGGGGGAGCCGTGCTCTAGCGTCGCCACCTGCAGGGGTGAGGCCTGGGTCGGCTATGTGACTAGCGCATGACGTCTGCCGAATTCACGAGCCATTTTTTGTTTGCGAGCTGCAAAGAGCTCGGCAAGCTGCCGGAAAGCTGAGGTGCACTTACGTCGGGTGCCATCGGCTTGTTGACAGGTCCCCACCAGATGTCGTCTTTCGACGAGTCCTCCTCGACAATACGCTTATCCGAGGGCGAGCGGCCGGTCTTCTCGCCAGAGTAGGCTGAGAGAGCGCCTGATGATGTGATGGCGGAACCAGTCTCGTATACAAGAGCATCTTCGTAGAGAGCAGCGACTGAGGGGTTGGCAATCTAGTGTGTGGTCAGCTGCAATTCAGCCGGCAGTAAGGAAGGCTACGTACAATAGCTACACGGTCATAATCAATGTGTGCTTTGTCGTGGAGCTCCTCTTCAATCTCAGTGTGCTCCTTCTTCGGCCTGTGGGTTCTTTGTTAGCTGTGTCTGCCTAAAGCGCGGCCAATTGGCCTTAGGTCGCACGGTGAGGTACTCACGTAATGCCGGAAGGGTGGAGATTTGTCTTGTTGACTTGGGGAACCATTGTGAACGTGAATGCAGGTACAGAGGAAGAGTGGAAATGTGAACGCTGTTGGAGTGACACCTGAGGACGGACAAAGTCTTGGGTCAAGGTAGCTGGGCTTGACTTGCAAACCACGGGGTATGAGGCTTCTTTAATAGCGTGACGATATTCCACACTGACGACGTCGTTCGTCCTCAGTCTGGATGTGGGCCGGGCAGCAGCTGAGCCAACGCGTGCTGATTGGGTGTATGGTTGCGCGCTCGTAGTGTTCGGCTCCCAGCTGACGAAAATAACGCGGAGGTCCGCACGAGAGCGCGAAAGACTCGGAACACCTGGCCGGCACCTGTTTCCAGGGACACGGCTGCTGGAGCGCGCTGCGCTCGCAGCGATGCGCCTGAACATGTCTCAGCGACGATGTCTGAGAGCTGCTCGCATGCAGTCACAAGTAGCATTGTCACTCTGCAACCTGTCCCCCGCAACCTCCCCCTCGCAGCCAAGCCCTCCCCAGGGTGCCATTACAACCACAGGCACCGCATTGGCTCAGGCTGTCAGAAGTCTTGGGCGCGTCTGGCCGCCCCAGACGGCTGATCGGGTTCTACCCCACAACAAGCCTTGCATCAGAAGAGAAAAGACGCCGGAAACAGGCTACGCCCATTCAGGGAGGGGCCAATGCGTCATTCTCGAATTCGGCGCACCCACAAATAAACCAAATCCACGCACGATTGCTAATGGAAAGGCAGACGATGCAGCCCTCGTGATAAATTTTCAAGGCCCGTGAAGACATTGTGAAACCCCTGCGAAGCCACATTGGCCCTGAGCAACCAAGGGCGCTGGCAGTCCGCGGCTCTAGAGCCCAAATCTACCAGAAACTCTCATGCACAATCACGATAGTCGGTAGGGCTGGGCGCAGGAGGCGGTGCAGATAGCAGGCGTTCCGATTCCAGCTCGTGGACAAGCAGATCCCTGCACGCAACGGAGCACTAGGATTCACAAATCAGTGTTCGGGCGGACGGCTGTTGCACATGCTGCTGCCCATCGCGCGTGAGGCATTTCGTCAAGCAATGCGCAACGGCTGCGTAGCCGGGCGCGTGCAAACCTGGGTCAGCTTAAGCCGAGATGTGCCTTTTTGATAACGCTCGGGCTATTTCGACAAATCCCGCACGCGTGCGCGCTGACGAGTCGTGAGGCTGCAGCTCGTGACAGCTGCGGTACGTTCCCGTCGTGTCAGACATGCACTCGCGTTTGAGCCTCACGTTCGTTCCAGATGGACGGACAACCCTGGCTTGCACACCGAGACTTCATTCTATTGTCACACACCGCTATCTAATGTTGTCGCCAAAGGTTCTTGTACACGTGCTGCATATCCGTGCAGATACCGGGAAGCTACCTGTTGCGCCTCCTTCTGTCACGAGCTCCAGACTCACAATGCTCGAAACGCACATGTTCGGAAAAGGTGTTTCGCGGGGAAGACAAGGAGCGGATGAGACATAGCCCAAGCCCAATTAGGTGGTTCATGGCTCGGCCGCGGGATTCTACGGTTTCACCCGAACTCAGGAACGAGATTACGCTACAATTATACGCCGAGCTCTACGCAGCATCACCACTCTGCTTCTTCTTCTTCGCCGCCTTTTCCTTGCGCGCAGAAGGTTTGAACAATGAAATGAACTTGTGCATCCCTCCCAGGTACAAGTATGTGCATACAAAAACAACCGCAAAGTTAAAGAAGATAAATATCCACATAATGCCTGCAGCACCGTTAGTTCAGCACCCTAATGCAGGAAAGATCGCACGTACCGAAGTCCCGCCATATGTACTGTGGAAAGACGTTGAAACTCGCCGCGAACGCGTCGCCGGTAGCGAATTGGCAGAACCCACACGTTCCGTCGGACTGCGCTTCCACGTACCCGCCTGACTGCTGCGCGAACTGCCCAGCGTACGTCTGACAGTCTTGGCCAGGCGGGGGAGGGAAGATCGCCAGCTCGTTAGTGTCGCACCGGATCTCTTGACCCTGGAGCAGCAGAGCGAGAAACCCTTCGAGCAGGTACTTGAACGGTGTGAGCCAGTACATCCAGGCTTGCCAAAACGTAGGTAGGCCGACATAGGGCACGACTACACCGCAGAAAGATACGACTGAAAAGTGTTAATATGCGACTTGTGAATCTGGTTGATAGGGACTCACTGAAAGTAAAGAAGAGAGGTACGAGCAACGACGCAAGCAGCTCATTGGGAGAAAAGGCCGCAATCGCTTGTCCGAATCCCAGGTAGAACACCTCGAACAGCATGACAAAGAGCCATACACTTGCAGCGGTGTACGTATCGCGAGGAAAGTTAGGCGGGAAATACCAGCAGCACCAATAGATCGTGCCAGCGATTATACGGTACGGAAGCTCGCTGAGAATAGCGCCCCAGACCCAGGTAGTCCACGCGTAGATCTTAGCATTTCCCTCTCGCGATTTGTAAATCGAGCGGATGTTGATGAAGCGAGGCTGGAGTTGCTGAATCAGCGGCGGTGAGATCGTCAGAGTCATGAAGACCGAGAAGAGCCGGGACTGCATGTCGATTTGTGACTGGCCGAGATTCCAGAATGTAAAGCCGTTGAAGAGACCAGTGATGATATGCAGCATGATGACACCGGTGACATAGTCAGGGTCTCGCCAAATGGCTACGAAGTTACGGTGGACGACGGTCATCCACTGTGTCATGTAGGGCATGGCGTACTCTCGGTCGTCCTTTGCCTCGTCGTTCTGGGAGGCAGATTTGCGCTTGGATGCAATGTCCTGGATTTCCTTGCCGAGCTTGGAGTTCTCTTCAGACTTTGCCCACACTTCGCCCCAGTCCTGACCCTTGTAATCGGGGTTGCCTGCGCCTATGGCTTCCAGCATGTACTCGGCGGGGTTCTCCTTGGGTTTGCACTTCTTCGCTCCATTGCCTTCAAGATACTTGATAAGGGTCTGCGAGTCATCACCAAGGTCGCCGAAGTACACAGTGGAACCACCCGACTTCAGCAGGAGAAGCTGATCGAAGTTCTCGAATAGGACGGCGCTGGGTTGATGGATGGTGCATAGGATAGCTTGGCCAGCATCGGCGAGCTTGCGAAGGAAACGGACAATGTTGAAGGCAGCACCAGAGTCGAGTCCAGATGTAGGCTCATCCAAGAACATGAGCAGCTCAGGTTTGCTAGCCAGTTCAACACCAATCGTTAGCCTCTTGCGCTGCTCTTGGTTCAGCCCAGAGCCAGTCACGCCAATTGCGGCACCTGCGATTTCTCGCATCTCAAGAAGGTCGATGATGGTCTCTACATAGTCGTACTTCTCCTGAAGAGGTGTCTCCTTTGGTTGACGCAGGCGCGCAGAGAAGCGCAAGGCCTCGCGCACCGTGCTAGTTGACTCGTGGATGTCCATCTGCTCAGCGAAGCCAGTAGATCGTTGGAATGAAGAAGGGAGTGGTTTGCCGTCGACCAAGAAGTCTCCGTGCACGACTCCAAAGCGGATGCGTTGGGCCAAAGTGTTTAACAATGTCGTCTTACCAGCACCTGAAGCACCCATGAGCGCAGTCAGCTTACCTGGCTTGACGTATCCCTGCACATCTTTGAGCAATGTACGTTCGCCCTTTTCGTATGGGATAGTGTAGGTGATGTTCTGGAAGGTGAAGATCGTCTCATTCTTCGCAACGCCGCCAAGCTTGTCATCAGAGCCTTCTCCATCGCTCTTCTCGTTTACGGCAGAAGACTCGGACTTGCCAGACTCTTCGTCTTCAGGCTTCTGGGTCTCCATGTCCTTCTCCACAGACTTGGGCACCTGTCCACGCTTGAAAATGGTAACCGCACCACCGCCTTTGTTGGGCTTCTGGATCTCCATGCCGATGGCTGTGAGGCAGACGAAGAAGATGAACATGCCGGCAATGATACCAAAGTTGCGCCACAAGTGGCTTCGAGAGTAGCCAAACGCAGCGTCCACGTAGTCGGCACCCGACACAGTGAGCGAACCGGGTCGGCTTCCTTGAATCGCGCAAGATTGGTATTGCTCCTCGGCACCGGGGATGGCGGGGGCAATGTACGGAGCTGTACACTGGATTTCGAGGTTGTAGAACTCGTTGACCAAGAGGCCTTCGAATCCGTACTGGATGGGGTTGATCCATCGTAGCCAACTGAACCAGGGATGCATCTTGCTTGGTGGGATCAAATAGCCTGTGTAGACGACGAGAGCCTGAATTGCGACACCAGTGATCCTCGTCGCGATATCAAGCGATCCTACGAGCGAGCCGATCGCGCGGAAGAACGCGTACATCGTCATTGTCATGATCCACAGGAAGAGTAGTGAGATGAAAAACTGCGAAGCTGTGCGTTGCAGGTTGGCCATGAAGTACACAACTATGTCGAAAATCACAACTTGGACCAAGACCAAAGGAATATCAACAACAGTTTGCGCAAAGGCGTAAGCTGCGGGTCGATAGAATGAGAAACTCTTGTGCTTCAACAAGATCGGACGACTTTCAAATGCAGATGTCAGCTCAGCCAATGCAAGAAGAGCATTAAAGAGTAGCATGAAGAAGATAACACCGCCACGGGGGAAGACACCAGCAGCGGTGTTTGGCAAGTTGTAGAACAAAGATCCGACAATGAGGGCCTGGAAAAAGATACCTCCCCACTTGCCGTACAACGATTGTGGATCGCCAATCATGACCATAGCCTGGCGCCTGGTGCAAGCCATGACTTGCTTGTGGAAGGGCAGGGTGAAGTTCTTCTTCTTGGTCGCCTTTGATGCAGCCGCACGGCGGTCCTCAGCCATGCGTGCAGTTTCTTTCTCGAACTCTTCGATCTCTTTGAGGTTGTCGTGGTGTTGTTGACTGTCAGCAAAGGCCTTTCCGAACTGCGCGCCGGTGCGGGGAATGCGGTCTTCGTAGCCGTCTTGAATGTGGCGCTCGTGGTCGTCAGTGACGGAGGTCAAGAAGTCGGCGGTAGTCCAGCGGTCTGGCTGGTGAAACCCAAGATTCTTGAAGTAGTCCGCGGCGCGATCAGCAGGCCCGAAGTAGCAGCAGCGACCTTCGTGGATCAAGAGGACTTTGTCGAAAAGATCATAAAGCGACTCTCCAGCCTGGTAAAGGGCAACGCTTGTCGAGATGTTTGCCATGTTCGTCAGCGATCGCAGACTCTGCACGTATTCGAGAGCTGTCGACGCGTCTAAGCCACGAGTGGAATTATCCCATGCTTGTACAGACGCTTTGGTGATCATGGCTTCTGCAATGGAAACACGCTTCTTCTCACCACCAGACACACCACGGATCATTTCGTTTCCAACTTTTGTATCCATTGTGTGCTCGATCCAGAACAATTTGGTGACGACACGAAGGAATTCGTTCACATAATCCTTGCGCGTCTCGCCATCTTTACGAGAGTCCTTGCCGGGCGTTCGGGTCTTGAGGGCAAACTTGAGTGTGTCCTTAACCTTCAACGTCGCGTAGTGGAGGTCATCTTCAGGGTTGTAAAGCACCTCGCTTCGATACTTCTTGGCCATCTCAGCAGCGTCAGTGCCGCCGTACCTGACATCTCCGGTGATCTCCTCGTAGCCGAAACGCTGGTTACCAAGCATCTTGAGGAATGTGCTGCATCCACTGCCAGGCCGCCCAAGTACCAAGAGCATTTCACCCGGCTTGATGCAACCGCTGAAGTCGTCAATCAGAGTTCGAACAGGTGGCTTGCCAGCTGCTGCTTTGGGTCCACGGGTTGCGAGATTCTTGACGAAGCGAATCGGGTTCATGAAAATATCGCCAGCGGATGGTTGCAGAGCGGCTCCTAGTCCTTGCCCCTTGACCGTAAGGTTCTTGAAGACTACACCGACATGTCGTGTCTTCTCTTCCTCCGAAGCCTCCTGTCGTGTATGGCCAAACATCCTCGACATCAGCTTGTTGATCTCGTCTTGTTCCTCATCGGCGCTAGCGGAGGTGGCTTGTGTATCTCGACGTTCAAGAGTGTTGCTATGGCTGTTCCTGCGTCTTGACATGGCACGAAAGAGGTCGTCCTCGGTCATCGGTTTTGAAGTTCTCGACTGCAGAGCTGGCCTTGAAGCTGGCTTGGATACTGCATCGTCACGGGGCTCCTCGGGCTCTGAGCCCGACGAAGAGTCGCTATGGATCAACTCTGGTACGACTTCCTCTTTGCGCTCCCCGCTGCTATCTGGTGTGAACACATCCTTTGTGTCTAACGCGCGGTTATCGACAGCATCTGGGGATGGGACCGCGGTGCTGTGTGTTGACTCGGTGAACAGACCAGCTCCTGATCCGCCGTAATAGCTCTCGCTCGAAGTGTGGAGTGCATTGTTGATAAAAGTTGAGCCGGTCGTACCACTTTGGTTTGTGTTGTGAATATCGTGCGCCTGAAGCTGATCCTCAACATGTAATGGTCGTGTAATTGATTCTCCTGGTGTTTCTATCCAGCCACCGGGAAGCTGGGAAGCTGAAGGCGTGGGACGTTCATTTGAAGCCATTTATGCTCCTCAACGTCCCTGCAGCAGGTCAATCGGAATGACAGAACAGACTGGCAGTGCAGTGGTGGTACCAGTTCAGGAACCGACAATAAGCCAGTAGCCAATCAGTATGAGGTATTGCCTCTAAATTATCGAGCAAAAATGCACACGCTTTGAAAATTGCAGCGGGCAGTGGGTATCACGAATGTGTGTTAAAGTACAGGTCGCACTCAACGAGTACTTACGCGCTTCCAAATACGCTGATACTGCCATCTTGGACGTGTTTGGTGTGCTCATTGTTTAGGGCTTGCAAAGTGGTGTCGTCATAATCGCGTCGCATCTACCCTTGGTCGGTGCGCCTGGCCCTCGCGTTCGGTGCTTGCAAGGGCCGATGCGCTGTCTAGCCTGCCAAATCTCGATCGATTGGATCTTTCATCCTTCAGCCTCAACGCTTGTCTCCGTTTTCAGACAGACAAGCGCGTTTTGCGGCGTGCGAGAGCACCGAGATCCGCCATCCGGTGAATCGTCGCATCCTCACTGGCACAATTTTCTATTCATGAATCGCGATTTCGATCATGCCGTATTATGAAGTAGGATCCTCACAGGGGTGATGACGATGCCAATGCTTGTTCTGAGAGTGAACTGTCATGTCCAGTATCACTTGCTAGTCGTGCTCCACGGTCTCCAGGCTGGAACATAACACGCCTTGCTGTGCCAATTGGCGCTTTGACGGCGTGGATGTTGGTCCGCCTCATACCCGAACGCAGCTTATGGGCCACACTAAGTGTCTCACCGTCGGACTCTGAAGAATCAGAGTCGCTCTCGACGCCGTCCCCAGACTCAGAGTGTGTGTCCTCGTCAAAAAACTCGGAGGTCCCGTTGGTCGATGTGTGCTTGCGGGCGGTCCTGCGTGAGGCGCGGGCAGTGCTCATTGGCAGCGAGAGCACTTTGGCAAGTTCCTTGACCGTTTCGGGCTGCGAGAGGCAATCTGCCACCTTGTGCCTGATGTCCTCGCTGATGTCGGTCTCGCTCATCAGCTGCGTGAGCCGGTTCATGACGAGCTGCTGTTGCTGTTGCTGAACGTCGTGGGCCCCCACGAAGAATGTGGCAGACGCGAAGAGGCTCATGGCCATCGTAGGCCAGCTGATGCCGTGTTCATCGCCGAAGCGGTTTAGCAAGAACTTATTATGGTCCTGCAGCTTTTGCAAGTCAGCGAAACAATCAAAAAAATATATGACAACAACACTCACAATTTGCTGCTGCTCCAGAACGTCCCTGAATGACTCGGCATTGAGGTTCTTCGTCTCGCGTTCGAATTCCCTCATCCACTTCACCGACGGTGACGACAATTCTTCAACGGGCTTGACCTCGCCGTATTCGAGCCTGCGAGAAGGCAACGCTCTTCAAAAGATTCCACCAGACCCGTCAGAGTCAGGGGAGGCACATAATGGACGCCACTTCACCACTTACACAGTCAGCGCACAAAGTTGGATGAGTGACACATGCACACAAGCACGTCCACGCAACCACTAGGCAATATGGCGCTATCTCGTTAAGCTGTATATCCGACGGAGTCATTCAGGTGTAGTCCTGTAGCTTATCGGCTGCAGAAAAGATGGGTTGGATCCTACAAATATTAAGTGGCTGGTCAGACACACTCGCCTATCTTAACGTCAAGTGCGGCATCTCCAGTATTCGATCATCACAGTCATATGACTTTCCACTGGATGGCTACAAACATGACCCACTATCGCGCAGAACTTCTCGTTGTCGGCAGATATACGATTGAACGAAGTAATTCAGTTGCAATTCACCGACTTGTCGGCAGTGATGAGGACGGTTTAGATCCTACAAAAAAACCCGACTGTTTGAACGCGTCACGGTGCAGTATGCAGGGTCTACCCGATCAGGGCGGAGCATTATGCGCAAGTATTAGAAATTACTACCAATTGACCGCTACCTCCCCTCCTCGCCACCCTACTCCTCCATCTGTTCCCCCTTCACCGCAACCTCCTCCTCCTGCTTCTCCAACTTGATCCTGATATACAACTTCGGGTTCAGCTTAATCCTAAGCTTCAACCCGCTCTTCCTCCCCGCCCTCTCCTCCTCGTCCATCCTCTCCAATACCCACTGCGGCATCTCCCACCCCGCATGCTCCCTCCTCACCCCCCAAAACGCGTCCACCAGCTCTTGCGAAGCAAGGTGCTCCGCTAGCCGGGCTTGGAGCGCGAGTTGTATGGTGGTGAGGTGGGCGGGGTCCATGGTGTCGAGGGATTTCTGGGTGCGTTAGCGAGGGTTCATAATTATATTGAAGACATGTGATTCGGTAGGGTTTTGTGGGAATGGGGATCAATATATTGGAAAGACAAAAACAAGGAGGCTGGGTGATAAATCAATGGCAAGGGTTGACGTACCTTCATATCCCCGAGCTCGTTGCACTTCTTCACAATCCTCTGCCACCAGCGGCGGTGCGAGGAATTGTTCTTGTTCATGCGCATAATGGGCGTCCTGGCGAGGGTCTGCGTGGGTGATGCGGTGTTACCCATTGTGATAGGATGGGCGTGGTATACGCGTGACTGCAGGGTGTAAGTCACGTTGAGGAAGTGGTGTATGGGTTTGATTTACCTTTGGTTTGGATGTTTGTGGTAGCTGGTGAGTATGTCTCGAGGACTTTGTGTTTCCTGATAGAATAGAGAGGGAGAGAATTAATTTATACCTACCTGATGGCTAGCGGATCAACTCTGAACCTGAGTTCATTTATGTGGGAGTTTTGTAACTTTGGTTGATGTAGATAAAATAGAGACCCTGATAGCCACTCGACCTCGGATTTTGCCTTATACAGTGACCCTGACGCGCACGCTCCGCCCTTCCCTCAACGGCTCAGATCTCCTTTGCACGCATATAATGTTCTAGGTATAAAGAAATAATAATAATCATTGACTGGGGAATCGTTACGTCTCAACCTATCTGTCTGCCCTGGTCCCAATCTCCCACTGGCCAGAAGAAAAGACACTAGAAACCGGGAAATACACCCTTATTACTCAAAGGAAATGCCACCTCTCAGGGAATACTATAATAAGAGCTGCTCTCTCCATCCGACACGTCACCCTCACCCCTAAGCAGTACCACACAGACCCTCGGCACATACCTCTCAATCCAAACATCCAGCGACCCAAACGCCTCCAAGCACTCCTCCCCATACACCGCCAACACCCAGCGCTCCCGCGCCTCGAGTAGCTCCCACCGCCTCATGCGGCCGCACTCGCGCACCTCGTCTCTGAGGGACTCCGGCGCCGATATGTTTTCCACGGGGCAATTGAGGAGGGTCTGATACAGGCCCGTGAGATACGGGATGCTCAGATCGCGCAGCGGCGGGGGCGGGTGCGTATGTGATGGTGGGAGCATAGTGGAAGGAAGAGGTAGATAGAGCGCGTACTCGCGGTGCCTGGTCAGTGCCTTCTGATCCAGGAACTCTTTCGACTGGGCGGCTTCGCGAATGGACTCGGGCGCTGAGTCGGGGCCGGAGAATGTATCCGTGAGTTTCTGCGCAATGTGGGTAGCGGTGAGTTCGTTCCAGTTTGCAAGGGCCTCGGCGTGGTACTTGGTTTCGACATCGATGTAGCCGGCTGTTATGGCGGCGGGAGATGCTGTGAGGGAGCGCGCAAGGCTGAGGGATATCAAGGGATTGAGGACGCCCAGGCCGCCGAAGGAGATCGGGAGGTGGATCAGGGCTTCAAGGGCGAGCGGGGTCATGGTGCGGGTGGAGTCGAAGCGGGTACGGAGCATGGATTTCACGTGGGCGGTGAGGTTGCTACCGGGGAAGATGGTGTCGAGGATGTGTTTGTAGGCGGCCTTGACGGCTTCAAGATGCGGTTTGCCAAAGAGGTCGACAAGGGGTCCGAAGAGATGGGCGGCGTAGGTTCCGACTGTGCTGTTCCATACGCGTACCCAATCGTAGACTGTGTTCTGGGCTGAAAGCTCTTTCTTCGCACGCAATGCGTACTCTTCCACCATGGACTGTTTGATGACAATGCCGTCGCCCGAAATTTCCAAGAAGCCCATGTCAAGCCGACCAGGCTGGGCAGACACATCATCGAACTCCAACTTAGTGTGGCCTGAGAAGATCGACAACTCTTGCATAGCCTGCTCGTTCTGCTCCTCCGTACCCACGAAGTAACACCTAGACCCAAGACGGTACAGAGGCAGGCCTGTCTTCTTGCTGACAGCCAGCTCGGCAAAGAACATCACCGCCTCCGTGAGCAGAAGCTCCATGCCATGCCGCTCCGGTACACCACAAGCACGCGTAATAACACGGTCTCTCGTACCACGCACCGAAGGACCGATATTCAGACTCGCACCAAGGAAGCGCGCGAAGAAATCCACGATTATCTCTGGGATGTGCAAGAACTTGAGGATCACCAGGATAGTTTTGTGCGGCAGTGCTGTCGCGAGTGAGTGGAAATCAACAACCGAGCAGCTGGCTTGACCATCCAGGGCAGTGCGGACCGTGACCTCAGCCGCCAGTGTCTTGATCAAGTTTGCCTGCACCTCCTCGACCGGCGTCAGCTTGGGCTTGCAGCCGTTCGGCGTGGGCAGACGCGACATGAAGAAGTCGCGCTTGTAGATTCTGTAGCGCTCATCATTCATGGTGTCGAGATTGACCGGGGGCATCAAGAAAATCGCTGGTATTGGCGGAGGTGGTGGCGGCGGCATCATCATCATCGGTGGCGGCGGGGGCGGAGGCGGAGGCATGATCGATATCGCACGGTCGCACTTCTTCTTTCCCTTTCGAACTTTGACAGGCATAGGTATGGGCGGAGGCGTGACGTAGACGCCCTGTGGCACGCCCCAGCTGAGGGGCATCGGCGGAGGTGGTGGTACTTGGACGAGGAATTCTGGCGAGTCGGATGAGTCTTCAGACAGGGGTTCGAACGGCATCTGGCCAAGGAAGAATTCGCGCTCCTTGCTGTCGTCGATAGTGAGCTCTCGCTTGTAGGTTGCGTCTACGAAGCGAAAGAAGTCGTTGAAGCAGTCCTTAAGCTTCTGGGCCCAGCCGATAGCTGTGCAGTGCAGGAACAGCATGTCGACGAGATCTTCCTCGATAGTGACATGGTACTGACCCTCAGAGTCAAGTCGGGCTGTGACAGGCAGTCCTTTGGCCGCTTGCTTCCAGTCCCAGGTTTTGAGAGACTTCATGTTCAGCACACCAATCAGCTCCTTCAGAGCGACCCCGCTCTGCAAGTAGCTCTCGAGGACCTTCTTCTTCTTCTTGTCGATGAGGTCGTTCTTGAGCAGGTCCATAATGCAGTACTCAAGATCAGATTCGTCGATGTCAGCTTCGCCCTCAAGCAATTCTTGACCATACTCATCCATCCTGTCACGTAATCTGGACAAGGGGTGTTTCGTGCTCTTGTCGTCCATCAGACTTTTCAGGTATATCTCCAGTGCTTCAGTGTCGACGTCTTTGGCGGTGAACGCCTCAGCCTCGAACTTGTCCCAGACATTCTCGAGCCTATTGTCAACGACCTCAAAGTCGTCATCGAAGGAGAAAGCATCCAAACCAGAAGTAGCCATCTTGTCAGTACCTGTCATGGCTTCCCTCATCATGTGCAAATGAAGGGAGGTTGCATCGTAGCGGTTCATCCGCTTGTGCAGCTTCTTGAGAATCTTCTGCTCGAACTTCAGGAGCTGATCATCTGACATGTAGTCGTCATCCCCAGTCTGCTCAACATGATCCGCCATGATCGTGAGTTCTTCATCTTCATTGAGATACGAGTCGAATTTGATGATATTATCGATAAGCGTTGCGATTCGTTCGCGCACTGTGACGTTGGTAGACTGTGGAGTGCCAATGCCGTATCGAGCCTTGAAATCCTGCTTTAGCTGGTCGAACTCACTGATTTTGAGTTCAGAAACCTCTCTCAGCGGCGATGCAATGGACATGGGCGTCATGTTGCAGGAATGTAAGTAGATTTGCCCTGCTACATGTTCGGATGAGGCATTGCGCAGCTTATAAGCCACCGCCGTAGCACAGTTTCAGTGGTTGCCTTTAGTGGAGGCACGTAGCACGTAACCTGCCGCAAGCTGAACAAGGCAACAGAGCGATAACAGCGCTCCGAGATAGCAAATGGACGCCCTTTGATGCAAAGGATATGTCGTGCATGCTGTTGCGGACCAAGTATTGGGGGCGAGCTTCCCAACCAGTGCATATTAAGCGAGAGCAACCAATCACATTGCTTTACCTGCACCCCGCGTCGTTGACCGGTCAAATTGTGACACCAAGTGTCCAGCAAGCTGGAGCTGATACGTTCACATGCAGTCATCCTCCGAAGAGAAGCTGCCAGCTCGTCTTGGGCCCATGCCATCGTACTGGATGCTGACAATTGTATTGTGACATTAATTACTAGGTAAACCGGGACCAGCCTCGTTATCCGTACTGGCAACACATCAGCCGACCCACCACGACAAACGACCGGTCTTCGCTGCAGACGTCTTGTCCTTCGATCGCATTTCAAACATCTAAATCTGCACAGCAACACGGTTTGTCTGGTACTTCTTCGTGCTTGGTAACAAGATGGTGCAGACGATTGCAACGCTGCCGAAAGCAATTGAGGTAAACTTTGGATTGTTAGTGCACTGTTTTGAGTTCTTGTTGAGGCTCGGCTGGCTTACCCAGACATATTTTAAGCTTTGGCTGTAGGCCCACTGCACACCTTTAGTCGCGCCGGCAACGACCGCTGGTGTGAGGCCCTCAATCGGTGTAGTCGTCAGATTCGCAGGTGCGGTTAGGAAAACCGTCACGAACTCGACAGCGCTGGTTACGGGTAGACCTGATTTGACTGCGTACTCTGCAACGTACTTTGGCAGGTTCTGTTCGAGCTTTGTAGCGAAAACGTTGTAGTAGATGGAGTAGCCGATACTGCCACCGACGGTACGGATGCTAAGTGAGAGCGCGGCTGCAGTGGTGATAAGTGCGTCAGGGCAGACGATCATGGCGACGGTAGCAGCCGGTACAATAACACCACCGATGCCGAACGAGGCGATGGATCCCAGTGCCACGACCGTTTGTTCGTTATCGGGAGTCATGACTGCAAGGGAACCGGCAAAACACGTCATGAGAACCACAGCAACGAGCAGAACTTCTCTTGCGCGACCTGGGAACACGGAGAGGGCGGCGTTGAAGACAATGGCACCGATGGCTGTGGTAAAGGCGGGAGGCATCGCTCGCAGACCAATCTTGACCGGATCAGGTTCGTACACAGACGTGAACGTGACGGGGAAGAAGTTCAGGATACTTTTGAGGTGTTAGCCAATTTGTAAGAAGTTGAAAGATTTGGAATGTTGACCATGCTTACCTGAAGAAGTTCATGCCTGCTGTAAAGGCAACAACGTACGCGAGAGCGACGATGCGCTGGCCCTTAAAAAGTTCACCAGGAACCATAGGATAGGGCGCAAACTTCCATTCCCACACGATCCATGCACCGATAAGAGCAAGGCCGAATAGGAGAGTGCAGAGGATGTAAGCGCTACTCCAGGCGTGAGTATAGCCACCAGAGTTGAGGGCAACAAGGCTGATAGTAGTTAGATTTGACTACATCGAAGCAAGGTTAGCCGACTTACAACAGAGTCAGACCGGTGACCGACAGAAATCCTCCCAAGTAATCAATCTTCTTCAAGATCGCGAGTCGCGAAAAGCCATCCGCACGGGTGTGAGCCTTGGGGAAGTATGTGAATAGCAGACCGAGACCCACGATGCCGTTGTAGATTAGCGAGACCCACGGACCCCATCGCCAGCCGACTGTCAGATCACGATGTGACCACAGCTCCACGTACATCAGATATGGGCAGAAGGGAAGGACAAAGGCAGTGACCAGTGCTAGCGAGTAGCCGCGATACTTGACGGGAACAACTTCTGCGAGTCTGGAGACTGTCAGCAAGACCCTTCACGTAACAATATACAAGCACTTACCCGGCTAGGCCTGTAAGCTCACCAATGGCGGCACCTACGCCAGATAAGGCCATCCCTACGATAGCCTGTCCAAAGGTCTGGGTAGATCCCACAAGCGCGCATCCTAAGCAGATACAAAAAGCTCCAAACAGAGCAATGTAACGTTTGCCGAACAGATCTTGGAGGTAGCCAGCATATGGGCAAGTGGCGGCAATAGCGAGGATGTTTGCAGTCGGCAACCAGACGATGCCACGGGTGATCCCGAGGTCTGCTGCAATGAAGGATAGAGATCCGCCGGTGAAGTAGAGGATGACTTGCGAGCCTGAAAAGTCAGCGCTCTACATTAAGAGATCACGGGTGTAGAGCATACCGGTGTACAGTGCCGCGAGAAAGACCGCCGAGAAGATACCGCGAATGCTCCAGATGACTTTGCCATCAGAATCGTCACCTTTCACGGCCGAGGTGTTCTTCATGTCCACACCCGACAGCGTTTGCATTTTGTGCAGATTCATCGATGATTCGTTCGTCTCGACATGCTCAATGTAGTTGACATCTTGTTTCTCGTGATCGGAGATTGGGGTAGCCATCATGGGCCACCAGCTTCGTTACGGTAGGGTTAGAACAGGTAGGGCAAGAGAGAAATTCTTTGGGGAGGTGCTTCGCTGGAATTGATCTTCCTGCAATACATCTTATCACTGATATCGACCCCCTCTCGACTTCGGGTAACATACTCCTTGCCGATCTAGACTGCAGGTCACAAACTTGACACGCCTTCAGCATTGTGTAGCGTACCATGGGGCGCTCTAGAGGGCCCACTTTATTGATCAACAGAGCGAAAAATCCGGGGTAGTGGCCTTGGAGACTGCGGGGAACCCGCTGTGGGCCTGCTGGTTACGGTCTCGACTTCCTCGACACATTTGACCGTCGCTGCTGTACCTGACTCGCCTTATGCGATACAGTACGCGACAGCGACTAAGTCTGGAGCTTTTCGGTAAATCCATCGTTCGAACCCCGCAACAGAGTTTGAGCATGAATCGAGCACTCGCCAAGGGACCATCACCATGGACTCGGAGTGGATGTGGAGAGCGGTGGCTGAATGCTTGCAAGAAGAGGGGATGGTCATGGGTCCTACGGCCAATCACAACGGCTGAGCCGCGACTACCGAATGCTGCGACGCAAACGGCAACATGTTCGCGACAAAGACCCATCTGCTTGGGCTCGCTCAAACTGAAATACGAGAGTTAATCTTGCTGAGCTGAGTGCGGCTCAAGCTGATGCGCTGTTTTGTGCACACCTTGAAGCTCGTGAGAGTCGATTGAATGTGTCGATCTGAACGGGTTGCATTGCTGTAATGTGACATTATGTGTTTGTTAGGCAAAAGCAACGCAAGGAGTGCCTTCGTAATTCCTTTTTGAAATCATCAGACTAGGCACAGTAGCAGCGCCTCGTCTTCAGCCTCAGCGGCAGACTTCGGTAAGTCGCACTCGTACTCGTGCTCGTGTTCTTGACCTCGAATCCCAATTGGGAATGCGACACCATGTTTCCAAGCGTCTACGGCAGTCTTCGCACGTGGCGGCGACGGATAGCATCCGTGATACGGCCGATCACTTGGCCTCGCTTTCTTCGGCGATCAAGCTCTCGACGTCTCGCTCCATAAGCCAGCTGCGCACATTGTCCATGACTTTCTCGAGCGTCTGTCCGCCTGCCATCACATCATCGAGGTCGTGTACAGTGGTGCCACTTCGATGGTCGGTGACTCTCTGTTGCCCGTAGTTGTACGTTCGAACTTTGTCGCCGCGGCCCATTTTGGAGACGCCAATGACACTTCTGCGCATCGCTACGATTTCATCTTCCCTTTTCTCTCGTCGGGCTTGCGCGATACGTGAGCGCAGCAATGTCCATGCCTTCTCTTTGTTCTTCAGTTGGGAGCGCGAATCTTGCATGGCGACTACGATGTTGGTCGGTATGTGGGTGAGTCGAACAGCCGACTCGGTCTTGTTGACGTGCTGGCCGCCCGCACCGCTGGCCCTCATGACTTCTTGTCTGACCTCTTTGATGTCGACATAGTAGTCGCTCTCCGGGTTGTCGAAGTCCTCTTGTACTGCGGAGTTCTCCTGTAAGCTCGGCAAGACGTGCACTGACGCTGCGCTTGTGTGTGTCCTGCCCTTGGTCTCGGTGGCCGGCACTCGCTGAACGCGATGCACACCAGCTTCACACCTGAACAGGCCATAAGCATTCTCGTTTTCAACTTCGAAGATGGCTTCTGAAAGCGGTATGCCAGCCTCGCTGTTGCCATTGATATTCTCGTACTTTAGAACGTTTGTTCGAAGGCCGCTGTGGTTGCAGAAAGCCTGATACATGCGAAACAGATCGCCAGCGAAGATGGCCGCCTCTGACCCGCCCGCGCCTGGCCGGATTTCGAGGATGCATGGGAGGTGGGCGAACGGGTGGACGGGTACAAGGGAGGTGACGAGGCTCTGCGAGGCGCCGGCGAGCTCATTGCGCGTCTCTTCCAGGTCATCCGCTGCAAGATCGCGCAGCTCGGCGTCGGTCGTGGAGTCGTGTATCAGCGATGTGAGCTCTGTGACAGACTTTAGCCCAGATCAGCCGCCGCAGCCACACGCAAGAACGAGGGCGCCTACCTCATTTGCTTTATCCCACGTCTCCAACGCCCTCACTACGGAGCTGCATTCGCCCAACCTCTTCGCCGATTTCGTGTCGAAGTCATTGGCGAGCTTTTCGGTAAGCGTCTTGTGCTCGAGAGCGATGTTGCGGGCGCGTGAGAGCAGCGCAGGTGAAACCAATGCTGAAGGAGCCGCTGGACAGGGTCAGCACAAGCAGAAGGGTGCTGCGGTGAGGTTCGTACCGCTCGACTGATGACGTAATTGACGCTGTACGAGTGGCCTTGCAATGCGCGTGAGGCAGCTGCGACATACCCACGCTGTTGTGAGCATACTTTGGATCTGGCGTGGCAGCGGAACGAAAACCTGCAACCATCGACGCGCTTTCCGAGAGCTGCAGGGCCATTCGGAACGCTGGCACGTGACGACTCGTCATTCCCGCCACGCGACGCCACTATATCAATGTCAGCCTCAAAACCGTCTCGGCACCTTCCTAATTCTGTACCTGGATCTCTACATATCAAAAGTGGGCGTCACTGTAGATCCACATCGAGACTCTCCGAGGCAAGATGGCCACCAGCGAAGTCGGCACTTGCACTTTTCCCGACGGCATGAGCACATCACATATCTCCGCGTATATCCGTGAACCACATATCCCCATAGATACCCCGCATGCACTGTGATTTTGTAGAGAACGAGCCTACTTACAGTTGGAAAGGACCGAACCTTTGAAGACTACTCGACACACACGCCCAGATAAGCATTGACCAGCCATGGCCAACGTCTACCCCCACCCAGAGCCCGAGTTCGTCCACTTTCCCAGTCGACGATCTGTCGTACACAGCACCAAGGGCATTGTATCATGTACCCAGCCTCTCGCGACTGCTGCTGGAATCGACATATTGAGGAAGGGTGGTAATGCCGCGGTATGACGTAATACGCCTTGCACCAACGACAAGATACTCATTGCAGACAGGACGCAGCAGTTGCTGTCGCCGCAGCAATCAATGTCACCGAGCCTGGGTCCACCGGTATCGGTGGTGACATGTTCTGCCTGTTCTACGATGCCAAGACCAAGAAGGTGTCTGCCATGAACGGATCTGGCCGCTCTGGTTCAAACGTCACGTTAGAAAAGATCAGGAAAGACCTCAACATCGCAGATGGAGAAAATGGCCAAATTCCAATGGACAGTGTTCATGCTGCAACAGTGCCTGGTGCAGCTGCCGGCTGGGTCGACTGTGTCGAGCGCTTTGGCAGTGGGAAAGTGAGCCTCGAGGAGATCCTTGCCCCTGCGATTGACCTCGCCGAGAATGGATTCCCAGTTTCCGAACTTTCTGCTACGTTTGTAAGTGAATTGACATGAAGATTACAGTCGTTTGCTGACTTCGAAAAGTGGGCGCAAAGTGAATCTGCCCTCCGGAAAGCGTCACCAAACGGGCATGAAATGCTCAAGAAAGACTCAACGGCAAAGGACGGCTGCAGAGCGCCAAAGGCGGGTGAGATTATGAAGAACCCAACTATCGCCAACACATTCAAGCTTCTAGCGAAGGAAGGCAAAAAGGGATTCTATGAGGGCAAGGTAGCCGAGCAGCTTGTGAAGGTTGTGTCTGATCTTGGTGGATACATCACTCTGGACGATCTGAAGCACCACTCCGAGACCGGATCTGAGGCTGTAGATCCCATCTCGCTGAAGTACACCGGTCAAGGTGTTGGCGAGTTCACAAATGGCGGCATCGAGCTCTGGGAGCACCCACCCAATGGCCAAGGCATCGTCGCATTAATGGCCCTTGGTATCATCCAAGAGCTTGAGAAGCAAGGCAAGATCTCAAAGTGGGGCCTGAAGGACCACAACACCGCACAGCATCTCCATGCGACAATCGAAGCCCTCCGCATCGCTTTCTCAGACGCCCACTGGTTTGTCACAGACCCAAACGTAGTCAAAGTCCCGTCTGCAGAGCTCATCTCACAAGAATATCTCGCTGAGCGCGCCAACCTCTTCGACCCTAAGAAGGCAGCCGACGCACCGATCCACGGTTCACCCGCCCACCTCCGCAGCGACACCGTCTACTTCTGCTGCACTGACGCCCACGGTAATGGCATCTCCTTCATCAACAGCAACTATGGCGGCTTCGGCACTGCCATCATCCCCGCCGGCTGCGGCTTCACGCTGCAAAACCGCGGCGCAAACTTCAACCTCGCAAAGGGCCACCCCAATGAACTCGCCCCCCGCAAGCGGCCCTACCATACCATCATTCCCGGCCTCACCACCTATGCAGACGGCTCCTTGCACTCCGTCTATGGCGTCATGGGCGGCTTCATGCAGCCCCAGGGTCATGTCCAGGTCCTGCTCAACCAGGAGGTCTTCAAGCTCAACCCTCAGGCCGCGCTTGATTCGCCACGCTTCTGCATCGGCGCGGGCATGCCCAGTGCGGACGGTAAAATGACAGATGCCACAGTTTATCTTGAGGAGGGCATCGACCCTGCTGTGGTGGAGGAGCTGCGCGCACTGGGCCATAATGTGCAGTTGCTGAGCGGCTACGGGAGGGGCATGTTCGGCCGCGGCCAGATTATCAGGAGGCATACGGACGATGGTATGACGGTGTGGAGCGGCGGCAGCGACCTGCGTGGTGATGGCGCGGCGGTGCCGTTGTAGACATGTCCGGTTCGCTTTGCAAATTCAATACACCCTGAATCAGGTTCATGACCCCCGTTTCCATCTTTCGCGCTGCCCACGTGACCTCATTCTACATATATATAGAGATCCACCGCCCTCTATCTCTATCGTTCTTCCTCATCACTCTCTCTGCATCCCTCTCCAAAAAGTTTGTGTTTTCTTTCTGATGGCCTCGCTCCCGCCTTTCCGAAAAAGCAATCTCAAACGCTGCATGTTTTTGCCATCCACTCAACCATTACAGAAAATAGACACTCTACACTCCCTTCAGAAGATTCTACAACGTTGATCAACTCCGATCTCTCCAAAATTACGAAAATACCTACTAATGTTTCTGCCCGCCTCTCGCCCTTCATCAGTCCGAGAACACCTACCCTGTACCACTTCCTCAAAAGATCTAGTTGTACCTTGGTGGCCTCGCTCTCTCCTATCCAGAAGGGAGCTCACGGGAGGTCATGTTTTGCCCGCCTCCCACTCAACACAAAATCGAAAACGAAAACTCTGCACTCCCCTGAAAAAGGCGTCCGTCTAAACTCTATGGTCTGGCCACCACCTCTCCGAGTATGCTGTTTGCACAGAAACATGGTTCTGCCTGCGACCCCGCACCTGACCAGTATCTGGACCGCAGCAATCCACTCCTCACTCTTCTCAGGAAAGGATATTGCACTCCGATTCAGGGTCTCGCTTCCGCCTCTCCGAAAATCAAAACACACAAGAAGCATGTCTCTGCCTGCCTCCCACCGAAAACATACATCCTTCATCTCTCTCCGAAAAGTTCCGTATTTCATTTACGCCTCCGCCCCTATTCCGAAAACTGGATCAAAGATCACATGTTTCTGTCTGCCATCCACTCTCCATTAATCAGAGTTCTCGCGAAGCAGATCCATCAATCTTACATTTGCCGAGCATCACCTTCTGATCTCACTCCCGGCTCTCCAAAAACTCGATGCCCTACATTTTATGTTTCTGGTAGCGACTCCCCACCCGATTAAGAATCCGATGTCGTATGGATCGGAAATGTACTGGAGATCCGTGCGATGGTTCTTCTGCCTGCTTCCGAATCTCACCTGGACGGTCATCATGGCGGCTGCGCTTCTGTCCCTCGAAACCCCGGGAAAGCGCACTTTATGGCTCTGGTCTTCAGGGACGCTCTGCTACACACCTCTTAGAATCTCGGAAGTTACGACAAATGGGTGCTCGAAAATCCACTGCACATTCTGCTCATGGTCTTTCTGTCGCCGTAAAAACACCGGAATTCCGGAATTGTTGCACATGCGCGTGGTGAATGGGTTGGGATACCATGCGATGGCTTCTGTCCCCAAAGACCTTTGGTCTTCACGAATGGCTTTGCGCTCTGGTTTCTGCGCTCGACTCCCAGCTCTCTGCGCTCAGCTCCCTGCTCTCGGCTCTCTGCACCACCCACCGTGAAATCAGATCGTCGCGGTGGGGGTGTGTTCAAAAAGTCAGCTCATCCAAATTCATGATCTCTCTGTCTACCTCCAAACTCTTACACATTCGCTTCTGTGTGGCGTCTGTGCCTCTGTCTCTCAAAGTTTGCTGATGAGGACTTATGTGGTTCTGTTCTTCGCACCACCCACCGTGAAATCAGACTTCCCGGAGGGCAATGTCATCGAAAATGGCGATAACAATTGACATGCCTTTTTCGCCTGCCTACAAATCCCATGACTGGGGTGCACGTGGTGTCCTGAATCTGTCGCGATCCATTATATGGCCGTTGTACTTCAAGATCTCTCCTCACATCTCTGGTTCTGCAGTCTGCACCACCCACCGTGAAATCACGCCTCGACATCGACATGTGTTCGAAATTGGCAATCCGATTGCAAACAGCTCTTTCGCTCTGTCCGGCGTCGAAACAGTTAGCTGGAACTCGCAACATGGTTGTCTCACTTCTGCCTCTCAACATTCATCATACATCCAGACACAACAGATATGCCTCTGGTCTCTGCTCCGCTCCACCCACCGTGAAATCAGACTGTCACAGTGGTCGGGTATTCAAAGACCGATTCGACAGGCGTATGGCTTTTCTGTCTCGCCTGCGTTTAAAATCAAAGCCTGGGGAGTGTGTGCGTACTAAATCCCTACTGATCACTCAAATGGTCTGCCCAGGTGCGCTTCTGCCTCGAAAATTACGCTGGCGTCTGTTTCTCCAGACACCTTCAAGGAGGAACTATGGCTCTGCTCTGCCCCTGTCCGCTCCATCCACCGTGAAATCAGCATCTGGCGTTGCCATGTCTTCAAAAATCCCGCATGGACTTTCATGGCTTTTCTGCTCTTCCCGCCTCTAAAGTCTAGGATTGTGGTGTATCCGCAGTCGAAAAACTCCGAACAGTCCGTGCATGAGGAATGGGCGTCCTTCTTCCCCTCTGAATCTGTACGAAATGGGACAGGATTTTAATCCATGTTCTCTTCTCTCTTTTCTTTGCTTCACATACCTTCAGATTCGTACACGCAACACAAATGAGGACTTGAGATGATCTAGTAATTATCACGCCATGTGGCGTTGGTCCTGTCTCTCTGAGCTTCCGTCTAGCAGCGACATGTTCTCCTCTCTGCTTTCTGCTCTACGCACCTTAAATCGAAGTCACCAGGGAAGAATATGGGTCTAAAAAACTTTGGATGATCTTCATGTCCTCTTCTTTCTGTCTCTGAGGAGTATCTGCGGTCGAAACTCGTCAAGAAAGTATGCATGTGAGTGCCTCTGTCTCTCCGAACACTATGATCAGCACTCTTATACTCGTTCTACTTTCTTTGTTCTGCTCCACAAACCTCTAAAACGCACTCCAAATGTCAGATATGGCCTGAAAAGCTGCGGTTACTCTTCATGTCTTTCCTCCTATCCGCGTACGATGTCTACACCATGGTGCGCAGTCCAAAATATGACCAAGGACGCGATATGGCGGTGTTTCTGTCTTTCTGAACCCCGAGAAATTGGCAGAACGACTCTGCTCTCTGCTTTCTACTCTCCCTTCTACTAAAACAACGCCATTCATAACACACGAAATCCTAAATTACCACAACGACTGCAAATGTCTTTCTTCCTTCTGCCGCCTTCCGTCTGGGGAAGGCTACCCACCAAGGCTCCGGATGTCTGCGAATGAAAACACACCGCAAACGCATCATGTGGGTGCTTCTGTCTCTTTAAATCCAAGTTTTCAAAGATGTATGGTTCTTCGCTCTGCTCTGCGAGGACTGGAATACTTGACATCGAAATTCTCACGCGCAGATGGAATGTGTGCTCGGAAACTGGTTGAAGGCGTTCCATGGCCTTTCTGTGTGCCTTTTTGAAGGACGGTTTTAGGGCGTGTACGATACAAAGACGTGTACATTCTGAACATGCTGAACAGTACGTCTGTCTCTCAAAGTTGCAGCCAAAGAATTTGTGGTTCTGTTTTCTGCGCCTCTCAGAGAGGCGTCAACGAAAGATACAGCTAGTAACGCGTACTTAACGATCCAAAGAAACGGACAAGCATCTGATGGTCCTTCTGTACTAGATGTTTTGAAGCTCCAATCTAAGTTCGCATTGATCAAGTATATGGGTGCTTGAAAAGGTCGAACAGGTAGCCCGTCACCTGTTTGTCTGATCTTCTTTAAAAACAGCATCTAAAGGGAGATGATTGCCTGTCATTTAGCTCCTAGCTTACAAGCTACGTATCAAGTTAAATGCACGCGATATGTATGTCCGTCCAAAGCTGAGGCAAGATCTATATGCACTCTTCGTCTAGGTGGGATGTGTCTCCAAAAGCCCTCGTACAAGACTTGCATGGTTGCGTTTCTACTCCGGACTCGGAACCGAGAAAGATAGACACACAATCCATGTGTATCCGAAGGCTGGAGACAGCCTGCGATGCTGCGTCTGTCTGGCTTGCACTAAATCCCAAGACGAAATTTATGATGATCGATCTGTTTGTCGACCTACATGTGTATACGCGCTTGACCTGGAAGTGTGACTGAAGCGTCATCTATTCGATTGACAAAGGCTCCAGGTGATAGTTCTGAGTCCTTTGTGAGTCACACTGGAATGGAGACGAGAGGGTGGAATGTGATGAGTGATGGTTCGTGGGTGCTGCAGAAAAGGGTCTGATTACATGCTCACGACCTGCGTTTTCGGGTGCGAATTGCTGGGCGGAAGATACCTGCGATCCCATCACACCTTCGCGAATACCATCTGGCTTGCGGTCGGTCTCATTTTATTCTGAAAGACAGAGTCATGGCTTTTTGCTCTGCTGTACCAACCTCGAGCAGAGATGAGACAAATGCCGACATGAAGCGTGCGCCAAAATTCAAATCACGGAATCTCTACATGCTCTCAAGGTTAAGCTTAACAGAAGTTATGCGGCCTCAAACGCACACTTGTATCAATCATGCTGCCCAAATAGGGCCTTGAGTTCTGTCCTTGAAGACACAAGTACAGTTCCATGCCCTTTGTGTTCAAGACTCGATCACGAAGACCAAGCCGATCGTGTTCCGGAGATCACACACATATGTTGATCTAGCAGGTTCTCACATTACCAAAACATTGGACAGCTGAGAGAGACAAGCAGTCCATCGCTTTCCGTGTCCCTGCGACCAGATATTGCGGAGACTTTCTATCCCAGTAGGGATGTTGCGAAATCGTGTTTGAGCGTAGACCTGCTCCATGCGATGTACGAAGAAGTCTCGCTGGTCTTGATCCGTCGAGGCGGCTCCAGCAACGAAGCACACCCAGACAAGAGCATGTGCGCCGCGGGCATTTGGAGAGACCTGTAACATGATTTCGATGAGCTGTTGAATATACTGGGATTGAATGGCGTCTTTAAAGCTGGAATTGATGTCTGAGCTCGCGGCGCAACGAGCGTAGATGTTGCATGCAGAGACGAAGCACTGCCGGATAAGATCTGTGTTGCGCCGATCTTCGCAATCCTCAGGTAGGTTCGAGTAAGAGAGGAAACCCATCAGAGATTCTGAAGCTTTCATCACTGTAAGAACGCCAACTTCCTCGCCAAGCAGCGGTACAGCTAGGAACTCAAACCTTGTAGCTGTCAGTGGCTGTATGATAGGGGTAGAATCGTTGGGTCACTCACATGTGCGTTTGTGCCTGCAAAAACGATGACAACACAGGATCGACATCTCGACCGGGATTGCACGTAGAGAGGCTGAGCAGCATCTGAACGAAGAAACGGAAGTCTGCGCTTCCCGTCACGGTCTCACCGACTAGAAGTACGATGAGTGTCGCCCACGTAAACTTGTTGAACACTCTGTCTGCAGACTGTTGTAGTGAGTCACTGCGCAAGCGCGATATGACAGCGGCACGACCCGCCTCTGCTGCATGTTGAAGCTCAGGCCGCTCACGACTGAGATGTTGCGCGGCCACAACACCGACCGCACGCCGCAAGAGATCGTCTTCCATTGCCATGGGAAGTACCAAAGACCGATATCCATTGAAGTTATTGTCAAGCACGACCATGACCGGCGCGACGATATCTGAAACTAACGAGCTGTCAATTACTCATCGGTTATGGAGGATCTATGTTGTCACTTACAGTATGAAAAGAGCATTCGCAGTTTCGGATCGATAGGCGCAATCCAAGGAGCAATTTCGAAGGGTTGTGTTCGAGTGACGATAGGGGAGTTGTGACCTCGGCCAATATCTTCCACTTCATCTTCATCGCCCTCGTCCGTTTTCACGAGACCCGGTAACGGTTTTGATGACATCTCATTATCTTTGGAGTCTTTTGAGACAGGCGACGAAGACCTCTTTGCGATTGAATCCTCCACCAAATCAACTTTCCTCCTTTTCTTGACTCTGTCTTCGCCAGGCCATCGCAATGCTTGGAACTCGGTGGTAGTCGGCAGCTCGCCATAGCCGTCATCTCCTCCAGCATTAGGTATCTTGCAGTCCTTGTAGCGCCCTCTCCTGGCCACACCGCCTGCGAATCTGATCCTGTTGGGCCCTGAGCACTCTATGCCCTTCTTCGCACATTTCAGGCAAGATGGCTCGGCTCTGTCGCAAACAATCCTGCGACGCGAGCACTGAAAGCATCCTCGCTCTTTTTTTGGCGTCTCAGCTGCAGACATCTAGTTGAAATACCCACGTAAGGGAGGATTCGAGTGTAGACCGAAACGCCTGGCGGCGGCGCCGCCACCACCGGAGTACCCAACGTTTCGCGTTCTTCAGTGTCGGAAATGACAACACACTAAGCGCAGGCCGAGTGAGCTGTTGTAATCGTGGTGTTTTACTGCACTGTACTCCATTACCAGGCGATGAGTTTTGCACGAGTACATTGCGATCTGAAGGTGTGTTTGCCATTCGGCCCGAGTTCGGCAAGAGTTGACCTCGATCATCTGGACCCGCGCACGGCCACAAACACGTGCCCTCTTCACCTTGCCATACAGGCCTCACGGGGCAAGCTACCAGTACAAGAAACTCGTTCGCCAGGTACTTCTTTCGCCCGCGAGGTACCTTACAGATTGCTTACTTTCTGGACGTCAGACTAGTGTACGAACCCCCCAACTCAGGCAATGCCCAATCAATCATCCACTCAGAATTGAGTACTTCGTCTATAGTCAGACGCTCACTAGGTCGAAACTTGAGCATACGGCGCATCAAATCAAGGATCGCCCGCGTTTCTTCCTCATCAAAAGTCCCAGCTGCCTCTCGTCTCCTTCTGTACTTCTGCACAAATTCTTCAAAGGCGTCCTCAAGACTAGGCCACGTCTCCCGATCGCCAATTGGCTGTCGAGGTATCACACCGTTCTCGCAATCCTCTTCCTTTCGTAGTCGTTCCCATTGGTTTCTCCAGCTTTCGGGGAAACCATGATAACCCAGGACATCGATTTGCTCGGCCACAAGCTCATCCTGTGTTTCTGACTCGCTAAAGATGAATTTTATTCCTAATATTTCCCAGATAGCAGTTCCAAGGCTCTATATGTCTGATGGATATGACAAAGGTTCATCCGGTTCGAAAAAAGCCTTGGGCGCTCGCTTCGCCAGAGGAGTATTGCAGTTCCTGCCCAGACGCTGCTCTGTAGCTGGGGAGAACGCCTCGCCAAAGTCGCTGAGAATTAGGCCGTTTGCATCGTCCAAAGTAAAATCTTGGGCTTTTTTACCAAGATAAAGAGGCACTACAGCTTGAGCCGGTACGTTGGGAGTGAGGGGTTTCTCATCGACCCGAGCAATGGGTACCATGTCAGGCTTACCAAATTTTTCTCGGAATTCCTCGACCGAGAGTCCTTCAAAGGTGGATGGAAGCCTTACCAACACGTTTCGAAGATGAAGATCTAGACTGTCTATCAGCTTTGTCTATGGCGACAGGTTAAGAAAAGAGCAAGACAAACCTCCATGAACAAAACCGCGTGAGTGCACAGACGCTACCGCAGTCGCTAATCTTGCAGCCAAAGCGCGTGCGACTTGTATTGGAAAGAGACGACTGAACGAGGCTTCCTTCAGATTCCCTTGGGCGGGAGTCAGCGTGTAACACGCGTGACTTCCGTTGGGTCCGTGAATATCGAATGCATCGAGAACACTCGGCAGCGCGTTCGTGTCAGGACCTGCGGGAGCTTTTGAGCTTGACCTCGAACTATGTAGTGCGCGCAACACATGAATTTCCCGTTGAGGGAGCGACGGGCTCGATATTCCGATCTTGACAGCAACGTAGCGTTTCAGAGTCTCGTCTCGAGCAAGCCAGATGGTAGAATAACCACCATATCCCAATTTGTCTACTATCCCATAGCGTTTGTGCAGTATATCATCGATCATTACGGGGTGATATCCTCCAGGCTCATACATTTCCAGGCGCTCCACCCCATCAATCCAACGATACTCGACCGATGGTTCCGGTGATGAACAGAACGACATGGTCGAGAACTGTGAACCAACATTGGTGACGCGTCGTGAGGCTGCACGAACACAAGTAAATCTAGCTTCGAATTCTGTTGATTTGCCAACTCGGCAATGATGATACTTAGGATTGAGGTATAGTGCTACAAGTCTTGAACGGAGCATGATCGAGTCCAAGCCGTCCTGAAGGCGGTGAATGTGGTCGACGGTTTACGGCGCCGAAGTACATGCAGGCTACCTAGGTAGGTACCTAGGTAGGTTGTGTCCCGCAAATCTTGCTTACCTAAACGTTAAGCACGAGCCTTACCACGTCTTTCCATACTTGTCAACAACCACCTAAATTTGCATTTGCAGATCGATCAACATCATATAGAATCAGCCTTTGAAAGCGCCACGCTCTGTCGGCGCGTACTGACTCGATGTCACCGTACCGCGCACCAGGACCTGAAATATTGACCCATTCAAGAAGCTCGAGGGCACTTCTTTCAGCCTCTCAGGCTCTCACAAAGTAGCATTGTCCACTAGATGGATCGAAAGTAGAGACGGGGTCTATGTGGGACTGTGCTGGCAGTCTCATGTAGATCCATATATTTCCAGGCAAGGGCGTTGAGAGCTTGACCACGCCTATATGAATCTGGTGTCTGTCCGTCATGATTCAATCTTCTCCAACATATCGTTCATGCCCACCCGCCTCCATCCCTCAGGGGTAATTTCGCTGATCTGCTCCAATGAGAGATACTCGTCCTTGCCGCTCCTCACCTCCGCATCCACCAGCCTAATCCCCGTCTTCTCCTCGTTGACCCATGTCATTAGCTTCTTCTTTGGGTTGTCTTCTCTCCATTGCGCACTAGTTTTCAGATACGCCAGCGGCTTCTCCTCACACCCGACTGCAAAACTAGGCTTCCCCGCGCGTGCATCCGCCAGTACCGCCGCTGGTAGTCTTGCGCCCCCACGCACTTCACGCCACAGCTGTCCCTCGGCAATCGCCTCGATATTCGCTGGCACGGTCATGACTTCAGTCCCGTCTTGACGTCGCAACACGTGCGAGCCGCGAATCGAACTTTCCATCCAAACTAGGCCAAAGGGCTGGACAATGCTGGTCTGTGCGCGCATGTCAGCGAGGATGTGCGCTGTCCAGAGAGAATGGTCGTTGTCGTCTCTATCCGTTGTCATGAAGGCGTAGACCTGTGCGTCAGTGGGAACGGCGTTGGGTGTTGCGACAAGTCTTTGCAAGTGACGGATAACAGTGGTCCAGAGAATATCGTGGTAGTCGTGGGTTATAGGACCTAGTTGTGAGTATCGACATGTAGGCAAGGGTACGCCGGGCGGGCAAGCGCATATATAGATGAACGACTTGAGATGCGGGAGTCTTATCATTTGGTCCGGTGTCGAGGGATTGACAAAAAGCGCATCACAACTCCGCACACGGAGGCGGATATGCTGCATTCTCGGAAGTACTTTACGAAGGGAGTCGCAAAGGTGTGTCGTATCTTCTTCCGTACGTACATCGTAGTCGAAAACATCAAGCTCGAGGTTCACGCAGGATGGTGGTAGTGCCTCCACAAGTTGAACGAGAGTTGAATGTGGAACTATGTCGTAGTATCCTCTGCTAAACCAAAAGGAGAAAGAACGGAGGTTGGAGAAGTGAGAGAGTAAGGGGACGAGCTGCGGGACTTGCTCGAGTTCGTCGTACGGCTGTGGAGATATCGTGATGGAACGGATTAACGTCCCGTATTTTCCTGTATCTAGTTGATTGCAGAAGGGTCCGAGACAATTAAGCGTAAGAGCGATGTTTCCGTAGAGAAGAGGCGTAGTGGCGTCCCACCAACAGCAGTTCACCAACAAACATGAAAAAAGGTCTTGAGTGGTGTCGCTGGTGCGTTTGAGCTGTGTGAGTATCTCGACCAGGACATCGTTAGGCAACTGGGAGAAAGACGAAGATGTCATTGTAGATGAGGTGTCAATACTGAGGTTACCTAGCAGGGGGGGCGTCTTACATATGAAAGACTGCGCCAAGCGATAGCTAGACAGGGTGTGTTTTAGCCTAAGGGCGGGCAGTCTTGCCCATGACCTCCGAACCCTGTCTAGCGTCTAAGTGGATCTTTTGGATTCGTTCGTCTACTGCGATGTTCTGTGCACGTCCGAGTTGATATGCGCAACCATGATTCTGATAGAAAGACTTCGTGCCAACTTAAGACTCTGCTCGAAACCTTGCGTGGTATGCGCCGTTGCCTGAACAAGCGTGAGTCGGCGAAGTAACACATTGGCACTGAGAGTTATAATCACGAGTGCAAGCACCTTAAAGGAAAAATCAACAGAAAGAGTAAGCATTTTAGAGTCGATGTAAACTCTTCATAACAGGTTGAACGACTTATCACTCTGGTCTTACTAATCTCCTACTCCCACATTACCTGCAAGCGCGGACCTCGGAAATGTTTGCGTGCATGTCCAAACCAATTCGCAATCGTGCAGATGGCCATTACGCCAATGACCGCCGATGCATAGTCTACCGAGAGGAGTCAGCAAAAACAACAATGAGCTACTCTAGATGAAACTTACTCATGCTTGTGCCTGTCACCGGTATGATAGTCGGAAAGTCGTAGAAGATGAGGACCAGAACTGCAAATCCGACAGTGGTTAGGTTTGCTGCCCAACCCAGAAGTGATGGGACTTTGAAAGAACGAGACTCTGGCAGCCACTTCGTAGATCGCTTTCGCATCATCAACAGGATCGCCGGAAATGCGTAAGTGACATGTTGCAAGATCAGGCCTGTGCCAATGAAGGCATTGAACGCGGATGTTGAACCGAGATAAATGCAGCCGATGATGAACATAATAGCGAAGTTGAAAAGCAGTGCAGCGATGGGAACTTGCTGCCTCTCGTTGATCTTGCCCAGCCAGCGACTGCCGAACAATGCGTCGTCACGTGCGAAGGACCACGTTAGACGGGATGCTGTCTGATGTGTCGCATTCAAAGCAAACGTAGCAGCCAGAAGAAGTAGTACCAGGAAGACGGTTGCCACAGCATCTGATCGAGTTGCTTGACGCCAGATCTCGAAGACAGGTACACTGAATGAATGTTAGCCGAAGGTATCCATCAGTTTGTCAAAGATCGACCTCTTACCCAGTGGTAGTTGTCACCACAGCCTCTATATCATTGGTACAGTACATCATGATAATGGCAAAGATGAAAGAAGTGACGAAACCGATCGAGACAGTGCTCATCAAGGCCCTAGGAACGACGACCCCCGGGTTCTTGCATTCCTCTGCGAGATGCACAGCTCCATCAATTCCGGCGTACATGTAGTTTGGCGAGACGAGACCCGTAAGGAAAGCGATGCCATTAGACCAGCCGCTCTCATTGAGGAAGGTTGTCCACACGGACTCCGTCGGCTGAAAATGCGGTGCGGTGCGAGCGAGAGACGTGATTACGATGACCAGGAAGCTAGCGATTGATACAAAGACTGTTCGATAAGCATAGTCAGTAACAGTACTATGACAGTATCTTCTCACAGGGACAGACTCACAAGCAAGGTCGTGTACCCACATTGTCCGTCGGAGTAGGTATATGTTGTACACTAACACGAGGACGTTGGCGGCCTGGTATACCAGAAACGCATGCCATGTCTGTGGGACATATGTCGGGTTCCAAAAGATAGCCATCCCCAGACATAGCTGAGGGATGATAATGGCAATGCCTGCACAGATGGCGATCCAAGAGAAAACGTTCGTCGCTCCACACCAATAGCTCTAATTTATGTAAGTGTTTTCTCACCAATGCGAAAAGCGCAACTTACCAGCCCACGACTCCATTTCTCAGGAGCCAAGATCGAGACCCAATGATACTGCCCACCAGCTAGAGTAACGTCAGAGGCGCGGACGTGAGAGTGATTGACGCAACGAACCTGTCGGGTAAACACTCGCCAGCTCTGCGAGTGACACTGCACAAGCACCGACCAGTAAACACATAATGATGGGCCCGTAGATTAGGGTTACGGGCCCGCCTTGAGATATCGCAAGTGCGAAAGTCGCTGCAATGCCTGCCCAACTGTTGCAGATGATCCAGCCTGCGGAGATGGTCTCCAAGCCGCTCATGTTTCGTGTATCTTCATTTTGGAGAACGAGGCCTTCGAGGTGCACATTTTGGACTTGACCCTGGTGCTGCGATGCCACTAGAGCTCGTTAGTCAGGTAGTTTAGATGAGGTATAGGAACTACGTGGGTCCTTACAGCGCTCAAGGTCAGTGTTGACGGTCGACTCGTAATCTGCCTTCTTCTCCGTTGAATCCATGATTGTAGCGAGAAGTACCTAGATGTTCAGCCAATGCGTTACCCTCGAGAAGTGCCAGCTGCGAGGAGGCTTTTGTATCAGACCGGCTGCTGTCTTATCACTGTCGCTTCCTGGTCTGGGAGATACGGACATGCAATAGAAGCGAAGGGCCGGCCGCCTATCACAGATATCGTGCCCCAATCGATCTATCTGGACCATCAGCCATGAGATAGTTGCCGGTCATTTGGGTTCTCCCTTTATTGACCCGATCGGGCAAGTCTGTGTTACCGACATTGCCCTTCCGGACCCTTCGAGTGCGGGGTTTGGCGCTAGACGCAGTCAGGGACACGCGGCGACAAAGCTTTGGCCCCGATATGATACGGGATCTGAGTAGCATGCATAGGCGAGGAATCTGAACGTCGGTGCCAATCAATTCTGGTCTTGTCATACAGAGTTCAGGGAATGCTTTGCCAGGATTTGACGTTAGCAACAGAAGCAAGGTGTAGCACTGATCGTGTCCAAGATCATTTCTGAACACTCTGTGCATTTGAGAATATGACTTACTGTGCTTATGCAAAGCTTAAAGCAGTTAAAGTTATCGGGACTACTCTTGTCATAGTCTACAGACTGGGTTTCACATTCTTCAGCTCTGCCAGCTCCTTCCTAACCTCAAAAGCTACTCTTGTGCCTTCCTCGATTGCACCATCGATGAAACTCCTCCAACCCAAGGCCCAATCCGAATTGGCGAAGAGGATATTGCCATGCCTCTCCCTCATGTCATCCAGATGTTTGACGAGCAGCCCAGGCGGCGAGAAGAACCATGCGCCCTTTGAGAACTCGTCTTTTGACCAGTTGTGAAACACTAATCTCTCGATCTCAGGCTTCTGCTTTTGCTGCGCGAACATGTTTGTGACTGCACGCTTTGTTGCATCGATATTGACTTCAGGATCAATATGCTTGTTGTCGCCTCCAAAGCAGACGACGTGAGTATTCCCTGCGGGTGTTGTGCCGTCACCGATAGCGTACATGAGCTCATTGGATGCTCTTGAGCCGGATTCATAAGTGACACCGGTCCAGGAACGAAGATCTTTGTTCGATATTTCGGCATGCACCTTGACACACTGATTGACGTGACCTGTTGCGATGGCTGCTTTCTTGCCAGTGCTGAGAGGCGGATCGAATGTCACGTCGCCGAGAACGTTGAGCGGCATGGCAGAGATCAGTCGTGCAGCATGGTAGCGACGGCCATCTCGTGTAGTGACTTCAACTTTGCGGCCTGTGTCTTGGATGTGCTTGACCGGGCTGTTGAAGGCATATGTAAGGCGTTTGGTAGCGAGCGCTTCCTCGAAAAACCTGATCGCAAAGCTCGATTGTCCATTTTTGAACTTCCACGTAATGAGCATGTCTATGCAGCCTGTGTAAGAATAACCACACATTGCCCACCAGTGCATGAACTCGTGGAAGCTCATGGTCGAGAGTGTGGCCCCGCTACAAAGTAGCACGAATGCTTCTAGTGAAGCGCGCTCTTGTGGTGATAGCGATGGTGCGATTTCGTTGATGCGATCCTGCGCCGAAAGATTGTCGAGCTCTCTCGCGGCTGGGACGTGGAACGTATCGTAGGGAAGAGGGATAGTGTTTCTCCCAAAGACTCCGTCAATGTTCGTGAACTTGTTCAAAGCCGAAATGAGCAACTCATCCTGCAGCTTGTTAGTGCGTGACTCGATGCTGATTTAGCAGTCACGAGCATACCTCTTTTTCGTGGCTCATAGTATAACCTTGCTGACCGATGTTCAACTCATAATGGTTTATACCATGCGAAAAGTCAAATGACTTCTCAACGTCATTCATCATCTGATATCTTGACATCTCTCGCCAGGTATTCGACTGTCCCCAATGCACCCATGTGCCACCCATCTCGAAAGGGTAGCCGCCGATATTCGATGACCATGAGCGACCTCCAATGCGGTCCCGTCCCTCAAGTAACAGGACCTGTAGCCCTTCGGCTGCAGCATTGCGCGCAGCTGTTAAGCCGCAGTATCCTGCGCCGACGACGACGACATCGTAAAGAACTTCAGCACTGGAGACATTGGTAGGAGGATTGATAACGCCAATGGAAGGCACACCAGCTACAAGACCGGCAGCAGGCGACCATGTGTAACCATCGCGGGAGGTCATGTTATGAGATCGTTGCGCTTATGGTGGACGGACGAAGTGAACAGCTGGAAAGTCTTGATAGCGCAGGCACAACGCAAACGAGTGAGGGAATCGGGCTTTATACGAGTGTCGGTGATCTCCCATAATTTCTTATCCATTACGATAGAAAAACCTCCGCTGATGGAGCGATGCGAAATCCATTTCGAGGCATTCAATCGAGAGATACACCCATCAGCTGCTCTAGCTTAGCGCCGCTGAAATAGCGTGATGCAGTGTGGGGCTGTCCCAATTGGGGTGTTAAAGTGAGAAGATACCATCATGATGTCCTGTACTCTAGAACGGCTCACATCCGGGAACAGTTCGCTTCTCGATTGGTAGGGCGCTGGCGACATGATAACGATCAGCTGCGTATCTTCTGGAGGTTCCATGCAGCCGCTGTTCGTCGCACCAAGTGGGAGCTCCTTCTGGTGTGATCGATGCAGCCCAAATATGCTGCTTCTGTTGATCAGATACGCTGCTGAGCGAAAGGATTCATTCGTTGATGAACAATGTTTTTGTAGAAATGCAAATGCATCACTCGGCACATTCTGGCCGACTTGGTTTCAGAACTGAAGGAGTATCCAGATGAGTCAGGTGGAGAGCCTGCTATCACGAACCCTACTCACAACGAGCGCATTGTACTTACTTTGTGAGCAGAGCACGTGATTCGCATTGCATTGCGATGAGTGAAAGAAGTTTTCCCAGGTTCTCGCTCCACAAAGTCGTCGGTATGTTGGGCTTTGCATGAATGTTTGGAAGCTCTGCAAACTCTGTCGTATGTATCGTTGTTCAACCATCTGGTGCAGGTACCGAGTTAAGAGGAGTCAAAGGCATTCTTTGTTGTCGTTGTTCAGGCGTGCACAAGATGTTCCTTCCTTTCACAGCTACACGGATCGCCGGTGCCATCTCGAGACGTTTGATGTTAGGAAGACGGTCGCGCGACTGTTAAAAGCTGATTGCGGTCGCGGCCGCGTTCACGATCATTGCTGACGATACACAGTGTTGGTGTGCGCACAGGGGCGGTGCAGTCCTCATCCAATCGGCAAGCATGCATGTGCTCGCAAGTTACACCAGATCCTCTCTCTTGTGTCTCTAAATAAGCTTTTCCGGTTTTTGAAAGTGACGTTCGCCCCACAAATCCCGTCAATGCTGAGTTTTCGATTGGCGTAATTGGCCAACTCGCAAGTCGCAGGTGCTGCCCCTTGCGGAAAGCATCCTCCGACATCTTAGAAACCTTCAACGAACCGAGCCGTCCGGCCAGCTTTGCACCATGTCTGATCACCAAAAGGCGCCCCTGCACAGTTCGAGCCATCCCTCATGACCTTAAGCATGGAGCCGCAGCAGCAGGTGAAGATCGCTGTAGTTGGTTCGGGCATGGCTGGGCTTGCGACAGCCCACCTGCTTCAACAAGACCGTCGCCAGAGATACGCCGTGAAGGTGTTCGAATCGGTACGTGGTGACGTCGATGGTACTGGAGTCGCTCAAATTCTGACAACACAGGGCAACACTTTGTCTCTTGACTCGGCCTCGATCTCAATACCCAATGCCGCGCGCACATCAGCCGACCGCGTCGATCTACCGATGCGCGCTTTCGCTGGCGGCTTCTACAGTAATCTAAAGTCCATGTACGATTACTTGGGTATACGTTACCAGTCGCAGCCCTTCCTGTTCGAATTTGCGCAATCGAAGACGCCCTATTACACACATGCGTCGAATCTACACCAGCTGCCTCGGCGACTGTCTGGTGCCAGCTTGTTGACATATCTTCTGGACGTGGTGTATCTGTTGGCATGTTACATATACTTCTCGCTCTGCTGCTTCTTCGTTGCTCCGCAGAGCGGCGAAACGCTGCAAGCATACTTTGAGCGCACGCGGACGCCCGAGCGCTTTGCGACCTACTACATCCTTCCCCTTATATCGAGCGTCACGACTTGCCCGCACGAATCGCTCCTGTTGTTCCCTGCCAGCGACCTGACAGAGTACAAACGAAGGACCCACCGCGCGCCGCACTACACCGTATCGGAGGGCGTTCGGGCAGCACAAGACCGGCTGGTACAGGGCATACGATACGAGCTTAATGCTGCTATCACAGCTGTCGAGCCGGGAGAAAAGGGCGTACAGCTTTCGTGGAGGCGGTCCAACGGACAAGAAGGATCAGAGACATTTGACAAGGTAGTCCTTGCGGTGGCTCCTGATGTCGTGGGAAAAGTCTTTGAACCCCTGCGACATTACATGGCACATATACCAACGACTCTCGTTGAGAGTATTGTACATACGGACAACAGCGTACTCAACACGAGTCGAGTGGGGCCGAGTAGTGCGGCGCAATTGATCCACCTGAACACGTCAACCCAGGGCAGACATGAGACTGAGTCACATCACGTCCAGCCGTGTGGCGCAATCGTTACGACCTGTCCTTTCAGCACGCTGGATCAGTCTCAGATTCAGCACTCCGCAAAGTTCACACGAGTCCTTCGAAGCTCAAAAAGCCAGCGTATTGTCAACGCAATATTTGGCCATGTCCAGAATTGCGACGACGACGACGAGAAGTCAGTACCATTGTGGAGGAACGGTGACGATAATGTGTATCTGGTCGGTGGTTGGTGCTGGGATGGTATGGTGCTGCTGGAAGGCTGTGTTATTTCTGCGATGCGAGTCGCTGATGCACTAAAAGTCGACGTGCCCTGGCGGCGCTGATCGCTTTATAATGTTGTAATGACCTCAAACTATGAACGCCTTATGTCTACATGCTGGAGCCCTAATCGCACTATTCCTAGAATGGCTAGACTACCAATAAATTGTAAACCTCGCAATCTGAACTTACACAGTGTGTCAGTCGGCAGATTCACCCCAACAATTGGCTCCGCATGCCGCCATGATATTGCATGCCCTCAAGCTGGTTGCCATGAGCACCCTGCTCTGGTTTGCGCTGCCGTTGTGTTCCCTCGAGGTGCCTGACAGCCAGCTTATGCAATCGCAGAGCTGGCCAACACGCTGGGTGATACTTCGGCTATACTTGCAGACCCTTGCCCTGCTCATCTTCCTTCCAAAGATATGGACTCTTGGCGAGCGACAGCCTGGTGGAAAGGGTATTGATGACGTTCAGCAGGTTTGCAGAAAGCTGCTCCTGTATACTGGACTGCCGATCCTTGCCCTAGGCACAGTATCCGCAGGCGCCCTTGAATTGGACAGCTGGAGCTCAGAGACGAAACTCCTGATTGCTCTCGGTATGGCTTTGTGTTTCGTGCCGAAGTCGGGAAAGAAGAGCGTGTATGGCTTGCAGCATGGCAGATTACATCTTGATACAAATGTGCCGATGTGGATGAACATGGGGTACTGGAAGGTTAGTGAATTAAGTCTTGGGTTCTGGGAGTCGTGCTAATATTTTGTTCAGACTGATGAGAATGATGCCCCAAGGCCCAAGAGTCTGGCTGCAGCATGTCGAGACTTACTGAACCTTGTGCTTACTGAAGCTGGGATACTCGACGGAGCGGACTCGAAAATCTCGAGGTGTCTCATTGACGTCGGCTTCGGCTGTGGCGAGCAGACTATTCACCTGATGAGCGAAAAGCCTGTCCGGCCTTCTGACAAGATGTGGTGGGACGAGGAGCATCAAAGCGCTTTGTTCGATCAGTATATCGGTATCACGCGAGACGAAGGGCAGTGTCGATATGCTCAAGAACGCGTGGACGAACTAAAGAAGGACAACGTTAACCTCTTCTGTGCAGATGCTTCAAGACCTGATATCTGGGGTAAACAATTGCTCACTTCCATCAATACGGCGGGTGCGAAATCGAACGAAAACTGGCTACTGGCTTTAGACACTGCCTATCACTTCTCTCCGTCGCGATGGGTCTTGATCAAGTATGCGTACAGAAGCTTCGGGACATCGTTCATGGCATTCGATCTCTGCTTATCACCACATGCAACGATGCTACAGAAGCTGATTCTTCGAGTCCTGACCACGCTCATGGGTGCACCGTGGATGAACTTCGTTACCCCCGAGGGCTATCGACAGAAGCTTGTAGAGATTGGCTACGCGGACGATGACATCAAGATCACCGACATCTCTGAGGACGTCTTTGCACCTCTGGCCGAGTATATGGACGATCAGCATCGTAGGCTCAAGCTACTTGGTCTCGGTCTTGGAAACTTTCAGGCAGCTAAGTGGCTGTTCGGGTGGTGGGGAAGTACCGGTGTGATACGTGGAGTCGTAGTGGTTGCGAAGCGCGTCGGGGATCAGTGAATGGAGGCGGAGTCTCGTGATACGGTGACAGTGAGCTAAGCTCGAATCACGATTCAAGGCGCGTCCATTGTTTAGAACGCACTTCACTCTGCTAGACTCTGTTTTCTCCACGCGTCTCATCGCGTGCTGCGAGAGGGTACGCGACTCCCTGCTTGTCATAAAATACCTACCTGGTCGTCCCCTCCGCTACTCCCACCACCTCCACTACACACCTCTACCTCACAACCACTCAATCAGTCAGCCTCTCAACAAGATTAAAACAAACATTGTGAGTAACCCCGAGTCAGAACTACTTTGGCCACGGCCATCACGACTGACATCGGTAGCACTCGTCCATCATGAGTAACGCAGAAGGAGATCCGATGCCACATCCATCCAGGCAGGAGTTCTTCGTCTATGGGATGATCACTGTATTGTTGGACAGTGCAATGGACTGCAACATCTGTCGCGAGCCACTCCGAGTGGATGCCCTCACCGATGACGAGACCGACTCGGAAGCAAGCATCGATGCTTCCATCAGCGATGTCATCGGAGAAGCTTCAGACGACACACCCAAGGGTGCACGAGTGGATGCTGCCGAGACCGACCCACAAGCAAACGTCGAGGCTTCTATCAGCGATGCCATGGTAGAAGATGGCGGCCACGAACCCGAGGTTGCAGTCCGTATCGCTCACTGTGGTCATGTCTTCGGTTACACCTGCCTCGTCCACTGGTTCAGCACATCAGAATCTAATCGATGCCCTATGTGTAACCAGGAGCTCTTCCCGGTCGCTGCCAAAATCTTGATACCTTTCGAGTGGCCAACTTTCGGACAACGTATCGCTTTTACGTACCTCGTTGAGACGCACCTGCGCGACCCCCAAGGTGCGGCTGTGCTTAGGGAGCACCTGATGAGCCACTGGACTGCACAGATCATGCTGGACTTCTTCAACGAAGTTCTCGAAGAGCCGGGTCATGAGCTTGTGTATGTGAACGCGCCAGCTGACTTCGATATGGATGAGGTCTATGATTATGAGCTCGATGACGATGAGGACTCTGATATCTTGGGTGATTGATGCATAAGACGATGAGACGGAGGCTAGAGAATTGGAGTACGGCGCCATTGACGTCGCAGGGGAGCATATCACTGGAATGAACGAGGACTGAGGCAGACGTGCCGAGTTGCGCCACACTTGGACACTATGACATCGACATGGGTTTGGACGATGCTTTCTCCTATTACTGTACTTTCGATCCGGACCAACGGCTGTTCGAAGATAAAACGGTTTACTGCTATCATCAGATTGTTTGGAAACAATGTCACTGGAGTAGTCTGTGGCAGATCGAATATACAATGTTTTTCTACAATGCACAAGTTTTACACCCTTTTCAAAACTTTCTTCGCGACTGTCAATCTCGCTGCAATGACACAGAGAGCAGAAATCGTAGCCATTCCGCCAGCATAGAAGATGGCAGGTCGATAGACCTCGATGCTCTGACCAATACCTGCAGCTTGCTTGCTACCACCGGCCGCTTGAAGTAGGTAACCTGCGATCGGCGCGCCCATTAAGTATCCAGCTGTCCAGCCTGTCACAGACATACTCATTGCGACGGTAGCCCGTCCAGGTCCGAAGATGCCGGCCACGACAGTAGGCTGAGTAGTGAAGTAAGCCCCATTCGCGACACCGTTGACGGTTGCGAAGAGAACGAGTGGCGCGAGTGTGCTCGATAACGGCCAAATGGCTAGCATACTGACAGCGTTGAGAACCATCACCATCACAAACATGTTAAGAGGGCCGACCTTGTCGCACAGTGGTCCCGCAATAAATCGTCCGATTGCATTGCAGGCGTTGAAGGCTGCAACGAGGCCTGCGCCAGTGCTGGAAGTCAGACCAATTGATCGTGCAAACAGCGGAAGGTAGTATGGAGGGACGTAGAGTGCGAAGACACCGATGGCGCTGGCAATGAAAGTCGCAACGAAGGGCACGGAGCGAAACATGCTGGCATCGAAGAAGGGTGCTTTTTTGAGTGGCACTCGATCCTTGAGTAACCAAGCAGCCGGCATGCCAATTGCAAGCGTCATTAGCCCTTGGAAGCGGAAGGTCCAATCAATCCCGACTCTTTGATACATGGCGTCGAGTGCAATGGACATAACGCAGCCTCCAACGCCTCCACCAAGTTTGATGAGTCCGTTGGCAAGTCCGAGACGGGAGCTGAAGTACTGGACCGGAAGCGCGTTGGATACAGCGTAGTTCATAGCCATGCCTACTCCACCAATACATCCAATTGTTCCGAAAAGACCCGCGATGTTCGAGGTGCAGAAGCTAGCTCCTATCAAGCTCATGCCCATGAGGATGACTCCAATGAGCACGGTCACCCGTGCGCCGAACCAGCGCATGAAGCGAACGACAAGAAGACCGAGACCGGCGCCAAGACCGAGACCCAAGGATCCGACAAAAGTCAACGTTGAAGCTTTTTCATTCTTCATGGTCGAGTCCAGGAGCGCAGCTTGTAGCACACCCCAGCAGTTGATAATGCTGTTGTGGCAGAAGGTCGTGATGAAGCACGAGGCAACGATAACCCACCCGTAGCCACCATCTGGAATCGCTGATGTAGAGTAAGGCGCATCTTCTGGGACCTCGTCGGGGTTTCTGTCAATGGAGATGGGTCGTGAGCTTGCCGGGGTGTAGGCCGTAAGCGGCACCTGAGACTCTCCAGGTAGATCTGAGAGCCCAATGCGCTCAGCGGTGATTGTCGTGGTAGCCATGTTGACAGTGAGTTCGAGCACCAGCAGTCGTCTGAATGAGAGTGAACAACGTTGGACAGTTAGTCATTCTTTTAAACGTAACAGTGGTCGCAGCCAAAAGGGTTAGACTGCGCCCTTCTACATGTTCGTCCTGCCGCTTTGAAAGGGCTCTCCGAGATCGCAGGTACTTGTACTGACATTGTTTCGCAAGTTCCAAAGCATTTTGCAATACAAATGCGCATCGTTCGATTGCTAAATGCTTCCCTTCACAACGAGCAGATAACAAATGTAAACATTCATTGTCGAATCGAGGATGTCTGCAGACACATGGTTGACATCACCCTTGTCGCTTGCGTCACTAGGGCGTGCAATAACCCACTGGCGACAGCTGGGCACGTCTTATTTTAGGTCAGCAGCTTTAAGCGCAGCTAGAATAACATTACTATGAAGCTCTCGTTAACAAAAAGTCTGTATCCTGCTGTCTCCATTACGGACGAGAATTCGAACAATTCGAACAAAATCGATTATGTTGTGCTGTTGATGTTAGAATAAACTGTCGGTGCTGTTCGCTCGAGTCCGGCGCAAGCGCACGAAGTAACCGAGGATAGCCGGGCGCAACAGCGTTCAGCACCAGTCGACCTACAGAACAACGAGCCTTTGCGCCCAGCTGGCATCTATCTGAGCTCTGGATTCTCCATACTGGAGTTGCGCTTGTATTGTGGACACAAATTTTGGACACGCAGTCGCCAGTCGTCTGCCGCTGATCAACAACAAGATTGACATGTGCTTCCACTCGAAACAAGTCCTGGACAGCGCATAACATGGCATAATCCCGGTATACCGTAGGAGCACACATACGTAAGCCGAGCTGCTGGCATCCAAGGTAAGTAAGAGTATTGCTTGCGAGTCTACAATTCATTACCCGAACCTTTATTGTGAAGAGGAACTCAGCGACACCACCACCAACACCATGGCCACCGAAGAGACAGTACAGCTGAGCGAGGCACACGCGCCTCAGCAGGCGTCCATAGATGCAGTCGAATCTATATTGGATACCCTGAAGGAGGAGCTCGTGAAGCTTCGTCGCGACCACGATCGTACGCCTTTCTAGCGCCCATGCATTATTACTCCTTCTGACCTCTTCAGGACACGAGCCAGAGTACTTCCGCGCCGTCAAGCATGTCTCCGACTCAGACCTGACTTCATTCACCGCCGGCGACCTCGAGTCCGTCCGCGCCGCCATCTCGGCATATGGCCTGCACTTGTTCGGGAAGATTCAACTTCCAGCCGTCGACGACAGTTATATTCACATACGTGTGTTCGGCTCGCCGAAGGAGGGCACAGATGGTAGCAGTGCGGATGAGCGCGAGTACAGTCTGCATAGCATTCACACCGAAGAGGTCATCAGGGAGGACGGCGACAGAGTGTACAGAGCCGTGTTTGGACGTAACGATGAGCTCGAGTGGTTCGACACATAGCGGAGTAAAAGAACCAAATCATATCGAGCTGGAAGAAGTCTTCTTCTCTAGCATAGTTCATAAGCACCTTCCTTCATAGGTAACATGCGCTAAGAGCTAGTGACCCACTTAATCACGCCCCTCGCACCGCTCGAGAAACGCGACGAGAGCCCTCGACTACTTCTAATCACACAGTCGAAAATGGCAGCGCATTTTGAGATTGCAGAAGCAAAGCCTGTAGATGCTGAAGCAATAGCGTCACTCTTTGCACTTTCGTGGGTCTCACCTTTCACCAGATTGCAGTTTGGCGAGATCGATCCAACGGAGCTGGCGACCTCCATGGCACCCCGCATTGCAGAGCAGATAGTAAGAGTGAGCTCAAAATTTATCGTGGCGCGTCACGTGGAGACGGGTAATATTGCAGCTATTGCGCAATGGACAACGCCTGTGGAAACGGACTCCAAGCAGGAGTTGGAAGAGGACCGCGACGAGCGCCAGCAATTTGAAGATGAAGCATATAGACGCGGTTTACCTGAAAGTAGCAACAAGGATCTTGTCATGGCGTTTACACTGGGATTGCGACAATTGAGGGAGGACACCTTGCAAGGACGAAAGCATTACCTTTTGGAGAATCTGGCGACGCACCCTGATTATCGCGGCAAAGGCCTAGCGAGCCAATTAGTCGAGTGGGCATCGTCTCTTGCAGATGAACAGCAGGTGCTGGTGTACCTGGATACAGCGAGCGACAATCCTGCTGGCCGATTGTACAAGAAGCTTGGTTTTGAAGAGCAAGGCAGGAACACCATCAGCGACCTTACCAACTACGCTGCCACCGATACTCTCAAAAGGCTTGGTTGTGGGTCTGAGCATACGCACGTTGCCTTTCTGCGCTTTCCACGCTTACAAGTTGTCAACGGAACCTTGTATTAGACGTTGTGGCTGTCAACACTTTCTGTAGAACAGAGGCCCTTAGTGCTCTCTCACCTGGTCATCATTTCCCGCTAGGTCACCGCCGATCTGCCAATATAAATCTTACTCGAATCTCTCTTCCATCACTCAACTCAGACTTCTTTACCACCTACTTTACACTCACACTTGCCTACAGAGCTTCAAGTGTGTAACAATCAACGTGGTGAGTATCCTCTATCCTGGCTCATCGATCCAGTATCCTGACCTGTACAGCCAGATCACGCGGCACCATGGCGGGAGATCGTGAAATGGACTCTACGCTTGGAGCAGAGAAGTCAACCGATGATCTACAGCCTACCACACCACCACCGACGGTTCCAAAATAAGATGGCTCTTATCTGGAGGACATACCTTCCCAAGCTTCTGTGAAAACGGAAAGTGTCGAAGCGCATCCGGGAGAGGCTCTTCCTCAAAGACAACCAGTTCGAATGGCCAAACGTAAAGGTAATTCTTAGCTTTGATTCTCCTTAAGCCTGGCTAACCTGTCTCAGCTTCCGGTGTGTGCATGGACATTGCTGGCCATTTCGAGCAACTCGACCGTGCAGTCAATGACGACGATTACGGTGAGGAGGAAACGACATGCCATGATCCAGACTCCGAGCCTGTGCCGCCCTTGGTACAATACACACCAGCGTTTGCTGAAGCTGAAGCGCTGATCCGGTCCCTTGTGCGAAACATCCACGGTCACATCTTGAAAGAGGAACAAGACTCTGAGTCTACATACATAGCAGAACGAACAATCGCAGTAGAGAGTCCCGCTTATTCGCCAGCGTATGTCGTCGGCATCTCAGGCAATTCGGGCATCGGGAAATCTACCCTCATCAACGCGATTCTGGGCATCATATCTCTGTGTCCTACGGTAAGTTTGAGCGAGATAATGATTCAGTGTGGATATATACTGATGCAATGTAGAGTGAGAACGATGCCGGGACACTCGTTCCGATGGAGCTTGTGCAGGCTCCAGATGACCAAATACGACCGTTCGCAGCGCATGTTGAGCTTTTTTCTCTCGAAAGCTGTCTTAACATGATAAAATGGGCTGTGAAAGATTACTTCCATAGTTTCGTCAGCTCCGAAGCTGACGCTGACGATGGCCAAGATGTCGATCGCGGCTCTCCAGCACTCAAAATCCTTCTAGCAGTATTCTGCGGCTGTGAAGGCTTCGAAGATGGAGACTCGACCAGCGAAACCCTTGGAGAGCTTCAGTCAGAAGACGATCCACACATCTTGGGCAAGCTGCTGAACTTAACGCGAGATATCTACCGGCAACTGGCAGCCTACATCGGGAAAGGCCCGCTCCTTGCAGGCACTGCTGAAGAGCTTGCCGAGACTATCGAGCCGTTCATACAGACAGCGGCTTCACCAATGATAGATGTCGGATGCGACACTTATCTTGAAAGTTCAGTCTGGCCTTTCGTTAAGCTTGCGAAGTAAGTTTTTCATACGGCAAGATCATCAGAAGTATTGACGGCATTAGGATATCTTTTTCTCACCCAATCCTCTCTCGGAACATAGTGCTCACTGATCTTCCAGGTGGGTTCTGGTCTGTATACGTTGAGATTATTGCTCATCCATATGTGTAGGAATCACGGATACCAACCGCTACCGTGTCCGTGCTACAAAAGTATACTTGCGTAAATGCAACTTCATTCTGGTCGCTCACGCAAACACTCGAGCGGGTGATGACCCGGGCTTCAAGTCCAATGTCCTGGCATGTCGCAACATGAAGAAGAGTAGCAACATAGCGGTCGTCATCACACAGGTTGATGTACGAGTCTCGACACTTGTTTGGTTCTGCAAAATTGCTAACTTTAGTACAGAAAATCGGAAATGCCAAGAATGTCAAGGTGCCATACACTTTAGACGAACAAGGTCGTTTGAAGTCTATCGAAGACCACGAAAAGCTCGTCAAAGCCGAGCAGAAGCAACTTACAGCTAACCTGAAGAGTGCAAAGAAAAACTCTCTTAGCGACCTGGTCGACGAACTCCAGCGTAAGGAGAAGTTGTACAAGCTACACTTACAACATGCAGATAGTCTCCGCAGGCAGACCGTGGTAGCTGCTCGTGTACGTCAGGTCAGGTCAGAGCTACAGACATGGTTCCGGAACAAGACCAAAGATTCTAGTGACTTGCTTGTATTCTGCGTCAGCAGTGAGCAATACCTGAAGCATGTTCAGGATTACGCATTATTGAGTCCTCCGGATCTGCCGTTAGATCTCACCGGTATACCACAACTTCGGCACTTGATCCTCACACTACCGGGCAGACTTGGGAAGAAGGAAGCTTTGGTACACCATTTCACGAACGTAGTACCAGGACTACTCAACGCCATCTCGCTATCCTGTGCAGGGTTCAGGCCAATGATGAAACGGGAGCATCTTGCTAAGATCATAAAAGAGACAAGATTGGTAAGTGGCTGCTACTCAAGGGCTTGAAGAGGGGCTGACAAATCGTAGGAGATCCCTTCTCAGTATCGTCGCGCTCGACAAGAGTTTTGGACATCGTCTGTGGCCACAGTCCTGAGCAAGATTGAGCTATCCGAAAGCGCCTGGCTCGACAAGGCGGCCAAGTTAATAGCTCGATGGACGAAGCCTGCCGACTGGAAGCCCATCAGCTTTTACACGTTCTTGCGGCACGAGGGTGCTTGGAAGACTCCATCTTGCGGCCGCGCGGACTGGAACCAGGAATTGTTGGCTCTTGCGAACGAGAGCTTGCGCCCAGATTTCGATGCTCTTTGCGACATTGGCTTGAAATCGTTCCGAACCGAGAGACTGCAAACGTTGTCGGAGACACTCTATGACATGGAGAAAGACATTAAGTCTAACCTGGACTCAAACCAGTTCGGCGCATTCCACGACTTCTTCGATAACCTCGGCAAACAGAGACGTGGCGTCGAGATTGCTATCAAAGAAGCCACTGCAACTTTGGAAACCAAGCTTCGGTAAGAACAAATCACAAAATTGTTGAGCATACATTGATACAATCCCAGCCACCTTTTCCACGACTCGCTCACGAGTGGAGACACCAACCCGTTCACGAAGAAGATGAGTTACATCTACGGTCTGAGTTTTCACGCTTCCCCCACCAAGACCATGCGCACAAAGCATCAGATTCGCACACACACCTTCAGGGAAAAGGTACTTCAGCCAAAACTCGGTCCGTACATGGAAATCAAACATCACGTTGAGATCAACATCGACAGCTACCTTCTAAAGCTTGAGACGGATCTGCTTGAGAAGTGCGAATCGGTGTTCGAGCACATCCTCCATGACTTCAACAATGTATGTCCTCAACGCGCTGACGACACTCCCGGAGCAACAAAGAGAAGAGCTGCTCTGGGTAAGATTGTCGAACAGGCGAAAGGAACATTGGACGGCAATATCAGAATGAAGTTGCTAGAGTGTGGTCTCGAGCTTGACTGAGGTCTTGCGCGGTTGCAGTACGCTTACGTGGTAGCGTAGGGTGTGCATATACAGTACAGATGAGGTCTCGGGTATAGGAATCTCCTGTTTGGGTATCAGAGCGGGACACAGCGTGGCGGGCTGGCCACTGCAAGAGCGACCGGCAAGCGCGCTCCGCTTCGAACCATCCTGCACATGACAGGTTTGACAGGTTCATGCTCAGAGGCCCATGGTACAATGCAATGAAACATGACTAGCAAGCGATGCCACCAAAGCACCGCAATGCCACCACATGACTCCCGAATCCTAGTGACCGCGGTGTAAAACAAACAAAACATATCTGGAACTGGCAAGGCGGACATGAATATCTTACGAACGAATGATGCGCAGGTGGCGCCCACCCGACACCACGGTTGCCGGCCGTCGGCCCAATGAGGGCTGCAGAGCGGTCGCAGGAAGCCTAGCGTAGCCGCGCTGGAAGCCGGCCGCAGGTGTTGGACTTGACGCGAACAGGTTTACACGTGGCAAACAAAATATAGCGACGAATGGTAGAATTCACAGAAAGCCATAGCGCTTCGAGCAAAACAGGTCAAGGAACGGTCCGGGGGCGGTGAGGGGAGGATTGGTGGCTGGTAGACTTCTGCCGTGCATCTGGTTTCGTGAGAAAGTCCTCATGTGAAAGAGGCATAGGTTGCGACTGTGGCACTCAATCGGCTCGCAGAAGGTCGACAATGACAACTAATATTGAGTGGGGTCGCAGATCGCTGGGTGTTGCTGTGGGTGTGCCTGCGTGAGAACAGCCTGCAGTCGATCGGCAAAGGTGTGCTATCTTGATCTTATCGATTGCGCTTACACTCGCGATTGGAGTCTAAAAATAGACCGGAGATCGGCAGTTCGCGCGTCTAAGCGCGCAAACGTTGCTCGAGCCTGGCGAATTCCTCCGCACAACACCAGCATTACGACCACAAGGTACAGCTTGATTGCATCAGCGACGCGTGTCGATAAGACCAAGCATTATTGCAGCCGTGGCTTTGGGCCCTTGCAAGCTTGGACATCTCTGGAACGTCCTGCTTCCGAATCTCGAAAGCATGAGGCTGGAAGCGCTTATATACTGTGCCTCAATGTCATCCTCCGGACTTTTCCTCATATGGGGGCCGAATGCTAATTTTACCAAATCCTGCATACAATGTCTTTGTTCCGGCGGTTACATCACGCACTAGGCTGGCCACCTGGTCAGACAGCGGCTACACCCCATCTCTGTACGGCTCGACCCTCACCGGTGACCCAGACCAACAACGGCCGACACCTGTGCCGTATGCAGGCGTGCAGAAACCAACACTCAGCCGTTTTTCTTGGCATGATTTACTATGTTTGCAGGTGGCTGGGAGCACCTGTTGCGCTTAGGCCGTGAGGTGAATGGTCGATTGTGCTGGTGATGCACCACTTTTCGAAAAGAAGGCACAGTCGGTGTGGAAACCTCCAGTGAGAGCTCGTTCCTGGAGTTTCATGCAGCTGCATTGCATGTGCGCTGCTGTATGGGCCTATATCACAGCGTGCATGATAATACTGTGATGTATGTCACTTACACAGGTAGAGTCGGACCGCATCTTTTCAGCCCTACTATTGCTATCCTCTTGATTTGAGAGATTTTATTCCCTTAGTGCTTTTACTCCCAGTTGTTACACCAACACCCACGTTCACTATCATGCCTTATCCAATTTCAACGCCCGGGCAGGCCTCGGCTTCTCGCAACGGCAAGCAGTGGCCAGCGTTCCCAGGTATCCCTATCTTTCTTGAGACCCATGATGAACGGACAGCACCAAAATCGTACGGAACAACACCTACAACACCCACAACACCAGAAATTCTCACCCATGGGCGGCCAGCTCCTTCGGACCCAGCCTATCTGACGGCACGGGACGACAGCTCTCTGCAGCACAGTCCCACTACAACAATTCAGACGTCGAGTGCCCGTTCGTCTGTATGGCCACTCCCTGAGCCAGCACCAGAGGTGCAACAACCAAAAGATCAAGCTCGACCATCTCTCCGCTTCTTTCCTACCCAACGTCCCAGAATCCAACTTGGCAGCGTGCCTACCCTGCAGATACCTCAGATGCCACACATGCCACAGGTTGATGAGAAGACACCTATAAATTTCTTCCATCCTGGCCTTGGGATCTGGAATGGCGGCGAGAAACCACCCTCTGTCGAGATAACACCACCGCTTGACGAGAAGGTCGAAAAGATCGAAGAAGAGACGCCCAACCTTGCCGAGCGCATCGAACAAAGACTCTTCCAGTACAGTATCTCAGGGAACATTGTTAAGAGATGGCTATTGGAGCTTGTCAGTTGGGTCTTCAGCGCGTTATGCATGGCTGCCATCATCGGTGTGCTCATCTATCTCCAAGATGACAAACTATCGAACTGGACTCTCGACAAGAGGACCGGCCTGACACTGAACGCTTACATCTCTGTTCTGTCGAAGATGGCTGGTGCCGCATTGATCCTCCCTGTCTCAGAAGCACTTGGCCAGCTCAAGTGGAGCTGGTTCCTGCAGCACTCAAAGCAGATGTGGGATTTCGAGATTTTTGACAACGCATCTCGAGGTCCTTGGGGTTCATTGCTACTTCTTATTCGAACCAAGGGCAGGGCGCTCGCGGCTCTAGGGGCCCTTATCACCTTAGGCTTGATGACTCTAGATCCCTTCTTCCAGCAAGTCGTCGACTTTCCGGATAGATGGGCACTGCAAGATGCGCCAGCAAGCGTTCCCTGGACTGAGCGCTTCGAGACTGGCGATATCTCCGTATACAGCGAAGACGCGCTTTGGGCAACTGCAGACTCGGATGTTGGGCTTGTCGCCTCGAAGTTCTTTTATGGCAACGGTACACAACCGATACCCTTTGGTAACGGTACTCGGCCTGATATACCACTTGTAAGTACAAGTTCCAACCTTTTGTGAAGGGCGAATCTGTTGGTCTTCAATAGCACTTCATACCAGCACATTCTTCCTGTCGTTCGAGCTCTGCACAAACAGATACACCTGCTGATACATTCACTTTCACAGTCCTGCCCAACCAGCAACTGCACATGGCCAGCTTACGACACTTTGGGTGTTTGCAGTGAATGTGCAGACGTTTCAAACTATCTAACCTACGCTTGCGTTAATGGTACAGTGGATTGGACCTCGAATTTGACCGGTGGATACAACGTGGATAATTCATACCCTAACGCGACAATGTGCGGTTACTTTCTCAATTTCACGGGCGAACTTACGACAATGATGTCCGGCTACCTCCTTGAGCCAGAAACTTCTGAACCGGGAGAAGCACTTCTTGTACGGACGTTACCGATGGTAACAGTGTTCGACAAGACACCTGTGTATGGCAATGGATCCATCATGTTTCCAGACGTTCGAGATCCGATCGCAGATGTTTTGATAGTGTCTGCTGCAGACGGTACAGCCAGCTCGGTATACAGACACGAGGCACCATTGGCACAAGAGTGCGTCATTTCATGGTGTGTCAAAACAATCAAGTCGTCATACGACTGGGGCGAGTACAACGAAGAAGTACTTGAGACACGCATCAACACAACTGCAGGTCCGTTCCCTTGGCAAACAATGGCATTGGATCCATCTATTGAGGCCACAAACGGCACCCAAATCTTCTTCGCCGACGACATCCACATACACGTCAACTCCACTGATGCCAATTCGACTATGAAAAGCTACGGTACTTCTAACAATACAGCCTACTCAATAATGGTTGTCTTCGATGATATGTTTCCTTCTTTCTACACGGCTAAGGACGCGTCTGCGGAACCGGTTCTCAGGTTTTGGACATGGAAAGATGGCCCAGCATACACTCAACATCCTATATTTAACCCTTGGCTTGCACCAAACAACATCTCGTCCCACGTTGGAAGACTGGCCACAGCAATGACCAACGTCATCCGGTCGAAGACCGGTAAAAAATGGATAGACGGACACTCTTACAGTATGGAAAACTATGTCGCTGTGCGCTGGGAATGGCTTACTTTGCCTCTCGGACTCCTCATGATGAGCTTGATCTTCCTCGCGGCAACAGTATTCAAGTCTGCCCACGAAAGGGAACAAGTGGGAGTACTCAAGAACTCAGCTATTCTTACTTTACTTCATGGAATTCCTGATAACATGCGAGGAAAATTGACTAGATCCACAAGTAAAGGTACGCCAAGAGCAAAAGCTAAAGAGTTGAAGGTCAGATTGCATCCGAATCTGGGTTGGCGGGTTTCTGGTAATGTTTTCTCGCCTATGATCTCCCGAGCTCCCAAAGCTCAGCCGCCTCCTGGTTGGATCTGAGAAAGAGCGCTCTAGAAAGAAGATGGTTTATTAAGACTACATACTATATGAGAGATGTTGCTCGTGCACCTGGCACAGACACCAACAAAAAATAACAATCAAGGAAAACAACCCAAGTCTCCACTGGGATATCTGTCTAGCCACCTCGCCCACCACGGTTGATGCGTTTGCTCAGAGAATCAATGCTGCTTTCTGCCTCAGCTTCAGCATCTCGTCTGCCACGACCACCACGGTTGATACGTTTGCTCAGAGACTCGACGTCACCTTCTGCTTCAACTTCAGCCTCTCGCCTACCGCGACCACCACGGTTAATGCGTTTGCTGTGAGACTCAATGTTGCTTTCAGCTTCAGCTTCAGCTTCAGGATCCCGTTTACCGCGACCACCACGGTTGACGCGTTTGCTAAGAGATTCGACACCGCTCTCCAATCCTAGGTCCCGCTTACCGCGACCTCCTCGGTTGATGCGTTTACCAAGACTGGGAGACTCCGCATCGCTTTCTACCTCCGGGTCTCGTTTACCGCGACCTCCTCGGTTGACGCGTTTGCTAAGAGCTTCGACGCCGATCTCCAGTTCTGGGTCCCGTTTACCGCGACCTCCACGATTGATGCGAGTATTTAATGAGACAGCATTGCCATCAGGTTCTGCATGTCGCCGACCACGTCCTCCCCGGTTGATACGTTTGCTCAATGCCTCGGGAGACTCCGTCGGGTCATCCAACCCAGCAGATTTGGCGGCATCACGAATGACCTTCTTGTCTTCTACAAGACCGATAAGTGGTTCGAGATGACGACTGGTATGCGGTAATGTGACTTCTATCCCAGTCTAGAGTCGTGTAAGTGGAAGAAAATGTGTACGAGACAGACGTGGCATACCTCGAGTTCCGATATTGGGGACGCAAATACTGAAAGAGTGAGGGACAATACGGTGGCGACGAAGTGGAGATGCATGGTGTCGGGAACGTTTGAGGTTGTTCAAAGTTGTTCTGACAAGGGTCCAGAGAATCCCAGAGAGATATTCCGAATGAGAGGCAGTTGAGTAGATCTGCTTGGGTTATTAAGAGAGGGAAAACCAATCGTTTTATCCTTCAGAGATGATTGAGTTCATCGACCGTTCGGGATGCGACGCAAGACGACCTCACCTCCACCTTCCACCCTCGGCGCTTCGGTTTGTGAGACCTCAACCGCTGTCGGAACCACCTACGCAGTCTGATCACATCGAATTCACATGCACAATATAGGGCTTGCCGCAGGATAGAGTTATCATTGGAGAATGACTTCGAAGCATAATCGTTGGGTCGCAGATTCAGCAGCCTGAAACGCTGCGATCGAGGGGTCAGGAACAAACGGCGTTAGATCGTCGCTCTTGGAGGTACGATACCATCAGCTATGGCTCGAAGATTACCAGGAGGCCCGTCACAGTAAGAGCTGTCACATCCGCAAGCGCTGGAAGGCTTCTTGCAAGGCATTTCTGTAAGTGACGAGCTTTCTTTTGAAATTGTTTCTCCTCCTGTAATTTCCCAAGTCTTTGCATCTGCGAGAATCGCTGCTAACCAATGAAAGGAGTCGAGCAGCTTCATGAGGCTTGGCGGCGTCTTGTTAGCTTTGCTAGATCAGAAGCGATTGGCTCTCGATGGCAGAATCATCACGCCAATCAGCCCTTGCCGCGACCAAAGTCACACTGTACCCGCACACGTGACAGAAGACAACGGCGGTTACTTTGTCCCTGCAGCATCGCGACGAGATTCAATAGATTCTGCCTTTGATGAGGAAAGCCACAAGGAACATCACCATTAGCTTTGGTCGAGGGCCATCATGTCCCTGTAAATGCAAGCCTGAGAACATTGAACTGGTGTTCACCAGCGCTAACCCTCCAACAACCTATCGTTGGACTTGACTTTGAACGAGATCCCGTGTCTTGCTTGAATGTTTTGAAAGCTGTCACCATAGCGCATTTTTTGAACTCAAGGCTGGAGGTAGATTCGACGTTATCTAGGTACGGAGAGCTTATGGTTTGCAATGCAAGATCGCATCACCCTGTACGGTACTACATATGTATACTCACAACAAGCACGAACTAAAATTTTCATGACCAGAAAATTCCCAGGTGTGTGCAAGCTTGTCATTCTTGCTCCGCACCTAATCACATGGCAGTGCATGGCGCCACTAACGCGAGCCTCTGTTGAGGCTTACCTACCACAATGACGCGTGAATGTCTACCGCGCTTCTAGGAGGCATTAAGCTTTGTTCAAATCCTCGCCCATAGGACATCACCGTGGTGGTCCTGTCGACATGGGCTATAACCGCTGGCCCACCATGCCGCCGCGCGTCCGGTAGTCCTTCGGTTCATCATGTCGCGGCGCGACATGCTCAGGTGCAAGCGAGGAGCGCCTCAGCGCTTAACTCGAGACTCTTAGCGGCCAATCCCCCCAACTACGCCGTACCTCTACATTCCTCCCGACTAGCACAGCGACAATATGCCGCTGCGATTATCGTTATCGTTGCGCTTGTAGGGCGTCGCGTGGATGATTGAAGCAGGATCGACTTTGTGGGAGCATGTAGGCGGCAATCCACCGATGATGCAGTTAACTCAAGAACGATTTCTGCCCCTTAGAGACGCACGCTTGTACCACGTTACGGCTACCGTCGGTCACAGACATACAGTATGAGCCATAAACTACTACCCCCAATTCCTACACAATCGAGACACTACCTCGCCTCGGAATCGCGTGAAGCTAGCAACGACGATGCTCCTCCGTCGTACCGCGCATCTGTTCAAAAGCCCGCACCACTGGATCTTCCACAGCGCATTGAGAGAAAACTAGCCCAGTACAACGCATCCCAGAGCCTTTTCAGGCGCTGGCTATTCGAGATCATTAGCTGGACAACAAGTGCTGTGTGCATGGCAAGTCCATCTTCGTGCATTTAAATCGCTCATAACTAACGCATCGTTGAACAGGGAGCCATTGTCGGCATTCTCATATACTCTCGGGACCGCCTTCTGAGCGAACGGAGCTTCGCTCTTGCCACCTACAATGTACTATCAAAAGTTGCTTCCGCAGCCCTCATACTTCCCATATCGGAAGCCATTGGGCAATTGAAATGGGCCTGGTTCCAGGGCGATAAGTCAAAGGAAATGATCGACTTCGAGATATTTGACAAGGCTTCACGAGGTGCCTGGGGTTCCTTCCTACTTCTCTTCCGTACGAAGGGACGGTCCCTTGCAGCACTTGGTGCAGTCTTGACACTTCTTCTACTCGCGACTGATACTTTTTTCCAGCAAGTCACTGATTATCCAGATCAGTGGGCCTTGGAGCACCTTGGTGGCGCCATTCCTCGAGTTGTCCGATACAATCCTTTTTATACGCCGGAGTATTTCGAAGGCCTAGAGACCACGTTCATAAACCCAGCTATGCGTCCTGTCGTGGGACAGTTCATGATCAACAATGGCACTCCACCAATGCTTTTTGGCAACGGAACAAGACCAGAAATTCCGTTGACTTGCCCAAGCAGCAACTGCACTTGGCCTGAGTATAGGACTTTAGGGGTGTGTAGCAAATGCGTGGAGGTTTCGGATATCCTTCGGTACGCTTGTCTCATGACAAGTGTAGACTGGAGCACAAATCATATCGGCCCTCTCGACAGCTCACGATATCCAAACAAGACTGCATGTGGTTACTTTCTCAACGCGACATCTGCCTCTCCGGTTCTCATGTCGGGGCGTATTATTGAGGATGATCGGAACGAGTCTACAGTGGGCGAATCCTTACTTGTTCGCTCTATACCTCTGACAGATATGATCAACAAAACACCGCTATTTGGAGGATCTATCAACTTCAAGCATCTGAGAAATCCGATTCTGGACGCCTTAATAGTTTCGGCTGCAAACGGTGCTGATAGCATTCTACGTAACGACACTCCTGTTGCGCACGAGTGCGTTCTTGCGTGGTGTGTTCAAACCCTACGATCATCTTATGCTTTGGGTGGATACAAAGAAGAGATATTGACAAAGCTTTTCAACACAACTTCGGGTCCGTGGCCCTGGGATGCCTACCGTGTCAACATCACTGAGGACTACGGCACAATGAACATCTACAAAGAGGACATCAATATCATTACTCCTGAGCCCACGCCTGACGCGATCGAACCTGCCCTTCTGCAGGCCACGTATGGCATGTCAAACACAACTACTTCCTACATCGCCCAGGCATTCGACGATTACTTTCCTTCATCCTATACAGCTTTGTCTTCCTCTGATCGACCAATGCTTCGATATAAGAACTTTCTTGCTGGCCCTAACCTGCGAAAGCTACAATTCAACCCTTTTCAGGCGCCAAACAACATTACTCGCCACATGGAAAGGCTAGCCATAGCCATGACCAATGTTATGCGATCTGACGTGGACAGTAATGACATTATTACTGGCCAAGCTTACAACAAGAAGCAGTTTGTTGTAGTACGATGGGAATGGCTCACTTTCCCCTTGGCACTGCTTGTGCTTAGTCTCGCGTTCTTAGTAGCAACAATCGTGAAGACTTCTAGAGGTGACCACGAAGAACTAGGGATCTGGAAGACATCCGCGATGCCAGCCTTGATATATAGTCTTCCTGAAAATGTACAGAGAGAACTTGAGGGCCGGACCTCAGAAGGATTTGGAGATTCCGAGAAGGCGAAGAAAGTTAAGATTCAGCTTCTACCCAGACATGGCTGGAGAGTGTCTGGTCATACATTGACGACACCCAGTTTCAGGAGAGGTTTGAATCATCAACCGCCTCCTGGATGGATTTGAAATTGCGAATTCCATCGTCTCTGCCCTCAATCATTGTGCCACCCCACGTATCAAAGTACTATCCTTGTTCTATAATACTGAGATCGTCAGGATTGTGACGCTCGCACAATCTTGTAACCACTGTGTATGTAAGTAGACCCTGGTTGCTGACCTTGTGGGTTGGTTACCTAGGTAAGCGAGGGCTGCCTACTGTACCCTAGTTACCTAGGTATGGAATGTTAGCCGCCAGGAACCGCGCTGCAGCGCCAACGAATATGATTCGACAGAATCAACAGCGCGATTTTTTATTGGCACAAAATTGTGATGGTATCGCGACCAGCACCATAGCCTCGAAGGATTGTGGATGGGCGCGTAACAGAGAGTCAACATCGAGCAGAACTTGAACCTAATATGTACATGTCAGCGGAGAATTTGTTGTATCTCAACCCCTCACCCGCAAAAAACCACCGCTCGCTGAAACAGTGGCCTTATACCGTTTTGCTACAAAATTGCAGATGCCTGGAGAGTTTCCACCGGTATTGAGGCCTCAAAGGCACCCCCCGGCTTCGTTCAATCCCTCAACTTATCGCAATTCGATCACCTCCCATGGCACTGTCGCGGATGAGAAACGCTCCCTGGACTTCACACAACGGATCGAGAAGAAGCTAGCCGAATACAATGCTTCCACCAACATTTTCAAACGTTGGCTGCTCGAAATTGTTAGCTGGACCACTAGTGCACTGTGCATGGGCGCTATTGTTGGCATATACTTCCGTGTCGACGGAAATCTTATGACCAAGAATGAACTCGCTCTCAATAGTGCCAACGTTCTTGGAAAGGTTGCTGCTGCAATGTTGATAGTGCCCACCTCAGAAGCAATTGGTCAACTGAAATGGAACTGGTTCCACAGCTCTAAAGCTATGTGGGATTTCGAGATATTCGATAAGGCTTCTCGTGGGCCCTGGGGTGCCGCTCTGCTCCTATATCGTACCAAGGGACGATCGCTCGCTGCACTGGGGGCGTTGCTTATCGTCTTGCTCCTCGCCATTGACACATTTTTCCAACAAGTTGTCGAGTATCGCGATCTCTGGTCCCTAGAGAGTGCGACCGGTAGCATTCCCAGGAACACGCGATATGAGCCTTACTACAAGAATGCTTGGATGAATAACGACGAGATGTTAATAATGGACCGATCTTTCGAACCTCTGATCAAACAATTCTTCTACGAAAACGGAACACAGCCTACAGCCTTCGGCAATGGCACCAGGCCTGATATTCCGCTTTCATGCCCTACTAGTAACTGTACGTGGCCTACATACAATACTTTAGCCGTATGTAGTCGTTGCACAGAAGCATCTGCTCTCCTGGATATTTCTTACGCCTGTCTCGATACTCCAAATGATTGGACCGCCACCTGGCTAGGCCCTCGCTTCAAAGTTCCATACCCGAATGAAACAGCTTGTGGATACTTCCTGAATGCTACCTCAGACTCGCCAACCCTTTTATCAGGATATGTGGACAGAAGCAACGGATCTTCGAATGGAAGTGACGAAGCTTTGTTAGTGCGGGCTGTGTCATTAACAGATTTCGATCTCAAGCAACCTTACTACGGCAATGGTTCAGTCGCTTTCAAGGATTTTCGTTACCCACTGATGGACTTCTTGATAGCCTCTGCATCAGATGGTGTAGAAAGCATATTTCGAAAGGAGCCACCAGTCGTTCATGAATGTATGCTGACCTGGTGCGTCCAGACTCTCCAGTCATCTTATGACTGGGGAACATACAGAGAAGAAGTGCTGTCTGAGTACTTTGAGCCAATACAGGAGGACGATTCATGGCCATGGCTAGCTTGGACGCTCTATGACGGAGTGGATGTCGTTGGAACCTGGATAGAGTACACTGTCAACATCACCTTGGAACCTCACGTATCTGAACTGTCCGGAGAAAGGTTTGAATATCCAAAAATTGCTTATGGATGTGACAATTACACGGTTACGAACATCCTGAACATCTTTGACGACTTCTTCCCTTCTTTCTACACGACCAAATCTGCTACGGATACGCCGTTGCTGCGCTTCAAAAACTACTACGAAGGACCATGGACACAGACATTAGACTTCCATGCATGGCAAGCACCGAACAACGTTACTCGATTTGTGGAAAGATTGGCGACTTCGATGACAAACCTTCTTCGTTCTTCAGCCAGCAAAGAAATGATTGAAGGTAGCGCGTACAGTAAAAGAAGCTTCATTCATATTGCATGGGCCTGGCTTACTTTTCCATTCGCTCTCCTGCTTCTATCTCTTGCTTTTCTGGTGTCTACAATGTGGGAGACATCAAAAGACTCCGCGACCGGGGTCTGGAAGACTTCGGCCATGCCGACGTTGTTATATGGTTTACCAGAAGATACAAGGGGGAGATTCACTCAGACGTTGAGCAGCTTGAAGAACGATGCGAAGAAGGTACGAATCAAGTTGCTGCCGAATTCAGGGTGGCGGGTGTCTAAACAGAGCTTGCTTAGGTCGCCGTTGCTGCCAGTACGAAAGAATCAACCACCCCCAGGGTGGATCTGAAGAGAATCCAACTTTTCTCAACTCAACAATCATGATTATCATCTTCTCAAGATTCCAACATGATGTCACACGTGCAAGCTTTGGGACCTAACCCCGTCTGTGAGGGTTGTTCAATTTACCGCTTTACCCTATTAGGCGAGGGCCCACTTTTCAGCGTGCAGGAAGGTGCGTCTCTAACCGCCCGGCTGCTGTGCCGCACTCCAATGCCAACACCAACAAGATGATAACGTAGCGCCGCTGCGCCTCCCAGCGGTGGTATTGCGTAGCATCCTAAATTCTGAATCCTGGCGCTACGCAACCGCTCGACGGCACTCAGTTGCTTGACATTGTCGGATAGCGCAAAAGAAAATGGCGTGGCTGTTCAACAGCTGTGCATACACCGCATCCATCGAATTCTCGGTCATCAATCCGCCTCTCCATCACATCACTATCATATGTCTGAGGGTTTGTTAGTTTAGACCTTGTCCCAAAGGTTGGCCTCGACGTCGAAGGGGTCGATAGCGAAGCATGAACGCGTCGCGATCCTCCTCACGCGTGATATCTGAGAACAAGACACAGCCACTCGACTTTACGCAACGTATCGAGCAGAAGCTTGCCAGATATGATGCATCGGACAATGTGGTGAAGAGGTGGCTCTTCGAAATCGCGTGTTGGGCGATCAGTGCTTCCAGTCTAGGTGCCATAATCGGCATCTATCTTCATGTTAGCAATGGGCGTCTGGCAAACTGGAGCACTTTGCTCACTCTTGCTAACATACTAGGCAAAGTTGCTTCTGCAGCACTGATCGTACCTACAACAGAAGCTCTTGGCCAACTCAAGTGGAGCTGGTTTCACGGGTCTTCTAAGGCCATGTGGGACTTTGAGATATTTGACAAGGCTACTCGTGGTCCATGGGGTGCCATAATGTTACTTTACAGGACTAGAGGACGTTCGCTCGCCGCGATGGGTGCCCTTCTGATAGTTCTTCTCCTTGCGATCGATACATTTCTTCAGCAAGTAGTCAGTCTCCCAGATCGTTGGGCTCTACAGGGAGAAGACATTGCAGGTGATCTTTCAAGAACTATCCGCTACGGATCCAATCCCAATACACCCTACCTAGGAGGTGTGGAGTCTGTGTCAGATAGCCCGGATCTCTTCCCGATCACAAGGAAATTCTCAGATGGCAATGGCACTGAGCCCTTGCTATTTGGAAACGGTACCCGGCCTGAGATACCAGTCGTATGTCATCACATGGATTCTTCAAGGCAGACATTTATGCTAACAAGAGCTTGTCTATATAGTCTTGCCCGACCAGTAATTGTACATGGCCCCTGTACGACACGTTAGGCGTTTGCAGTAAATGCACCGACGTTTCAAGCTATCTAACGTTTACCTGCCTGACTAACAAAGTCGATTGGCTTGCTGAGACAAGAGGGGGATTCGAGGTAGACTGGTCATATCCAAATACAACACACTGTGGTTACTTTCTTAACGCCACTAGCGACAGGCCAGTCTTGATGTCCGGCTACCTTGTCCAGTCGAATGCTACCAATGGAGAGGGCGAAACTCTTCTCCACCGAACTTTACCGTTGACGTCAATGACCCGGTTCACTCCTCTATACGGCAATGGTTCGTTGCTGTTCAAGTCATTGCGAAATACCATCATCGACGTGATCATCGTTTCTTCTCCAGATGGTACAATCGAAGCGGTTCATCGAAACGCGACACCTATTGCACAAGAATGCGTTCTTACCTGGTGTGTCAAGACAGTGCGCTCGGCCTTTGCATGGGGAGGCTATGTCGAAGAGGTCGTCGACACACACTTCAACACTACGCCTGGGCCTTTTCCATGGGACGCCAATTACACACGTGGCGAGTTATACAACTACACCGATATTGCCTATCGAGAAGCCATCAACATTGACGTCAATTCGACGCTATATGGAGTCAGCAATGCAACTGCTTCGCAGATGATCATGGGCTTTACAGACATCACCCCAGCTATGACGACATCTTTGAACACAACCACTATACCACTAATGCGCTACATGATCTGGAGTGACGGTGAGCCATGGACTAAGACACTAGCCTTCAATCCATGGATGGCGCCAAACAATGTGACACGACATTTAGAGAGACTAGCCACAGCAATGACCAACACCATTCGCTCAGCCAAGGAAATTCAGATTCTCTTACACGGCGACGCTTACGCCCGTGAGGTATTCATACAAATTAATTGGGCGTGGCTCGCATTTCCTCTGGTGTTACTTGTCCTGAGCTTAGTATTTCTGGTTGCGACGATCATCAAGACATCGAACGACACTGGAGGGGCCGGAATGTGGAAGACGTCAGCCATGCCTGCTCTCATCTATGGACTGCCAAAAGAGACACAAGAAAAGGTGACACCAGCCAAACGGAGTAAGGCAAGAGAGGAGTCGAAAAAGATTCGTATCAAGCTGTCACCAAGGATGGGTTGGAGGGTATCAGGTCAAAGTTTTCGTAAGCGATCATCGATTTTGCCAGTGTCAGGTAACAGAGCACCACCAGGATAGATATGATAGTATCGGGGGAAATTCATTATATTGTCAGAACATCGGAGACAGCCGCAAAATTCTAAAGCTTCACACCTGATCTTCTCGCGCAGCGGCTGACGGAGCACTCTTGGGCTCCACCATCTCCTTATCTTTCGTCTTCTGCTTCTTACTCCTCGTTCTAGTCGCTGTACCAGCTGCTTTCTCAGCTGCCTCAGCTTTCTCAGCCTCCTCCTCAGCCTTCTTAGCCTCCTTAGCTTCCTTTGCTATCCGCAGCTTCTCCTCGAACACACGCTCCCTCAGCGCATCTGCAACCCGATTCGCGTATATATCTTCACGGAGACGGCTCTTCTGCTCACCGCTTATCGCCAGCGAATCCAAATCCGCCCCAAGCATGTTGATATCCCCATCATATCCATCCGGACGTATGATCGCCATGTTCAGCAGCGCCGCCCCAGAAGCGCTGTACACATCCTTCTTAGCGACCATGACGTCCACGCGGGCCCCCGACGAGCCGTGCATGGTCCGGATGTACTCGCGTTGAGCCAAGGGCCCACCAACCTCCTGAGCCAGTTCCTCCTCCGTGCCCTCCCAGAAGCGCAGCACACTCGCCCGGCCGCCCGCGATCCACGCCGGCTCCGCCTCTTCGAACTGCCGCCGCACGACCTCGTCCAGAAACGCTCCCACACGGCTCGTCCCGATGTCCAAGCCGTCTTCCGTGTCCCGACCATGCAGCACCTCGAACCGCGCGAGCACCGCCGGCGTCACAACAGGGATCCACGTCCGCCCTTCTCCACCCGCAGCCTCCGCGTTCTCCTGCGTCACGGTGTCAATCCGCGCCAGCAGCCCCGGACACAGCGCGGCCGCCTCGCGCCAGAAGTCGCGGAACGCGCGCTTTGCGTAGCGCGGCGGCGGCGCGACCTCAGGCTCTCCCTTTTGGTCGAGCTTGTAGCCCTCGAAGAAGGCGTTGAACCACGCGCAGCGCACTGTGGGCGCGGGCGCGGCGAGGCGCGGGGTTGTGACTAGGCCGCGCAGGAGGAGCGCGTGGTGGCACAGGATCCAGGATCGCTGTGCTGGAGTCCATATAGAGGATGGGGAGGGAGTGGGGGTGGGATTGGCCCGGGTGCTGGGGGCAGCCTGCGAAGGGGGGTTCAACGATGCGGGAGTGGTGCGGCGTGTTTGCTTAGGCTGGGGCTTTTCTGCCACCACTGGAGCTGCCACCGTTGTCTTTTTCGCTTTCTGTGCTGGTTTCTTTGCTTTCGGGGCTGGGACTTCGGCAACCGGCTCCGGAGGAAGACGTAGTTTGAGTCTTGGCGTCGGGACTGGAGTTTTCCTCACGTTTTGAGGATACACTGGAGTCTTCTTCGCGGCAGGGCGTTTCTTCGTAGCTGGGGGAAGGACTTGAGTCACCTTCACACGCTTCGGAGACCCGTCGCCCTCGTTGGGTGGCTCAATAGCACCGCGTTTACGTGTGTCTACCATGTTTCGATGCTGTTATCGTTGTTGTTGGGATGTGGAGTGACTGTTTACTCGACAGTGGAACGTGTGTGGTGTAGGTGGTGGGTAGTTGTAGCAACTACCAGTTGAGTTGGTAGCAATTGGTGTTGGGTAGGACCTGCAGGACTTTTTATGGTAGTGAGGGGTCGTCCCTGTCCCGTGCCCGTGCCGACTTCACTGCCGGACCGGGGACTTTGTGCACTGTGCGGACGAGATCTACATGTATTCGTTCACATAGCGTGTTGAAGAGTATTTAAACAATGTCGAGCAGCGATGCGGTATGCTGATGATGATCAGATTTCGAGACACCACGTAATGCTCCTACGCGATCGCACGGCACCAATTGATGTTGGAAATGATGGGAATAGGTACAATTTAGTGACGGAATGCTCGCTTGGTATGGAAAACTATGCTTACCTCTACAATATGCTTCTATTAAATCATCGCAGCTAATGCTTCTTAGGCTTCTTCTTCTTTGGCGCCTCTGACTCATCACCCTCACTACCAGTCTCGTCATCAGAACCTCCAGTCTGGGGCGCTGTCTTGGACACGTCATCCTGCTTGCGCTTCTTAGACGTCGCGCCACCCTTGGCCTCCTTGACCTCCTTGAAATCATCGGCAGTGAAGTAATTAGCAGGATGCTGCTGGGCCTTCGACATCGTGCCTATGCGATTCTCGGCGGCTTCGTTCTTTCTCTTTATTCCTGAGCCTCGAGCAATCCTTCTGCGGATGCTCTCATCGCTACGGGCCTCAGTTTTGAGAGTCTCAGTCTGGAACTTCTGGAAAGGTTTCGCGACGTCCTTCACGACGGTAGTCCAGTTGTCCGTGACATGTTTGAGGCCCTTCTGATGAACCACGTCACTAAGGTAGCGAGCCAATGCTTCAAGTTCTTCTTTCCTCCATCCCGGTTGCTTGGGAGTCTTTGCTTGGGTGTCTGCGTCGTTTTTTGTTGAGAATTTGTTTACCTTCTTGTTAAACTCGGTAACAGCTTTGCTACCAAAGTTGCTTGAAATCACTTTGTCAAAGTGAGATCTTGAGTCGATATACTTAACGTACTCTCCAGTGTCTCGACGAAATGCGCGCTGGACGAAGTTTGGGCGCCACACTCTGTCATGTCTCTGGTAAACGCCATTCTCACCACGCGTCCACTCCGTGCTCTTGGATTCTTTGTCTCTAGGAGCTGGAACCAAAGAGTCGTCTTCGTATTTTCTGGGGTAAACTACAGTGTATGGCTTTCCTCTCTCGTCGAGATCTTCGGGGGCATCAGGGTTTGGAACAGGGATCCGGTCGCGCTGCGTGAACATAATTCCTTTTGGGCCCTTGTGTCTCATCGTGACAAAACAGAACTTCCCCTGTTCGTCTTCGCCGTACTCAAATGATTCCCCTTTGACTCTCTGCTCATGACCATTAGGTCTGGGGGGGTCATCGTTTCCATTCTCGGTATCACTACCGCCCTTAGGGTCAGAGCCATCACCGCCAGAAGGGTCGTTCCCTCCACCGTGAGAAGGACTGTCTCCACCGTGAGAAGGACTGTCTCCACCATGATGAGGACTGTCTCCGCCATGAGAAGGACTGTCTCCACCATCAGATCCAGGTGGTGCAGGGCGTGGTGTCTCATTAATCAGGCCGAGATACGACATCCTAAACAGATCGCCATCGTCATCCGTTTCATCATCACCGCCTTCATCAGAGGAATCTCCGCCAGAGGATTCTCCGCCAGATGGATCTCCGCCAGATGGATCTGGAAGCGGCACGTCATCTTCGTGGTACTCCCCATCACTGGCATCCGACAACTCATCATCTCCAAACTTGACCAGCGAAGTCTTCGGGTACGCCTCCCGACGCGCAGTGAACGTCCCATCACGCGCATGAACCGCCGTAACAGTCCCAGAGGGCGTGTACGTAGGCCTGTCGTACTCGAAGTGGTCGATGGGGATGCGCTGGTCGTCTTCGTCGAGCTCGAAGATGCGGCGCGAGATCATGGTGCCGGTGCGGGCCAGCACCCAGCCGCCGTTGACATTGTCGCGCGTGCGCTCCAGGTTGGGCCCGTATGCGGTGTCCCAGCCGTCGACGACGTGTTCGACGAGGTGCGTTCTGAAGCACGGTCGGTCTGACTTGCGCTTCGTGCCGAGGACGCGCTGCTTGCTTGCGACTGCGGGGCCCCAGTCCGCGCTCTCCCAGGATGTGTGGACGCGGCGGCCCTTGTACTGCCATGGCTGAGAGCTTTCTGTGGTGGCGTGGTAGAGTTGGTGGTCTTCGGGGAGGGTTATCCTGGTCGCGTGCTTGCTCTTGTCTACTGTAGATCTGTCTGCTTTTCCCTTCTCTTTCCTCCTCTGCTCGACTTCTGCGTGCTTCTTTGCAATGGCATCATCATCGAGACGTAAGTCGCTCATCGGAAACTTTTCCGCTAAGTGATCTCGGCGGTTAGGGTGCTTTGAACTGTGTCTAAGGTTATCTGGAAACATGTGCAGCTGACTGGGCCCGATGGGTCCCTTCAGCTTGCTGCGGTCACCTATATTCCACTTATTGAATAAACGAATCAGGTTGAATCGCCAGTCTGAGACACGTTGCATTTCTTTGGTACCCCCGTTGTCCGTTGGTGCAGTTCTGTGCCAGGCGTTCTGGTAGTAAAGGAATTCTGCTCTTGTTAGCATGGTTGAGCCACACAGGTGTCGGCGTACTTACCGTTCCACATGACTTGAGCCGCTGTGTATATGTCATGGATCTTTCTATTATTCGCATGGTCTACCTGCTTCAAGTCGTTGCTTGCTGTGGCCATTGCCTCGTCCATGCGGTTGCGTATGGCTTCGTCATATATCTCGCCAGTGGTCATGTCGTACTCTGGCTCCCACTTCTTCCACTCTTCGTCTACCTTTGTCTGAGCATCCACAACCTGTTGGCGTGCAGCGCTGTCATCGATCAGATTCTGATAATATGTCAAATGTGCCAGCAAGAGTCGTTCCTCGTCCTGGAGCCATTGATTCATCTGCTCTTCTGTGTCAGGCTCTACATTCTTCCAGTTTCCCTGAGCTGAAGGGTCCAGAGGCTTCCCCTTAACCATCCTGGGCTCTGGTAGTGCGGTTTTGATGGTAACCATTCTGTCGCTAGGGATATGTGTGCAGTATTTGTGTCAGTATGTAGAAGTTGAATTAGTGTAAGTGAAGCACGTTTATGTGCACGCTTCCGACAATGGACTGGCTTCCTTTGTCCGTGCAACAACGAGCCTCACATTTCTTTTCCTCATGGACTGGTCTTTGTCCATTGTTGACTCGAGTTGAACATCGAGTGTTGTCAGACAAAGGTGCCCCACAAAGGGCATTGTCGGCGCGTGCTTCGTACAGCCATGAGTCTCGAGAACAGAATCGACATTGTGTCAACTTACACGTTTGGTATGCTCAACTTCGGGATTGATTGTTCACCTCTTGTTGCCCAAGAAAGTCAATGCTCTGACTATGACGCCTTGGAAAATAACATGAACGCCCGCCTGTAGGCTCATGTGAGTGTTGATCATACCGCCAACCTCGGACAGGAAGTGCAACGTATCTAGAGATACACACTGTTTGAAGACCCTGAGGTTACTGGACTTTATGCCGATGTTTGAAGCACATAGTGTCGAGTCGTCGATGCCGTTCGACGCAAGCCCTACAGCTCAAAGTTGTAAGATGAATAGAGTCACGAAAAGTACAGTGCGTCGAATAGCCCCTCCTACCTGGTATGATCTAGTATTCGAACAACCGACGGCGCGACTTTATCTGTGTCGTTAAGCAGTAGAATCACTTTTCAGAATGTAGTGAAATGAGTGAACAGACAATTCTTTCATACGTGGACGGAGTACAGTGCCGGACAGCAGACTTACAGCCTGTGAGATACGGGATATGGAGCTGGTCGTGCAGAGGAAGGCTCCTAGACTCTTGCGGGGTGTTTGAGTAGAGCGTGCAGCGACTCACTATGACTGCAGTAACGTACACCAATCAACCAAGAATTGGATAGAACCTCGAGGTGTAAACAAAGGTAAGATGGAGAGTGATATATAGGAGTTGAGCTGATCGTATCATTGATATAAATCCTATTACTCACGTTCTGCGTCAAGGACAGCTTTAGAACCTACTACTTATGTTCGCCAGGGCAAGCAAGCAGTGTTAGTTATACGCCTGGATCTGACCAAGCTGTGAGAACTCGACAGCAAACCACATGCTGACCTGCGCTACGATGATGCACTTATCGTCTGATAGACTTCATGTCGTACTTGCATTTTGGAGAGGCGATGGAGAGTTTGGATGTCTGGTGCGACGACGTTCGAAGATGAGGGAGGAAAGGACCACCGAACTGTTGGCCCGTGCGCCGCGGTAACTTTTTGGTGACATCAACTCGTCTACTCCATGACCACGACCAGCAAACAGCAATTGACAACGACAAGATGAGGCCACATACCTCGGCGCGCGCGATGCGCTCGCTACAGCGCTGTAATCTACAAACACAAAGAGCAACAATCCGTCCCTCGCAACAATCCTTCACAGCCCGCGCCTCCACCACACCCATCCGCGCCTTCACAACGACACCCACGCGCCACAACCCACCCAACTCCACCGTCGACCCAACCGAAGTCTCGCACTTCAACGCCCTCGCCTCGACCTGGTGGGACCCGCACGGCTCCTCACGGCTCCTGCACCTCATGAACCCGCTCCGCCACACCTTCATCCGCAGCTGCCTATCAACCGCGCCGCCCCTTGCCCCCAAGCTGAAGTACCTCGACATCGGCTGCGGCGGGGGCATCTTCGCCGAGTCCGCCGCGCGGCTCCCGGACACGCACAGCGTGACCGCCATCGACCCGACGCCGGGGGTGCTCGCGATCGCCGAGGCGCACAAGCGGCGCGACCCGCTGCTGATGCAGCCCGGGCGGCTGACGTACATGAACACCGCGATCGAGGACTTGCCGCTCCCGGAGCGCGACGCAGACGCACACGACGTCGTAACGCTGTTCGAAGTCCTCGAGCATGTCAACGCGCCCGGCCCGTTCGTGGCGCAGCTGCTGCCGCACGTGAAGCCCGGCGGCTGGCTGGTGATGAGCACGATTGCGCGCACGTGGACGAGCTGGCTGGTGACGAACGTCATGGCCGAGGATGTGCTGGGGATTGTGCCCAAGGGGACGCACGACTGGGGCAAGTACGTGAATGAGGGCGAGCTGCGGGGGTTTTTCGCAAAGGAGCCTGGGTGGGATGGCGCGAGCGTGAGGAGCCTGGGCGTCATGTATGTGCCGGGGGTTGGGTGGCGCGAGGTGCCGGGCGGGGAGGATTGGGGGAATTACTTCTTTGCGGTGAGGCGGTTGGGGTAGGGCGGTGGACGAGTACATGATACCCTAGAATGTACAGTATGTATACATAGCACGGCCTTTTGCGGCCTCTACAGCGTTTTGTTCAACGTATCATACACCCAGCGCTCCTCTCATCCCCTTCCGTGTCTCCCTCCCTCACCCCGTTCACTCACCGCCGCTCCTCGAAAACACCCGGCATGTTCGTTCTCGCCGCCTTCGGATCCTCCTCGTACACAATATCATGCCCACCAGACATCTTCCACGCGCGCAGATAGTCCTCGCCCGTGAAGCGGCGCGGGTACACTTCGGCACCGCCAGTATCGGTTGTGCGCGTCTTCTGCACCGTCTCGGCGACGAAGGGCGTCAGCTGTGAGGTGTGATATTAGCATCCTGCTGTGCGTGCGGGAGATTGGTGTCGAGGGGTGCGGCGAATAGATGTGTAGATATTAATATCCGGATGTCCTTACCTCCGCGTTCTTCGTCCCGTGCACCGGATACACATACGTCCGGATCTTATTCCAGTCGGGGATGAAGTTGCCGTATCGATTGATCGTGCCCATGGACCCGACGCGGTTGCCCTTGTAGTACTCTTTGCCAGCCTGCTTGGTCGACAGCGGCAGGCGCCTGATGGTGCCCTGCAGGGCGGGCGTAGCTTTGAACATGGCGAGCGCTTCGCGTGCGTCGAGTCGAGGAGGGAAAAGTGCGACCGGCCGGCGATGTCAATTGGCGCCGCAATGAGCAGCCCGCGATGCGATGCGCTGTGATGCGACGCCTCCGACCGCAGCGGACCTCCGAGCGCACGGGCTTCAAAAAAAGTCAATGCCAAGCCGCAACTCACCCACCAACGCTCGCCCACCCGCGCAACCTCTACACTCCCACACGCACCAAAATGCCGCCCAGAATAGCGCGCAGCTCGCTCGCCAGCGGCCCAGCCGCGAAGCCCAAAGGCCGCGCCCCAGGCTCGCGCAACACGCAAAAGTCCTCCAAGCGCGCCCTCAACGCCTTCGCCATCGCGCAGTACGACAACCCCGACGTCCCCAAAGTGCGGCAAAACCGGCTCGGCGAACTAGACCCCAGTTTCCACAAGAAGCGCGCGCACGCCGACTCGGACGCCGACGAAGATGAGGACGACGGGGTGCGGAAAAAGGCTCGGCGGCGGGGCGAGGACAGTTTCGATGAGGGCAGTGATAGCGAGGGGAATACGTGGACGATGGGGCATGTGGATGAGGATGACGATGAGGATATTGACTCCGATGAGGCGTTTGGGGAGAGCGATGAGGAGCGGTTCAAGGGGTTTAGTTTCCGGGGGAGTAAGGGTGCGAAGGGGAAGAAGGGGAGAGGGGTTGGGGAGGGAGACAGCGATGTTGATATGAGCGAGAGTGAGGACGAGGAGGAAGAGGAGGATGATTTTGGGGAGGAGGGGATTGATCTGGCGACTGCGCTGGATCAGTATGAGGAGGAGGAGAGGGAGGAGAAGAAGGAGCGCGAGAGGAAGAAGAAGAAGGCTGCGCACGTGAGTGACAGCGAGGAGCCGAGTGAGGGTGAGGATGTTGGCCGCGATGGCGCGAGTGATCTGTCTAGTGATGATGACGAGGATGAGGAGGATCGCCAGGCACAGCTCAAGGATCTGATTTCGTCGCTTGCCGCAGGCGACGAGGACAGGCCGAAAGGCAAGAGGGTCGAGGTCCACGAGTCTGCGGCGCCCGATGAGTTCGGTGTGTCGCGCAAGGTGGATTTGTTCAGCCTGAAGCCCAAGGCGGGCGACGATGAGAAGAAGAGGGCACTCAAGTTGCTGCGCGACGACAAAAACTCGAAGCGAAGTGACATTGCACGGAAGCTGGAGGCGCCTCTACCCAAGCGCCAGCAAGACAAACTCGACCGCGCTGCCGCCAACGCGAAAACCAACGAGACCCTCGACCGCTGGACCGACACCATCAAGCAGAACCGCCGCGCCGAGCACCTCTCGTTCCCGCTGCAGCACAAAGATGCCGGCAAGGCCATGGGCGAAGACCGTCTCCTCCCCACCACCACCGCCGCCCCTGCCAACGACCTCGAAAGCACCATCCAGTCCATCCTGCAGCAGAGCGGCCTCTCCAACGGCAAAGACGACGAGGAGCAGATTCAGAAGTGGGAGATCCTGCAAACAAACAAGCTGCCGATTGAGGAAGTCGAAAGGCGCCGTGCACAGCTGCGCATGGAACGCGAGCTCCTCTTCCGCGAGGAAGTGCGCGCCAAGCGCATCAAGAAGATCAAGAGCAAGGCCTACCGCCGCGTGCACCGCAAAGAGCGCGAGCGCCTGCTGGAGAAGGAGCGCGAGCAGCTCAAGGCCGATGGCGTCGATCTGTCCGAAGACGAGCGCGAGCACAACGACCGCCGCAGAGCCGAGGAGCGCATGGGCGCCAAGCACCGCGAGAGCAAGTGGGCCAAGGGCATCAAGGCGACGGGTCGCGCCAATTGGGACCAGGATGCGCTTGCGGGCGTTACGGAGATGGCCAAGCGGAACGAGGAGCTGCGGCGCCGCATCGAGGGCAAGGAGGTCCTCGACTCGGATGACGAGGCGTCGGATGTCCCCAGTGATGGAGAGGACAGCGACGACGAGTCGGCCGACGACGACGAGCTGCTGCAGCGCCAGCTAAACCAGCTCGAGAACCCGTTCTCCGAGAAGGGCTCGAAGCTGGGCCAGATGGCGTTCATGCAAAAGGCCGAGAAGGCGAAGCGCGCACAGAACAACGAGGCTATTGAAGGCATGCGCCGCGAGCTGACTGGGGAGAACAGCGAGGACGAGATTGCGGATAACGCTACACGTAATGGACGCCGCAAGTACGGGCCTGGCAAGGTTGTCACGACAGCTATCCCGGTCAAGGGCAGCGAATTCGAGGAGCGCGCTGGCTCTGATGAGGAGAACGAGGAAACTGCTACAGGCGGACTGTCGAACGGCACACGCAAGAACGAGAAGCCTAAGAACCCCTTCTCGACCGGCGCATCCAACACCCGCAAGACACAGAGCAGAAATGCAAACGCCGAACCCGAGGCCGACGCAGCAAACCCCTTCCTCGCCAAAGCAGCCAAGGCAAAGAAGAGCAAAAAGGACGATGCAGCCGACGACCTCCTCCCCTTCACCGACTTCGCCGACGAAGACGACGACCAGCCCGCCCCCTCCGAAACAGTCGACGACTTCCTCCAACAGCGCATCACAACCGCCGACGCCGACGGCTGGGCGACCGTCCTCAGCGGCCAGCAATCCGAATCCGAGCTCGACGCCGACTCCGACGAAGGCGACGACCTCGACCTCACAAGCCTAGCCCGCAACCACGCACTGACCGCCAAGGGCTTCGCGGGCGACAACGTCGAAGCCGACTTCCGCGCCGAGAAGGCCGCCACCACCACCGACGACGCCGCAAAGGAAACAACCACCTTCCTGCCCGGCTGGGGCGCCTGGGCCGGCGACGGCATGACCAAGGCCGAGAAGCGGCGCAACCGCGGCTGGCGCACGACGACGGTGACGCCTGGTGTCGACGCCTCCGCGCGCGCAGACCGGAAACTGGACCGCGTCATCATCAGCGAGAAGGTCGTCAAGCCGAATAAAAAGTACATGGCCGGCAGCTTGCCTTTTCCGTTCGAGACACGAGAGCAGTATGAAAGGAGTCTCAGGCTGCCCAAGGGCAGGGAGTGGACGAGTAAGCGGACGCATCAGGACGCTGTGTTGCCAAGGGTTTTGGTCAAGGGGGGCGTTATTGGGGCGATGCGGAAGCCGCTTGCGTAGGCGTTTGCGTGGACGTTTGTACTGGGGTGAGCGGGGCCATGGGGGGGGCGTTTTGGAAAAGTTATATCTTGTTGTCGTGGGATGGGGGATTCGAGAGAGAGAGCGATAGAGCTCGTGTTTATACACATAGATGGCGCTTTGAAATGGAGTGTGTGTGTTGCAAACTGGCCGCCAGACTGGGTGTTCCGTGCCGTGCCGTGTCCGCAGTCCGCCCGCGCCGCGGGAGACTCTTACATCGCACACAGTGGAGAGAAGTAGCTGTTGAGGCGCACTCGGAGGAATATCGAGGTTTACACTCGCCTTACTCCACCTTGTAGGCGCGAGATAACACACATCCACACGCCCCAGCACCCGCCATCTCTCCCCCTAAGCTCCCAAGAAACACACCAACCCAACCTCATATCCAACCTACCGCCCACCCCTCCCCAGCTCCCCCAACCCCGCCGCAAACACCAAATACCACGTCCGACTCGCGCCCCCATCGATCCACAAATCGCTCCAGAACCCAGCGACCCCATCCCTGAAGAAAGAAAAACTCGCTTTGGGGTCCAGCAGCGCGAGATTCGCATGCAAGACGCCGCGCCAGGGGCCCTCGACGCCGTCGGGCCCGTCGCGCACCGCGCGGCCGTCGCTGAACTTGGCGTCCCATTCTTCTTTGACGAAGGAGCGGGGGCGCAGGAGCGCGGACGCCGGGCTGAGGGGGACCATGTGGATGCCGTGGATGAGGGCGGGGGAGTCGCCGAAGTAAGTCGCGTAGTCGATTTTGTTTTCGAAGAGGATGCCTGAGATTTTGTTGGGGAGGAAGCGCGGGGGCTGGACGGAAGCAGAAGTCAGGTAGAAGTAGGTGTTGAAGGAGCGGGCTTGCAGGGCCAGCATGAGGGAGCCGCGCTTCTCCATGTTGGCGTCTGCGGTGACTTTGCCCCACATCTTGAGGGCGAAGCTGGCGAAGCCGTCTTCGCTGGTGCTTTCTTGGTCTTTGCCGTCGGCGCTTTCGAATAGGCCCTTGGCCCAGCTGTGGCCGTGCCACCAGTCGAAGCTGCGTGAGAAAGGGAAGTCGCGGCCCTTGTAGTCGCTCTCGGCGAAGTCCTTCACCAGCATGTTCGTCCATGCCTTGTTGTGGCCCTGCGTCAGCCACTCCGGGTCCAGGAACGCAATGACCGCGGCCGTGTAGACGAAATAGCCGAAGTGGAAGTGGTGGTCGTTGTAGTACGTGTTGCCAAAGTCCGCACCCGAGTCGGCGAATCCGGCATTCGACACCACCCCCTTCCAGCTGTCATCGTAGTAGAGCGGGTAGCGCTGCTGGTTCTGGACGTACTTTGCCATCTCTTGCTTCAGCTTCGTAAGACCGGCATTGGCAACCTCAGCGAGCCCCAGCACCTCCTTGATAACCCAAACAAGAGTTGCGAATCCGGAGAGGGACTTGCCGGCGTAGTAGTACGAGTCGAGTGGAATGGGGCTGCTCATGGCGCGTCGCAGGTCGTGCTCTGCTATCGACGAAATGAAGGAGAGAACATCCGGGGGGAAGCGGATCTTCGCGTTGGCACTCATGGTGGGGTTCCAGGGGCCAAACGACATGGTGACGGGGAGGTTGGTCTCGATGAAGGAAAGCTTCTCGGCCCACACTGCCGTTGCCATGCCCTTGGTCGACGTGCGCAGCTGCAGCTCCGTGACTTTTAGTCTGAGCTCGGGATCAAGAGACTGGATGTGGTGCGGCAGAGCAAACATCAGTAATGGCGAGGCACCGATCTTCGTGTAGCTGAACGAGTACGTAGCCTTGGCCTCGTTAACCACGGCAGTGAGCGTTGCCTCGATCGGAAACGTCCCAACGGCGTTGTCGTAGATCGATTCGCTTTTGGCGCCCAGCGGGTTCCTCGCCACCTGAATCGTGCCGTTGAAACCCGCCGGGCCCATGAGCGTGCTGGCGTCGATCTTGACGAACGCGCCAGCATCATACGTCGTGCTCGCCAACGGACTGACGTAGATCAGCCAGTCCCTTCCACCGAAGTCTTTCGCCTTATACTTCGCCACCCTGCCCATCATGACCGGCTTGTTGACCTCCACAAACCCCCGCCCACCGGTCTGAACCGTCGGCGTCGCGCCCCGGTACCCAGCAGTCACAAACGCCATGCCCTGGACGACCGGAAACGAGACCCTCAACCCGCCCTCCCCGCCGTCCAGCCCCAGATTAATATTCACCGAGAACGGCAAATGCGAATCTGTCGACAACCGCGTCAGCGCCCCCAGCTCCGCCGCCGACAGCACTAAGCACTGTTTCCGCGGGCAACTAAACACCTAGCACAGTCAGTTTCGCCCCCGCCCCCGCCCCCGCGGTCTTCTCAGCACTCACCTTCGGCGGCTCCCCCGGCCCGTACTCCACATCCCCCTCCTCGACACACCCCACGTTCATCCCCCACGTCTGCAGCACGCCGACGTCCTGCGCGCCCTTGCCCCACCACACGCTGTACGGGTGCGTCCACACGGGCTGGTTCTGGCCGCCGAGGAACGCGTTCGCGTAGAAGCCGTTGGTGTGGAGGGTGCGCGAGTGCGGGTCTTCGATGCCCGTGCGCGGCACGGGGTGGTGGTCGCCGATGGGGATCTGCGGGAGGATGGCATCGGGCTGGATTGGGACGAAGATGTTGTCGGGCGGGATGTCGGGGCTCTTGGAGGGCGGGTTGGTGCGGTAGCTGAGGGTTTGGAGGAGGCCTTTGGGGCGGGGGCGGGGCGGGGATTTGGGCGCGGTGGCGGCGCGAGGAGGGATCGAGGGGAGAGTGTTGTGCCTCTGGGGCTGCGTGGGTGCGGGTGGTTTGTGTGGGTGTGGCTTTGGGGCGGGTTTGCGGTCGTGGAAGCAGCAGAGGAAGTCGAGAAAAGGATACATGGTTGTGTGAGGGCGGGTCGTCCGGGGCAAAACGCATAGGGTGGTAGGTCCCGTAGTGATGATGGATAGATGGCTAGAGGAGGGCGAGCTGGCTGGTTGTTTCGATCGCACATGGTGACGTTGACTCGACAGCGCGGGAAAGTGCAGACAGCCGTTTGTGTAGGCAAGCGGGCTTGACAACATCAAACGCGATCTACACGTTTTGAGGCACTGCTCCGCTCTGGGACTACTGAGGCACTGCTCCGCTCTAGGACTACTCCAGACCTCCCGTGCAACCGGCCATCAAGTGACGTGAGCGCAAACGAGTCACTGGCAAGGTGTAACAGCCTCGTCCAACCAAACCACGCACCAGCACTGGCGACGAAGCGTGCACCCCGCAACCACGGGCCAGATTATCGAACACCGTTCCAGTGGCCCTGGGCAGCGTCGTAGATCGAAGGTCCTCACCGCGGAAGTCCCACGTAACTAGAAGTGGGAGGGGATCGTGGAAGGATGCGGTATGCAGTCAAGCAGTGACACACCTCGTGGCGAGGTCCGCGTACATGTATTCCAGGACGAGCTCTGGGGAGCTTCTGTCTTCTCGAGCGTGATGTGTTGGTACGCCCGCTGCCCTCGACCTGCGCTATCTCATGTACTTAAGTTCTCGCGTTCTCAACCCCACACCACAACGACCAGAGCAAAGACGCTCACGTGTATCAGCATCCATGACAACCAATCAGCCACCTGTATCCTGGTGCTGATGCAGGGTACATCGTGTTGGCTGTGTGTTGTGTGTATCGACACCAGCGTTTTCGAGGCGAGGAGGAGGAGGGGGGTGTATGTCAGTGCGAGCCGTTTGCGGTGCTGTGCCATTGCTAGAGTCTGGGGAGGCGGTGGTGCGGACTAGGAGGTGGGGATTGCGCTGGAGCTTAGTGGTTCCAGGTAGGTCTGTGGAAGTGTGCGTCGCTCCGGGAGAGTTGCTGGGCGCGGGGGAGGGTGGTGTATGGCTGGTACAGTGGCAGGGTGTTTGCTTGCTGCGGCGGCGGCGGGCTGGTTGGCAGTGTCGATCTTCGCCGCTGGACTGGGAGTGGAGGTCTGCGACTCTAGTAGTACTAAAGCTGCTCTGCTGAGGTGGCTACGCATATCCAGTTCGCTCCTGGTTGCGTTGCTGTCGGGCTAGGCATGGGGCCGGGGTTTGCATACACTCAGGGTATCCATCATGTTCAGATCATTGTGATGACCTGGTGCTCGGCCTCTTCGTGCCTTTTCTGTATCCTAGCCCCTTCCGCAATCGGCGCTTCAGAATCATTGAAGAAAAAGCTTCCAATGCGTTCGTACATCTCCGGCGTTTGAAGTGAGGGCTGTAGCACCAGGCCCTCCACCCACGACTCGCCTTCGGGGGTACGGAAGCGCGCGAGAACGACGGCTGTGACATCGATCTCCGTGCCGTCTTTTGCGCTATCAAGAGTGATGCCTGTCCAATTTGTATCGTTGCTGATCGTCGCTTCGGCTGGGAGCGAGTGCGTGAACGCGCCGGATGTGCCTTTGGGACTCAGTCGCATTTTCTCCCGGAACGGGCGGCAGCCCAGGCGCAGAAAACCTGCGGTTATCTCTCCCGAGAGCGCCGTTTCTATGTGCACTTCCACTATTTCTGCGGATTCCGAGGCTGTCAGCTTCCTCTTCACCTCGAGTATATCTGGTTGGTCTTTTCCCAACGAGAGCTGCCGCGGATCGCTGTCCGAGTGCATGATAAGGGCCATGAGAGTTTTCGAGCCGCCTATAGCGCACCTGCTACTTGCCCAGCTCCATGTCGGGGCCCGCCATTTCGTTGGCCTGTTGAAACCGCCCGGGTGGTGAGCCATGAGCGACCAAGACAGCTCTTGTAGTAGATATGGCTTCCACATTCCCGCGATGAACGTCATGTGTGGTGTAGAAAGGTCGTCTTGTGAGACAGACGCCGAGAGAGAGAACATGTGTGTTACTTCGTCTGCTATACCTGCCAGTGCCACCAGCAAGTCTTCTTCGCGTGTTATACTGCACAGGGAGTATATCAGACGGAGTCTGAGCCAATCGTTGTAAAGGCCAAGACCTGAGTCTACATCTGTAGGTATTACCGCATCAGCTGTAAGTTGCCGATCCTCTTGGAATGACGAGATTCGTCTCTCGAAGGTCCTGGCTTTTAGGTGTCTGAGATTGAACATGTTCATGGCTGGTATTGGGATTGATATACCATCCGGGTAAAGTTCGTTGGCAAACAACTCGTGGCATTCCCAGTACAGAATTTCGCGGCCAAAGTGTAGGATTCTTGGTGACAAACAACGCTCCTGTACTACCCATGCCCTGTTGTTGAGTGGCGAGCGTTGTATGTCATCGACCTCTCCAATGAAATCGCCGATGAAGTAAGTATCTGACGGAGGGAAGAATCTTGTCTTTCTGTCTTCGAAAGCAGGTAATGGATCAGCATGCCAGGTCGCTTCAACCTGCACAGGAGGTAATCGAGGATGGGGTCGATAAAAAAACAGCCCCACACTTCCATCCTCTGCGGCGGTTGCAGCGATTGTGAAAGCTGCATGACTGTACACCTTCCTCATGCACTTGGATTCTCTAGCCCAGTCTGCTGTGTCGTCTTGCATGATGCAGCTGTAGGGGCGAGTAAGCATGCGTCCGATCTGGTGAACTCAGCATACTTACAGCGAGTCAATCCAGAGATAACGAAAGCCAAATCTACGACACACGAAAATAGCATCTCTAAACGTCCGAGGTAGTTCACCGATATCTATCCCACGGCGTAGCGTTGATTCTGTCCTTGCAGAGAGTATGAGAGGTTGAAGACCTCCCCAGCAGTGTGACAAGGCTACATAAGAGGTGTTTTGGTCGAGTGTACCGCGCTCGTGCAAGGAAACGAGATCGCCAGCTGATTCGCCAACGTCTATAACTCGTGTTGGCAGAGAGTTCGTGCTAAAAGTTAGTTGATGGCACCGAGTGTGGGACGTCTGGCACGTTCTGAGACTGGTGGCTAGAAACTCAAAGGCCGAGTCTGATCCTGTGGTCGAGGAAAGGGGCTGTGTCGTTGGAGCAGGGCTCATTGCTGGATTTTGGTAAATTTCAGGTTGATTGAGGAGTGTGAGGCAGTACCCGTTGAACTCATGAGATGAAGTCTGAACGACTCTGCGTCTTCGTCGATATCAGTGTCTGTGTGTTCGCGATGCAGGAAAAACTCCATCGTATACACATCTGATCTGAATGCATCGTCTTGCTGAGGTTTACCGAATTTGGTACTTGCAAGTTCAGAGGGTCGGCCCATCGCCGCCCATAACCGCAGACACAATGGACAATGCAAGTCAAGAGCTTCCTGAAACGAAACAGCATTTGGATGGTGCAAATACAGTTGTGCCCCCGAGAACGTTCCGAAAGGCTCGCTTTTCCCACACAACAGGGCCTTGCACGGATCGCAGAAGCCATCGTTGAGCATGTCTCGAAAGAAGACGAAACGCCAGAGCTCAGAGGGTGTTGCACGAGCATGGCTTGTTTCGGCGCGGTTGTCGAGGCTGAGCTGACTACTGCGGGGTGCTTCTGCTGGTCTCCCCACGTGTTGAGGCGTTCGACATGCCGCTGTGGAATCCTTCGCTCTGATCACCCTACCTATAGAACACAGCGTGCTTTAAGATGCACTTGCCAGGAATGCAAGGATCAGTGGATTGTAGAACCAGCACAACACCGAGGCTGCTCGAGATACTTTCAGCACCTTTTTACTCACCACTTCATGATGACGATAGATTGAACACTAAGATGACACGTTGTTGCGCGGCAGTATTTGAAGGTTGTTGATGAGCGACGATGGTTTTCCAAATGCTGATGTCGTCTCTCAGCTTAACGCGTGGCAAATGCAGCCTGCGACTGCCATGCCGTTGCTTTCAGGGGCGCAGAACTGTACCTGAGAGGCGCTGCCTTGCATTTGAATTTACTTTGCAGCACCACCTTGCGTGGCTGCGGTCAGGTCTCGGGCATTTGTTCACCAGCCACGGGCTCAGGAGCGCTGAGCAGGCGCTTGGCCTTGGTAATTGCAAAATGGACATACTCCGGGCCAATGCTGCTGATGGCAGTACACACGAGGCAGGCAGTGAGACTGTCATCGCCGAAAGCTCACGCGAAATCATCGCCAGCTTGGCATATCTCGTCGAATGAGGGATTCGCCTCTCAGACGTGATGCTGCGCGGTGGTTGGTGGTTTCGTTGGCGGTTTCGTTGGCGGGTGCTGGCGGGGCCGTGCGATCGATGATCGACGAAGCAAGATTGGCTTGTCAAGCCAGCGCACACGATGACGTCGCGCATTCAACTCCCTCGACGCCCGGCGCAGTGCGCAAATGCTGCTGATGTCCGCATAAGCAACGCTGGCAGAGCCGGATATGCTTGCCCTGCGGGCGGCCGAGTGCGCAATGCTTCGGCTGACGAGGAATTGTCCGCAGGCAACCCGCTGTTCTGCAACGGCGCCAGGGGCAGGTGGAGCAGCACTTCCCGCGGTGGTGCGCTTGGCTGAGGCAGTGCTCATTGGCAAACGCCAGCAAGCTCTGGAGCTCCCAGCCATCTCATTCCGTCATCAGCAGCGCGAGCAACACAGTCAGTCAGGAGCGCTGCGCCTTCTTTCCCCTCACGCTATCGCTCTTCGATTCTCTTCAACCGTCTTTTGTGTGCAGTCTGATTGATGCGATCTGCGGTCAATTGATCTTGTCGGACCACTAGCCAACTGCATTCACACCTGCCCGCTACAGCGTCAATCCTAGCAGCGCGCCTCTGACACGCTCAAATAAGTACTTGCTAGCATACCCGCGCCCACGGGACTCTTGATATCTGCGTCTCCCGCACAGCAATGAGTGAGTCCTGCAATCAACAACTCCCCGAGCAGCTGTCCGCATTCGGTGTGCCGGCTTCGTCGCCCCTCCTGTCTTGGAACGCAGCCCTCCAACACCACCGTCCTGTGACCCGTCCCTTCTGGACGCCAGGCGCAGCACCACCGCTCTCTACCGTCTCCGTCGCAGGCCTTCTCCGATAGTACAAAGGCACTCGGCAGGTCTTGGCTAACCGGACTTGGCAGAAAACATAAAGCGCGACTTCCACCGCATCGGTCGCCACGGCAGCTCGCGTTCTCTCAGCGATCCAGTTATGCCGCAACCGCAAAATGGCTCGACAGAGCACACCCCGCTGCTCGGCACCACTCGCCCCGACGAGTCGGCCATCACCAGACTGCCCAAGCATTTTATGCACCTCGTCTATGCGACGCTGGTCAGCAACTACGTCAATGTCCTGCTCGTCTTCGTCCCCGTTGGCATCATCGCCGGCGCCCTCGGCTGGAACCCCACCGCCGTCTTCATCCTGAACTTCATCGCCATCATCCCGCTGGCCGCGCTGCTGTCCTTTGCGACTGAGGAGCTCTCTGCCAAGCTCGGCCAGACGCTGGGTGGCCTGATGAACGCCACCTTTGGCAATGCCGTCGAGCTCATCGTTAGCATTGTCGCGCTCAAGCAGGGCGAGATCCGCATTGTCCAGGCCAGCATGCTGGGCAGCATCCTGTCCAACATCCTGCTTGTGCTCGGCTGCTGCTTCCTCGCTGGCGGTATTCGCGAGCAGGAGCGCAGCTTCAACGAGACCGTCGCATCGACAATGTCCTCGCTGATGGCTGTCGCATCTGCGTCGCTGATCATTCCCGCGACCCTGTACGCGACCATCTCCGGCGACAAGCAGAACGGCGGCACACACGAGGCCGAGAAGAACGTCCTGCTTCTGTCGCACGGCACCTCGATCATCCTCCTCATCCTGTACATTCTTTACCTGTACTTCCAGCTGTACTCCCACCACGCCCTATTCGCCGACGTCGAGAACCAGGAAGGTGGAGATGACGAGAACGAGGACGGCCAGATCCTGTCCCCCGTCGCTGCTGGTGTTGCGCTCGTCCTCGTCACCGTCCTCGTCGCCATTTGCGCCGAGTTCCTTGTCAACAGCATCGACTCCATCGTCGAGTCAGCACACATCAGCAAGACGTTCGTCGGTTTGATCCTTATCCCCATTGTTGGAAACGCCGCTGAACACGTAACTGCTGTTATCGTCGCATACAAGGGCAAGATGGACCTGGCCATCAACGTTGCAATTGGCAGCTCCATGCAGATCGCGCTTTTCGTCACTCCCTTCCTCGTTATCCTCGGCTGGATCATGGGACAGCCCATGACCCTGCACTTCCAGGGCTTCGAGACCATCATCTTCTTCATCTCGGTGCTGATCGTCAACTACTTGATCCAGGATGGAAAGAGCAACTACCTTGAGGGCGCCATGTGCCTCGGAACGTAAGTACTACACCCTGCACGCAACGACTTACGCTAATGCCAAACAGATACGCCATCATCGCGCTTGCTTTCTACATTTACCCCGACAACGTCCAGGGCGATCCTACCGGTAACGGTCTCGTTCAGAGGTTTTTCGCCACCAGCTAAGAGCTGACCAGTCTTACCTCAACCTCCCCAACCAACCCCCTCGGCCTTCTGAAATGGAGGCTAGTCCGAAACACAGTCGCTTGCAGAGCGATGCGACATCTGTTCCCTTTTGTACAGTTCTTGGATACCAGTTTCCGTAAGGAACATGTTATTCCCTTGTCTTGATTTCCTTGCTTTTCCTTTGTACGGTGGCTAGTCCCTCGGGCGTTTCGGTCTGATACTGAGCCAGGTAGCGAGCAATTGCCTGTGGATAGCGGAGAGGAAAGCAGAGCGGCAGCGGTGTCGAAAGTATAGTGCAAGAAAGAATCTAGTGTAAGAATAGCCGCCAAACAGTAACAATAATACAATCGAGAATGGCGAGTACACCCAGATGCTGCAATTGAGCGACTTGCATGACTGTGCCACACACTGTGGCAGCGGGAGTGGCTGTCCTTTTAAGCTTTGAGGGTTTTTGGGGGCCGCCCCACACGGCTCCGGCTCTGGAAGACACGGCATCTGGAGTACGTACCCTTCACTGCCGAGATCCGCTAGCTGACATTGTGCTGGTTTTAGAGCGTTTGGGGGCTGCATATACATACACGAGTAAGTGCGGGATTGCGTCAGACGCAGATCAAACATGCGCCTCGGATACATCTACAACTAAGCACGCTGGGAAAATGCCATCGCCAACGCGAATGTCATACTCCTCAATAACTGCGACCAGCTTTATGTGTCCCGGCGCTCTCCGTTGTGTGATCAACAACAAGGTCAGATAAATATAGCGGCGAAGCCTAAACATCCAGCGGCCTGCCAAGCAGCCTGCGCAGGTGCGTGTTGTGGTGAAGGAGTGCTGTGGTTTGTCACAGCACATTCCAATGGACAACCCCAAAAGCGATTACGCTGAAGTTGCATTTCACCTCAACTTGCTTCATGCAAAATAGATCCCGTGTTCTTGAAGTGGAAAGGGGTGGTATCTGCTGTTTAGTTGCAATCTCTGTCCTGACTTCGTCCACGAAGCCATAGCGGCGCTTCTTGCCAGGCCACACACTCGGGTTCTCAAAACACGGGGTGCCATGTTTCATTCGAGCCTTCCATGGGTTTTGTTGTCAAGGACGTCGACGTCGCTTCTTCCAGCCTCAGCGACAGCCGTTCGGTCGTGATCGCTGGCTTGCATGGCTTGTCAAATGGCTCTGCGGCTTCACAAATGGCATTACCGTCTTGCATTCTCACCCAAAAGTGGGTCCCCAGTAATGTGCGATCAAGCGCAGTATGTCGTAAGTTCTTATGCTCTGAGAACGCTGACTGCATTGGGAAGATGTCAAATCTTCATGGTACAGTCCACGGCTTCCACCACAGCGCCACGCTCGCAGGTCAGAACAAGTCTGTTCCAGACTGGATGCTTGCGTTGGGAATGAGAATGGCGGCGTCTGCAGCGACCTTCGAACTTCAAGCAAAGCTGAGTCACGAAGCATAGGAGTTCTCTGGGCTTTCATCTTAGCGATACGGCAGGTACTAACTCATATTGTAGTCTCTTGGTCGCCATATAACGCGTTCGTGTCTCAAAAACGTTCGACTATCGAATAAATGGTGTCGTACCGGGCTGGAAGCTCTGACAGCATATTCCTCCTAAGACAGCCAAAGTATCACAAACGAGCTCGGGCAACGTCTTGAATTCAACGTAGCAGCATCCAATAGAGAATCAACCCTGAGAGGCTCGGGGAGAAGATACTTACGACGTTCATACAACATGACTCTCATGCCCGCTTTCCTTTACTAACTGCAAACGGACTTGCAGATTCGACAAAAGACATCAGTGGATATTTCATCCCTCTATCCGGTGAGGATCTTGAAGGTGAGCTTTAATTCAGACCCTTGTCAAGATCGAGCACGAGGTCACTTGCACTTGACCGCATGATCTAAAGCGCAAGCACTCTCACCCATGATGCCAAAGTTGTGAGCTACCGCGAATGGGATTCCACCTTCTTATCTGAGAAAAAACCTGGCTCGTCTTCCAATACTGACATCTTGCAGGTATTCTACTACATTGTCAAACATGACCGACCCATCGCCACGCCGTCACGGTTGTACGGCAAAAATTACTATTTCAATTGGCTGCCCATGTAAAGAGGCTGGATTTCAATGTTCCTATTGGCGCTCTACCACATCAGGCAGCCCGTACGAATCCCGGTGTGATCAATCTGTCGCCGCAGCGGCACTAGCGGCACAAGCCGCGGCGCTGATTGGCTGGCGACGCCTTGTGTACTGTGAAGCAACCTTGGTATCTTGGCGATGCAAGCACATATATTATCAGACGATCTCCCCGGATATGGAGTCAAATACCAATGCGACTTCGACGTCATGGCACCACAGAGGGTGCATCACCCGGACGAGGCTCCTCCGGAGTACTCTGTCCGTGACCCGCAGTTGCAAGCAACGCCCCCATGTAACCCGCGAATGCAAACAACGCCTCCAGGTAACCCGCAATTGCCAGCAACGCCTCCAAAACGAAAATGGACGGACAATCGAGTCCGAGTATGGAGTCTTGTAGCACTTGGAGTCCTTGCTATCATCATATTCGGTGCAGCGTACGGCGTAAAGAGATCAAGATCCGAGTAGGTTCAAGGCCAATTCGTCCCCGGACTGCCGTACTAACACAGTTGAAAGCGACGCAGAGAATAGTCGTGACCAACAACTACAGGCCTGGTCTTCAAGTCGGGCAATATACCCAACCGGCACTCCTGCAACTTCGAGTTCCTTCCCTGACCCTACGCCTGGTCCTACTCAACCTGTTCTGCAGGCACAAGGACCAATGCCGAGAGACATCAGCGTCGCTGTAGAGGTCCCCGACCTGCTGATCTGGGATCTGCGTGCCAGAGGCCGCATATACACAAGGAAGCTCGACCGCGACTTCGAAGTCGATCCCTATCGCCAATTGTTAGTTACCCCTGTGGTTGTCAACACGGGTGAGACGACGCGAACAGCAGTCGCCGTCAATGGCGTCAGCGGCGGCATCTTGTACATGCACTTCCACGACGGCCGGTGGGAGGACTGGCAAGAACTCGAGTTTGCGGCGAAGTTCCTGCGGCGTCCTGCTGTGATCTCGAGGGCCCAGCATAGGGTCGATGTTGTCAACGTGGATAGCGAAGGGTCTGTGTGGATTGTTTCGTACGACGGTTCCGCGTGGAGCGAATGGACGCAACTCGGTACCAATGTCTCAGCAGACGTCTCGGCGACAACATGGGGCGAAGATCGAATCGACGTGTTTATCAGCAATGGCGAGACCTTCATGCATAAGCACTGGACACCGGACTCTGGGTGGCCTGAGAACTGGGAGGATCTGGGTAATCCGTTTGGACGAAGTTTGTGGACTAGACAGGCTATCTCGCCCGGACCCCCTTCCATTTCTTCGCCCATGGCTGTCTCATGGCGCGACGGGGACGATGGTGTGATCGACATATTCGTTACCGACGGAAGCTCGCGACACAAGATGTTCAGAGGCGGTGCATGGAGCGACTGGCTCATCGTCAGCGCCAGCCACGAGGGCGGCGAATTCCCGGACACACAGAGCATTGTCAAAGGCCGTGGCGGGGACGGGTATCCGTTCGCGCATGTCATCTCACGCGGTACGAATAACTGCATGCACCTCATCTCGCACAACGGGACCGACTGGGATTTCTGGACGAATTTGTGGTGCAACACCGATAATGTAGGGAACGAACGCTACTACCCGACGGAGATCCTGGCGACTTCGATGGCTGTGTATGAAAACGGCAGTCTCGAGGTGGTGGTGAAGGATCTGCTGGATAATGTGTTGAGACTCCAGCTGGAAGTACCAGTCGACCCAAACGTCAGATTTTCCAACGGCGAATGGGATAATCTGGGTTCTGCCGGCTGAAAAACGAGCATTTCAGTCTCAGCTGTTGAGATTGACTGGGGCTGACTTCTTGGCCTGATGCCACCTTCAGTACCTCTACGGAGGGGTCGAACGATTAAAGGATCGCATTTCGTCTCGCGTAATCTTCGAGGTCATGGACGGCACTGGCTTGGATTTGAAGGGCACTCCGCCAACCCGTCAACATACAGAGATATGCGGGGTATCACTCGATGCACAGGTACTACTGGATGTTCGATCAGGCATTGGCAGTGAAGAATGGAAGAGTCTGGACTGGAAACGGACCGGATAGAATTGATGCTGCTCCGGCGAAGCATTTCAAGCACTTTTTGTTAAACTTATACCCGATCTCTGGAAGCAGAAGATGGAAGGATTTTGCTAGTCGTCTGAAATAATTAATGCCTGCACAAGCGGCTCAGATACTCTTGCTCAAAGAACCCTGCTTCCTCCCTACTTCTCCTTAGCATGCTCCACCTTCCTTCCGTCGCCACTGATCGCATTGGCCGCACGTTTGTCCAACCACGCCTGCGGGTAGTCCCACTCGGGATTCTTCTCGTAGTGTTGCTCGATCATGACCTCGAGCGCTTCAATCTGCCCGGCCCAGCGCTTGTCGTACTGGGCTCTCAGTTCCTCTGTTTCGCCATCATCACCCTCTTCTTTCTGCACAGCGTCAAGAGTCTGGTACATGATCGACTGCAGAGAATTAGCCAGTGAGTGTAGAGACCGGTCAGCGCACGCGCCTTCTCTTCTTGCAGGGAGTTGTAGCAGCCGACCAGCAAAGCGAGCAACGACTTGCGCTCCTCTTCGAGAAGTCTTTGGCGGACGGCGAGGCGCGTTTCGACTTCGGCCAGCTCGTTTCTGGCGGTGTCGATTTGCCACTGCTTCGCTTCGAGCAGGAGCTTACCCGCGGCGCGGATGGGGTCTGCCATGGCTGTAAAGTATTTGAAGAGACGCGCTGGTGAGTATTATGAAATGTTAAAGTATATAGAGAGAGCGGTTGTGTGGTACGGTGGAGTCGGGTGTGGATGGTATATAAACAACTGCGTTTGCACTGACGTGCTTTCACCTGTCGGAGGGACGAACAAACGCTCGAGGCTCGTTCACTTCTATTATGTGCGTTGCTCACCGACTCGACGGTAATTGAACTTTCAAGAGACCCCAGGCTATTTCGCGATTTGCTTGTGCAAGTTGTCTATTCTAATGTGATCTATATGCACAGTCGTCTTGCCTTTCGAGGATTCATCATTCATGCCGTCTGCTTCAACTCCTCCGCCCAAGCCTGCAACATTCCTGCAGTGACGTTCTTCCCGCCGCACACCACAATCACCACTTTGCTTGTCTCCGTCAGCTCCGGCAACGCCTTCTTCAGCCGCCCTCCGTAACACAGCGCAAGACTGACGCCACACGCAGCCTCGACCATGATCCTCTCATCGTTTGCGAACTTCACACACCCCTCCATAGCCTCTGTATCTTTCAAAACCAAGCTCTTTACGCAATCCCTTTGTGCATACTCATAAGCTTGCTTTGCCACCGTCCTGGCCCCCAGTGTAGTCGCAATGCTGGTGATGGCAGGCAGGGTACTCAACTTCCCCTCTCTCAACGACAGATTCAACGAATCCGCCCCCTCCGTCTCAACAGCAAGCATCTTCATCCTCTCCGCCTCCTCCCCCAGCGCCTCCCTCCCCAACATCACCCCGCAAAACAACCCCCCTCCTCCAACACTACACACAAGCACATCCGGCACCTCCCCCAAGTCCTCCACAATCTCCGGCACCATCGTCGCATGCCCTTCCCAAATCAACCGCGCATCAAACGGCGGCACATACACCGGCGCCTCGCCCCGCGCCCGCGCCTCCCCCATGACTTCACCCTGCAAATACGCATCCGCCTCGGCCCAACTCGCGCCCCGCTGCAACACCCCCGCCGCACCCGCCTCCCACATCTTGCCGACCATAAACGCGCTCGTGCTCAGCGGGACGACAATCGTCGCCGGCGCGCCCAGCGCGGCCGCAGCACTGACGCACGCCAGCCCCGCGTTGCCGCCCGAACTCGAGTAGAAGTGGAGTTTCGAGCGGGCGTCCGCGGGGACGGAGGCGAGGTGCGAGAGCAGTAGGTTGCCGATGCCGCGGGATTTGAAGGAGCCGCTGGGCTGCAGGTTTTCCAGCTTCAGGTGGATTTGGCAGCCGGCGGCGGCGGAGAGGGTGGTCGAGTGGATGAGGGGGGTTCGGCGCCAGGGCTGGGGGAGGGGGGAGTCGGGAGGCGGCATTTTGGGGGTGGTGTTGGGTGTTGGGTTGGGGTTGTTGGATGGGTGTAAAGGGTTGGTGATTTTGGATGGGTGTATATTGTTGGGGTTGTTAGATGGATATATAGGGCTGGGGGAATTGTTTATAGGCGGCCGATTGGAGATGGTGTACTTGTAGGGCGTGGACGGTCCGCTAGCGTGGTTGGTGGGGCAAGGCTCTGTCTTTCCACCACCTTCGACCGTTGTACTTACGGAGGATGATGTGATAGTGGCTGGTGGTACTTGGCTGCGCGCCTTGGAGAGGGAGTGATTGCAAGACTGCTGGAATTGAATGATTGAGATAGTCGACGGTCAACGGTACCCGCGAAAGTGGCCCCATTTGCAGTCAATGCAGTTGCAAGTGCACGTCGAAGCCAACACTTCCAGGCCATGCCACTTGACGCACCCCCAAGCACTGAAGATTCACTAGATACCTCCAGAATGATCCGTGCTGGCTGGAAGGACTGGCGTGGAATATCACGGCAGGAGGCAGAGTGATGGCACAAGGGTGGGCTGTGGATGACGGCATATCTGGCTGCTTGGAAGCAGCGTGTGGGTGGAGGAAACCAGAAGGCCAGAGACAACCAGACTACACCACCGTTATTTCCTAACACGGTAACATTGCAGGACTGCAGAAACGTTGATTGCTGCAGGAATGCAATTTGCCCTTCCACCCAGTGAGCAGGCAGCCAATGGCGCGGATAAGCGCAAATGACTCGGGGACGCTGCCCGCATCTCACAAATGACTCGGGGACGAATTTTGAGATTCGCCCCGCCAGACCTCAGCGCGCCTCCATCCCACGCGCCACAACGCGCAACCGCCCAGCATGCCGCCCTCGATATGCGCCGTGTGCAAGACCAACCGTGCCCTCATCCTCCGGCCGAAGGACCACTCCAAGCTGTGCAAGCTGTGCTTCATCGACGTGTTCGAGACGGAGATCCACCACACCATCGTCTCGACCAGCCTCTTCCAGCGCGGCGAGCGCATCGCAATCGGGGCGTCGGGCGGCAAGGACTCGACGGTGCTCGCGTCGGTGCTGAAGACGCTGAACGAGCGCTACGACTACGGGCTGGATCTAATCCTGCTGTCCATCGACGAGGGCATCAAGGGCTATCGCGATGACAGCCTGGAGACGGTCAAGCGCAACGCGCAGCAGTACGACATGCCGCTGACCATCCTCGGCTATGCGGAGCTGTACGGGTGGACCATGGACCAGGTGGTCGAGCAGGTGGGCAAGAAGGGCAACTGCACGTACTGCGGCGTGTTCCGCCGCCAGGCCCTGGACCGGGGCGCGGCCAAGCTGGGCGTCAAGCACGTCGTCACTGGCCACAATGCGGATGACGTTGCTGAGACCGTCCTCATGAACCGTGAGCCATCCTGTCCCGCCGTCCGCTGAGTGCGCAACTAACGCCCCCAGTCCTCCGCGGCGACCTCCCCCGCCTGTCCCGCACCACCTCCATCGTGACGTCGACGCCCTCGCTCGCGCCCTCGTCCGGCCCCGTCGCCGACAACACCAACATCAAGCGCTCCAAGCCGCTCAAATACGCCTACGAGAAGGAGATTGTCCTCTACGCCCACCACAAGCAGCTCGACTACTTCAGCACCGAGTGCATCTACTCGCCCGAAGCCTTCCGCGGCAGCGCCCGCGCCCTGATCAAGAACCTCGAGCGCGTGCGACCCAGCGCCATCCTCGACGTCGTCCGCAGCGGCGAAGACATGGCCCGCCTTGTGCCCGGCAGCGACGACGCCTGCGCCGGCTCCTGCAGCACCAACCCGCCCATGCGCGTCGCCGAGGACGACGAGGCCGGCTGCGGCAGCGCCGTTGGTACGAGCATAGCCAGTCTTGCGCCTAGCTCCGAAGCGCGTCCTCTCGAGACGGAGATCACCCTCCCCGCTCGCCCCGCCCCGCCAGCAAAGGGCCAGAAGAAACCCCGCGCCGAGCGCACCGGCGGGCCTAAGAAGAAGGGGCCGGCAAAGCAGGTCATGGGCACGTGCTCGCAGTGCGGATACCTGTCCAGCCAGGCTGTGTGCAAGGCGTGCGTGCTGCTAGAGGGCCTGAACAAGAACCGGCCGAAGCGGGGGATTGAGGTCGGCTCTGAAGTGCAGGACGTCAGTCTGAACAGCGTGAGGGACGAGCTGGAGGCCGCGAAGCTGGCGGTGGAGGGGTGAGCGCAGGGGAGGGCAGTACAACGGCGGACACCGCAGTGCTCAGTCGCGCCTCAGCACAGCGCCACGCAGTCGCAGTCGGAGAACACCGCACAGCGAGACATGACGCACAAAGACTCCAGCCCAGCGCACACACACTACGCCCTCCGCCCTCCACCCTCCACCACACCTCTCCCCTCACCCACACCGCCCAGGCCGCGGCGCAACAATCACGTGGCCGGATGGTCAAGTGACCTCCGAAGTGACCACCCGCACCCGCACCCACCACCGAGCCCGCGTCACCCGCGTCCCATCACCCGCACCCGCGTCACACGACCTCAGAGCACAACAATGCCACCGCGGACACCGCGTCTGGGACACCGTGGCCATGCGGTGGTGTCGCACGACCATGACACTGACTCACACACCCACTGCGCTGGGTGCGCTGATGCTGTGGCTGCAGCCCTGCGCAGGGCTTATGACTGCGGCTATGGTTGTTGTGGGATCGCAGTATGATTCCGGTGAGACTGTACGGGTCATTGCAGCTGTGTTTTGTGCGCACGGAGTTGAGCTCGTCGAGTGTAGATTTGTGAAAGTTGACAAGGCAGAGCAGTAGCAGAGAAGCAGAAGCACAGGAGCAGAAGACATGTTGTAGAGATTAGATTTGAATTCAAAGTCGAAGTAGAAGGTGTGGATAGATCCAAGTCCACCTCATCGCCAAAACACCACCTTCCCAGAACGCCATGCCATGTATGCTAATCTACGCACACCGTACCGGTTCTAAACCCCCACTGTAGCATCCCACCCCGTATCCAGACCATTTACCCACCAAATTCACCACTCTAGAGCTGAATCTCAAACCCGCCATCCAGCTTCCACGGCCCCTCCACCTCCACCTCGCCCTTCTCCGCATCAAACACCCCCACCGCCCCCGCCTTCTCCTGCCCAAGAACCACCACCTTGGCCACCGTAATCGACTCGCCGTCGGCACCCGCATACGCAAACTCGCCCGAGACACTGAACTTGCCGTCCTTGAACTCAAACTCGATCTCGCTGACCGCCGGCTGCGAGATGCGCTCGCCCTCGTCCAGGTACAAGCGGCCCGTCGCGGACTCGTCAGCACCGGGGGCCACGAGCACGGCGAAGTCCTGCGCGCGCAGCGCTTTCGTTGTGTTGGCTGACGCAACGCGCATGGGGATTATGGAGCCGCCGCGGATGTGCACGGGGATGTCGCTAGTCGTGAGGTTGGACTGCGTGACGTTTGCACCGGGGGACTGGACTTTCGCGTGCGTCCAGAAGTCGTAGAAGGTGTCGTTGGGCAGGTAGTAAGTGACCGTGTCGGAGTAGTCGGTGGTGACGGGCGAGATCAGCAGCGCGTCGCCGTAGAACCACTGTTCCTGGATGGCGAAGGTGTTGGCGTCGTTGGGATAGAGGAAGAAGAGCGGGTTGATCATGGGCGCGCCGGAGGTGGTCTGGTCGTGCAGCGCCGTGTAGATGTAGTCGAGCAGCGTGTAGCGGGTGTTGATGGCTTTCTTCGCGGCCGCGGCGACCGACGGCCACTGGTAGAATTCCTGCTGGATGGTGCTGAGTTCGGCGTGGTTGCGGTAGAAGGGCAAGAAGGCGCCGAGCATGGCCCACCGCGCGCACAGGTTCTCGTTGGTGTTGCCGTTGAAGCCGCACACGTCGGAGCCGACAAGCGGCATCTGGTGCATCGACACAAAGGAGAGCATCTGCCGGATCGACGTGCGGTAGTGCTCCCAGTCGGACGCGTTGTCGCCGAACCAGTGGGTTGCCTTGCGGCCAGTTCCAGCCCAGGTGGAGCGGGTGAGTACGAACGGGCGCACCTCAGGACGACGGGTGACCATGGAGTTCTGAGTTGTCATGGCCATCATGTGCCCGTGAAGGTTGTGCGTGTCGTACTGACGGGTTCCGTCGTAGTTCGAGGTGTTGAGGTAGATGGTGAGCGCGGTCAGATCGCCGACGTGGTTGCTCACTGAGTAGGCAGGGTTGAACCACTCGCGGTCTGGGAAACCCTTCATCTGACCCATAGCTTGACGAGCCTCGACATCGCGCTTCGAGGAGCTGGGTTGGAATGATGCCGGGAAGCCGGGAATAGGGCGTCCGGTGTTGGGACGAGGACCGTTGGCGGGCTTGGGGGGAATACCATCTGCGATGGCCTTCTCGCGCGGCTTACAGTTGATGTCCTGGCAAAAGTTGGACGCTTCGTTCATGTCAACCCAGATGCCGTCGATGTCGACACCAGAGTCGGCGTCAAAGAAGTTGAGGACCTCGTCAGTCCACCACTTCTGCGCGTTGGGGTGGTACCAGTCAGGCCATGCCACAGCTCCAGGCCACTGAACGCCGAGGAGATCAGTACCGTCAGCTGCCTTCAGGAAGATGTCAAGATCATGACCGCTCTTGTATGCCGCAACTTCATCGAAAGCGTGGACGCCAGGATCAAGGATAAGCACGTAGCGTTGGTCGCGAGAGTGCAGAGTTGACACAAGCTCTTGCATCTTGGTGAGAGGGAAGCGCTCAGGGTCGAGGGTGAAGTCTTGACGAGCATCCATGTAGTCGATGTCTGTCCACATGACCTCGAGCGGGATGCCAGCAGTCGAGTAGTTGGCGACAACCTCGGCGACCATGTTGACGTCCCAGTAGCCGTACTTGCATTGGTGGAAGCCCAACGTCCAGTAAGGATACATGGCAGAGTAGCCAACAACATCAGCGTACTGCTTCGAGACAGCAGTAGGGCTAGGGCCAGATAGAATGTAGAAGTCAAGAACGCCGCCGATGGTGTTGTACTCAAGGTACTGGTTGCCGGCCTCGTCCTTGTCAATGTCGATGTTCATGGGAGACGAGTTCAGCAAAAAGACACCATGAGTGCCTTTGTCGCCGCGGTGGTCAAAGTAGACTGGGTGCGAGCCGTACAAATTCGCGTTGTTGGGAATGTTGATGGACTCCGCGTTGAAAAGGCTACGTCGATACTTGTCCGTGTGGAAGCGGAAAGAATCGCTGTGCTCACCAAGACCATACAGGTTGGGATCCTTGGGCAAGTTGGTACGCAGACGAACATACTGCTTCTCGAAGATCAAGGGAGTGCCTGTAGTGTCGAAGATCACCTCGTTGTTGCTGGTACGGGTGACCTTGAACGCGAAGGGCTGTGCGGTGTAATCAAAGCGAACAGCTGCCCCGGAAGAAGCAGCCTTGTCGTTGGCAGGGCGAGGAAGCACCTCTTCTTGGACTTGGAACACGTTGAGACCTGCATCATAGATCTTGACATGAAGACGGTCATCTTTGGAAGGGTCAGTCTATGTCCGTTTGCCGTTCGAATTTCGGATGGGTCCTGTGATGCGCAATTGGTATACATACCAGTCTGGTGTTCGACAACCAACTTCAGTTCTTGCAAGTCTTCACTGTAGACATTGCAAGCAGGGCCAGCGAGGGTGAGGTCAGCTGTGAGGCCAGCTTCTGTAACGTCGACATTGGTAGCAGTGTAGCCTGGGCACGCGCTGGCGTTTACGGCCCGAGCAGTGAGAGAAGCGGCGCCGTGTGGATAAGGCGCAGCGAGAGCAAGCTGCGCAGACGCAGCGAGCGCGATGAAGGACTTGAATAACATGTTGCACCCAAGATTGACTTCCTGCGAGTCAGTGTTGGTCCAAGTGAGGGAGAAGGAGGATGGGCGGGCACGAGCACATTAAATATGAGTGTGGGCTAGGGCTGGCGCCGGGTATGAGTGGGCCGTAGTCAGAATGACCTGGAGTGAAGGTAAAATTGAGCTCGCGACAAGTTGTTGAATGACATTTTCAATTTGCAGTGCCGTCTCTGCACCGCATGATGCATCGTTCAGGGCTCGTAGGAAAACAAATGACCTCATCCCTGTCTATTGACACGCAGCAGTGACTTGCATTGGCTATTGCGAAGAGGACCGGGTTGTTGTCCTGCAGACGCATGTGGGGATGTACAGGGGCCAAGATATCTCCGGCTCCTTGTGCTCGGCGCGTATGCACTACATGACAGAAAACAAATGAATGGATGCGCATCGTTCCAGGATATGAGGATGTGCAATTCCCGCTTATAGTGGATGTAAGGAAAGCTGGGGTAGTCAATCAGGCCGGTGAATGTGGATGATACCTTCCTATTGGGCACGAGGCATCCGTCAGGGGAATGCTGTACTCGACCCCACAGCCTCAGCGCCCTACTTGCTGTATCCAGAGAGTGACGCTGAGACTGGTCTTGGGCATGCTAAGTGAATGACGGTATGCTGTCTGAGTAACGGCGCGGGTACTGGCTCTTCACTAGCAATGTGAGTTGCGTCCGTGACGTTGGGGATCAGACGCGAGGCTCACGCGTTGCGGGGATCACGCTTCGAGGCGCTTTTCGCGCCACGCTACGCAAAGCTTGGCTACCCCAAAGCGGAGACGATCGCCTCACATGCTCCTTACTGGCTGTGGAGCGATCTGCAATCCCACACCCGGCGGCGTACAAGAAACTCAACGGCTCATGTTGACCTTGGCCGATACCCATAGCGCGTGCGAAGGCTTTAGAAGGTGTGTCGAGCTCACAAACCGGGTATTAGTGGATCTGTGGGACGGTGGAGCGGTGAGCTCCCGGTGCAACCTCCTAGGCACGTGGTTCCTTCTGTCGGTGCTACATTGGAGTCAAAATGGGGCAGTGCGGAACCCTGTCGAGTGAGTTACAAGCTAGGTAATAGTGTCCTCTCGAGGAGCGAGTCGCAGGAGCAGCAAGTCAGTCGCAAGTGGTGCTACCTGAAGCTATGTACATCTGGGCTGCTTCATGAACAACATCGCCAACTTTCTTTCTGATCACGAGCGACTCGTGCCCAAAGTATGGCGTTTTGCTTCTGCTAGTGCAGGTATCATTGCTAGTTGGTCGTTGCATGTGCATTTCATCAGAACTTCAGTATGGAAGTAATCTAGTGACTTCGTCGCGCCGGTAAATAATCTCCCGATGTACGATGCACCACATCGGAGATCTCGACTCAATCGACAATCGAAGTAACTAGGCGTTATCGTGTGTCGTGGTGGGTCATTCGGGAGGGTGTGCGGTCGTGATGAAATGCCAATTTTTGGTCGTATCAATTCGCTCCCCATGAGTTGACGCATCACAAAACAACAAGCACGAGTACACCCGCGGATTGCCGGGAGATAAAGCATGGTTACTCCTCGGATGTTGAAGCGCAGCCATGTACTTCTGTCGGCGCGTGACGTCATCGTGGATGCGCGCCACTTCGGTGTTTTCGACGAACTTTTTGCTTCAGTAACATCGCAACACCGCACATATCGGTAGATTCGGTCTACTATCCTTTCTGCGCTGTACAGACACATACTTTTGCGAATCAGTATACACGAAGCTAATCTCGCGTGACAATTTCAAGATGCCCCGCCGTAGCGGTGCTTCTACGCAGTCAGACGACACCGCAACCACGACAACCCTGCCGGTGAAGGTCCAGTGGCCGTCGACATTCACAGATGGCTTGCCTCTACCAAAAATAGTCGTATTCGACCTCGACTACACTTTATGGCCATTCTGGGTAGATACGCACGTCTCAGGGCCTCTGAAGGCGACAGAGGGTGGGCTGAAGGTGAAGGACCGTTTTGGAGAGGCCTATGGCTTCTATAACGACGTAGGCGGGGTGTTGGAAGCTGTCAGTGCAGGAATTTGACATCCAACAGAGAGCAGGTCACTGACAATCTACAGCTCAAGGCCAAGAATATTCTGATTGGCGCTGCCTCGCGCACGCACGCACCTGACCTCGGCCGCGAAATGCTGAAGCTCCTCAAGATCCCCAGCTCATCTGGTTCCTCGACCCGCGCATTAGACTATTTCGATCATCTGCAAATATACCCCGGCAACAAGACAACACATTTCGAACGCATACACAGGGACAGTGGGATAGAGTACGACGAGATGCTGTTCTTCGACGATGAAAGTAGGAATAAGAATGTGGAAGTGCTGGGTGTGACAATGAAGCTCGTGCCACGTGGTGTGACAAGAGACGTTATAGACGAGGGTGTCAGAGGGTGGAGGAAGAGACACGGGCGAGAGCACGCCTAGCTCAACGGGTAAGTTACTGAGGAATCGATAGACAAACAGCAGCAATACTAGAAGGAAGGTCGCGGGGCTCACAATAAATTTGCTAGACAAAACGGCTCACACATTCGTCAATCACGCCAGCCGGTTTCGACACCTTTTCTAGCAGTGCGAGCACAGGATTCGGTCTTCGTCCCTCGTTCATGAACAATCGTGAGGATGTATGGGCGGATTGGAGTCTGTTGTTCATGCTGCGCGCACCCAAAACTCCACCTGAGACGCGACCTTGCCTAATGTGGACGGCCCGCCCTGTCAAGCCTGTCACGACCACCATTGTGATACAGGAACCACCGCAAAAGATGCCTGATCTACGACCTCACACAGCGCGGCGCCTGAATGTAAGTCCTGACGATGGCTTCAGGCTACGAGAGTGACTACAAAACGGGAGCCCATCGCTACCAAAATTGCATCAGCCACATCGACTTCATACCATTCGGTTCATCGCTTTCGCAAATACAACCTCTGGCAGGCCTCTGTTCGTTGCACATAATCGTTTTAATCACATTCAATACCCGTGGTCAAGATGCGCACCTCTACCACATCAGCGCTCACCCTTTTGAGCATGTTGTCGGCCTCAATGGCTCTCCCTACTACGCAGCTTACCACCCGACAAGCTAACGCATGCTTCGTAATCGGAAAAACCTCCCTCCCTGGTGAAGTCGCCGACACAGTTGCTGCAATTCAAAGCGCCGTTACCTGCTCCACCACAGCAACAACCATCTCCAACGTCCCCGACGTCTCATCTGGCGGCGCCACTTTCTCCGCTATCGACTTCTCCACGTCTTCGCAAACACCCCTTGAATTTGCGCTCTCGAAATTCGCGACCGCAGACCCCCTCGCAGACACAGACTTGCAGACCTTCCAGGATAACCTCAATGTTTACCTCGCCACTGAAGCGGGTATCAGGAGTGTAGGAGGCAGCCTAGCCATCAAGGTGCCGAAGTTCTTCTTGCAGATGCAGGTCTCTAGGATTCAGACGGCACAGGGCAACCCGCCAGCGGCAGCGGGACAGCAGGTGGATCACCTAAGGGACAAGGTCACTAAGAACGCAGGGGGTGAGGATAAAGCGTTGTTGGACCAAGTTATAGCGCTTGCTACCCAACTGCAGTGAGATGTTAACAGGACTCTGCGGAGATAATGCGTTAGTAATCAAATTCGAGTTCAGCACTTTGGTACACAATGTCTACCTACCCACGCTAAATCTGACCACGCCAACAATTCACACGCGATTCCCAGGCCTGGTTGTCGGGATCCATTGCCCCGGTAGCGGCTTGATGAGGTTGAAGATCGCCAACCCCGCTGACGATGAAGTGGCTAGCGATCATCAACCGGCATTTAACCAGTAATACGAAGTCGAGCGAAATCTGCCCGAGCCGGGCATCCTAGTGATGCAGAAGGCTACAAATACGTTCTTGTACCATGGTGTCCGCACCAGGTACCGACCATGCTACCTTCCTACAGTTACGGCTTTGCGCTGCTGTTCTTACCATCGGTTGTGGAGGGTGCCATCAATCGCAAATCCATCGTTCAGAGATTCAACCTCAGACTCAATCAATCCCATCCATATAGCCCGGTCCAAGTCGGCAATGGCAATTTTGCATTCGGAGTCGATGTCACGGGACTTCAAACCTTCTTGCCACACAACACGCTCTCATCATGGGGCTGGCACAATTCCTCACTGCCGACAACGCAGAACCAGACGCTGCCTGAAGACTATACCGGTGTTGACTGGTGGACGCACGAGAGGCTTGTCAATTATGAGATGCCGAACCCAGAGCAGAAAGAGATCAGTCAGTGGATGATTGCGAATCCGCACCGTATCAATCTAGGGAGGGTTGGGCTGTGGTTCGGTGGACGAAATGTCACCGAGGAGTCACTCAGCGGTAAGACGCAAACGTTAGATTTTTGGTCGGGCGAGATCCTGTCGGAGTTCGCTTTTGACGACGAGAAAGTCGGTGTTACCACAGTAGGGAGCCCGGAGACCGACACTGTAGCTGTGCGAATCACCTCAAAGCTACTGACTCAGGGCAACTTTGGAGTTGTATTTGACTTCCCATATGCTTCTGGGAAGAATAAGTTCGACGCGCCATTTGTGGGATTGTTCAATGCCACATCGAATCACACCACTGCACTGAGCGTCGGAGACAATCGAGCAGTCATCACGCATACGCTGGATGCAACAGCCTATACTGCTGAGATTGCTTGGGAAGGCAATGCTACATTGACTCGACTCATCGATGGCGAACACAAGTACGCGCTGAAGTCTGGTAAAGAAGCAGGTACTCTATCATTCACCGTCACCTACGCGCAACATGCCAAAAATGACCTTTGCGCTTCCTTTGACGGGGTCCAGAAAGCATCTAAAGCGTGGTGGGGTGACTACTGGTCGTCTGGCGCCTTCATCTCCCTCCCTTTCGCAACCAACTCTTCTGCGAACGAGCTCCAACGCCGCATAGTACTCTCGCAATACCTGCTTGCTGTAAATGGCGCTGGAAAAGACCCTGCGCAGGAATCTGGCTTGGTGAACAACGGCTGGTACGGCAAATTCCACCTGGAAATGGTCTTCTGGCATCTCGCGCACTGGATGTTCTGGTCAAAGTGGGACCTATACAATCGCAGCATCGGAGTCTACTCGCGCTTCCTCCCATCCAGCATCACCAGGGCCCAAAAGCAAGGCTACGAAGGTGCCCGTCTGGGCAAGATGAGCGACCCCAGTGGCCGGTCTGCGCCAGGTCAAATAAACAGCCTGTTGATTTGGCAGCAGCCGCACCCCATGTACTTCGCCGAGATGGAGTACAGATCCTTCCCCACTGCCGCCACACTCCAGAAATGGGATCACGTCTTGGAGCCCGTGGCGGACTTCATGGCCAGCTACGCCTTCTTCAATTCCACCACGGGCGTCTACGACCTCGGACCCCCGCTTTACCCCGTATCTGAAAACACTCCGCCTAACGGAACCATGAACCCCACGTTTGAGTTGTCGTACTGGCGCTTCGGACTCGCCGTTGCGTCGGCCTGGAAAGCGCGCCAGCACAAACCCGTCCCCGCATCGTGGACACACGTGCACGACAACCTCGCGCCTTTCCCGGTAGAAAACGATGCATATGTCACCTACGAGGGCATACGGGATATGTGGACGACGCCGGAGTATACAGAGGATCACCCCGGGCTGCTTGGGATCTGCGGCTGGCTGCCGCCGGACCCGCGTTTCAACGAGACGGTGTTTAACAATACCTTCGACAAAGTGCACGAGACGTGGAATTTTCCGTTTAGTTATGGCTGGGACTTCCCGCTGTTGGCGATTTCCGAGGCGAGGAGGGGCGATGCGGAGAGAGCCGTGAGTTGGTTGCTGGACGAGAATAACAGAGTGGATGAGTTGGGGATGCCGGAGGGGGGCACGAGGGTGCCGACGCCGTATTTTCCGAGTGCGGCGGGATTGTTGCTGGCTGTGGGGATGATGAGTGGGGGGTGGGATGGGAGGGAGGGAGGAGTGTGGCCAGTCGGGTGGGAGGTTGAGGCTGAGGGGTTTGTGAGAGGGATGTGAAGTGTGATGGTCTCAGTATACAGAGATAAATTTCAAGCTGATTTATAAAGATGCTTGTACGTCCTACCAATTCCAACGCATTACTTTGCCAGTTGTATCGGCCACATCCCCAGCCGTGTCCGCAACTCACAGCCGTGTCTGCAACTCATAGCCGTGTCTGCAACTCAATGGCCATTGCTAACAGCCCTGCACAGCGTCTTCGCATGGTTCGGACTCCGTTTAGACAGCATACAGAATGCCCTTGGCTTTGACTAGCTAGTCGATGAGCTCCAAGCCGAGCATGTGGGCATGTCTGCAGCTAAACCAGTACGAATAGTCCAGGCTGACTATTTACGTACAAGACGTGTCGTTGGCCGAGTTACATGTCTTTGTGCTCCAAAAGGATCGAGGGCAGCGAAGTAGGGTGTGGAAGCAGATACCCGACTCGGTACTTCTGCTTGATAGAGTCTGTGACGATTGAGGCCAGGCAACGCCAGTATCTTAGTGTCCAAACACAAATTTGTAGCTAGCTATTAGGTCGAAGTGCGCCCCCATTCTCGACGTGATAGGCGGAAAAGAAATGTGCTCAAGTCGCATCAATTCCAGCTTGACCTTTTACCCAGGACCGGGGCAAGAGCTCTGAAAAATCACGAGGCCTTTGTAGGTTCATTGTACTGCGACTTCGTATACGGCCATGGTACAACCCCACACGCTCGGCCGACGCCACCATGTGGGATGAGGCTTCGGGAAGCGCGCTAATCAGACCCACCTGTTCACGGTGCCGGGGAAGAAGCTAGGCGCTAGACGTACCACGGATGCAGTTCAGCTCGGAAAGCCTCTGTCAGGATCTTGTCGGCTCCACGCCCCATTCATCCCCGAGCCTTCCTCAATGAGTCCAGCAGTGCCTTCACTCCCGTGTGCGTCTGCTTGCACTCACTGCGAGCCACCTCTCGAGCCTGAGGAGCATCACAACCATGTCGTACAATACCACATCACACCCACAACCCCGAGTAAACAACACGCATCATCAGCTTAGCTCCGGATAGCCTGTATTCAGTCGTCTAATCGTACGTAACGCGCCGTGCCGCCCCATTTTCCTCCCAACCGAAGCCTCTCCCGACCCGCCTAAATCCATAGCCGTCCCCGTCCAGACCCAGATCGTACCTCATCCGAATCATCCAACCCGAGCGTACTCCAATCCATTCCGTCAACAGGGTACTGAGAGATATGCCAGAAACAAAACGAAGGGGGAATCAAAAAGAAGCAATATTAGAACTACGGTATCCAATGCCAAAGTGCGCGCATCGCATGCGTCGCAAACGCCATGCCGAAAGCGGGAAAGTCGAAGACGCAGGCAGATAATGCATGTTTTGTCGCTAGTGGTTACGAAGTGTTGAAAATGGTCATGTTTTGTGACGGGATGATCCGTCAAGTGCGTGGGTTTGCCGATCGTGTGGCTGCTGTGAAAGGCATGTGTAGGCGGTAATAAGGGTCGAATGCCTGAAGTAACAGATCCATTGGCACGCGATTGGTTGAGAGAGCCAATGATCTCAGATCATAATCGTAGCGTAGGGGATGATCGAGTGAGGGTTGTGGGCGTGGACGGTTATCCACAAGCGAGAGAGTAGCAATCTGAGCGCTGGTGAGAGCGTCAGCGAATTGCTGCAGCGTCATTCCGAAAGGGCATGCTGCCTTGATCCTTCTGTGATAGTCTCCGTTCGGCAATATGACACAATTGAACAGGTGCATCCCCAAGCCGCTCTACTGCTGGGGATAGAAAGCAGCAGGCTGCATTTGTTGCGGGTAGTAGTACGCTCCATCTGGCCCAGGGGTCATCATACCACCCATGCCGGGCACTGCATAGCTGGGCTGCCCAAAGGTCTCGGCAGGTGGTGCGTAAGGAAGCTGGTTCGAGTCGACATAGTAGGTCATGCCGTTCTGCTCATACGCGACCATGTTGGGGGGGCCTGCAGCAGGTGGCGCAGGCGGCGCCACAGCAGGCGCCGGTGGCGGCATGGGGTAGGGTTGCTGTGCGCCGGGAACGAACATGGGTACCATGCCACCAGGGGCCATGAACTGTAGCTGAGAACCACTAGGCGGGTAGTAGTAGCCCCCTGGCACGAAGGGTTGCGGCTGGTATCCGGGCTGGAATGGCTGGAAGGCAGGTGCGTGGATGGCACGCTCTGGAATGTTGGACAGCGGGGTTCCGGTGGACACATGGCCAGGGTATGACGGCTGGCGAGCGTGCTGATAGAAGCCGGCTTGGTCGCCCGACGCAGCACCGTTGATGTGGGCGGGGACCTGCTGATGGAAAGGCTGCTGTTCTTGCTGCTGAGGAGGGTTGAAGTGCATCGAGGCAGGCGACTCGATGCCTGCGACATTGACGTTCTTCTGCGGGCGTGGCTGGTGCATGGGCAGCTGGCCCTGGGCCCAGTTCTCGCGGAAGGCAGGTTTCTGGGGCGGAGGGTACGACCCGTTGGTGGGCGAGATGATGGCAGGCCCGGTAGGCATCCTAACGCCGCCCGGAGGCAGGCGTACAACGGGGCGCGAGGGATCGATGAAGCTGCCGTTCCTGGACATGATGGAGCCGGCCGGCGACACCATGTTGTCGCGTGCAATAGAGGAGCGTCGACTAAGAGCCACGCTTGGCGAATATACGCTACCTCCGTAAACACTCGTCCGTCTGCTAGAGAAGCCGCCGCCGCCGCCGCCAATGGAGCCAAAGCGACCGCGGCCACGCCCGAAGCCCTGCTGGTTGGGGCGGAGGGCGCGGGGGATAAAGATGAAGGAGCGCTCGACGGTGGGGAAGATGTATCGCGGAGCGGACGGGGGCAGGGAGATGCGGACGGGCTTGTCGCGGCGCAGGGGAGGGCGGTGGTTCGGCAGGCGGGTATGTGACTTGATGGGGACGTTCTGGAAGGTGATGGGGCTCTTCATGTTGGGCAGGAGCACGCGGACGACGGCGTTGTGGGTGTGCACGGTGGTGGAGAAGTTGCGGGCCGGTGGGGGTTTCGAGGCAGGCGCGAAGGGCGCGCGGTGGGGTTGGTGCTGCGACGGGTGCGGCGGCTGCTGTGTGTGGAGAGCGGCAGCGGCGGGCGGAGCGGGCGCGGCGGGCTGGTGCGGGGCGTTGACGGCGTCATGCAGGTCGTGCTGCCAGGGCGAGTCGGTGGCCTCCTGGGGGTGGTGTCGCAGGCTGGGGGCGCGGTTAGCAAGCTGCATGTGCATGTGGGCGGCGGGCGGGCGGGGAGCGTACTTTGCGGGCGAGAAGGGCCCTCCGATGGCGCCGCGCCCCCTCCCGCGGGCGCCGACGGGCCTGAAGCCGTTCTGGCCCGGGGCCGAGCGCGAGTCGTGCATGAAGAAGGCGCCGCGGTTGGGGATGAAGGCCGGATCCGAGTCGCGCTTCTTCTTGTACTCGTCGTGCTCGCGCCGCCGGCGGTCGCCCAGCGTCTCCGGGCGGGCGACGGGCGGCGCAGGCTCGGCGGGGGCCGTCTCGAAGTCAAGCTCCTCCACACTCGCGGCGTCGGGCGCGGCATAGGCGGCGTCGGAGCGGGCCACGGGCGGCGAGCGCGCGCGGGCGCTGACGGGCGCGGCGGGCTTGGAGCGACGGGCACGGTGGGGCTTGCGGCGCGGCTGCCCCTCGGCGGGCGCGATGGCGCTGTCTGCGTCACTCAGGTCGCTGTTGTCGGCGTCGGCGTCGCCCTCGGCCAGGCTGGGCGCGGAGCCGTCGCTCTGCGAGTCGTCGGCGCCGTCTGTGGCGACCGACTTGGTCTCGTCCTCATCGTCCAGCCGGCGGCGGGCCATGTTGGTGGTTCTCTTGCGCGCGGGCGCCATGGTTGCGTGCGGCGGGCGTGGCGGGGCGCTGGCAGCGCGGTGTGTGGGGTGCGGCCGGCTGGTGAAGCTCGCAGGGCGGTGCGTTCGGCGGGGAGCGCTCGGCAGGATCAGGCCAAGCGGGCGGGCGAGCGGGCGGGGCAGATCCAGAGAGGCGCGGGCGGCGGGTGATGAGCGAGCGTGCGAGGGCGTGTCCAGGCTGCTGGTGCGGCGTGGAGCTGGACGTGAGGCCTGATGCCTTGGGGAAAATGTGACGGAACACGGTGCCAAGCCGACGCCTCGCTCCCGCGCTGTGCTGAGGACGCGAACCACATCCCGGCAGCCCAGCCGCGGCCGCCTCGACTACGCCGTTCGACCACGCCGCTCGACCGCCCCGTCCGACACACGCTGCACCGCAGTGCCCGCAGTGACCGCACACCGATGCCCCAGCCCTCTCGGCCGCCAGACGCAGCTGCAGCTGCCGTGCTTGGCGCTGGCACTGCTCTGCGCCTCTGCACCGCGTCGGCCCAACAATGCAGCCAAACATGCCCCTGTCTTGCTGACAGTTGCACAGGGCTGGCACCCCTGGTCACGTGCAGACCCTCTCTTGCGGGCGTGCGTCGTGCGTCACGCGGCATGCGTCATGACCTAGGTCTGCGCTCTGCACCTTCGGCATCTGCATCTGCACTTCTGCACGTCTGCGCATCTGACGTCCCCACATATCATTGGTGCTGAGGTGACGTGGAAATATGTAGATTATAGTATTTAACTATGCGTCTCAGACAAGTTTGTCTGGAGCTGCCCATGCTCCTCCCTTCCTTCTCGGTGTATCACGCTCTGCTCCTCCGCGTAAATGCTGAATGGAAACGCCGCAAATGCATCAGTCCCGTCCGTCCCAGACACGCCGTCCGCCGTAATGCATACATGTACGTAACATGGCCAAAGCCAAATGGGGTATAATACAGCCTCTGCTGAAAATCAAACACCGCGCCTATGCGACCCACCCATGCTAGTCGATTCCTCGTGCACATCTACATGTTGACATCATGGATGTATGTGCAGTTCTCTCCCTTATTGCAAGCCCCCTTCTGGAAAAACTTGCATGCAAGCACTTTGTGAGGCTTCCCTCCAACCTTGTGCTTCTTGCCTTGCCCGCCGCGCTCACTGTTGACTCCTTCCTCGCGCGCTCGCTTCGTTCCACCGTTACTTTGCTGGTAGTCTTGCGGATAGTATTGGTCCTGTGCTTGTGTTTGTGCCTGATATGCAGTCGCCTCCGCCTGGGGAGCCTGCGGCGGGAATGCAAAAGGCGCCCCAGGAAATCCCATGGGAGGAAATCCAGGCGGCATTGGTGGCATTGCACCAGCGCCCGCCTGCCCCTGCATGGCCGCCATGAAGGCCGCCAACTCGGCTGGGGGTGCGCCGGGCGGTGGAGGAGGGACTCCAGCTGGAAGCGCTGGGAACTGCGCGGGCACTGCTGCTGCAGGTGGAGCAGGCATAGCAGGAGGTTGATGTTGTTGGAGAGAAGCAAGCAGACTCGCAAGATCCACAGCTGGAGCAGCAGTTGGTGCTGGTGGTAGGTATGCCGCCGGCACCACTGCAGGTGCAGGTGCAGCAGGTTGATTTTGGTTGGCGAATTGAGCAACGATACTTTCGAGGCTGCTGAAGTCGAGCGTGGGTGTCGTTGCAGGTGCTGCAGCCTTCGGGGCTCGCTCCAGACACTTGTCGGGGGGACTACCAAACATTGTTACCGCTGTTGTCTCATCCTCGGACTGTTCCGGAGGCTCATGCGGTGATGGCGGGATATCAGCAGGACTTGTGTAGAATACCATGAGTATGTCGTTCTCGCGTCGCACATTCGCCTCTTTCTCGGGGCAACTCGGCACCTTCTCACCTCCACCATATGGCACGTAATTGCGATTACGCTCATCAGCATCGATCACACTGAAGTCAACCTGAGACGGCTCCGACCAAGGTCGATACTCGGTTTCATCGTCTTCATCGTCGTCATCCTCTTCGAGCTCCTTGTGCTGTTTGAACATATGGCCTTCACCTCCAAGATCGCCAGCGTCGCGAGTAAAGTTTTCCTCGTGACCCAGCTCTTCCTCGGGATCGTGACTGAAATACTTGATCGCGACCAGCGAAGCATCCGGGCGGAATGTAACACGCAAATGGCGCCGAGACTCCTTCCTGACACGTTTTGCTTTCTGCGCAGGTGTTTCGTTCGGATCGTCTTTTTCTGTCCTGGTAGGTGCTGCCTCTGGCTCTTTGGGTTTCGTAAGTGCCGCCATCGTTGATGCAAATGAGAAGCCCGACGGTTTAGCTGCTGCCGCAACCGGCTTCTTATCTTTGCCTGCTGTTGCCGTGGCTTTAGACTGTGCAGTCGGCCTCATGGCCATTTGAGCAGTGGCCGTTGTCGTCGGCTTCTTAGCGGCAGCAGTGAGGGAGGCAAATATGCTCGACGACTTGTTCGCGGCCGGATTGACACGGGCCCTGACAGGCGCGGGCGCACCTATAGGTTTCTCCCCGGGTCGCTTCAGCGCAGAAGTATTCGAAGACATCGCAGCGAGTTTTGTGGCTCCTGCGCTAGTGTCTTTCCTGGCCAACGGAGCAGAGGGCTCAACCGGCTTGGGTTTCTTGACAGAAGGACCTTCACCTGTGGCGGCCGTGGCTGCCTCTGCTGCAGGCCGCTTTGCAGCCTTAGCCTCATGTGTCTCAGCTGCAGGTGGAGAGTTTACTTTGGCCTTCTTGGACCCCGCCGCGGCGGCTTCAACAATTTGTTGTATGAAAGCTTTGTTCTTGTCATTTGCCTGCTTTTTCATGGAAACCAAGGCTTTGGACACTTTAGTCTCTTCGATGAGCTCCGTTGTAAGGGTACCACACCGCGCCAGGACCTCATAGATGGCCGCAGGGAGTGGCCCGTCATAATCCTTAGCCTTGAAACGGTTCGCCAAGAACTGATAGCAGAGATACAAGAATGGCTTCACCTGACCCAAATGATACAGAACATCGGGATGTGCATGATCAAGCGCAGCCTTCAGAGCAGTCTGCAGCAAGTCTCGTTGACTTGTGACACGACTTTTCAATGTGGGTAGCTCGCCCATCTTCTTCGCCTCCTCCGCTTCAGCAACTGCCTTACTATCAGTCCGCCAGCGTTTCTGTATAGTATTCAGCACATCCCATAGATCGCGCATGCTAGACTTGATCTTTTCTGAATTCAAGGCAGACCTGCGCGGGAACCAAGATGCCTTGATGACATCGTAGCAGACGGCCTTGTGGGGGTCATCATCAGGCCTTGAGACTGGCAGCGGTGATTCTTCTTCGTCTTCAGAATCGCTATATTCACTGTCGTCATCCGAGGACTCGGTGTAACTCTCGCTGTCACTGACATCCCGCTTCAGGCTTCCGGTACCGCTAGCACTGGTTTTGCTGAACCTGATCGCTCTTGAGAGCGACGACTTTGAAGAAGACAGCTTAGCAAGAAGCTTCTTGTTGTCAGCTCCGATCTTTTTCAGCTCCTTAATAGACTGTCGTGCTGTGTACAGTGGTAGTGCAGCTATACTAGCGTTAGGTCGGCCAATGTGAGGTTGGAATCGTGTTTGCTTACTTCTATTTGTAGCTAGCTGGATGGGTTCTGTGCCAAGCGTCACGAGTTTGTTGAGAGCGATTGAGTTCGTGGCCTTTGCGAGTGCGAGTGTGTCGATGACGTAGAGCCCGCCTGACTTTTTGCCTTTGGGAATCTCATATGCTGGGTTCCGGACTGGCCTCGCAGAAGCTGAGGGCATGGCTTGTTGGGCGAATTGCTCGGCGGTACTCTTCGGCACCTGCAAGTATGTTAGCTGTTGGTTTGCGCATGGCCAGTCACTGAAACCTACTTGGAAAGGGGACGCTGAAGCACGTGCATTTTGAAGTGTCGTCGTGTTCTGCTGGAGTGCTTGTGGGGTCACGGTACCAGCCTGAGTCGAAGGTGTAACGTTCCGTACGGGCATCTGGTACGGAGACTGTTGTTGTTGTTGCTGCTGCTGCTGCTGCTGCTGCTGTTGCTGTTGTAAACCGTTTGGGTTGAGTGCCAGAGCCGGATCCACAGCAGGGGCATGACTGAAGGTGCCTGCTGGACTGTGTTGGTTGAACTGGCCATACTGATATGGCGATGCAGTTCGGAAGGCTTGTGGCTGCCCTCCGTATGGCTGCGGGCTGAAGGCTTGCTGGGGATATGAGCCGTGCCAAGCTTGGGTGGTTGTGCCTGATGTCAGGGCGGCATTCTGATGCAGCTGTGCTTCCCAAGACGGGGTGCCATAGCGCTCGACATTATTGGGGAAGAAGTTGGGATAGGACGGGTCCGTATAGATGTTCTGACCCTGCAGAGGCACTTGGTCACTGGGCACGTGATTGGAGGCCATGGCTTGAATGATCGACTTGGGTCAGCTTGCGCTGGACGATTCTGATTGGCTGAAAGGGCGGGTGGGCCCACACGTCTCAGCAGGGGAGGAGATTTATGTAGTGCGCTAGGCACGAACAAGAATGGCGGGTGTCACGAAAAGTGAACAAGGCCGTCGAGTCAGGAAAATCGGAAGCCTGAAATGGCCGGTAATACTGCCGGTTTGGGCTGTAGTGGTGTCGTGGTGAGTCCTGGTGCGCAGTGGCCAGGGCGCTGGAGTGCCTCTTTGCGCAGGCTGCGACAGCGAGAAGGATGCTGGGTCAACCGCGCAGCGCTCGTGTCCCGTCGCCCGCGATGCTGTTACGCTCAAGTCCACGAATGTGAGGGTTTGACTTTATCAGGACGGCACTTGGCGTCGCCAATTATTGCGATGAACGCTGCGGAGGCTGTCACTTGACGTACGGTTGCGCACGCAATTGCACAACACACGCGCGGCGTTTCGCTCACAAGGTCGCCGCGAGAAGCGTTTGCAGGAGCGGCTTTGCCCTGCACAATGCCTGGCCTAACTTTCCTGATGCGACACTCGATGTCGGCGCGGTGCTGAATTAGTAGCAGAAAGCAGGCTGATTGTCACTCTGCCTCGCACGCGAATCCTCCAGACAAACGCCGCTGCCAACCTGAGTGCACACTTCCTCCAGAGCGGGGACTCGAAAAGTGAATCTAGCTCAGAATCAGAAGCCCTTATTAGGTGGGCGGGAGTTCACTGAGAAGTTGCATGAGTTTAGACAGAAGAAGGGGGGTGTTGGGGGTGGGTGAGTTGAGGAGGAACGGCGGGTGCGCAGGGGCGAGTCGACGTTTTACGCAGACGGACAGCCGCCAAGGCCGGGCCGCGCTAGGTCGCGCGGGGGTAAGTGCAGCATCGCCGGCGCATGGTGAAGGTGTCCGACAGGCAGACGAGCGACGGTGTCATTTTGCTGCAGCGCTGCGGGCCTCACTGCGACCTGCGTCTGACCCCGAACCTGCCCTCGGCGCATGCGATAGTGCTCAGAACGGCGCCAGCCAGCCAGCGCCGACCTCACAATGGCTGTCTCACTGCGGGACAGGCAAATAGGTACGCTCCTCGACCCGACGCCGCCCCGGCGCTGACACGGACGACAGCCAGCATCAAGCGCATCCTGAACCTCAACGCCCCCGTGACCGACGTCGACGCTCAGAGCGACGCCGACGACGCGCCCGACGCCGCCTCGGCCGGCGCAACATGGAAGGTGTTAGTCTTCGACGAGATGGGGCGGGACGTCATCAGCTCCGTCCTGCGTGTGAACGACCTGAGGGCGTCTGGAGTATGCGCGCGCCCCCGAGCTGCCCCGAGCCAAGCTGAGCCGCCGCCAGGTCACCATTCATCTGAATCTCGCAACCACACGGCACATGATTCCTGATGTACGCCCCCGGCCTCGCCCGCCCGCAGCATGCTGACGCCCGCAGGTCCCCGTCATCTACCTCGTCGAGCCCACGGCCCAGAATCTGCAGACGGTCACGTCCGACCTGGCGCGCGGCCTCTACAGCCCCGCCTACCTGAACTTCCTCTCCAGCATCCCGCGGCCCCTCCTCGAGGACTTCGGCGCCCAGGTCGTGCAGACGAACACGGCCGAGCATCTGGCCCAGGTCTACGACCAATACCTGAACTTTGTCGTCTCCGAGCCCGACCTGTTCCATCTGAACATGAAGGGCGCGTACCACACCCTGAACAGCGGCCAGACCTCCGACCAGGAGCTCGACAACGTCGTCGACCGCATCGTGTCTGGCCTCTTTTCCGTCGTCGTCACCATGGGCGTTGTGCCCATCATCCGTTGTCCCAAGGGCGGCGCCGCAGAGGACATCTGCGCCAAGCTTGACCGGAAGCTGCGAGACCACATCCTCAACTCCAAGACCAACCTGTTCTCCGACAACAAGTCCTCGACTGTATCGTCTCGGCCGGTCATGGTCATTGGTGAGTGTGGAATCTCCCCCACGCACGGTCGCGCATACTGACTGATCAACAGTCGACCGCAACGTTGATTTGGTGCCCATGTTCAGTCACTCGTGGATTGTAAGTCGTTGAGCGACATCAGCCCTCAAGCAGAGACTGACGTACTCCCAGTACCAAAGCTTGGTCTACGATGTACTAGACTTCCACTTAAACAAGATCAGCATTTCGATTCCCGTCGACAAGGACCATCCCGAAAAAGGTGTCAAGAAGCAGTCTCATGACCTCACAGCATCCGACTTTTTCTGGGCAAGAAATGCATCGCTGCCATTCCCCAACGTAGCCGAGGACGTGACCAACGAATGGAACAAATATCAGCAGGATGCAGACAACGTCACAAAGAAGACCGGTGCCTCCTCTCTTGACGATCTGAGCGGAGAAACGAATCAGTTCGCCGCGCATTTGAAGGGTGCTATGGCGCTACTCCCCGAGCTGAGAGACAGGAAGACTACGATAGAGATGCATATGAACATCCTCGAAGCGGTCATGGAGGGCATCAAGAATCGAAAGATGGACTTCTACTTCCAGCTGGAAGAAGAGCTGTCGAAACAAACAAAGGCACAGATCCTCGACGTCATTAAAGATAACGACAAGGGCAACGAGCCACTCGACAAGCTCCGGCTGTTTTTGCAGTGGTATCTCACTACAGAGACCGAGCTCTCTCGCGGCGACTTTGACTCCTTCACGCAAGCCCTCGAGGCCGCAGGTGCCGATACCACACCTGTCAAATACGTCAAGACCGTTCGCCAACTCACTCGCATGACAATGATCACATCCGCCCCCGCGCAGCCCGCGCAAAGCACGTCCCACCTATTCGGCGGCTTCTCATCACTCTCATCGCGCGTCACAGACAAGTTCAAGGAAGCAGGCCTTGGTGCAAATTTTGAAGGTGTCTTGAGCGGTATCAAGAACTTCTTGCCCACCAACACCGACCTTACACTCACCAAGATCACGGAATCGCTCATGGACCCACAGAACGCCTCTTCCTCTGCCATCAGCAAGACCGAATCGTACCTCTACTTCGATCCGCGCTCCGCCAATGCCCGTGGCACGCTGCCTCCCGCGAGCGCATCTCGCAACCAGCAGAACACTGTCGGCCGTGGCATTGAAGCAACGTTTGGGCAGCGCAGGCAGGGATTTAGCGAGGCAATCGTATTCACGGTTGGTGGTGGCAGTATGGACGAGTACGGGAATCTGCAGGAGTGGGCCAAGCGGACGAGCGCAAGTACACAGGGGCCGGGCCAGAAGAGGAGGATCGTGTATGGCAGCACGGCATTGTACAGCGCGACAGAATTCGTGACCAAAGACCTTGCCAAATTAGGGACGGAAAGCTCGTAGAGTCTCAGCTGTCCATAGAGCCTCAGCGTTTAAGACGCCCAAACGCAGGCCAAGTAATGAAACAATCGCAGTATCAAAGCTCACAGAGTGATTGACGCTGAAAGGCTCACGTTACACTTCACCCCTCGCAATCCCGCCGTTGCTGACTCTCGCGTTTCCTACCTGTACCGCGAAAAGCAAATGCAGTGCGTACTGTACCACCTCAACGCACGCCCACATAGGAAGTGCTAGCCACCCCTAAATCTCCACCGACCCGTTCCAGCATAACAGATTGACAGGCCCGAAACACGCAAAACCACGCTTCCCGAGGCCCCTGCCACATGGTTTGACACTGGTCCAAAAAGCAATTCTCACGTCCACCCAGACCTGAGTAACGATTGCGCCTTCGACCTGAGCCACATGGCGCGGCCTCGCACAACGAGACCCGGGTTCGGGAGATGCAACGTCGAAGCCAAAAGCATGGAAAAGAAGGATCTGAAACGGCACCACGTTGTTGAGCGAGCACGGTCGCGGTGAGGTGAGATCTTGTGCTGTGACTTCAGCAGGCGGCGTGGTTGAGCAGAGGCGCGATTACCGTGGCGTAGCGTGGTGTGGAATAGCGTTTCCGTGGCAGGGTCATGGGTCTACTGCTGACTTGCAGCTGGGTTGTGCAAGTGCCTTCGGCAGTGCTGTGGCTCCGGCTTGGATGCTTGAACGGGCACTTGAGCCTGTGGCACGGCGACTCAAGGCCCGATTGAGCGCTGTGGTAGGAACGTCACTTGTAGAGCATGGGCGTACGGTAATAACGGCCAAGACGAACATTGAACAATTTGGCTATGTACACTCTGCTATCGTGACAAATTTGAGGATACCAATATCTTGTCTGCTTCTAGAAATGAACAAACACCACGCTTGGTTGCCTATTGAGATCCCATCTGCACACACGGCCCGTAAACCCGGTGACACCTCGTCTCTCCGCTCCTCGCCAACGCGGCATTGAAGTTGCCGTCTCCGAACACGACTCCTTTGCTCTGCAATGTCCAATTTACGCTCTGCTTTGGACTTCCAGTAAATGGGTTCATGCTCGTCAACACCCAAGCTCGCGACAGGCCTTCGTATTCGGCAGGCTTGACCGCGTCTGGAACGGCAACAAGCAGTGTTTTACTGTGCGCGAATGGCGCAAAGACGATCGCCATACCGCCATAGGATGGGTCGACGGCTAGATACGATGGCGCCGGTGCGGAGACGATGAGTGGGCCATGGGTACATTCCGTCGCGCCGCTCGCCCACGATATGCCGGATACGAGGATGCCTGATATGCAAGCCAAGAGCGAGGAGAGCGCAGATTGGCCTTCGGGAAGAAGGATGTAGTTTTGAATGATCAGATTGGGGTTGAGAAGCATGTCGATTGTATTGGGATCGAGCGTTGATATGTGGGAAAAGTTAGAGCTGGCGGTCAGCTCGAGTAGCCATTGCGGGCCGCAGTCGAAGATGCAAGCGAGTATTTGGATGAAGACGTTGCGCATAGAAGCGCTCCGAGGATGGTCGGGAGTTTGCCAGAAGTCCCACATGCCTGGACCACGGATGTGAAATTGAATGCAGAGTTGAACGAAGACTTGCGCTCGTGCAACATGTGTTGGAAACAATGGATTTGGGTTGGAACGATGTGGTAGATCTAAAAAGACAAGATCGAGCTCAGCGTACTCGGCTCTGCCGTCAGAAGACTGCCGTATCGGATTCGAACTTCGAGGGAATCGTCGAGGTATCGAGCGGGTGAAATGCGTGTCTAGTGATGTAGGCCTCGATAGCCATGACACCGAGCCATCGTGTAGTTGCAGTGGTGTGCCAGTCGTGCACAGACAGACAGGGTCTCGAGCAGCCAGTCCAACGAGGAGTAGCGAGCGGAGACACTCGTCCTCGATATTCGGCCGTTGGTATGGGTTGGCTGGTGCCAGAGTGATCGGAAGCTTGCCCGCGCTCAGAGCGATGCATGTTTTGTCTCGATTGGCATCGAGCCTTCTCAGATACTCTGGTAACTGCGGATTGCCGCCAGCTTTCATCTGAAAAACCTCTACGATGGTCGGCACGAGTTGGGAAGGTTCTGCTGTTGGCGACTGTGGAGTATCAGGCCTTCGCACAGCAAGATCCTTCGCTTGTATGCTGGTGTGTCCGATAAGGGCGTCCTGCAACCTCCGCATCTTCGTTTGTTGTGTAGTCGTGAATGTAGGTAGCTCACTCGCGAGGACCAGCATATGAAGAAGGAATGGTGTCGCAAATCGCATCACTGTCTGCACCTCACTTGCGTACTGAGAGGAACAGCGCAAGAGAAACACATGCTGCTGGCCCAGCCTCATCTCATATGCGCACCAGGCCCGCTCGAACCATTCTGAACCAAGGACACGCTCAACAAAGGAGACGAACACAGGATAGTGGTACATGAAAGGTGGGTTCTGGCGCACATTGGGCTGATGGCCGGCAGGCAGGTCGCAGTAGCTGTACTGCTCCAGGTAATATCGTAAGAATTGTTCTTCTGCTGGCGAAGCCACGATGTCGTCCAAGGCCACAACAACGACTCTCGCGTTGCTGTAGATCCTATCGATAGCACCAATAGTGGCGGCCCTCTCTGCGTCATCATCCCGGTTGATGCAGACCTGGTCGAACCACAGCCCTTCGCTCGGGTTCTTCTCCTTTAGCACGGCTTGGAATAGGGCGCCACTGGTCGGCAATGGGAAATGTTCGATTTCCCTACTCCATGCGAATGGTAGTTCTTCGACAACTTTCCTCGGGGTGTCTCGATTGATTCCCTTCCAGCAGTAACTGATAGCTACATATCCATTCTCTTCGCCGTGGTAGTCGACGTCATTGATCAATCGGAAGATAAAACTGGCCTCGGTATGTGCCTTGGGCATGAAGTCTTTAGCCGCCGATGGGGCCAGCTGACCGAGGTCCGCCAGCAGCATGTCTGCATCGATCTCGTCTCTTGTTGCTGCGGCCCATGGTCTCCGTCTCGAGAGCAGGTACTGTCGTGTGGGTGGTTGAATGAGCTTTGCTTGCAAGCTTGAGGTGTCCAGTTCTTCCTGGTCAAGCTCCAGGAATGAAAGGTGGCCGAGCCGAGGTAAGTATGTTGTAGGGTAATTCATGTGGAAAGCATTCGACAACAGTCGCAGCGTCAAGTGTCTGGAATACTCTCCACCGAGGCAAGCATAGCTTTTGAAATGCTGCTCGTTGCACCCCTGCCCCTCACCACCGCCCAGCAGTTGGCCGTATGCGCCTGCAGCTACATTGCGGGCATCATCCAGGTCCTCTCGGATGCCTAAGCCTGGTCCGTTCACACATACGGTGCCCAGACATGCTGCATGATGAATGTTTGCAGACAGCCACAAACGGGCCCCTCACGCATTGTCTGTGCGGGGACGCAGTGTGAGCTGCGCTTGAGGCGTAGAGCGGGAAGAACGATGTGAGGGGGGTAGATGTGGAAGCTCAGCGAGCCGGGATCTTGGGACCGCGCCCAGATCGCGGGCGTCTTTACGACATCGACTCGGGTTGATTGAAGGACGTTGGCCGATTAGCGGCTGGAATTGCCGTTGGCACGATGCAAAAAGAAATTGGAGTGAAACATGCACCTTCTTTTGCAGGGCTGAGGCACGCTAGAATTTCTCGAAGACAAAAGTAATTCTTGTCTGCACCTACCCTTTCATTTCGCGTCAACGCCAGTGACCTGAGAATGGAAAGATGGTTGGAACAAGCCAACTGTCAGAACTGCCTAGAGCTGTCGCGTTGTGTCAGCTGCGAAAGATGAACGTTGAGCCCTGAATCGTAATGCGTTTGAGGCAGATCCCGCCCGGCTCTGGAGATCAATGTATATTTAGCCCCACACCCCAGCAAGAGCACTGCAACCTCAAGAAGACAAGAGTTTCATGAGCTCAAACATGGATTCCAAACCCCGTGCTAAGTCAAGTATACACTGCCGTGTCTGCCAAACTATGCAGGTTTCGTAACGACCGGAAATGCTACTAGATAAAGCGTGTTCGCCCTTGAAGACCGCAACAGACTGACAAATCCCCATACAACGACTTTAGTCAATCTTGGCGTTTGCGAGCTTGTCGCCCGGGCCAGTGAGGACGTTGGACATTCTCAGATTCTGTCGCTTGTATTTGCTGTGCTTTCGCAGGCGTTTCCTAGCAACCATAACCGGTACCGAAGACTTCGTCACAAGGTAGTTGCTGAATGAGCCAAGCAATACACTGCCACAGTCAATTCATGCGTTCAATGATGGAGCTGCTTACTTACCCTTTGAGGGCGTTGCGTCCTCTAGACCCGAGGATGACGAGAGTTGGCTCCAACATATCAATCTGTCAAACATCTGTCAGCAAGCAGTCGAAGTGTCAGAGAGGTTTGAGGCGGCTTACGACTTCCGTGATCATGTGCTTCGGGCTCTTGCAGTGGAATACCTCGACCACAACACGGGCCTGGAGTCGAGTCTTTCTCAGCAATTTGACACACCGGTCCGATACTTCTACGCAAGCCTGGTAGCGATCCTTTTCTGCTTTGCCCATCTTACTGACATCAGCCTCAGCAGCTGCGATAGTGCTTGACAAGGGAGTATTATGGGATATGCCATCGTGGCCGGACAGGGTCCTTTTGAGATGAGCTCCCTCCTGCAATCCAGTTGTACCCTGAGCGACTGGTGCGCCTAGGGCATCGGTAGCCACACCAACTTCTTCGTCAACAGCATACACGGCTAAAAGGGTATCCCCATCGCGTAGGACGGTACCGATCGTCCATTCCAAGGCGTATGCTGCTTCATCACTCAGATCGGTTGATACAAGATATACACGCTGTCGCCTCAAGCCAGTATCTGCTTCTTGTGCAAATTGCGTGTAGTCTCCGCGAACGATTTGGCGAACACACCGGTGAGCCTCGGGACTTGACTGAATGGGTGTGATTTGCAGAGCCAGCTGCTGGGCCGACCGAAGTTCAGCCATGTGATCTTCGGCATCAGAGCTCATTGGTGAGGGCATCCTAGAATTGTCCTGGTCAAAGCTAGTATGTGGATGCACGTCCGTAGACTTGCGCCGGACCATGGCCTTCTCGCCGTCAGGTCCCTCAATGTTGATGATTGGTCCGTTCAGCTTGCGCAGCTTTTCTTGCCGCTCCTCACGGGTCATGAAAGAAGCTTGAAGGTCTCGTCCTGTTTGACATTAGCATCTCTACAGCAAAAGACATGGATGCAGGGCACCCTACCTTCCTCCTTGGCCGTTTTGAATAGACTTTGCGCAGTGACAATTTCTCTGCCCAAGCGATCTGTACCACCAGACTCTGTTCTCGACCTCCTTCGACCTCTGCTCTTGTTGCCCGAGGAGCCCGTGGCCCAGCCATCATCCCAGTCCCCGCTGGAGCTGGAGTTGTTATCGTCACTTTCTACCGCAGCGCTGTCTTCGCCTTCGCCTTCGTCACCGTCATCGTCGGTGGTCAGCCGGACGCCGCCGCCGGGCGCGGACGTCGTGCCCTTGGTGGGATCTGAAGCCTTCCGTCGAGGGGGTGCTGTGTATTCGCTCTCAGAGTCGGTCATTGCGGAATCGGACATTTTGCGCATTGCCTCGGAGGTCGACATGGCTGGACCCCGCGACCGCGGCGATGCAGAGCGGCCTGGCCCTGGCGACCCCGACTTGGATCTGTTGTAGGCGCCGCTCATGGAATTGTGTCGGTCGCGAGGGCTGCCGGAGCCCAGAAAGCCGGCCGAGTTGCCGTAGACCGAGGACATGGCTCGAGGCTTGGGGCCGCTCTGCGCGACGCTTGCGATCGAATTGAACTTGTACGGGGTGGCATCGGACATTCTGCTGCCGCGGGGCGATGACGGCGCGCTCTTCGGCATGGCGAACGGTATCCCCGTGCTTCCGCGACTGACACTGCGGACCCGGTCGTCATCAGTGTTCAAGTGGCGCGGTGTAGGGCTCATATGGCGGCCGCCGGGCAGAGGGCTCTCGGCGCGCCGGCCTGCACTGTTCTTGCGGGCATCTCGATGCTCCTTCATCTCCTGGTCAATCGCAGCCGTCAGCGACGACATGGCGGCGGTGTTGCGAGGGCGTTGGTCGAGGGTTGGGCGGGCTCCGGTGCCAACTGGCGGTGTACGTGCGCGAACCCGGTGGAGCAGAAGCGCGGCGCGTCTGTGGGGTACAGTGACGCGAGGGGGATATCACAATTGGGCGGGTCGCAGCAGCGTCACGGAGGTGGCAGTCAGGGCCTGAAGCTCGCATGCACCCCTCACGCTGGCCGGCGGGTCTGGGGCTCGTTGCGGGGAGCGCGCGCGATGAATGGCTGGAGATCAATGCGGTAGGTGGGGTCAGTGCAAGTCCAAAGACCGACGCTGCGCTGATGTGATGGCGGGCCGGACCGTGTCCAATTGTCAGCTCTAGCCGCTGTCTGACAAGAAACGGTTCCCAAGAAGAGCGAGGGAGGCAGACGACATGAAGATGAGAAGAAGAATAGCCGGGAGACCAAGGGAACTTCAGGAACCGTAAGCGCGACACGATGTCTCGTGGGTACGTCTGGGTTTGGTCTGAGACCCCTCATGCCAAGACAGCCTGGCGTGGCATGACGTTCGTTCGCAGCCTGCACGCGCTGGAAGTAAAGTTTGGAAGGCACTCGCTCTACACGTGCCGTCGGCCGTCGTGTGGATCAGCCCTCACGCAGCGCGCCTGCATAAACGTCGGCATCGCCCTTGGCCACCGTGTGCTCTCGGGGTAGAGAATGGGTTCAAGAAGCCAAACTCGGAACCTTGGAAGTGGGAACTGGCATATGCAGGTGCGAGCTAGTCCGCGACTCCGCGCGCGGCTGATGGTGTGGCTGAGCATGTGGAGCTCCATATTTGTGAATCGCGCATTTCGGACCCCGCGGCACAACTTTTGAGCGATGCCAGCACGTCTATCACGATGGACGAGCACGGCATCTAGCAACGAAGATCCTGTATCCTGCAGAATTTCATTTGGGCGGCATTCGTTCCTTGTTTCCTTGTTACATTATGGTACACCTTCCAGTGCTAGTCTTCCAGCCGAACCACAGCAAAACCAGAACTATCTCCTCCTGGGCAGCACAATGTTGGCACGGGCAGCGACACCCAGCTTGTGAACCGCATTGCGCCTGTCCCAGATACCACTCTTGCCCTCGATAACAGAAATCATCTCCATGGCGACACGCTGTCCCAAGCTATCTTTGCCACTTCCCACATTCCTCTTCTTGGATGCAGATGTCAAGATCCACTGAATCGCTGTCCTTCTCCGCTGCCTCTGGCTGAGAGGCGTCGGGATCTGCAGCGCCACACCACCACCAGCAGCACCCTTTTGCGCGCGAAGTCGAAGGAGCGGGGCGACAGAGTCAATAGCAAGTGTAAGGTAAAGAACGGGGTTCAAAGGAAGGTGCGATGGCGGTGGTGCACCTGGGAGCAGAGGGCGCGCTGGGTTGATAGTTGGAATGGGTGAAGTGCGGAGGTACTGGAGGACTACTGCCATTTGCTGCCGCGGACTGTTAGCGCTGTAGACTTGGATATTGCGCGGAGAAAGCAACATACACGTTGGGCAACGCCCTTCTTGCCGTGCCGCATAAGAAGATTGGTGACTTGCTCAACAACGGGGTCATACCGGTGCTTGACGTGACCGTCTTTGGGCAGGGGCAGAGTCGGCGCCTTAAATTTGAGCCCAGGAGTCGCCGGCAGGTTGGAGGCAGCCTGCAATTCGACTAGACCCGGGGCCACTGCCTCTTCCGAGCGTGTAGTCATGGTGGAGTAGGAGCGCGAGCCCTTGGGGGCCGGCGTCTTGGTACCCTGCTTGAGAGCGTCCTGCATGACCTTTGGGAGGTTTTTTCTGCGCTTCCTTGTCGCCCTTGACGATCTAACACCCGTTAGCCGGTGTTCATCGCACTCGTTACATATGGGCCCCACGTCTTCAACCGGTGTGCCCTGGTTGACATCTGGACCTGGCTTGCCCATAATCTCTGCAGTCTTTGCAGCCTCCTCCGAGACATGTTCAATGGGCTCCGAGCTGGGCTTGTGGGACCGGTCTTGCGCAGGAGCGTCGTCGGCATATGTGCGGCTCTGCGAGGGCGTCGCTCGCAACGCGGAGCGAGCAGGCCATTGGACCTGGGGCCTCGGCCTGAAGGCAATTGAGCGTGTGAATGCGCTGACGTTCAGTCGTGGAGGCATGGCGGCGGTGTTGTGTGTCGGGTCGCCGTCTTCCAAAGTGACGAGATGTCAAATCTGGTAACCTCCGTTTCGCGGAGCTAAGTCACGTGCACACGTCACTTCCTGAACACGTCCAAACGCCACTGGCACCCATGCCAATGTCGCATGCGGATGTGTGCTGCTTTGTTTCTGTGAAATGACATGTTAACTGCTTCAAACTCGTATGCATGCTTGCTTCTGGAGGCTTGCAATGGGATCTGCACCCAAGCGCTGCCAACCACACCCCAATCGCAGCTGCAGATGCAATCCAGCCAAAAGGATGTGCTCAAACATCGCTTATGTGTGGCGAACACCATGGAAATGACCCAGTTCTACAAACACGTGCGACTGGAGACATCTGTAGCAGGCAGCATAGACCTAGAGAATTGCGCATCCTTCTAATCCAGTCCCAGCCGGGCTAACATCACACACGACGTACGAAGTATATCTCCGGTGAGCAATTGAGCAGCACCTTATTCACGCAAGCATGCAGATATTTGCTTGCTGCATGTCTCATAGGTCAAACGAGCTGCAGCTCTACGCAGAGGATCGGCTGATAGGTGCGCTGGCGTGCCACACGCCTGTCAGCCGCCGAACAATTCGGCTGTGTGCAAGCCTGATGTCAATCGGCTCTTCGAACAAATACACATTGGTCTACTCTCGCCCCACTCACACTGTAAGAGCGCGACCCCCTGTTAAAACGTGAGCACGCGTCAGCGCACGGCGCCTCCATGTGGAGGCTAAAAGCCCCGCCCCTCCCGACCGCCTCCCGTCTTTATCTCATCTCGACTGACACTGAATCTTCGAATCTGTTTGATCTAGCGTGCACGGATTTACTTCTCCCAGTCGTGTTGTGAGGTGGCGGCACAGCTTCAGCCTTCTGTGTAGGCTGTTGCTCAGCAGGTGAGGCTACATTATTTCTCGGTACTTTTCATGCGCATTATGTTTACCGAACCCCCCATATCCGACGATTATAGACCAGCCAGTCGAGCTCACCACAAAGACTGTCTAAATCTTTGGCCTTGATCGGTCGTTCGCGAGATGATTTGCACACAAACAGTCTTTCCCGATTAACAAACAATAACTTGTCTATCCAATCCAGACTAAGACAAACTACTGCTCAATTCAAGCTCGTCACTCCAGCTAGAAGATCTTTTAACACCGGCCCGGTGATCGGTTTCAGCAAGTATGGCTGATCGCGGCGGACGAGGCCGCGGTAGTGATCGTGGGCGGGGAGACTTCCGTGGACGCGGACGAGGTGACGGTGGTGGTGGCCGGGGAAGAGGAGGTACTGAAGGCGGTGGTCGAGGAAGAGGAGGGTTTGAGGGTGGAGAACGAGGACGAGGCGGCGGTGGTGACTTTCGCGGCGATCGTGGCGGCGGTGGCTTTCGCGGAGATCGAGGTGGAGGCGGCTTCCGTGGAGATCGCGGTGGAGGTGGCTTCCGTGGAGATCGAGGCGGAGGTGGTTTTCGTGGCGATCGAGGTGGAGGTGGTTTTCGTGGCGATCGAGGTGGAGGCTTTCGCGGCGGACGCGGTGGTGCTGCAGAAGGACCTAGAGTGTTTGGGTAAGTACCAACAGCGCGTCAGCAACTGGAAATTGTACTTACCAGACTCATAGAAGTGGGAATATCCCTAAACCAAATGCCGAGGTCATGAAGCTTGAGGATGCTATGGTCAAGGCTGATCTGGCCAAGGCTATGGCATCCGCTTCACTGGGAGTGGTACTTCCGGTACGCCCTGCATACGGGAAGCTGGGCAGATCCATTGTCTTGTATACGAACTACTTCGAGTTGAAGGGCATCCATCCGAACCTGGATCTCTACCGATACTCGGTGTCATTCCAACCCGACGGCGATAAGATGCCAAAAGCAAAGAAGCGCCGTCTTGTCGAGCTTCTACTACAAAACGCTCCCTTTGAAGGTCTCCCTATCGCTAGCGACTGGGCTCAGATGCTTGTATCGCCGGAGAAGATAGCGATCGGCGGAGACAAGGCCAGCTACACGATAGAATGGTACCCAGCGGATGGCGAGCCGCTCCCCGCCCCAGGGCCCGACGATACTGACAGAGTCAAGGCGGCGCGAAAGAGGTGCACATTCAAGGCCTTGGTGGACGAGCTGGGTACCGTCTCACTGAAGGAGTTGCTCGACGATGTCTCGAAGCCAGGGTCCAATTACCCACTCAAGCTTGAGACCATCCAAGCGCTCAACATCCTGATGACACACAGTCCAAGTAGTGACTCGAACATCGCTACCGCAGGTGGCAACAAGTTCTATCCATTCGACAACCATCCTCAGCTACAATATGCAGATCTAGGGTCCGGCCTACAGGCCCTCCGCGGATACTTCACCAGTGTGCGAACTAGTGTCAACCGCCTGCTTGTCAACGTCAACGTTGCTACAGGTGCATTCTACAAGCCCGGACCTCTTCTTGATGTCATGTCGGAGTTCACTGGTGGCTATCCGCCGAGTAATGCGTACCAGTACAACAAGTTAGCGGCTTTTGTCAAGCTGCTCAAGTTTGAAACAAACTACCTCCCGGATCGCAAGAATAAGGGCCAGACAAAGAGGAAGCAGCATGTCATTACTAACCTGTCCTTGTTCGGCAAGGATAGTTCTAATCTCACCTTCGACATGACAGACAAGAACGGGAAGCGAACCAAGTTGTCCATCGCGGAGTATTTCAAGAAAACGTACAACATGACTCTGTCAGTGCCCAAGGCTCCTGTCGTCAATTATGGCACAAGGGACGATCCAAAGTGGATTCCTGCAGAGCTGTGCACCGTCTTACCAGGCCAGCTTGCAAAGCGTCTGCTGCTCGGCCCCCAGACGAGCGAGATGATCAAGTTTGCAGCGCGGCGACCCCACCAGAACGCCGAGTCAATCACTGGGGACGGTCTACAAGTCACCGAGATCAACCCCATGGCGGATGGGCTGAACGTCGCACTCAGCAGGTTCGGGATCAAGGTCGATCCTCAACTGCTGACGGTACCCGGACGCATCCTTCCAGCTCCCGAGCTGCAGTACAGAGCCAAAACCCACCGACCTAGTGGTGGGGCTTGGAACCTGGATCCCAGAGCTCTTGGAGACAAACCTTTCCGCCATGTTGCGAAGCCTCTCGGGGCATGGAGCACTCTCGTCATCAACTCGGGCACCCGTGACACCATCATGGGAGGGCCGAACGCTGTTAAAATGCATCTGGAGGCGTTCAAACAGGCACTACATTCGTATGGACTCGGTCCTGGCGCAGTACAAGAGCCGGTCTACGTCAACGTTGCCTTTAACGATCTCAACAACAAGGCATTTGCGAAGATCCAGGCACAAATCTTTGACACGTTGAAGAAGGGGTTCTCGACAAAACCGAACTTTCTGTTCGTTCTCTTGCCCAGCGACAATGCCACCCTCTACGATGCCATCAAGTACGTGTGCGACTGTCAACTCGGCATCCCCAATATTTGCAACATTGGGCAGAAGTTTTCCAAAGAACGTGGGCAACCGCAGTACTTTGCCAACGTGGCGATGAAGTTCAACCAGAAGCTTGGTGGCGTCAATCACATTGTAGATGCAAAGCAGATGGCCCCTCTTGACCCACAAACCATTCTGTTCGGAATCGACGTAACACACCCATCTCCTGGAAGCTCGGAAAAGGCGCCTAGCATCGCAGGCGTGGTCGCATCGGTCGATGCTCTGTTCTCGCAGTACCCAGCTAGCATGCGTACGCAGGAAGGCCGGGTTGAGATGGTCAGCGAATTGGAGGAGATGATCATTGAGCGGCTCAAGCTCTGGCAGAAGCGGAACCAGGGCCGGCTTCCTACCAAAGTCATTGTGTACCGCGATGGTGTTTCCGAGGGCCAGTACCGACTGGTGCTTGAGAACGAGCTCCCTGCGTTTGAGGCAGCATTTGACAAGCTGTATGGCGCGAAGAACAAGCACCCTAAGATCTCGATTGTCATTGTCGGCAAGCGTCACCACACCCGCTTCTACCCAACCAAGATTGAGGACACGGATGGTAAGACGGGCAACCCAATGCCGGGGACTGTCGTCGATCGCGGGGTCACGGGCGAAAAGCTGTTCGACTTCTTCCTGCTTGCGCACCAGGGCCTGCAGGGTACGAGTAAGCCGGCACACTACGTTGTCATTAAGGACGACATCAAGCTCGGGGCAGACCAGTTGCAGAGCCTGACGCACAGCCTGTGCTACACGTTCGCGCGGGCAACGCGGGCTGTGAGTATCTGCCCGCCGGCGTACTATGCGGATCTACTGTGCGAACGCGGACGATCGTATCTGCACAGCGTGCTCAAGGGCGATGGCAATACGAACTTTGACGATACGCAGTGGCGTAAGGATGTGGCGGCGCCGCTGATGGAGTCGATGTACTACTTGTAGTACCCTGATATTCTCATCATTATTGGTGTGATTTACACGAACTTTCCTGTCATCCAGATAGGAATCACTGAGCCATTCAGAACCGGATGTTTCGACAGAGACATCCGGTTCCAAGGCAGCCATGCACGGAATCGAGGGAGAGATGGTGCGCGGCTGTCTCCACAGTCATCACCCTGGTGGTACTGTTCGCCCGGCTGCAGCTACCTGTGCTAGCTGGGGCCGGTCTGAGGCGAGAGCATTCAACATGGCTCTCTACTGTTTGCATTTCGACGACGCTCATACAACATGAGTGCTGGGTGTTGGTAGCGCTAGCGGAGTTTAGTTGAATACACAAAGTTTGGTTTCAGTCTTCTATGCATGGTAAGATGTCGATGGAATGCCTCGGCACGGTCGCGTCATTTTAAGCGCGCTTCGACGCGAGGAAGACGCTGTGGTGATGGCGATGATTTCCAGCAATGTTGCACGACGGCCACGTCGACGTGGCAGCACGGCAGGCACTCACAGCCTTGCAGAGAGTAGAGCCGTCAACGGCCCGCATTCCCTCCTCGCAGGAGGCATGCATTCCACGGCAGCCCTCGCATTTCTGACATGGCGCTGACAGACCTGGCGTCGTCCTGGCAGAGGCCGGCTGCAAGGTACGACGGTCAGCACAGTCCATGACGGCATGACGGCAGGGTGGGCTTGGCGTGCGGGCGCACAGTGCCGACGCGCTCCCGCACATGGATTGGCCAGAGCGTCGACGGGGCATGGGGCACGATGGGCACGGTCGCGGGCACGATCGGCGCTGTCGCGGGGCACTGTCGTGGGGCACGGTCGCGGGGCGACCTGCATCGCTGAACGTCTGTAAGGCGGACGGGCATTTCGATGTGGGCGACAGCACGAAGCGAGGGCGCGGGCGGCGCTGTGCGCACATGGGCCGGACTGGCGGTGGAGCAGCAGACGTCGTCCAGAGGTCGAGGTGCGTTAGCAGCGGTGGTTAGCAGCGGGGAAGCATGGCGCGAGGCAGCAGCGCCAATCACGGGGCCGCCCCCAGCCACCCCGTGTCACTCCGCTGGAGCCCTGGCGTCGAGCAGGCGGGTGGGCGACGGGCAGTGGGTGGACAGAGGGCAGTGGGCGGGCTATGAGTGCAGGCCGCGAGCGTACTGGCGGGCGGCGCTGGTGTACCGGTAGCTGGGCAGGCATGGGCAGCTTATCGCTCTATCGCGGACTGCGTACCTCCACCACGGTACCCAGCACACCAGCACACCACCCAGCATAGCACCCACCACTGTCGCCGCGCACTGCACCCTATTCTCTCGTCGCGCAGCACTCGCCGTGACCCCGCCGTCGCCTGCTGTTGCCCGCCGTCGCCCGCCGTCGCCCGTCGTTGTCCCCAGGCCGCCGTCGCGCCCGCCCGCCCGCACTCACTCGCACAAGCTATATACACTGTCGCCGCGCACTGCACCCTACTCTCTCGTCGCACAGCACTCGCCGTGACCCCGCCGGCGCACTTGCACTCGCACTCGCACGCCCACCCGTCGCCCGCGCAGGCGCGCACCAGCATGATGGACCCGATAGAGCGCTCGCGCGCCAGCATCTACGACCACGACATCCCCTCGCTCAGCGCGTCGCTCGAGGCCTTCGACCCCGAGCGCAGCCGCCTCGCGCAGTCGGGCTACAGCGCGCGCTCCAACATGCACTCGTCGCGCTGGAGCCTGCCGCCACACGACGCCGACGAGTCGGAGCACGAGAGCGAGGCTGGCCCCTGGGCGCCGCCCGCTTGGCAGAAGAACAATAGCCAGTGGCACCGCCGCTCGCTGCTGCACTCCAGCCGCTCGCCGTCCTACTACCGCTCCGACCGCGAGACCACGCCGTCGCGCATCCCGCTGCCCGAATCGCCCATGAAGAACACCCCGCAGGGCAGCCCCGAGCCCGACGAGCCGCGCTACCCCGACGGCATCGCCTCGCGCCTGCAGAGCCCCATGGCCGACCTCGCCGAAGAGCCCGCCGACGAGCCCGCCTCCGCCCTCGACCCCGCCGACGAGCCCGGCCCCATGGACGGCTGTACGTAGCCCGCCGTGCGCGTTGGGCCCCCACTGACTCTGCCAGTCGTGCGCTTTGCCATCCGCGGGGAGACGCTGTTCCGCACTGCCCCCATCGAAGAGACCCTCGCCACCCTGGCCAGCGCCGTGGCCATGTTCACCCGCACCCGCCGCAACCTCTTCATGACCCTCGCCACCCTCGTGCTCAGCTGGGTGCTACTGCACCCGTGGAACACCACCCTAATCCCCGATGTCGCCAACGTCGCCAACATGGCCAAGCAGTTCGAGCCGCTCATGTACGCCAGCGAGAACGTCATCCCGCGCTCGCGCGAGCTGGCCGAGGCGAGCATCGCCGTCCAGGACCTGGGCGAGAGCGTGCGCGCCACCAACATGTCCGCCTCGACCGTCATCATCGACCAGCTCGACGACCTGGGCGACAGCCTCAAGGTCCTGTCCGAGAAGATCACCTCCTTCTTCACCAACGTCGACGGCGACATGGACAGGTACGTTGCCCGCCCGCCCCGCCCTGCCTGCCCGCCCGCGCTAATCGCCGCAGCATCCTCATCACCATGGAGTGGGCCCGCCGCGAGCTCTCGTCCATCCAGTCGCCCAAGGTTGGCATGCTCGACACCCTCGTCTCCAACGTCCACGGCGTGCTGTCCCTGCTGGGCGCCCTCGAGGCCGACGGCACGCCCACCTCCCTCGGCCGCGTCGTCAACGACGTGCTCGGCCACACCACCCAGCAGCGCTCCCGCGCCACGCTGCAGCGCACATTTGACTACCTCCTGAGCACCCTGGAAGAAAACATCCAGAACGAGCTCGCCCGTGCAGACGTCTTGTTCCGTCTCTTCGAGTCCGTCGACCGACAGTTCCACAACCTGCACCGTAGCGTGGCGCGCGAAGAGGACTCGTTGGCAACCCGCAAGGACGAATTCCTCGCCCGCATGTGGCGCAACACCATCACAAACAAACTCAAGATTGCCAAGTACGAGAAGAACCTCAAATTGCTCAAGGATGTGCGCGCCTCCACCCTCATCAACAAGTCAGAGCTCAAGAGCCACATCCAGGTCATCAACTCGGTCAAGGACCAGCTCGACAAAGCCAGAAGAAACCTGGTCGGCCCGCTGATCAAGCGTGCGCAGAGCAACAGCTTTGGGCTCGAGGGCCAGCTCGAGGAAGTCGACAAGACCTACGGCTTCCTCAAGGGCGTACGAGATACCCAGAAACACCGCGTACTACGCGAGCTGTGGGGCACCGAGCCTAAGCGGCGAGTACAGATCATGTCGGGCAGAGACGAGGAGGACGGGATGGACGAAACCGAGAGCATGTAGCTGCCGCCATGCTCTTTGACCCCCCTTTGTTCGCAACTCCTTCTGTAGACTCTTGGCTTCTGCATAGCGTCCCGGCTAGACAAACGGTGTGAGGCGTGTTCCTTTGTTGACTGTTGGTTATCATCAGGCGTTTGGCTCTGGGCGTACAGGGATTGCATCAGAGTACATTTAGCGACATGGTCTGGATATACAGTGTTGGGTCAGCGTTCAGCTGCGGTGTACATAGCGTTGCGTTTTTTCGATACCAATCATCCTTCAACATTGTTACATTTTCAGCTCCTGACCACATACACTCTGACAAGAAAGAGTCCTGATGAGAGATTCAGTCCTTCTTGCCTGATGCTGTGGGATGGCGAGGACATGTTCCTCACGTGCACGATGCGACGGTAGTTAGCGCCGCCCCGCCATGCATGATGAGCAGATAAGAGGCGCAAGTCCGGTGTGTACCTCCAACACAAGTGCCAACCATCGGAATCCTCGTGACCTCAAGGAAAGGACCGTAACAAAGATAAGCATCCAAGGGCGGTGAGGGAGCGCACGTGAAAGCTGCTAGAAATCGGGTCACGGGTCATGGGACTGGCCAAGTACCCAGTAGTTACCACACCCGAGCAGGTCCGACTGGCCACTTGTCGGATTGCAGCGTGAAGCAAATCCGATGAATAGCCTCATGGGTTTTTCTTATCAGACTGTACACGCTCAAACGGAGTTGTTCGGTAGTGCTTCTGCGGCTTCTTAGCCATGGCAGTGATCTGTTGGATCCTACAAAAGTACGAAGTGGCTACCCGGACATGCCTCGGTGCAGCATAGAACGTACGTCTTTGGACCAACAACATCAAGTTCTCGCAGCCATTCGTACTGTAGTTTGCAGACTGCCTCGATGCATCCCTCTGCGATATGGTCTTGGCGTCATGATGGAAGAATACCCAATGTTCAGCTATAACGTGCAATTGACTTCATGCCGTCCAGTACCATGCGCCGCTACGAATGTCAAGTGGCATAAAGACCATCACATGGCCGATGCCAATCAACCTCTGCCAAACCACTTGGCACTGCCAAACAAAGAGGAATTGATGGACCAAGTCATGGGCCGGCTAGTCACACAGTTATTGTCTTGAGGCTTTTGACGGATAAGCAACCTTCAAGCTGATCGACTTCGACGTAAGATTTGTGACTGTTGTGATAGTAGAAGCTAACGTTTGGCTATGGAGTACTTGCATTGCAGGCAACCAAGTATCTAGTAGATTCATTTTGTACGTTCCCCTACTTTGCTGTTGTATATTAGGATACTTAGCTTGCATCCTTAGTTTGGTGTTAACTTTTCTGTAACCCGAGAGAATTAGTACAGAGCTAGTAGCCTGGCTTTGTGGAAGGGTAATCCAAGTAGGTACTAATAACTACGCCGTTGCTGGCCCAAGTAAGGGTGATGTATTGCAACTACCAGGCGAAAATTCTATCGAAACATCTGCTGCTGTGGCCGAGTGGTTATGGCGTGTGACTCAAGCGTAACAGCTTCTCAGATTGTACTATCAGAGGTTTCTCATCACGAAAGTGGCAATCTCCATACCGTGCATTCGGGCCGTTGCAATACCTCATGTGCGAGTTGCATGTTGATGTTGCAACCTTCCCCACCGTCTTTCTGGTGGCGTCCTCGACAGAGCCGCCCAGGCTGAGGATAAGACCCCGTTGAAAGCTGGAAAGGTCAAGTTGACGTGCGTAGTCGCTAATGCATTTTTCTGGTCCGCCATAAACTGAACGACTTCATACCCATTGGGATTCCCGATGGTGGAGAGAGACACAGAGAGCATAAAGAGCCCAAAGATATATTCTGTGTTGAGCTCACGGCTGACGAAGGTTCGCGTGTTGGATACGCCCCTCAGGATCTGTCTGCCGTTAGCTTAGGCAAGTCGACCGAGCCGTGCGCTTCTTGCGTTTTCAGAGAACATGATTGAGCTGATAGACTCAGCTTCCTTTATATGTTGGGTGTGATCTATCTTCTGAGCCTCCTGCTAGAGACACCATCGCTCGGCATTTCCCAGATCCGGTGCTGAATCGATCTGGGCAGATGAGCCTGAGAATGTTAAGCAACACGGATTCCATGCTTATGGTGACCGACCTACCGGCGACAGTCCGTGGTATACCTACTTTCTGGGATAGGTATACGAAGAATCTCATTATCGTAGATAGTTCAGAGATGGGGTTCTGGTGCGGTTCAAAACATATTCGTGGTATCAGAACCGGGACTCGGCCTTCTAAATCGCTGGCAGCGAATTCCAGCTCGCAACCGTGAAAGCCCACCAGAACAGGGAACGCATTTACGTATGGGCATATCTGTCCGTACGGCCCATCTAGGTAGTCCGTTAGATGCCAGAGTAACTCACGCAAACCACTCGTGGAAACCTACTTCTACAACCATTTAGGAGAAACCACTTCGCTCGTCCCAGCACCGAAGTTCACTCGCTCTGTACAGCTCAAGCATTTCCCCAATACAGTATAAGATCGTCCCTTCAGCTCTATATGGTAGCACATTTTTTAAGGCCTGGAGCGACTGTCTATAGTTGCTTGCATTCTTACTAGCCACATGGGGCGAGTTGCTTATCTTGTCATCTTAAGCCGACCTCAGCCTCGCTAGATATCGGCCTTCTACAACGTTTGCTGCTTCCAATATATTACCTTATACCGCCCTTATTCGCATCAAAAGCTATTGTGGCCGAGTGGTTAAGGCGTGTGACTCAAGCGAAAGCTTCTCTATTCGTAGAGGTTTCTCATGTACTACGTTGCTTTGGTAGTGTTAGGAAGTGATTGAAGCGAGGTGAGCTACTCTGACTGTCGCGGGGTTGGCGAGGTGAGTTAGGTGAGTTAAGTGGGGTTGATTATTCGAATCAATAACAGTGGACGCTTGTGAGGATCGCTAGGAGGAGACGATGTCTGGGCTTGGGTCTCGTAAATGGTTCAAGTATCAAAGTCCGAGTTGCAAAATATGTGAGTTATGAGTTCAAAACCAGATCATGATTCCATCAATCGCTATGATGGCCGAGTGGTTAAGGCGTGTGACTCAAGCTTAATAGCTTCTCTACTCTGTAGGGTTTTCTCATGTACGTTGTACGCAAGAGTTCGAATCTCTTTCATAGCATAGTTTTTGCTTCTTTCTTTTGCTTTTTTGCTTTTATGCTTTTTTGGTTTCTACTTGCTTAGGGTTATAAAGCAGCAGCTCCCAGCGTCTCGCGCAGGTGTTTGTGGCCGTACCCCTACGCGAGACGCTAGGGGCACAGACCACCCCACCTAATAATCCTTCGCAAAGACCACATATTTATGTAGTACTCGTGCATTTCATTGCTCTGTGCTCCTTAAGCTCTACACAACTTCTTAAAAGGGAACTATTATCCTAGTCTAATATGTTCAAAATTAGATTGCTAGTCATGGGGTGTGTAGTTACGGGATGTGTGCGGGGGCAGGCCTCAGGTGCCTTACCTAACTGGTGCCTGCCACGACTGCCACAACAGGTGCAATCGGGCTGCATGCAGTGCGAAATGCCAGTTGTATTTTGCAAATCAATTGCGCACCCTGTGCAGACCTAAAATTGCGTGTTCAGGAAGGCGACGGTGTGGGAACGTTGAGTAATGAGGCTCAGATGCAGTCTCTCGCGTTTCGGGATCCACGGCTAGTGAGCAACCTTCAAGCTGACCGACCAACTTCAGCACAAAGTTGCAGCTACAATACTTAATGAACAAAGTTCGATGTCAGGTGAGCATTTCTTCCAGGTGATCAGCTCCAAATCAAGGTTGGGATCAAGCTCATCTGTTGTGTCTCTGATGCTCTCACCTCACCGCCGTGCTTCTCATCATTTGTAGTTCTTAAAGCCTTCCCAGGTGTCTTTGCAAGACGACTGCGGTTCCGCAGCTCGCTCTTAATCATGTTCTAGAGCTTCTCGTGTACTGCCGGCATCGGGTCTATGCAGCCATACAAGCATCCATCTCGATACGTGGTGTTGTGGACGAATTTGTGTGAGAGCCACACTTGCCAATCGAAGGCGTTTCTCAATCTGCCTTCGAATCGATCAGCTCCGCCTCTCTCTCCATCCAAGATCTGGTTGTAGACGTTGAGAAACTCGTCTCCTTTCTGGCCCTCCTTGAAGGCTTCAGAAAGCAGGACACCGTTCTCGACGATCTCCTGATAAGGATCGGCGCGTGGTACTTTAAGCCATTTGTCGAAGAATTTCTTCTCGCCGAGATTTATCCCAGCCCTCGTGAGGGCGCTGTTTTCGTACGTTCTCTTCTTTCGCTTGGGTGTCATTGTGTTAGATGCGCGGTAATATACGTAGCCACAAGATTTCACACAATGACGAGCACTTGATCGGCAGGTGGATCATAGTTGAAGGAGTTCTGGATGTAGCGTTAGTCTTGGAATAAGCAGGACAAGTGCATTTGAGCGTACGGGTTTTGGTGAGGCTATAGATGCAAAGTGAGAAAACCGGCTGAATAACCGTAGACACGCGACTCAAAAAGACAGGTTGGCCAGTAGGCATAGTCATAAGCGGAGATGATCTTGGCGCAGTGTAAAGCAGTGGAGTACGGGGGCGGGTAGAGCGTATAGGTGTTAGCGAGGTCGTGGAGGTGAAGCGAGAGGACCTAGCAAACGAGCGTGGACATTTGCCTCTTCACCATCGATCATCGGACTAGATATCACAACTGATTGCGGAGACTGTTTGGGAATGAGAGTCATTGAAACGTTGAAGTTAAGAGAAATCTCGTAGCTAACTATGGACATACAAAGTTTACACGCTTTAGCTACAGATTATGCGCCACTGTCTTCCAGAGAGACTCTCGCCGCTATTGTGCAGAACAAGCAGACTGACGACTGACTGCAGTGCATGGCAGAATGATGACTGGTCCTCGTATCGGCAAGTCAATAAGTGTTGCGACCGGCAATAGATGGTGCGGCGCTTTGCATGTCCTTCCCTCCCTGCTGCCGATCCCAGAGCGAAATCACTTCCAGGACAAGCTTGTTATCGTTGAGGGAGGTCTCTTGCTTCAGGCCGGCCAGGATGTCGACTGAGTTCATCTTTCCCCACCACACATCGTTGTCCTTGACCAGCAGAGTCTCGGTCAGCTTAGGGCCATTCTCCTCTCTCGGATATTCGATGAATGTAAGACGAAGGACAAGATCGAACACTGGTACACGCTCGATGAAAGGCTGCAGCATGGCGGTGTTGCAAGAGAACCCATCAGCGCCGATGGACACTATGACTGGGCGGTCTGAAGCTTTCGTCAGCACTTCAACAACGGCCTTTGTGAAGTCCATGGCGCGGATTCTGTTTGATTTCTGGGTGCTGTTGTCCGCGGCCTCGAGAAATCCTACTGGCTCAGGCGGCGCAGGCGTGTGGCGGGTCTTGACATTCAGGCCGGCAACAAGGACAGCTGGGCGGTGGTCATTCTACAACCTCCGATACGCTTCCAGCCTCGGCTGAATCCAGATTGGCAGTCCCTCAAGCCAGGAGTCCTTTCCAGCGAGCCACGCTTGAGGGATTCTGTTCGTGGACTCGCGTGCTACAAAAATGATGGATGGCGACCGGGGTTCGCTCTTCGAGGCTAAACTGATGGTGACAACCTGCGCCGTACGTTGATCACCCTTGGGGCGCGTATCGAAACCACAGTGGTACTCATGGGTTGTGAGGAGGTAAGGATTTGGCCAGCGAGTTCCGCAGCCGCGCCGGCACGCGAAGTCATTGTCGGTCTGAATATTCTTGTGAGACTTGTAGTGGTTGGTTCTTCCCTGTACATTGGGAAACGTTGGGCAGTTCTCGGGATCCCATGCGCACTTGTACGGTCCGGACGTCTGTTTGTGAAGGCAATGGTCGAGATGAAACATGCTTTCTCTGTAGGTAGCTGCGACATGCATGCAGCCTCTTTCATGATTGGCGCAGGGGACTTTACCAATCACTTCAAGCGGAAAGGTGTACTCTTCCAGATCGTCGTCCTTGCCGACATCTAGCTTGCGACTCTTTCGAGGTTGGCCCATGAGTGATTGATACTTCGATGTCACTGATGGAATACCGCGGCCTAGAATTGCTGCGATGTTCTCGAATGTCTTTCCCTCTACATCTCTCATGGCGACGAGTCTTGTCTCTTCAACTGTGTTCCACCGCTTTTGCACCTTTTTCTGCTTACTTCCAGAGGCGAGTGGTTCTCCGAGTCTCTTCTTACTCGATGGCAGTGGGACGGCCGCGTCGATTGAACGGTAATGAAGGACGAGTTCTGCGAAAGCTTGCGTGGACCGTCGATGACCACATACTTCGAGGAGCCTGTTCTCGAGCGAGCGGGCACAGGCGAGGCGTATCTGGGTGGTTGTGGTATCATTACCACCAGTGCTTGTGATGTTTGCATGAGCGAGCATGGCTCTCGCGGCTACAAGTCCTAGGAGACCCTTGCCTTGAGCTTGACCAAGGGCTACACAGTGTTTGCTGCCGAGAACGAAATCGGCGTGGCGCAGCGGACTATGCATACGCTTCTTGGCGAGTGTGAGCAGAACGGATATGTAGTAGACCGCTTGCGACTCAAGATCGTCATGACTGTATATCGTGACAGAACACTCTCGCTTGTCGGTGAATGCATTGACCGGAGATTGAAGTTGGAGATCCACTAGTAGCCACTCACAGAGGCCATTTCCTGCGATGATGAGGGCGCGATCCTGGCTCATTTTCATCTTCTTTAGAGGTAAAGGTCGGCCGATGAGCTGGCCGTTGTCTGCCAGGAAGCATTCGTGCTGAAGTGTAGCCACGTCAAAGGGAGCTTCTTCATTGAGAGTAATCAGCGGCTCCATGTGAAAGCCTGTGTGTGCAAACTCTGCTGTCAAAATTGCCTTCGCCACGGACGTGACCTGCTCTATTGGTGGGTTGGCAGAAAATGCAAGCTGAACGTTCAGTGTGGCCAACTCATGGTCACTTGGTAGCTCTGCGAGAAGGAGCTCAATGTTGCCCAGCGACTCATCGAAGCTCAGCTGAAGGTCCTCTAGACAGACTTCCGGTGGTGACAGATCTGCAGCTGTTTCAGGTACTGTAAAGATTAGTTCCTGGGGACACCGTGCAGGACGACGACTCACTTTGGACCGCTGCTGGCTTGCTTGACTTCGGAAAGTACGCATCAATTTTCTTGGAGGCCATTGTGAGTGAGATGACAGTCGACGGTGGCTGCTCTGTATCTGCAAGCTGCAGGTTGACGACTACGGACTCCTGTAGGATGAGTGTGAGTTGCAGGGTGGAATATGGGGTTTACCCTCTGGTCTACCCCTGCAGGCTGGGCTGTGAGGAAGGAGGTGAGAGTTGGCAGTGGCTGCTCGCTCGGCGGAAGGAGGTGAGAGTTGGCAGTGGCTTCTCGGTCGGTGGATGGATGTGAGTTGCTGGATTGAATATGGGGATTACCCTGTCTGACCTACCCCTGTAGGCCGGACTTTGAGGAAGGCGCGAGTTGGCAGTGGCTGCTCGCTCGGTGGAAGGAGGTGGGCTACAGGATGGAATACGGGGGCTACCCTTTGAGGAAGAAAGTGAGAGTTGACAGTGACTTCTTGACGGATGTAATTGCAGGGTTGAATACGGAGTGTGACAGTGTTCTGCTGTCTTGTTGGGCGAAGCGGAAGCCAGGTGGGGCGAGAGCTAGGGCAAGAGCTCTTGCCGTTGTTGACACCCACGTGCCGAGCCCACGAAGATGCAGCGACGAAGAAGCCCTGAACGCCTGTGGCTTTGGTCAGTCCAAATCTCAGCGAAAAAAAAGCGTAGACCGTTTGTACATACAGATATGCCTGGCACCACGACCAGAGCCCAGGTCTCGTTGGCAAAGAACATCCATGTTCTCGTCGCAACACTGAATGCGCGATGATCTGCAAATGCAAAGATACTATTAGCGATTAGTTGAGTCCGGCTGTGAGCGGTCCATAATGCAGAAGAACCACGTTGCACAAAGACAAGGACTTACTACTGATTAATGATGGCTTAAGAGAAAAATAGAGAAGAAGTTCATACTCCCTCGAATTAGGGAGCGGCTGGACCTCAACGAAGAGGTACCGCAGAGGTCGGACCCCGTCGACGAGCGAGCTGCGACACGCGAAGATGGTCAAGAGGAGGTCGTCTCGCGAGTCGCAGCAACAATACGAAGACGCACAGACCCGGCATTTGCTTGGCTTTGTGATCACGGTTGGTTAATAAAAATAGAATAAGTAATTAAGTCAATTAATTAGGTTCAGAATCTTCGAAGCAATGGCGAGCTTCGAAGATTCTGAAATCAGTGGAGGCATACTTGCTGACGAGATGGGCATCGGAAAGACGGTGGAGATAATTGGACTTCTGCTGTTGCGGTCGAACCAGCGAAGGTTGGCAATTGCCAACGGCGAGACCGTGCCCAGAGCGCTACCTACACTGATCTTGATGCCCAAGACTCTGCTCACCCAATGGAAGAAAGAAATCCAGGCCTTCACTGACCGTTTCCGGATCGTCATGTATTACGGTACCCCAAAGAAGAGAGCCGAAGACGGCGTAGATTACCCCAAGGGCAGGTTGACACGATCCTCGGAGTACTTCAACGGCGACGAGTCGAACTCCGATACGATTGTATTATCTACGTACACCACCTGGGCGACTCGGCACGGTCCCAAGGCGCAGACGGACTGGCTCGTCAGCGACTACATGAAGACAAACAATGTGTTCCGACAGACCGCGAAAAATCACGTCACCTCGTCAAGAGAGGCTCATGTAGCCACGAAATCTTGCGCAATCCAGCTGCAAGATTGCTTTGAACGCGTAGTCCTCGACGAGGGGCATGAAATCAGACACATGTCGCCTCAAGTCGGTACTGCCGTGCGTTGGATAGGGGGAAAGTATCGAAATGTAGTTACCGGCACCCCGATCTTGAGCGGCCTCTATGACTTTTGCGGTATCATGCGATTCCTGCAACCGCCGGAGCTGAGTTCTGAAGAATACTTACGGAATGTCGGCTTTATCAAGGCAAACGGTTCCAACGCATTGAAGGATATCATCCAGAACTTTGACCCCTGGACCGTGCCGGATGATGATCCTCGAGCTATCCTAAGGTTCACGGTGGAAGCACTAGAGGAATGGGTTTTCAACCGGAACACCACAAATGAGCAGCGCGGTTTGCGGATGAGGAAAATCTTCCGCAAATGCATGATTCGCCGTTCGCTATCGTCCACGATTGATGGAAAGCGTATTGGCGACAGTCTTCCAGAAGTCCAAAGGATCAACATTCAGTCTGACTTCACTGCTACTGAGCGTTTGCATCACGACTTTCTGTACGCCGACACGTCTTCGACACTCTTCAAAAAGAATATCAATGGTGATGCGCTCCAGTGGAACACCACCACCTACAGGAAGCTCTGCCTTATTAGCTCCTGGCTCGGGATGGCGTATCTTCTTGAGTACAAAGCCACAAAGCTTAAGAAGGTGAAAGAGCACAAAAACAACGGATACCGGTTCTTGAAAGACGTTCGCGCAGGTCAAAAGCGCGCTAATGTACCAGAAGATAGGCAGCTGCCCCTACCAGATCCAGACGACCACGTGAGCATCATTAGGCAGCACTGCACAGGGTCGCCGAAGTTACGAATCTTCCTTGCCCTAGTTGCAGAGCTTGTTGTTCTCCAGGGTGAGAAGGTCACGGTATGGGTAAACAGCCCCTTCCAGATGGAATGGCTGGACACTGTGAGTACCCGGAGATCACAAGTATTGTAAACGCATTACTGACAATCAAACAGGTTTGTAGGCTTTGCGGACTGAGGTCAAGGCAACTCCGGGCAGATCTTTCAACACAGGAGCGCGACGAGCTCATAGAGCTGTTCTTGTATGATCCACACTCTCCTCAGATCTTGATCTGCTCCTACCTCATCTCGTGCGCCGGTGTGAACATGCACCTTCGGTGCCGCACCGTTATCGAGTTTGAGCCTGCGCCATGCCAGGGCGTTCGAGATCAGATGGTGGGTCGCGTTCGACGCAAAAATCAGACGCGATTCTGTCGCCACATCACAATCACCACCAAGGACTCGTTCAACACGCAGCAAGATGCGGTGACACTTTTGAGAAGTCTACCGATGTTGATGACCCAGCTGGATCTCGACGTCTTCGGCACGAATGAGGCAGACACAGACCGAGACCGTGCCCTTGGGGATTGGGTACTTCACAACGATGACATCATCCCTGCTAACGACCCTCGAGTTGCTGGCCTGGATCTGGACGTCATCGATCCGGACACACTGTTGATGTACATATCTATGAAGATGGCCGGGCAGACACTCGACGGCAACATCATCAGTCTTCGGTCGGCTGCAAAGGGTCTTGAGCAGAAGAAGGTCGATTTGCCAACAGAACCACTCTGGACGTAGACCATCGATAATCTTCACTTTCTGGCAACGAGCAAGGCGTCTCCTTGGTGGCTACCAAATATGTTCCACCAGCACGCACCACCCTTTAAGTACTCATTGCTCTCTCAGATCGCCAAGGATGTCGTCTTGGTAGCCACAAGGCTTTCCTTTTCTCATCTTGATACTGCATCAATGTTGGAATCAAGAGAGGTATTTCATTGGTGGTCAAGGGTGCGCACTAGTGCTGGGCATGCAAAGTAGATAGCGATCAAAACCATCAGAAGTCTTCAGTACACCAATGTCATCCATAACTACAATGCTAGAATTGTCTCAACCCTACTTTTTGACGGCTCGCAACCAAACAACACTCGAACGTCCTTGTGAACATCCTACAAGATCTAAGCCCAAGTCGGTTTGTAGGAACCTCGGAATTCGAGATCTGCCTTACCACCGTGAGTCCAGTACAACACAACGTCGAAAATCTCTGTAGAATGCTTCCGCTAACTGTGGAAGAAACGCCTACTCATAGTTTAGACTCAATTGCTATCGTAGCTTCAAGTTCAGTGTTAGAGTGGCTACCAGTATATTGAAAGGTGGTTTATCCGCCGTTTGTTCCAAAATGTGAGAGACTGTATCTAAGCCTCATTCGTTAATTTCCATACCACCATCCTTGTAGCCATTGAACTATTAGGCCTGCACAGGTGATGCCGTCGATTTGCAAGTTAAGATTCGCATTTTGCACCACAATGCAGCCCAATTCCAGCTGGCATTACGGTCGTGATAGGTACTAGTCTGGCGACCCCCACAACCATGGAACAGAGATGTACCTATTGGTAGTAAATGCCTCTGACTGGCAATAGGAGTCTGATTGGACGTCCTGCAGGGCAACAACGTTGGAATTAAACCATGATAGGATCATCTGCTACTTGCTACCATGTGTAATCTGACCCATAGTCGTAGGGGTCTGCACAAATCGCCAACGATTATAGAAGTCAGCTAAACCAAAAACCTTCCGTCAGCCGCTGATCACGATCTTGGGACGGTCGCTTTTTGCTCTGGCGCTGGGGATGTTCAGAGAGAGGGAGCTGTCAATAGCCGGATTTCTTTTTTGACCGAGTGAGTACTGTGAGGCGTTCTGCATACACTTCAGCTGCGAAGCTGCGTCCTACAAGCCAAGGTTGGGGGTATATCCTTACAATCACCGATATAATCCAGTGGTACGAACGTTGATAAATAAAATCATACAAAGAGATTACAGTATCTGTACTCTACCTGCTTCTTTGGTGGTGTCTGGAAGCGAAAAAGCAAATCGACAAGGCAATGGAATATCGCTATCTGAGGGATTCGAATGTGATTCTGAGTATAGCGCTTCATTGCATTTCACTGCACGGGGTTATGCTGTGATATATTATAGTCGTAGCATACAAAGAAACACTTCGTAAATTACAGTCGTACGACAAACGCAGTGCCCATCTTCCAACCAACACTGGTAACGCGATAGTAGCTCGACGGCATGAAGACCTGCCGCGCATGCGAGAACGACTATATCCATAACTTTTACCGTCAATGCAACCGGTGAGACGGTCGCTGCTTGGCTGTTGTTGGTAGGCGACCTGCGAGTATCAGATCGCGCTTAGAAGACCAGTGACATAGACATCGCATCAAGTACGTCGGTCAAGCCAGCATGCAAACGAGATATAAGGAAATTGCGGATCCAAGCCCATCCAATCTATAGCTGCGTCGTATTGACGGCCCTGCTCACTGGTCTTCGAGGCACGGCTGCGGACTGAAACAGCGATGTCACGGTGAAGGAGCGCATGTGCTGCCTGCCGGACTCACCGCTAGCTTAGGCTAGGCTGCAATCGTAGAAACGCGCTAGCAGGCTCAAACATAAGTAAGTTGTTGCGCTGCAATCGCAAGAACTCTCTCTTTGCGCTCGCCAGTCTACCAGTACTAGAACTGCGGAGGGTAATCCCCATAGGAACTTACTGTTTATTGTTTTCTCCAGCTACATCACTCTCATACAGCACTTACAGCTGCCTAAAGCTTTGCCTGTCTTCAACGCAAGTTCAGCTGCTGGGGCAACGAAGCGAGCGAGCAAACGCGCAGCATCACACCCACCCCACTTACCTCACCTTGCCAACCCCACGACAGCGACAGCAAGAATCTACCAACTTGCTTTGACCAGTCTCTAAAGGGATTACGTTCACAAGGTAACTCCTACAACACACTGCTTCACTTTGCGCGCGCTTACTGACTGTTTGCAGAGACCGCTTGCTCTACAGTGACCGCGTCACTGACAATCAACCGCCCGCCTTTCACACTCTCCACGACGAGAGCTTCTACCGTTCTCTTCAAGGTATGCACTCTTCTGTCTGCTTGTTGCAACAGCTTGCTCACATGACTTGCAGTCCATCCGCCTGCACGCAGTTTTTCGCCTGGCCAACGCACGTAGCAATGGCTGATAACGCCGCATTCCAGTACCTCACCCGCGAGATCGAGTATGGTCGTGAAGACACCAAGTATACTAGCGGTCTGCTAGTACTTGAGGCTGAAGGTGAGAGCGTTGCCCTTGGCGCGTTCCGCCTGGCTACAGCTACAGCCGTGGGCGCTTGTAACATCTGTCACGAGCTTGGCCACATGGCTAAGGACTGTCCGATTAAGCCAAATGGCCAGGCTTGCAAGGTCTGCCACCAGCATGGACATTCCAAACCTAACTGTCCAGACGTGGAGTGCATGCACTGCGGCCAGAAAGGTCACATCAAGTCAAACTGCACTTCGTCTTCTGTAGTGGTATGCCACACGTGCAAGCAACCTGGCCATGTTGCAAAGCGGTGCACCCAGCGTATGAGGAAGAACAAGAAGACTGGAGCATGCAAGTCCTGCGGTGGTACTGACCATGGTACTGCCAACTGCACAAAGCAAGTCTGCACCAATTGCGGTGAACACGGGCATCTGCTGAGTGATTGCTTCAAAGGCCCTCAGCCCAAGAACAACGACGCGCAGCAAGACAACAAGCGTGAAGATGCGGCAGCTCTTACACCCTCCGGCAGCAACGAGTCTAAACCCGCTGTACCCAGCAAGGCCAGGGACGAGATGAAGCAGCAACAGGGGCAGCAAGTCTTCGAGCCTGCTGCAATGGAGCAAGTCGAGCGTCCAAAGGGCATGCTTGACGACGAGAAGCCCCAGCGCATTCTCACAGCTAAATTCATCACAACCGTCAACGAGCACCACATCTCATCATTCGGCTTTTCCTTTGACGGAAGCTACGAAAACACCAAGGCCAATAGTGGCTGGGAGCACAAGACTGCCTCTTGTGCTTTCACGCGCGACAACATCTGCGATGACGAGAACAATCGCTGCATCGTCGAAGCTGTCAAAGTCACCGATAATCTCTTCACAAAGTATGCGTCCACCAAGGACCAAGAGATCGCAGCGCGTCAGGTCGATTTGGATCTATCAGCTGAGTTGGTGCATATTCGTATCCCCCTCCGCACTGTTCGCGATGGCCCAGGACAGGGAGAGAACGGTAACGAGCGCCCTCTATTTGGTCAGGCACTCTTTTCGAACCTTGATTTCGGCGAGTTTGAGCAAGACATTGGCAAGGCTCGTGACATGTTGATGAGCACTGGAACCATCATCGTGCACTTCTACACCGTTGCGGCACTTTCATCACTTGAGGAGCGCATCCGAACAGTGGATGATAGTATGACGGCACAGCATGCGCCCGGAGGCGACCCACTCACTGCCTGGTGGAAAGACGGCAAAATCAATCCGCAGAAGGGGATGGAGATCAGCCGTGAAGAGCGCCCTAGTGGATACAAGATCCACAAGAAGTACTCATTCATGTCCTCTGCGGAATATTTCACGATATTCTTCCACAACCTCGTGCATGATCTGGACGCGATTGACGCTCGTCAACCGGATCTTACATATCTCAAGATCGCGCGTTTCCCTGGAGGCGACGATCAGCTGTACTTCGCTCACCTGGGCATTCCATACGAGAGCAGTTACCGGGCAGGTTCAGTTCTCAAGGTCAAGCTGTCGAGCGCAGATGCCGACGAGTCTGAGGACTGGACATTTCAGGTGATCGAGCCCTTGGGGTTCACCAACGCCCGCGAGTACGCTGGGTACCTTTTTCGCCCTCGTCATGGCACAACCTTCCTCATTGACCCCGTCTTCGAGAACGGCATTCATTGTATCGACAGCAGAACATGCGACACATCGACTGAGATGGAGACAGCCTTGGCGGCGCTCCCAGGTATCGCTTGTATCGTGCGCGAGACCAGCCCCCGCGTCGGTGTGAGGCGTGCCATTAATACCCTTAACCATCTATACAAGGGAAAAGATGCCTTCGCTCACGAGATGCGACTTCTGCAAGCCAACAACCTCCGCAATCTTGCACCACTCGACTACTTTGCGGGTATGATTTTCGTTTATAAGGACAAGGCTGTCGACGAGGGAATCAGCTACCTTGCGAATCTGCTCGGAGATGAACAGCGTTGTGTCATAGATGCCTTGCGTTTCATGCAGGGAGGCATCTTGCCCGTCCAGGGTCCTGGAGGTGTAGGCAAGACTCGCATCCTCATCAACCTAGCACAGCTCCACTACTGGCTAATGGCTAAGTTCGGTTCAGAGGGTGACCTTGATCCTCTCTGGGTACAGTCTCCGATGAACAAGAACGTAGACGACATTGCTGTCAAGAGCTCCAACGCTTGTCTCCTCGTGTATCATGATCTTCGCGAGCAAGGCATGAACCCATTCTATCCTATCGTCATTCGTCGCCACATGGGAGAGACCGAGGTCCATGTGTACTACGGAGAGTTCAAGCGCCAGCGCGAGCTGAAGCTCAAGCAGTCAAAGCCACTGTATTTCGATCCCGACCTCGTCGCTGAGCACGAGATGGAGATGGACAAACAAGATTCCGCAGATGACCTTTCAGATTCTGGAAATGAAGGTTCAGAGTCTGTAGAGTCCGAAGAAGAATCGGAAGAAGATGAATCTGAAGAAGAGTACGAGTACAGGATGCAACAGCGCGCTGTCGCACGTTCACTCATCCCTCTTGTCAAGATGCAAAAAGCGTTTACGGATCAGGGTGCACTTGGCTTCGACAAGCGACTCCAAATTGAGGATCTCTCAGAAGGCCGCTGGATCCTACGTCGCGCAGGTTTTCCCGACCCAGGGGAGACTGAGCCTCATGCTATTGCCAAAGACGACGATACGTACGCCTCCTTCCGTTTATTGCTCAAGAAGGTGGCCGACTCTGCAGATCTGTCTCCCGAAGAGTCTCAAGAAATCACCCTATATGCGAACCAGATCGTCAAAGACCTCGCAGACCGAGCCATTGCCATCTGCATGACCCCAGATGTAGTGTCTCAGACGCGCGCTCACAAACTCCGCCCACCATACGCCGTCTTGCACGATGAGGCAGGCAAGACATCCGAGATGGGCACAGTAGCCGGCCTACTCTTCAGCCGCCCGTACGAGACTGGTGACGGCCCACTCAAGATTCTGCCCGACTCAAACAAACCGCACATCCTCTTCGGCGATCTTTTTCAGCCTACGCCTGCACTTGCACGCCACGCTGAGGACCACCCGTTCGGCCAGCAGGCTGAGGTTTCTCTCTTTCAACGATGGGTCTTGAATGGCCTCAACACTGTTTGGCTGTGGGAGCAACACCGATTCAACTCAAACATAAACGACTTGGTCAACTACATTCTTCCACGTGGCAAGATGCGCGTCGCGCCTGGCGTTGATGAGCGACCAACATTCGCACTCGCAAAGCAGTGTGCTCTCGAGCTTTACGGTAGCGAGAGAAGCACCGTCTTTGTGAGGCTTTCCGGAAAGACTGAGGTACTGCCTGCGGGTAAGTCCAGTTACAACGACTCTTTCGTTCCCTATGTCCTCCGAGCTGCGTACGATCTAGTCAAGGACGGCAGGTTCAAGGGCACGCAACTTGCAATCATGGCTCCGTACACCGCTCAAGTCGCTTCATATCGCCACGTCATACAGCATCTGATCGAGCATCTCATTCAGGAATCTGTGGACAGTGAGAAGTATCACATTGGTCTGCAGCTGAAGGATGTCGATGTTTTCACGGTCGATAGGATGCAGGGAGCTCAGAAAGACGTCATTTTGTACGACAGCGTCTGTTCGGGCCCGCTCAAGTTCACGGTCGACACTACCCGACAGCTTCTTGCACTCGGTCGCGCGGCAGCCCTTCTTGTCATGTTCGGTGACCCCAAGAGCGTGAGCGATGGCTACGAGGGCAAGCAGAAAGTCCGCTACCATAAAACCGCGTATTACAAGGCCTGGTATTGGTGCTACGTTCACAAGTGTTTCGTGAACCTGGAGAATGATCAGGCAAAGCGCGAGCAGTGGCAGATCCCCGACTTCGACGTGGCTACTCTTCTCAAAGAGTATCATTCGGATAAGGCCGCAGTCGACACGCAGATTCGCCTCGACCCCGACGCCGCTTACGGTACACAGCAAAAGGGCGAAGAAGTTCTCGTTGGTTTCGAAGACGAGAACGCTGCCTTGGGTGGATTTGGGGATGAAGTCTGGGGTGGCCCTACTGGCGACGGACAAGGAGCTGTCCTTGGAGAGACCACTGTCACCGAGCCTCTTGTTACCGAGCCTCTTGTTACCGAGCCTCTTGTCACCGAGCCTCTTGTCACCGAGCCTCTTGTCATCGGATCCCCTGTCACTGGCGAAGATTCTGGTGGCGACGGACAAGGAGCTGTCTCTGGCAAGACCACTGTCACCGAGCCTCTTGTCACCGAGCCTCTTGTCATCGGATCCCCTGTCACTGGCGAAGATTCTGGTGGCGACGGACAAGGAGCTGTCTCTGGCGAGACCACTGTCACTGAGCCCATCACTGGACTGACTACCGAAAACGCTTGGAACACTGATGAAGGAGGTAGCAAGGACACTCAATGGTGAAGAGACGGTACATAGTAGTCTACTGCTGCCGATACAATTCCGAACGGGGCTTAGCAAACCTGCCTGTATGATGAAGAAGAAGTGGATGCTTCAACGCAAGACTGGTGGCGCCTGGAAAAGTGAGTAGTTTAAGAAGATGACAAAATGCAACACTGCAACAACTGTAACGACCATGGTGATGAATTCGAATGATGTTCCGCTGATTGCCTGACAAGTTATACTTCGCGCGTGCAAAATCTTACAGCAAGTCTGGGGTACAAAGAGTTGTACTGCTAATATCTATTGTTATAGAACAGAGATGTACTTATTGGTAGTAAGCGCGCCTCCGCATATTCTCTTAAGCACCGATAGCTAATGGTCCGCTGGCGTTTCAGAGTCAGCAAAGTCTTTGGATTCTCAAGGAAGCCGATGACTTGCTGCAAGATACCCGCGCGGCTACCCGTCAAGCCAATATGAGTCCCTCCAACATGAGCAACGCTCTTTCTCCTATGACTAAGTCCAATGTGTTTAGAATCCGCGGCTTTCTCTTGCACTCGTTGTTAAGATTATTAATTTCCTATTTAGATCTCGACCTGATCTTCGCCTGTGGCCATGAGGTGTCTTGTTGTGATTGTGAAGTTGCGTAGACGTGAAGATGGAGTCGAATGCCCTGCAGCTAGAGTTGGGCGCGCATTACAGCTACGAGATAGCCGTGTGTGCCTCAGGTAAGGGAAAGAGAGTAAATTAGGCGCGTGGATTGCAGGCGATGCTGTTGCATGCCTGCAATCCACGCGTCATGAGCGCCGAGTATTTGGAGTCGCGATCGAGCCGTGACAAGAAGACGGTTGGTTGCAGTGCAAGAGCTTTTGTAAAATTTTGTGATGAGTAAGGTGATAGAGTTCATGTGATATATCAAACAAGGACGTGAAGTGGGGCTATAGCTTGCCCCACAGCCATAGGCAACGATCGCAGTGAGAGTGAGACACAAGATGGCAGTCACATAAGCATGAAAAGCAAATCAGAGTAGGCCATTGGACATGGGGATAGGACGCGAGTGCATTCGACATTACTGTCGCAGAATTGAAGCGCTTATCCGGGCACCTGCGCTTGAGGAAACCGTCATGATTGTTACTCGAAAAAGTACCTTATAATTAGGTAGGTAGCTTGGTGTGGTTCCCAACACGGATATGCGACCATATCGTTTTCGATTGATCTGCGTGCCTTTCATCGCCTACAAGGTGCGTAAACCACGCGGCCTATCGTGGACAAAGCGGAGTCGAGAGCTATACTACCATGTCTTAGGTATTCCAGCCGGAACCTGGCCTGATCGTAGTGGCACCATTTCCTGACCTTGCCCTGAGCTGCAAGAAGTCCACGAATCGTTAGCCGATTCATTTCTATCAACTCAATACGTATGCATCGGGCCTACATCCTGTGGGTCGAACTTATTTCCTTTAGGCGAAGGACCCACTATAGAGCGCATACGAGCAATAAGCGCAGCGAGCGTCCGCTAGAGCTACTGTACTGCACCTCACATGTCCAAAGGGAATTTGATACTCGATGAAATTGCTACAGGCGCGATCACGGCCATCTCTACTATTTGCTCTGCTAGACATAAGGGTATGTTGCTAAAGATCTAACGTACATCACGGGCAAGCGGCGCACATAGGCGAACGGCGCACTTTTACCAAGACCCTACCAAAACACCAACCTCTACTAATGCCTCTATAACAACAATAGCTTAATGCGTTAAAAGAATGTTAGATATAGCTTATAATCTAAGCTCTTAAATAAGACCTAGACCTCTTTATATAACGCGCTGCAGCTATCTATAGCACCTCTAAAATAACACTATAACGTACCTCACGGGCGAGCGAGCCAACGGGCGAGCGAGCCACTTTTGCCAAGCCCTTACCAAAACCTGACCCATTATAGCCTACAACACCACACTTTGGCACTCTGTGGCAGACTACGGCATGTGATATCATTCAGAGACCTCTTCTATATCAATCTTGCACGTTCGCGCGTTGTGACCAGTCTGATTGCACCTTCTGCAGCGCCTTTAGGCAGGCTCACCCTCTTGAGCGCGCACCTGCTTCTTCGCCCTCTTTCTATCGCTACGTGCCCCAAACTCCTTTAGAGCTGCCAGTTGCTGCCTATCTTCAACTATCAGTGTCCCTTCCTTCTGAACCCGCTTTCTTTTGTGTGATTTTCGTCGCGTAGCGGCCTCATTAGCTGCTCAAAGCTCCCTGATTTCCTGTTGAGCTAAAACCAGCTTGTGCGCAATAATTGCAGCCCCCTTTGACACCTTCTCAAACGCCTTTACTATAGATGTAGGAGAGCTGTCTACATGCCTCTGAATCCTTGACTTTACAAGTGTTGATTGCGATCTAAACTCTAAAGTATTGCTAGGGGTTTGCGACTGCCAGGGCACGTTGTTGGCAGGAAGTGGTGGTGTTGGAGTCCAAAGCTTCACATTAAGGGCTGATATGACCCGTTCTGGGTCAAAGGGGACCAATCCAGCACCTCTGAACCCTCCTTGGATGTTACTAGGAGTAAATACTGCATTATAGGCTGCTTTAAAGCATGGCAGGAACTCAGCCTTTATAAGGTGGGTGATTCGGTTGCGCATGAGCATTTCGGCTTGGCGCCCGTACGCTGTCTTTAAAGGGGCAAAACAGCCCACATCAAGTGGCTGTAGGAGGTGTGATGAGTGAGGAGGCATACACAGGGTAACAATCTTGTTATCCTTACAGTATTGCTGGAATTGGAGCGAGTCGTGGCTCTCATGGCCGTCAATAACCAGCAGTCGGTGGGTACTAACAGTATGCTCCTTTGTATGCCTGTCAAAGTGCTTTAACCACTCAAGACCAAGCTTATTAGTAGTCCAGCCGTTACTGGAGACTCCAATAACCCAGTCCTGGGGCAGATCTTCCTCCTTATACCAGCCAGAAAGGTGGTGGCGCGCTTTGAAGATGATGAAGGGTGGAATAGCCCATCCTTTCGCATTGATGCCCTGTATGACTGTTGTCCACTCCCGGTTGCCTTGCTGGACTGCCTTTGGCCTTCCTCGTCTCTCTGAAGCTGTGACGACTGCTCCTTGGGAGATCTGGCCCATCATGAAGCCTGTCTCATCAAAGTTGTAGGTATCATCATCCTGGATGCCATACTTGGCTTTGACGTTGGCTACCAGGCTAAACCAGCCCTGCACAACCCCTGAATCCTCGCAGAGGGCTCGCTTGTAGTCATACCTGCGATTAAACTTTACTTTAAGCTCTGGCTGACGCTTAACGAACGTACTAGGCCAGTTTGTGCCAACAGGGCCCAGATTGCGCTCAGCGCGCAGAGAATTGGCCATAGCAGCCACATCTGCCAGCCAGGGGCCAAATCCTCGCCCGTCTAGCTTAAGTATGTGCTCAACAATTACCCGCTCCTCATTATTATCCAACCCTCGTGAGTTAGGCATAGTATCACCTCGTGAAGGTCGTCCAGTGTGTCGATGGCTTAGTGTGCTTCGAGGCACCTTATAGATGGCTGCAGCGCGTTGCTGTGAGAGATTCGCGTCTTGTTTAAGAGCTTGAAGCGTAAGCTGTACCTGAGCC